ATGGGGTGTGGGGGGGGGGGAGTGGAGTGAGTAGGAAGGAGTGGTAAGGGGATAAAGGGGTCAGGGTGTGTTTGTGGAAGGGACCATCGCAGATCCCCGTCAACTGCAAAGTTTGTGTTGTTCATTTATATACCACCAACTTCGCGTTTGCACTTTCACTCTTGATCCACCCCTTTTCCTTTTTCTTCTATAACATCAATTATTATGGATTCTTCTACTGCTGCTTGTTGCTTTGACCCACCACGTCAACAACATCATCCATCTCATAATGCCTTTTCTTTACCTCCACCTTCACACCTTCATCACGATTCCGACCATGTGTTATCGCCACCACTTACGCCTTCCGTATCACCATCTATGAATCATCCATCTTTCAAACGCAAGTTTCCATCTTCGTCATCTTCAGAAATGAGTAGCCCTTTAGCATACACGCATCATCATCATCATCACGCTACACAGCCTTCATCATCAGCTGTGCCTGCGCGGTTAATGTCATCATTTGACAATGGTCAAGAACGAAGGTCATCAACAGGAGCCTTGGTGGAAGAATACCATCGTCATCCTTATTGGACAGCTGATGTGCAAAAGCAACGATCCATGTCATTTTCGGAACGTACTCCTGCCTCGCGACGACAACCTAACAAACAAAATAAGCATGTTTGCACATATGCGCATTGTGGATGGAGTTTTAAGCGGTATGAGCATCTCAAGCGGCACATGTTAGTGCACACAGGAGAACGTCCACATGGGTGTCCTTATCCAGGTTGTGGCAAGCGTTTTAGTCGCTCCGACAACTTTCATGCCCACTATCGAACCCATACCAAAAAGGCCATTGAGCAACAACATCATCAAAAGCGTCCTAGCACTGATGATCCTTTTGCACCTCCACAAACATCATTGGAGCCACAACATCATCCATCACCTCCACCCACTTTACCTCCGCCACCTCCATCTTCTTTTCATTCCTATGACGACCATCATCGATACCGAGCTTATCATGCTCCACCACCTCCACCACCTCCTCATTTGCCATCGGTGATGGATCGTCGTCCAGCACCAGCACCACCTACAGAGCCAACAATGTCATCGTTCTTGAATGAACATCATCGACAGCATAATACCATGGTTGATGCATCACCTTCACCTGCAGCATCTTCGTCATCTGATGATGAAAAGCAGCATGTATGTACACAGCCTGATTGTCAACGAAGATTCAAACGACTCGAACATCTCAAGCGTCATATGCGAATTCATACGATGGAACGTCCCTTCCGTTGCACATACCAAGGTTGTCACAAGACATTTTCACGTTCAGATAACTTAACACAGCATCTCAAGACACATGAACGACGCGAATCTCGATATAGTCAACAACAGCGTCAAGATCAACAACGATCATCAATGTCCTTTGTTGATTTAATGCATCCTCCTCCTCCTCCATCTTCATCATACCAAGAGCAGCATTCATCATCATCATCACACCACCACCATCATTCTGCCACAATGTTGCCACCTCCCTCATCAACCGCACTTCCTCCCATGTCCTCCTCATCAGCACCATCAATGCATCACATGCTTAGCTGGTCCCAAAATGATGCTGCAACAGGCAGTGTTGGTTGTTAATCCTGCTCACTTTCCACTTTGCTTATATACATACAAGCTTCCATCCATATTCCCCATCTCTTGCTTTTACCCATACATCGTTGCTCTTTTTACATACGTTTGCCCATGATAATTGTTGTGTTTCTTGCAGATAAAGAAAAAAGTTTCCACAATCGTACGCTTTCACACACTTTTCTCTCTCTCTTTCTCTCTCTCTCCTTTGTGTCCAATAACGTGTCATGATAATGATGTAAATGGGGGGTCGTGTATTTGAATGAATTTGTCGATAAGAAAAGAACGTCGTATAGGTGCTGCTGAAATGAAATCCAGTAGTTTATTGTGACATGTTGAGCGTGTAGAATACTGCTTAGTGCTGACGACGAGACTCGGCAATAACACCTTGAAGCTCATCGATTTTCTTCTTGGCACGGACGAAGGTACCGAGCTATTATAAACCAAGGACAAGAGGTCAGTCATTGAAACGTGCAATCTTATGAGCAAGCAAAGTCAACTTACTCTTCTCTTGGTGAGCTTCTTGGCACGCTTATCACGGGAGTTCTTGATCAATTCCATGACACGACGCTCGTAGGGGGCAAAGCCAGCAACTTCACGGACGATGCTGCGGACGAAAGCAGTGCGCTTGCCGATAGCCTAATGGTGAAAGCAACCAATGTCAATGCCATGGACTCCAAAACGACCTATCCAATCCATCCATCCATCCATCCATCCATTTATCCATCCATCTACATACACGACGTTGGGAAGGCTTCTGCTTGAGTTCACGGCGAGTGGTGATGTGGCCTTTGTTGATGCCAACAGCGATGCCAGACTTGGGAGCGACCATTTGCTGTTATTGATTAGAAGGGAGGAAGGATCGATGCGCTGTGGATGGCTATGTCAGGTAAAGCAGCCCGCCACTCACCTTCCTTCAGCTGAGAATGAAATGTATCCAATCAACCCATTCACTCTATCCAGCCAGCCACTTGCCCCCCTTTGCTTTGGTGGTTGCTTATAATAAATGCATCATTCATCATTATCCTATCTATATGTACATCGCATGTTATTCAACACCTGATATCAAATGCATGGCATCCTTTGATAGTATAGATAGATAAAGAGCTTACTGTACAAGGTTTATATGTAAAAAAGAAAATAACAGGGGCATGTATGTATGTGGAAGGCTATATATATGGCAAGCGGAGGCGTACTTAAAAAAAAGAGGATGGATGAAAACTTCTATAGAGGAGGCAAACATTATACAAATGAAAAAGGAAACATGTATGCGAGCAAGCGAAAAAAAGCACTGTGGAAAGGGAGACGACCGGTAGATTGGAAATGACTTTACAGCTGGAATGAGGGTGACGACGACAAGGTTGAGGCATTGCAAGATACCGGTGAAGGGTGTGGTGATTTTGCATGACGTTTCATATCGTGCTTTCGAGCAAATCGCTTGCCACACAAAGGGCAAAGATGATTCTTGGGACGATTGGGATCATGAGTAAGGACATGCTCCTTCATGTTATTGGCACGGTTGCTTGTGTGAGGACAATGGGGACAATAATGGATACGTGGACCAGTTCCTCGACGACGTTTCTTTGTGCCCGATGAAGATGAAGAAGATGGTGATGATGATGATGATGGTAAAGACATAGTTGATGGCGCCATCATGCTAGTAGGATCAAGATAACCCATTTGAGGAGTTGTAAGAGAGGTGGTGCCTAGCTCCATGTGATCCAGGAACGGGGTGGTTTCAAAATGTGACATAGCGGGCGACACCATATCATGTTGCATAAGCATACAGCTACTGGTGCTACTCATGGCAGGTGATGAAATTGACATTTGCTGCTGATCAAAAGAGGATGGCTGCATGTTGAATGACACAGGGCTGCCAAGCAATTCGTTAAGGCAAAAGTCATGCTGATCCTGCAGCATTGTTGTGTTGTTACTGACATTGGTGGTGGTGGTGGTGTCATCGGTAAACATCAAATCAGCCATGGATGATCCAAATGAAGAAGGAGCAAAGCTGGTATCTAAAACGTTATTCTGTAAGACAACCAACAATTCGGGTCGGATCAAATTGCGCTCCTGTTGTCGGGAGTCAACTTACCATTTTCAGGTGAAAATGAATACAGGCTCTCGTCGCTTGCAGAAAATGGTGACAGCAAACTGTTATTGTGGGGATGAGAGTAAGAAAGGGTAGAGTGATTTGTAGTGGAAGGAATAGCAATGGGAACAGCAGCAGAGGAAGGTGATAGTGATCCTGTAGTAATGGTAGGATCGTATTCATGAGGAAAACAAGAAGTAGACATGATAGTAGGGTCCTGTTGTTGGTTGTTGGGAATACAAGTAGTATTGGTAGTGGTATTGGCACATTCTGTTGAATTGGCAAATAGGTTGTCACCAAGAAGGATTTCGTTCGAAGATACAAAGAATGGAGTGGACATTCGCAATAAGTTAAAGAAGTTTGGGGGAGGTTGTTGGGTTAAGGTACAAGTGCTATTCTCAATTGACAATGAAAGGAAAAGGGAATAGGATAAAGAGAATTGTCAAGGATAAATCTTGGTCGGGAAAAAGCCGTGTTTGGGCTGGAGGTCATGGTGTTCTTATATAACCTTTGGAAGGATGTGATGTGTAAGTGCCATATCCGGGATGCATGCAGCTGGCTTTCAAATGATAGGTCACTGGTCCCAAAGCGGCGGGCCACAGCCGCAAGACAAGGTGGAGGAGGAGTAAGTGTGCAAGCAAAAAGATATGGAGCATCTTACAAGGGGGTACAACACAACACCCGCGTGCGTTTTACTTTTTACACAACACACAGACCCGTCCCCCACAAACAAACACTGTCGCGTTTATTTTTTAGCTGTCAACATGGTGCGTATGAACGTAATCATTCCCTTTACAACAATGATCCCCTCATGGATATACGTTGGCTTCATGATGTATGTCACCTTCTGAATCCATCTAAAGTGGTATTCTAGAACTCCAAGGTTCTATACAGAAGCAAGATGTATATGCTCGTGCGTTTACATGTACAACATGTAGGCAAGCAAGGGAAGGGGAAACTTTCTGACGAGAAGGCAATTACTGCATTTGGACGCAAAAGCCTCGTTGTGCCATATAGAGCAATGGCGTTAGACCAATTGCAGGCCTGTAAAGTGGCTTTCCGCTTGGCTGGCCCTCCCCCCGTTGACATCATACCTTTATCCTATTTGCCGATGCGATTTGGTGTAACCGAAAATGATGGCCCTCTCACTGCTTGAAGCCTAATGCTGCTTTTTGTAATGCGTCGATTTGTTTGCTCAGCAAAAAAGGGCAGATCCCGATACACGATAAGTCCATACTAGCTATACTTGCGCGCATTATACATGTGAAATGGCGCTCTACACAAGCGGGGAATGTTTACACGCGTATTGCGAGCCATACAAAGGTAAATGTGTGATCTCTGATTGATGGCGCTTCTTAATTTCCACCACACTTCTGATTGTGTATTTTAATCACTGTTTCTATTTTCGCTCACATCAAGGAGCAACATGCAATGCCATTCGCTGGTTTTATTTACTCTTTGTCTCTAATGCCACGTGGCTATGCTGTTTCATACATTTTGTCACTTGGAATCCTGCATGTCAGGGGGGCACGTGGTTTTGGAAGCATCATCAACATAAAAAGCGAAAAAACAAAAAGGGGAACGGAGATATGGTCATGGCATTTTGGGGGTGCGGCATCCATTGTGGCAATAATCGCGCATTGGGGGAGGATCGTGGTTGGCTATAAAGATGTGAAGGCGTTTAAGAGATGTTGTAGCAAAAAGAAGTGCACTTTTACGGGGGGTGTGATACAAGGACGCTGAGTGATTGAATGACACCGCATGGTTGGTTTGCATATCCTTTTCCCTTTACTTCATCCCCCCAATGAAAAAAAGGCATCATCTTTATTCGGATGGGAGCGATAACCACAGAGTCGGTAAATAGCCTTCCGATGTCAATGTCGCGTGCTGCTGCTGCGTTATCTTATTGTGCGTATGCAGATGATGATGATGGTACACTTTAAACACTACGTGATCAGGTGCATGGTCATGCGACTTTTGCTCCCCCACTAGCAATATCCTCAAATAGAAACCTGGGTGGGCATGTTCGCGATAAAATGAACCAACTTTAACCCATGTGTCGACCGCTTTTCTTGTTTGCATTGATGTGGGTGGCACAACATGTACATACACTACACAAAGGAAGTGGGCCCTGAACCGCTTTTTGTTTCGGGTGAAAGATTCATAGGTGTCACTATTACATACTTCCCATATAGCTTCCAAAATCATACATTATCAGTCATCGAATGTTCCTTGCACCATTCAAAGGAACAATGGTGATTGTGCTGAGTGTGCACGAAATTCTCCGCATTTGACAAAAAGCCAGCAACATGAAATGCACAGAACTTGATCGCACAAGATGATTGGTTACCTGTATTAAAGATGGTTCTACTGTAACATGCGAATGTGCGCGCTTCTCATTTAGAATCTTTTGCATAAGCGTGTGTGCGAAAAGAACACAAGACATTTTTGCGTGAACATACGTATAGGCTTTGTGCTTTGTTGTCTTGGATACGTCTTGTGATCACCATGGTGATGCGTGCAAAAATAGAGATCTTTAGCTACTTGTACCACTTGGTGGCGCCGTAGCGCGCCACTGCGTGCAATGGTCAGTGATGTGATGACGCCTTGTTCTCTACGGACAAAAATTGTGCCATCTCATCATCTATCAGGGTCACCTTTTGCTCAGCGATCGTGCTGTTGGTGGCGATGTATAATCTTTTTATTCGGATCGGCAGAGTTCCCCCGCATCGAATCACATCGCATCATTCTCGCGTGGCCCCGTCACTTGTCAACATGGTTGTAACGGATTACCATGCTCCTCCTTTCTTTCCCACTTTTCACTAAACACAAGCCTTATTCTCCCCCACACATTATGGCGTGCTGTTATCTCGTGCGACCTTAAATTTCGAGCGATCCATCATGTCATGAGCCCCTTTAATATGCACCAATGAAATGTTGCATTGTATCCCATGCACCCGTTTTTGGACATAAGGAGAGACAACGTGTGTGTGTGTGTGCAAATTGATGAAGCAATATATAACCAGGTCAGGTGCTACTACGTTCTTGTTATCAAGCCAAGGATGCAAAAGAGGTTTGGGTATGCATGCTTTTTGCCAAGAGTCATCATCGTCGGCTTATTCCTTCCTAAAAAGATAGCAGCGATTTATTTTTAACTGGGAGTGAACCAACGTGTGCGCTTCTTGGCAATGGGGCGAGTTGTTCAATCGGTACAGAATGCTCCGAGGAGAATATCAAGTCTTGACATTACAAAGTAGATGAGAGAGAAAGAGAAAAGGAAAACTATGTAAAGGCTCGTGGGTTTAGATAGGAAGAAAGCAACGTGAAAGTGGGGTTGTGGGGAATGAGGGGTTGTGTGTGGGCAATGCGAATGCCAGACATATGCATTGTGTGTGTGTGTGTGTGTTGGATCATGTGTTGAAAGTGACAGTCTGCGAGGGCTTCCGGGTAATAGCCGAGGATGTGCATCCCCCAAAGCGAGGGGGTCGGCTCTTGGATTCCTTCTCTCATTAAAGAACATTATAACTCGTGCCAAACAGCTTGTCTTTTACTTTGCTCTCTCTTTTTTCCCTTTCTCTCACACACACATAAACATAATTCACACAATGATATCACTGGATTCGATTTGCGATTTCCTTGAATTACCGACACTACGATACCACTGGCAAGAAATCCTACTATCAACTTTATTATGCAGCATCATCTTTGAACTGTCTCGATGCCTATCACCCTTGCTGTTTCCAAAGACATTCCAGTATTTCAAAGGCGTAAGTTCTCTCTTCCAACAAAACCAAAACCCCGCATCATGCTTGATCTATAATTTGACACACACACCGATCAACCGTTATAGTACACACCCACAAACTGGCATATCCACGTGGTCTCATTTTGCCATTCAACTATGATATCGATTGGTTCCATCATCATTCTTATGGATGGTGAGCTGGCTAAAAACAAGATTTTTGGATACAGTGCATATGCAGCTACCTTGTATTCCTTGTCATGCGGGTAAGAGAAGGAAAAGGGGGGAATACCATGAGCGAAAAGGGTGTCTTACAGTACTTCAAGCTATTTTGTTTGGGACATCATACAGGCTATCCGTTACATAAAGTATCAAGGCATAGGCATGGTGTTTCACGGCATCGCTGGATTCGTGGTCATTTTCTTTTCCTATGTAAGCCAACAACCAATAACAAGCCGTTTAGCCTTATATGCTTAATTAACGCCATTATGACCTATCAAACAGCGCCCATTCATCAACTACTACGGCTCCATCTTTTTGTTGTATGAAGCAAGTACCCCCTTTTTAAACTTCAACTGGTTCATGGTATGTATCATGTTTATTCAATAATTGATCATTGCTAACAACCGGTTGCATCCATGATACATAGGATAAGCTCGGCTGGACCGGTAGCAAACTTCAGCTCGTGAATGGTATCATTTTGATCTTCACTTTTTTCATGGCGCGGATCGTAGTCGGTTTTTACATGTCATATCTGTTATGGAGTAAGTGGTATTGAAAGATGCGTGGTAATGCAGACTCCTAATGTAAGCTGCTTCTTCCTCTCAACTAGTCGATATTTATGCAGTCAAGGAGCTAATCCCTCTCCGATGTAAGTGATGAAGGAATGGATGATAATATGGGCCCATTGGAAGATGCTTATGTAATGGGTAATGCTTTCTTAGATTGGATCGTGTATGGCACTGCTAATGTTGTGACGAGCTTCTTGAACGTTTACTGGTTTGGTTTGATGTTGCGATCACTCCGTAAACGGTTTCCTTCCAAGTCAAAAGTACCCAACAAGACAACATAATTCATCCTCCACTATAACCACTATTCGGACGGCAATAAAGGAAAAAGATGCGTGTGCATTATTGTACGCCATCCAATACCAACAATGACGCATGAACAAATACGATTGTGTAACATTGATGCAAAGTCATGCATTACCCCCACATAAGTAAAGAAAAACCAAGACATGTACAAATGTTGTATTGACAAGATAAAAACGTAAGTTCGTGTGCGTGAGTGGCGAGTATACAAGAATAAGAGAGAGAGAATGTTGGGAATACGAGGATATGGATCTACCGACGAAGGAGTGATGGGGGCATAAATACATGCAAGTTCTCGTCCCAAGCACATGTGGCAACCTGGCCTTCCATGTAAAGATTAAAGTCAACGCCAAGGACAAATTCAGTATGAGCATCATGAACCTCCATCATATTGCGACCAGGGGGTGCTGCCGTATCCCAGAAACGAACACTCATATCATATCCTGCACTTGCAACAACGTTGGGTCTATGTGGCGAACATTTGACACGTCGAACAGCGTATTCATGACCTGCAAGGCACACCACTTCACGATCGGGTCGTCGCATATCCCACACCTTGACGGTACGATCCACAGATCCAGTTACCAACATGTTGTCTTGATATTTGTTCCAATCCACCGACAAAACTTCGTTGTGATGTGCACGAATCGTCTGTACTGAACGTGGACTCTTGATATCCCACACCTTGACGGTTTGGTCACCTGAGCCGGACATAAGCAATGTGGGATTGTAAGGTGACCATGCTGTGCTGTATACGCAATGGGTATGCTCCGTGTATGTTTGCAAGGATCGAGGAGCTTGCGGGTTCCACTATATCCAGTAATACGTAAGCCATTTACTATAGCCATTATTGTCATCCATGCCCCACTTACAATCTTGACAGTGTGATCCCAAGAGCCACTCGAGAAGATGTCTTTGGTAATCAAGTTCCAATCCACTGAAAACACTTCACGTTGATGTTCTTGCCAATTCTGAATGGGGAAATCCTATATCCAAATACACGCGTAAGCCCCAACATCATCTATTACTAACAATGCTCATTCTTACCGCCAATGTTGCATCCCAAAGCTTGATGGATCCATCACCACTGGAAGTAACAAGCTGATTCTCATTGACTTCACTCCATGCAATATCAAACAAGCCATCTTGGGTATCGTAACTAAACAATGGTGTATAAGCATGCATGCGCATGTTTTCCCATAACCCAGTACTTACACTCGCTCTGCAACAATGCCCTCAGGTCCTACGCCCAAAAGCCAAAGGCGTCCATTACCAACAAGGCCGAAATTAGAAGAGGAGGCAACAGCCAACTTGTTTTCAAAGAATGGGCTCCATTTCACCTAATTCAAAAGGGTCAGTCAAGAGAATGTCAACCTGGGAATCATATGCGAGTGTAAGATGCTTACGGAATAGCCATTGAATCCTTCAGTTCTGAACTTGACAAACATGAGTATTTCCCCTCGTTTTGTAGCTTCTCAGGAAGAAATGCGCTGACACACACATAATCGGCTCGTGCGGGTGATTTACAATCACCGAACTTGCTCTCTTTCACGTGTAATTCCGACATTGAAATAGCATTAAAAGAAACTTTTATTGTATCATTTATTAAAGCCTACATGGATTATCTATTGCTTGTCAAGTGTTAAGCGAGACCAGAAACGCTGATGGATGAGAGCCTTCTTAAAGTCACCAGTAATACCATCCACCGATTTGCCAGTGACAATGCCTTCCTTATTCGAGATCTTGACGGAGCTGATAGCATCGTTGACAAAGTCAACACCTTCACCAGTAGCTGCAATGGGCTTACAGTGGCGGAAGGCATCAATAACAAACATCTTGGGTTCATCATAAGGGAACTGAGTAAGGTCATCTGTAAGAGTATCGATGCCCTTGCTGCCGCCAGGCACATACACCGCATCAAAGAGAACAGAGGCAGTGTGCATGTAGGTGCTTGTGATGTTAAGGCCATCTTGCTCACCAAGGTTGACACCAATGAGAGTGGGGTAAGCTCCTTGATCCTTGAGATAGTCAAACATGGCTTGTGCTTCATCAGCGTCAGTGCCAGGGGCAGTGAGAATGGCAACGGTACGTGTACGAATGTTGTTTGGCTTGGGGAAATGTTCAATGGATAAACCAGTCGTCTTGGTGCCATCATTATCAGCAACCTTATCAGGGCAATCAACATTGATACGCTTAGCAATACGGCATGCCAAATCATTGTCAACTTGATTAATCACACCAATCATTCGCTTGCGTACATCAAGGGACTTGCTCTTGCCAATCTCAAAACGTAGACCATCGACCATTTGCTGTTGCTCGGCTTTCGTCAATGAGTTGTAGTATAAACGTGCTTGAGAGTAATAATCAAAGAATTTGGCCGATCTGCCACGTTGCTTGGTGCCAACAATCTTCTCAGGGTAATCAATGTAACCACCATCTTTAGGCTCAACCATGGATGGAGTGTTATCTTGTAGACCATTAGGGTGGTATGCCACATTGCCTTTGTAGATGTTTTGCTGCATGTAACCATCACGTTGGTTGTTGTGAACTTTGTTGATAGGGCGATTGATTGGGATTTGCATGAAATTGGGACTGCTCATGCGATTGAGCTGTGTGTCAAGATAGCTGAACAAACGACCTTGCAACAAGGGATCATTGGTAAATCCAATACCACGCACCACGTGACCTGGGTGGAAAGTAACTTGCTCAGTCTCGGAAAAGTAGTTGTCAACGTTCCGATTAAGCACCATCTTGCCGATAGTCTTTACTGGTACAAGCGATTCGGGAACAATTTTGGTGGGATCGGTAAGGTCAAAGTCATACTTGTCGGCATCCTTCTCAGGAATGATTTGTACGCCAAATTCCCACTCTGGATAATCGCCATTGTTGATGGCTGTGTATAAGTCGTTGCGATGGAAATCGATATCATGACCAGCCACCTTTTGTGCTTCATCCTATAAGAGGCTAACGTAAGCAAAAAGTTGACAATGGTATTACGTGATGAGACCTACCCAAAGCATGTTGGATAAACCTTGTAATGGCTTCCAGTGGAATTTAACAAAGTTAGATTCCCCATCCTCGTTAATCAACCGGAAGCTGTAAAGGTGATAGGTATGTAAGCAACAAGGCTGATTGAATGATACAATTATCGTAAGTTCCTTACGTGTGAACACCAAAACCTTCCACCTGACGTAAGCTGTTCGGAATACCACGACCTGAGAGAGCCCAAAAAACGGTGTGCAGGGTCTCTGGGAATTCTGCAAAAAAGTCGTATGCTGTTTGGTGAGCTGTACCAGCTTGGGGCACTTCGGTATCAGGCTCAGGTTTTCCTGCATGAATCAAATCAGGGAATTTGATGGCATCTATAATCGAAGATTACTTGTGAGATGATCGTGGTATTGTCGTGAGAAGGAATTGCATTCATACCCTGTATAAAGAAAGGAGCAATCGCGTTGCCAACTATACAACATGTACAAGGTTTAGTGTACGTGTTACAGCAAATTGTTGTCATTCGCCATACTGACCAAGATCGAACAAGCCCTCCTCGGTGTAAAAGCGAGTAGCAAAACCCCGTACATCTCTTACTGTATCAGGTGAGCCACGAGATCCCAACACGGTTGAGAAACGAACAAAGACAGGCGTTTTGTGTCCTGGGGTACGTAAAAACTTGGCAGCTGTGATGTTGGACCAGTCATCATACGTTTCAAAATAACCATGTGCACCCACACCACGAGCATGCACCGCACGTTCTGGAATACTACAACAAAGAAAGATTTTGTTCATACTCCTTCTTTTGTGTTGTAAGCTGTTGCTTTGTTATCTTACCGTTCATGATCTACATTATGAATGTTAGTCTTTGTTTTGTATAAAACTACTCAATTCACGTACCAAAATGCATAATCTTTTCACGCATCGCAAAGTCTTCTAAGAGTGTAGGGCCACCAAGTCCAGCTTTCAGGGAATCGGTGTTGTTTACGAGTTGCCTTTGATAGAATGATCGATAGTGTGTGAGTACATGTTGAAATAAACATAGCTGTTTGTATCAATGTCATACCCAAAGTTGGTTGCTTCTTGCTGACCGGCATTGTTCACGGTGAATTCCTCCAATTGGGCGCTCTTGGAGTCACCTTGTTGCTTGTTAAATGCACATTCGCCTGTATCCTGTGCGCATGCAACATGCTGCACTGCCAGTGAGATGCTAATAATGGCGCTCAAGATTGACCCAGCCTTCATGACAAAGAGTAGGGAGAAAGAAGAGAAAGTGTGGTTCCTTAAGAATCAACATCATTGATTTTTTATAATAAGTTTTCATCAACCCGATGTCGCACACTGCTGCTGATGATGGTTATTGCTGCAGCTTATCCGTCAAATCAAGGAGAGCAGTAGTAGCTGGGCGCGGCATGACCCGAGATGTGACACTTGCCTGTGCAACTATGACCACCGTTCTGTAAAGCAAACATCTGCTGGAATTCTAGAGAGCTTATTAATCTTGCTGTGAACAATGACAGCCAATGAAACTTGATTTTAATGTGTAATCCCATTGGGTGGGTCACTTCTTACTAAGGAAGATATGCCGCTCGGTGTTACATTTTGGAAAACCAGGAGCCAGCGGGCTATAGGTTTCTCCCGTTGCCCTTTCCTTCATTCAACTTTGCTTGTGCAATGTGGATCGACCACGACCCTTTTGGGGTACTTTGTACTAGTATATAGTTGGAAGTACACAGTGTGGGAAATAATCATATTACTAAACGTCTCATCTATGATGGGCCACCTAAAACGCGTTATTCAAGCTGTCAAAGCGGGATATCAATTCATTTCCGGTGACTAGATGGGACACAATCTGATGACCTAATACATGTGCATGTCGGCCTTGAATGCTGTGTCAATGAAGGTTACTCTTGCTATCCAACGTTTGTGTCGTGTGTGATTTTGGAAAACTCAGATGGCGGCTTTGTGGTACAAATGGTACGAGACTCCTGCAAAACGAGCCATGCTATGTATGTACGTATTTGAAAGCTGGTGATATCACAATTATGTATAAGAAAGCGGCCGCAGCTTTCTGGCTTCACTCGTAAACTTTTGATTTCTCGTTGAATGGCTTAACGCTACGTATCGAGTAATGATTTTACAATAAACCTACATACTCGTTTATGCAACCCCCCTATTACAATCTCGTAGTATTCATTTTATAGAAACCTGCAACCCTTAGCTTTGCTTTACCCATATTTGATAATGGTAATTCCACTGCCCAAAACTTGATGATAGGATACAGTGCCATTTATGCAGCAACCTCTGTCAACAACGCGGGTGTAACCACCACGTGTTCACGCCGAGAGCATTCTACCTATAGTGCTCTCGGCACAATCAATTAGCAGTAACAGCTCCATCACGCTTATTGCAGGAGTATAGGTATATAAAACATAAAGGTACCTGTTTCTCAAGATTTTCATAATGATCGTATAGGTTTTATGAGTACGAAATTGATCAGCGTGTGCGAGAGCGTATTGTGTGGAAGTTTCAAGCTTGAGATGGGTAGTCTCAAGCTCATGGATCGTCCGCACTACTTATGTCTCTGATTTGTACCCTCCCATTCAAAGTTTTCACAATGAAGCATGGGGTCTTTTTTAGAAAAACATGATCAGCAGGACCAAGAGCACCTCGCGTGAAAGTTTCAGGTTCGAGAGAGGCAATCTCAATATCAAGGTTTGATGGGCCGTGTGCATGAATTTGTAGGGCAGTGTATGATGGCCTGTTTAATTTCCACTTCTTCCACGTCCCGCGTCTTGCTCTTCCTCCCATTCTCAACTGTTGGTCCCAATCAAGTATACAACTACTACAAGCGAACGATTGTCCTGCTTCAACCCATCATGTCAACCCTACGATTGCCTTGATCCGATTGCCTTTGACTCAATGGCAGGTCCATGGCGTGTGCACCCTCACTACAACACCCGGGGCTCTTGACTTCTTCACGTTCTCTTGTACAATCCTCGACCACAATCAAACGTAACAGCAGTCGCTATTTGCAAGGTCTTTACTTCATTGTCTCAAACAGCATTCACAACATTGTCACTCTATTGCAACACACGTTCTTGCACACCCCTCTGCCACCACCAAACGTAACAGCAGCTGCCATTAGGAAGGTCTTTACTCGATGGTTTCAAGTTACTTGCAGCAAACTTGCTTTGGTATATACGAATTCCAATGGATGATGCCTTATCAGATATCAAATACACGGCAATACAAGCAATCTTCACCTGGTTGAGCTACGATGGAAAATGACCAAGAAAGAGGCAGACCAACAGCAGGATGGAAAAGGAAGCATATCAGCAGCGATCACATGATGGTACTTTCTTATGGACTTACAGTGGTTATGGTGGATGGAGATGAAAACAAGTGCAATGATGAGAAATCCAGAATGCTGCTTTGCTTACTTGGGCGCGTCGTCAGCAGGAACGATGGATTGTGTCACGTGGATACCGCGGAGGTTGGTGATGGATGGGATGGAATTGACGAAGGGCGTTGTACAGCCATGCATGATACTGGAATACTCGATTCAATGCATGCAGCAGCTATTTTGCAACGTGGATGAAGAATGTTTATATGACGGCACCCACCGAGAATACAATGGCACAATGATCCCTATCAAGTCTATGTGATTCACACGTATCTTATTCAATCCCCAATGCTGTTGCTATCATATTTACTTTATAAACATCTACTCTACCATGTGCTTTTCTTCGAATTGTTCATTGAATGAAAATTGGATTCAACATAATGCTGAGAAGGGTATCGTGCTATCAGCTCATGTGTGCAAGATGTGGATCGCTTGGTTGGTTTCTGGATTGAAGGGGGGATGCAAGTTTGAAGGTCGGGAAGCGAGATTGGTTCATCTACATCATCGTATCAAGATGCTTTTATTCTTTTGTCACAACAACATTGTTACATTCCCTATATAACACTTCTTAGTTTACAAGCTGATAGTCGAAAGATAATAGTACTCTTGTATTGCAAAGATACTAAATTCGAGAGTGAAGATGCTCAAGATAGTGCCTGCTATTATTACCTAAGAAGCTTGGCTCATTGTAAGCTTAATTCATTATGCTCAAGAAAGAGTGAGCTGTGATACAATGTGATACAGAGTACATGGACATGCCATGCTTACCTATGCCCATATTTCAACTAACGCCATCTGATGCAACCTTATATAAGAACGAACCATTTCCATACGGACTACCATAGGCGGACAATTACTCTCGATGTCGTATAGGGGGAAAGGATCCATTATGCGCTCTTCCACCAATAGCATTAGCCCTGACGTCCCGACCTTTTTTTTGCTCTGTTACACAAAGAAGTCCATCTGCATCTTGGCTCTAGTATGGAAGTGATTGATATGGAACAAAGACCACCTATCATATAGCATCACGCTTACAGCATATGTAAAACATAAAGGCACTTGTATCTCTAAACTTTATAATCAAACGTGGGGTTTTTATTAGAGCAATGTGCTCGGCTTGGCCAACAGCACCTTGTGTGAAAGTTTCAAGTTGATCGTGGCCAATCCCAGATTTCGCAATGTCGCTACCAGCCAAACTGGATCTGGGGGTCGACCTCTTCAACGACGACGACCAAAAAATATTTTTTGGGCTAGTTGCGACATTGAACGTGAAACTTTCACACAAGGTGCTGTTGGCCAGGCCGAGCACATTGCTCTAATAAAACCCCCACGTTTCATTGTAAAGTTTGGAGATACAGGCACCTTTATGTTTGTAAGCGTGATGCTATATGAAGAGTGGTCTTTGTTCATTGTCAAGTAGCTGGACCCTGGCAGAGCAAAAGCTGCAGAGGGTCGTGTTGTGTAACACAGCTACGTTTGCATGAATGAAAGGGTCAATGTATAAGTACTTTATGGATCATCTAGGGACAGGCATGTATTGCTAGCTAACGGCCACTTTTATCCAAGCATCATTGTTGCGAGATCCACTGCATGGGAACGATGCCCCTGCTCTAGACATTCATTTCCATGATTAAAGTAGGTTGATCCGAGCTGATTTGACTGAGCTGCGGTCAAAGAGAGATTACATCACTCTGGACATAAAGCACGCTCGATGTAGCTCAACCGATGTAATCTTGTGTGAGCGTAACTCAACCAAATCAGCTCGGATCAACCTACTTTAATCATGGAAATGAATGTCTAGAGCAGGGGCATCGTCCACCTACAATAGAATGCACAAAAGTTGGGAATGCACAAAAGTGGCTATTAGCTGCCAATGTATGACCTGAAAATGAGGGTTGCGTACCTGTCATGCATTGTCCCTGAAGTCCAAACTTTTTAACCCAGTTACCCAAAGAGGTCCCTCTGCATCTTTTGCTCTGCCAGGGTCCAGCTACTTGACAATGAACAAAGACCACTTCTCATATAGCATCACGCTTACAAACATAAAGGTGCCTGTATCTCCGAACTTTACAATGAAACGTGGGGTTTTGAATAGAACAATGTGCTCGGCTTGGCCAACTGCACCTTGTGTGAAAGTTTCACGATCAAGCTTGCCAATCCCAGATTTCGCAATGTCGCTACCAGCCAAACTGGATCTGGGGGTCGACCTCTTCAACGACGACGACCAAAAAATATTTTTTGGGCTAGTTGCGACATTGAACGCGAAACTTTCACACAAGGTGCTGTTGGCCAAGCCGAGCCCATTGCTCTAATAAAAACCCCACGTTTCATTGTAAAGTTTGGAGATACAGGCACCTTTATGTTTGTAAGCATGATGCTATATGGCAAGTGGTCTTCGTTCAATGTAAGTCGCCGGACCCTGGCAGAGCAAAAGATGCAGAGGGACCTCTTTGTGTAACTCAGCTACTTTGCATGACTGGAAGGATGGAAGGATGATACTATATACTGTTGACAAAAGCCCGTACATTGCGAGCTAACAGCCATTTCTTCACAATAGCCACTGTTGTCCACTCTATGGCATGTGGGCGATTCTCCTGCTTCAGACATTCATTTCCATGATTGGATTATGTTGATCCGAGTCGATTTGACCGAGATACAGCCAAAGAGGGATTACATCAATCCACACATCTAACCATGCTCTATGTTGCTCGACTGAAGTAACCTTGTATGAGCGTAGCTCAGCCAAATCAACTCGGATCAACATAATCCAATCATGGAAATGAATGTCTGAAGCAGGAGCACCGTTCCACTGTCATAGAATGGGCAACATTGCCGATTATGAGGAAATGGCTGTTAGCTCGCAATGTATGGGATGTTGTCAATAGTATACAGTATCATCCTTCCATCCTTCCAGTCATGCAAAGTAGCTGAGTTACACAAAGAGGTCCCTCTGCATCTTTTGCTCTGCCAGGGTCCGGCGACTTACATTGAACGAAGACCACTTGCCATATAGCATCATGCTTACAAACATAAAGGTGCCTGTATCTCCAAACTTTACAATGAAACGTGGGGTTTTTATTAGAGCAATGGGCTCGGCTTGGCCAACAGCACCTTGTGTGAAAGTTTCGCGTTCAATGTCGCAACTAGCCCAAAAAATATTTTTTGGTCGTCGTCGTTGAAGAGGTCGACCCCCAGATCCAGTTTGGCTGGTAGCGACATTGCGAAATCTGGGATTGGCAAGCTTGATCGTGAAACTTTCACACAAGGTGCAGTTGGCCAAGCCGAGCACATTGTTCTATTCAAAACCCCACGTTTCATTGTAAAGTTCGGAGATACAGGCACCTTTATGTTTGTAAGCGTGATGCTATATGAGAAGTGGTCTTTGTTCATTGTCAAGTAGCTGGACCCTGGCAGAGCAAAAGATGCAGAGGGACCTCTTTGGGTAACTGGGTTAAAAAGTTTGGACTTCAGGGACAATGCATGACAGGTACGCAACCCTCATTTTCAGGTCATACATTGGCAGCTAATAGCCACTTTTGTGCATTCCCAACTTTTGTGCATTCTATTGTAGGTGGACGATGCCCCTGCTCTAGACATTCATTTCCATGATTAAAGTAGGTTGATCCGAGCTGATTTGGTTGAGTTACGCTCACACAAGATTACATCGGTTGAGCTACATCGAGCGTGCTTTATGTCCAGAGTGATGTAATCTCTCTTTGACCGCAGCTCAGTCAAATCAGCTCGGATCAACCTACTTTAATCATGGAAATGAATGTCTAGAGCAGGGGCATCGTTCCCATGCAGTGGATCTCGCAACAATGATGCTTGGATAAAAGTGGCCGTTAGCTAGCAATACATGCCTGTCCCTAGATGATCCATAAAGTACTTATACATTGACCCTTTCATTCATGCAAACGTAGCTGTGTTACACAACACGACCCTCTGCAGCTTTTGCTCTGCCAGGGTCCAGCTACTTGACAATGAACAAAGACCACTCTTCATATAGCATCACGCTTACAAACATAAAGGTGCCTGTATCTCCAAACTTTACAATGAAACGTGGGGGTTTTATTAGAGCAATGTGCTCGGCCTGGCCAACAGCACCTTGTGTGAAAGTTTCACGTTCAATGTCGCAACTAGCCCAAAAAATATTTTTTGGTCGTCGTCGTTGAAGAGGTCGACCCCCAGATCCAGTTTGGCTGGTAGCGACATTGCGAAATCTGGGATTGGCCACGATCAACTTGAAACTGGCAAACAAGATTCCTTTGACCGCGCCGAGCACATTGTGCTATCAAAGACCCCACATTTGATTGTAAAGTTTAAAGATACAAGTGCCTTTATGTTGTGCGCGTGATGCTATATGATAAGTGGTCTTTGTTCATTGTGAAGTAGCTCGACCCTGACAGAGCCGAAAATGCAGAAGGGCGTGTTTGTGTAACCTAGCATATCATGCAACTCGAAAGGGTAATGCATGATTCTTTACGCTATTCATAACCTGCCAGCTAAGAGCCCATTGATCCCATTCACCATTGTTTCCCAACACAATGCATACAAGCGATCGTCCTGCTCCAGCCCAACACTTCCATCCTTCAACTTTCTTGATCCGAGTGGATTTGACTGAAAAACGCTGAAACACAAAAGTATCATCCAATATCAGAAGAATCAAATTGGTAAGTTATTTGTAAACTGCCACTTGATAGCCCTTTCCTCCCATTCACCTTTTTTACTCAATCTGCAGCATACGAATGATTCGCCTGCTCCAGCACATCATCTCCATCCTTCAACTTTCTTGATCCGAGGGGATTTGACTGAAAAACGCTCAAACACAGAAGTATCATCCAATATCAGAAAAATCATTTTGCAAAGTTATTTGTAAACTGCCAGCTAGTAGCCCATTCCTCCCATTCACGTCTTTTACCCAACCCAATGCATATGAACGATTGTCCTGCTCCAGCCCATGATACCCATCATTCAACTTTCTTGATCCGAGTGGATTTGACTGAGCAATGCACACACAAAGAAACATCATCCAACACAGAGAAGTCTACTTAACTTCCAGCTCTTCCACTCCCCACTTCTTGTCTCTTCCACCCATTCTTAACTGTTGCTCCATTCAAGTACAACTATCATCTGTAAACGATTGTCCTGCTTCAACCCATCACGTCAATCCTACAATTGTCTTGATCCGATTGCCTTTGACTCAATGGCAAGTCCATGGGCGTGTGCACCTCACTACAACAGCCGCGTTTCTTGACACTACACCTTGTATGTACAATCCTCTGCCACAACCAATCGTAACAGCGTTCATTCCAGTGGTTGCCATTAGCTACTCCATTGTCTCAATCTACCTGCAGCAACTTGTCTCACAACCTTTTTTACGTGAACAGCAGACAGCCATTGTATAGAAGCAGCTTTATTTACATGTAGCAACTTGCTTCAATACATACGACTTCTTATTGATATGAATATGGACATGGATATTGGTTTGGTACATGGGGTGGGAGAATCTGGATATATAGAACGCGAGGAGAAAAAGTCTTGTCAACTTGACCTTGATGCTTGATGCTATCATTATCCTACTTCACATCCTATTCCATGGCAGCTACATACTACTATCATCATCGTTTGTGCAACCTGTTAACCATGTACAACCATCATCACCATCCAACTCCATGTTTTGTGCGTAATCCGTCACCACCATCTCACGCCCATTCACAGCTTTGCACCATGCACAACCAAAGGATAGAAACTTCCCATATCGATTGCATCTCCCATTAGAGCAATACATTGTACTTTTCAATCTCATTCTCAGTCTATCCTTGTGATTGATGTTGGATTAGAGAGTTACTTTAGCGAATACAGCATTGTATTGGCCAACTATTCTAAGTTTCTATGGTGTAAGAGATCTGAGTTGGACCTCGTCGCGTATGTGGCACGTGGTGTATTGTATCATAGAAAGATACATGCAGGATTGTAAAAGTGTATCCACTTGTTAATGTCGTGATGAAGGAAAAAAAGAGGAAGAAAAAGAGTCTGATTGATTCATTGTATCTTGAACAAAGAAGCTTGTAGCCGAAAGTATAACTCAACTCCTTTTGTGATTCGATCTTGTCAATAACGTCGCAACACATGTACCTCTTTTGTGATTTGTAAGATAGCTATTTATTCTTAGTATACGGCGTGAGATGGCATGGTTCATTGCTTCTATATAATATCGAGCTAATCCATATCTTGATCTCCTGCTAGACGAAGTAGCGTTGGCTAGAATAAGGGTGTCGTGGCGGTTATTACCTGATAAGCTTAGTTCTCATTTACCACTTACGTATGCAGGGTTTTCCTTTTTTGCATTGCTCAGCAAATGACGCGTATGGCCCTTCACAAGATCTGCGATATTCATATGGTGGATCATATCAATGAACTTTTGGTCATCCGAAATCCGAATCAGAACACGTTGTCTATGAAGTGCTTTTTCATCGCTTGTTTCACGCAAAGTATCCAGCAGCGGCAATAGTAATTCTTGGGCCATATCTAGTCATTAACCATAACGTTAATGTACTACGTTACTTTGTGCCTGTGTATTCTTACCTCGCTGGTTGTCAAGCAGTAACCGTTCCGATGCATAGATTTGCAAGTGCATTGCCGCGTTTAATACGGGTTCATTGCTCGAGAAAAAGTCGCTGATGTATGGGATAACGAGTGTCTTGATGGCATCGATACTGATAATGTCCTCTTCAATCCCAGCTGCAATTGCACCAAGAAGTTCGACATGATACGCACTCAGGCTATTTCCTGGCAATCGGGCGCTTCGTAATCCAGGGGTCAACAAATGCTCAAAAATTTCAGGCTCGTAATCTACAAGATAGTGCACGCCTTTGTCTATCCGGAAAAGTGATGATAGCAATCGCAATGCCCTTTATACATAAAACGCTGGTTAGATGGTGGCAATGGAGATAGCACTATCACATATCATTTACCTCTTGCGAACAGCAATGTCTCCAAGTTCTTGATGCTCCTTTGTTGATCTCAATCCTGCATAGCATACTAATTCCACAAGCTGTTCGGTGACACCAGCGTTTTCCAAAGCGTCGCCCGTGATTGATTCCACTAGGATTTCCAGCACGTATAACTCCACTGATGATGTCTTCCATGCGTTCGGCCGTTTGTGAGCTTTAGGTTGGCCACAAATCCGCTTCAGCAATGTTGGTAAATAATGCCCATACACGCTCGAGACCATTGATACATGTTGCGTGAAACCACCAATAAGCTGATTCACAAGATCGGTGACAGTTGCGTTCTCACGTACGGATGTCGTCGTTGGATTGTTGCTATGATGTATCCTTGAAGCTGCTCGAAGCACAAGGGCAAACCACACAACACGCACCCGTATGGTATCTGCAAGAGGAAGCTGATTCAAATGTCGAGTAACCATCGCTTTGAGTAGTCTTGCAGTCTCACAAATCAATTCCTCATCTTCTGATAATAGCTGCCAAAAATAGGGCTTGTCCAAAGTTCCAATAACATGTTCCACGTCTCCATGAAATACATCACCACCACGAGGGGGTCCCGATACGAGAGCCTTCAACATGTCCAAGGTGATGGTAAGTCCTTTTGTCCCCATGCACATGGTTTCAGCATGCAGCAGCTCCTCTTCCTCAAAGCGTGGTATCATCGCATGTAAATAAATAGTTTGAGGCATACGCTGACCTAGTACTGAAAGAACAGAACGAAGCTACCAATAACAAGATGCATGTCAATTTACAGAAGTCATAACGATAACAACCTAATATACCTTGCTGATAACGGCCTTGTCGTCCATTCCATTGCAATAAATTGTGAAAAGGTTGTCCAAAGTATCTTGATGCTCACACCAGATATCTTCTTCAAGAGCATGTTGATAGAGCGTTGCAAGCACACCCAATGCTCTGAGTCGTCTTTGTTCTTCAAGTTCCATTGCTTCCCTGATCGATTGACGCATCAAAGGCTTATAGCACTGATGCACCGCATGCTTAAAACCTAATATAAGCTGTCAATCATGGTGCTCCATACAAATACGAGGAATCAGTTATTGTACCTGCATCTAAGCGTCCTCGATCACCATGTTTTAGGTTTGCATCAAGGATTCCAGCTGCGTCCAAATCATCCGCACACATGGAAGCGACACGTTCCATTTGTACGCTACTTGCTTCGCTGATGGATTCCATGTCGTCTGCTGCACATGAAAGTAGAATAGGAACAAGCATCGGCAGGTTTGCATATCGTTGTTGTGGGGTGACATTGATGAGGAGAGAGCCCGCCACTTGTGATAAAGTCATTCGTACCAAAAGAGCATTGTCGTATACAAGCAAAGGGAATATCGGTTGTCGTTTGGCAGCTTCATCATGTTCAAACAAGAGATGGATCGCACCAGGAAAAGCCAACCCAATTTGTTCGGTGCACTAATGATCACATAGCGAATATTAGATTTGGTTATCGATACGCACACACGCCCACCGTTACAATGATCGCGTACCTGTAATCCAATGACCCGAAGAGCTGAATGCTTGTGATGCAATAAATCCAAAATCATACGCATAGGTCGTTCTCCTGCAAATGCTACCTCTTTGCGATGATGCTTGGCAAGCTCGGTCAATGTGTTGCCGCCCCTTTTTTGTACGTCGGGTGATGTGTCTCGAATAGCAAGCTGTAGAATATCCAATGCTTTGTCGACTTGGGTCGCGTTGATAACACCAGGAGCAATGTGTAGCATGATATCCAACCAAATGACTCTGATTTCCTCAGTGGGTTCAACAAAGGCAGCTTTAGCTGTTGCAAGGTGTTGCCGGCTCAATCGTTGATGCACGAGGTCGAGTACACGATCCAGTAACTCGGAAGATAAGGTTGCATGGTGAATCATCCTATTGAACCATCTACTATCAATAACTCGGTTTACGTTGATATGCAATGCAACTTACTGTTGATATAGCAACGCTACTTGTTCTCGAATGTATTCAATATCGCTCGTGGCCCAGATCGCCATGCGATCGAATAGATCGTTCAAGAGATTCGTTACGCCTTGATCGCCCCATGTCTCCAGCTGCTCGGTGCATTCTCTTCGCAGCGATGCCAGTGCTTTCTTTTTGTCTCCACGGTTGTTTGTTGAAGTATCAGATAATACATTGAGTGAATGTCGGTCAACAATATCTTGACATGCTGGTTGTGAAGCCATGGGCAGGGTTTGCAGGAGAACGGGAAGAGGTAATGATGGGTCCAAACCATATCCCGCCCACACCTATCTCAGGTTGACATCCCTCTCGCACTTTGGCATTTTACGTAGCAAAAATCATTGTTAGCATGAAAACAATGCACACACATATAGAGTTTGGTATTTCTTTGTTTTATGCTATAATAAACCACTCGTATTGGACATGCTGGCTTTGATGTTAGTGAAAAGCATATGAACAATCAAGGTCGCTAAGGAGGGTTACTGCATTGAACGAAAAGGGTTGCCATCAAGCACTTTGACTATCCACACACGTGATACAGCATCCAGCTACATAGATTGTCGTTTTCGTTGTTGCATCCATATGACGTAGAAACAACTTTCAATTGCAAGGATAACCTTTTTTTTGCCCTGAGAAAGGCTCTGGATTCAATGTATACCACGTCCAATAGTAGAATGTAGTCGAGGAAGATGGTGGAATTCTTTATTTATCCATGTATAATCATGGCGGGTTGTTGGCTATGTATATCAAAAATGTAATGTAACTTTATAATATTATACAAGTATCTACTGATGAGGCATCCTTTATGTGGATGGTGGATGGGTACAGTAGAATCGATGCAATCTTCACTAACGGCGATGTTGGCTTGATGATGGATTGGAGTATGGCGAGGGTGATTGTGATGACGAAGTATAGTGCGGAGAGTTAGCGTAATAGGGTGATTTAGTAGTTGGGGTAGGTGTAGACGAGGGCTTTCGAATATGGTAATGCTCTTGAAAGTAGTCCAGCATGTCTGCAGCCAACTCTGTGACAATATTGAGTTGTCATTTTCCCCATATGCATAGCCATTTCGCCTTACTTACCATTGATCTCTGCAGGATCGAGACCAGTTGTTGCCCACCAATCTGTTGGGGGTTGGTTTTCATACGAGAAATGCCATGCAAGCAAAAGCGCGGCTGTAGCAACGACTCGTGGGTGATAAATAAGACATAGCGGCATCCCAAGCCTATCCATTGGTTGGTTGAATCCATCTTTTTTCCCATCATGTAAATCAGTACTTACGCTTGATATAGCAACATCCAAGCCCTTCGTACACATTCCTCGGGCACTAAGTAATGACTATACGTTAGCATCCAACAAGATGAAATGCATCTTCTATATATCTTACCATCAAGTTCCGAAGCCAATTCCAATAAAGCTGCTTGTGGATGGTCAATGGAAAAGTCAAAGCAGATTGCCTCCAAAAGTACAGTTTCATTGGCCAGCACTGTATTCTTCCATTTCCAGAAATCCTATGGTAACACATTTCAATATGAGTATCATCCACCCTCTTATTCCACACCTTTGATAATGTATCATATCCTACCTTTGAATTCTCCTCAAATTGCACACTGTCGTTCTTTTGGGCCTTTTGAGCGCATACGTTGAGAAAATCTTTTAAGCGACGCGTGCATTCTTCAACTTTGGTGGCGACAAGGAGACAAGTGGCTGCAATATCCTACACGACATAAAACACACACACCATGAGTATCCCAATCCAACTACCATCCATAATACACATACATAAACAGGAAAACTTTTCATAGAGTGCCGCATGTAGAATCGGTGGAAGAACGTACAAGCTGTGGCAATAACCAACTGTGGTCTATCGTTATAAGAAAAAGAACCGATCGATAAGCGACAAACACGTGCGATCGTCGAATGAGAACATACAAGTTGAGCTTGGCTGCAACAGCAAGTATGTAGAGACAGCCTTTGGTACGATCAATCTGTTCTGCTTGGTAGGTATATCCGGCATGGATGCTTGGGGTATCCAACAGCTCGTCCTTGGTAAAATACCATTGCTGCAATGAAGGATCGAATGTGATAGATAGCGTAGTCAATTTATGTCTTGTGGATGTGCATGTAGAAGGAATAAAACATCTTGGAACTTACTTGATCGACCATGCTGGCTGTGCCGTCTACTGCTACCCACCTCCCGTTCATAAAATCACGCTGATATCTGGTAAAAGCAGCATTTACTTCCGACTTACGTCATCTTCAAAAGGGTGCCATTGTGTCCAATATGGAAGTTGAAAGAAACATGCACTCTATACATTCAAAAGCTTACCTTTAGTAATGAATTCAACAAGAACTTGCGTTGCCATGCACACCGTTGTGCAACGGATGATGTGCTAAATGGCAAGTCTTGCAGAGATACGGATTCAATGACACACTACAAGAATTTGGTGGAATAAACGATGGCATGCACGAAGTATGATGGGTTCTGTAACCAATGTTTCTTTTGGTCATATGAAAAAGGATGACAGATGAATGTAGCCAACAAGGGTGCAACCCGAAAATATTTGCCAGGAGCACCATCACATGACCTCGTTGTATAGGTGATGAATTTGGTTGCCATGCCAACAGCAATGTACATACTCGAATACAAGTACCAGCATTGCTCGCAATTTGACGTATGATGGATGCATGCCTTGCTGGTGCGTTGTAGCTTATCTAAGTATCCCCTCCCATGCTCATTCATCATCAGCATTATATAAACCATTTGAGATGTCCATGTGATCTCCCTTTGCTTACTCCATGCTATGTACTCAAAGATGCTTTAATAGACATAGTATGCAGCACATTTTGGCTGTACAATAAGAAGGATAGCAAATACTAGATCAATCGATGGCTATGTAACAAAGAAATAGATGGTATATAAAGAGATGGTTCATTGCTATCTTAAGTACTCGAATACTGAATGCATGCAGATGCATCATTGTATGCTATTATAAAACGAACTGCTTATTGTCTCTGTTGGGATCACTAGTAACGTTTTTATCGTGTCATGCTTAACCGACATGTTGTTCCCGTGAAGGTTGGTGCTACTACTGGGACTATCTCCGCATACAAGAAAAGTAAGGTCTCTCTCACATCTCTAGACTCTTGGTCCTTTCTTTCGTTTCCTGTTTTCTCACTTTTACTACCGGCAACTGTTGCATAATTGACCGTGCTCACGATTAACAGTAAAGGTGCGTCCTTCACATTGCATGTTCTCTCCCCCTCTCTTCCTCTCTTCATGAGCTCGTGTTTTAACTCCTTTCATTCCAGCATGGCAAGTGAAACAAGTATTCCCCCGCAAGCTGTGGAGGTGTACACCAAAGGTACCAAGGCCTGGTTCGAGGATAAGCGTGAAGCATGGATCTCTGCCACTTGTATCTCCAACACGGTATCCGACGGCAAAGTGATCATTGTGTTTGAAGGCGATAACGACCGCAAGGTATGAAGGAACCAAGCAAACGCGTGCCAAGTCCGCATTTGTGCAACGTGCCATTTTCTCTGATCACCAGATGTCGACTCACAATGCTTGTTTCAGGAATATCGATTCGAATCTACCGTGGCAGCTATTGAAAAGAATGGAGGATCAACATTGCCGCCCTTACGCAATCCACCAAAGATGGAATACACTGATGATTTGACCAATCTTAGCCATCTCAACGAACCTGCTGGTATGGATAATAATGGATCATGTATGTTTTCTATGCTAAACAACAACATGTAGTCTTGAACACTATCCGCACGAGATACATGCAGCGCCTTATTTATACATACTCGGGTATCGTTTTGATTGCTGTCAACCCTTTTGATCGCGTGGCCCTGTATGATCCCGACATCGTCCAACAATATTCGGGGAAACGCCGTGGCGAGCTTGAACCACACTTGTTTGCGATCGCTGAAGATGCTTATCGATGCATGATCCGTGGACAAACGAACCAGACCATTGTTGTATCAGGAGAAAGGTATAATAGGATAATCATTGGAGGAGATCATGGGTTGTTACTCATAGTCTCAATAGTGGTGCAGGCAAAACGGTCAGCGCAAAGTACATCATGAGATATTTTGCCACTGCCGATGATCAAGAATCCATTGGAAAGAAGAAAAAGCTCAATGGCTCAATGACAGAAGTCGAGGAACAGATCCTAGGTACATAAAAGCATAATGCATGAATGACCTAATCGCGTATTCACCCGCATTTCATAGCAACCAACCCTATCATGGAAGCTTTTGGTAACGCCAAAACGACAAGAAACGACAACAGCTCTCGCTTTGGCAAATACATCGAGATCCAATTTGATGATGGCCCCAATATCATCGGTGCAAAGATTCGAACCTACTTGCTTGAGCGATCTCGCTTGATTTTCCAACCACAAACAGAACGCAATTATCACATCTTTTATCAGGTAATCATCAACGCAAAGGATGGGTTTCGCAAGAAGGAATGAGGTTAATAATACTCTTTAAACATAGCTTTGTGCGGGTGCACCATTATCAGAAAAGAAGCAATTCGAGCTTGGTGATTACACCAAATTCCATTATCTCAATCAGAGCGGCACAGGAACAATTCCCGGTGTCGATGATACGTCCGAATTCGAGATCACACAACGAGCGTTATCCACCATTGGTCTTTCAGTGGAGCTTCAATGGAAAATCTTCCGTTTGCTTGCTGCATTACTTCATATTGGCAACATCCAAATTGGCGGTCGGGGTGATGCCATGCTCAGCGAGAACGATGAGGCTCTTTTGACAGCAACCCGATTGATGGGGGTGAAATCCAGCGAATTCAGAAAGTGGATTGTGCGAAAGCAAATTGTGACACGCTCAGAAAAGATTATCACCAACCTGACGCCAGCTCAAGCAAATGTTGTCAAGGATTCGGTTGCCAAATACGTTTATGCCAATCTCTTTGAATGGCTTGTTGGCGTGATCAATGAGAGCCTTTCATGCCCTGATGCTGACAAAGTCCGGACATTCATTGGTGTTCTTGATATCTATGGGTTTGAGCACTTTAAGAAGAACTCCTTTGAGCAATTCTGCATCAACTATGCCAATGAAAAATTACAACAGCAGGTAAGAAACGACGAGGGAAGATGTCTCCTGCCATATTGTATCTAAGATAATGTACTGGTATAGTTCAATCAACATGTCTTCAAGCTTGAGCAAGAGGAGTACATGCGAGAAAAGATCAATTGGAGGTTTATTGAGTTCAGCGACAACCAAAAGTGCATTGAGTTGATTGAATCACGATTGGGTATTTTGTCCCTGCTTGATGAGGTTCGTATAGGGTTGAGTGCAATGTCCTTGGGCGTGCCTATTGGTTAACTTTTGCTTATTCCAAAAGGAATCACGATTGCCTTCAGGCTCGGATCAAGGCTTTATCGACAAACTATATTCCAATTTCTCGACCCCTGATTACAAGGACTATTTCAAGAAACCACGCTTCTCCAATAGTGCTTTCACTATCGCTCATTACGCTCATGATGTGCAATACGAAGGTGAAAACTTTTTGGACAAGAACAAGGACACAGTACCAGACGAGCACCTATCATTGTTGCAGACATCTGAATTCGACTTTTTGGTTGATGTGCTCGAGAAAGCCGCGTCAAACAACCCAGCTCCCCCAGTAAGCTATTATCGATATTAGAGTGCTAGTCCAAGGTTTTTAATAGGTGATGGTAAAATAGGTTGAGAACAAGCGGATGAGTTCAATGTTCCGAAAGCCTACTCTTGGCTCTATCTTCAAGGTACGCTATGGGCTTTTTCTTCTCATCATGAATCATCTCATACCAATTTCTTTTACAACAGCTGTCTTTGATCAATCTTATGGATACGATTGAGCACACCAATGTCCATTACATCCGCTGTGTCAAACCCAACGAGGCGAAGCTGGCTTGGGAATTCGAGCCCAACATGGTACTCTCTCAGCTACGTGCATGTGGTGTATTGGAGACAATCCGTATCAGCTGTGCAGGCTATCCATCACGTTGGACATTTGAAGAATTTGCCGAACGCTATTACGCTTTGATACCTTCTAAGCTTTGGAAGCAAGATGACATTCCCCAACTATGTCATACGATTCTCGATGCTACTATTAAGGACCAAGACAAGTACCAAGTTGGCACTACCAAAATCTTTTTCCGCTCTGGTCAGGTATGTACATAGGATGGGTCATGTTTTGGATATGGTATTCTTATCTTGTCCTTTTGATCTCTTTTAGCTTGCATACCTTGAAAAACTGAGATCGGATCGTTTCAATGCATGTGCTGTCATCGTGCAAAAGAATGTGCGTCGTTACATTTATCACACCCGATACACACGCATGCGGCAATTGTCCATCCAATTACAGCGTGTGGCGCGTTGCAAGGTCGCTCAAGCAAAGCTGCAATCTCTCCGGGAACAAAGGGCAGCTACTACTATCCAAGCGTGTTGGCGTAGATACGTGGAGCGTAAAAAGTATTTGGCAACGAAGCATTTCATTTTGCGTCTCCAAACAGGTGGGTTTTATTATGCGCATGATACTCAAAATGGAGCTTTTTCTAATCAAATAATATAGCCATCCGGGGTTGCCATGGCAAACAACAACTTGTTGTTGTTAGGGAGCATGCTGCTGCAACCAATATTCAACGTCTAGTGCGAGGATGGTAAGTGGTGATTGTTCGCATTTGGGACACAATCATTATGATGCTTATTGTGAATGGTGCTTATGTTACTAGGTCTGCACGGAAGCGATTCAATGCCAAGCTTCGGTTCATCATTCAATTACAAGCATGCACACGTCGTCGCGCTGGTAGAAAGCAATTTTTGGCCTTACGTCAAGAAGCTCGATCAGCACATCATTTCAAAGAAGTGTCCTATCAATTGGAGAATAAGATTGTTGAGCTGACACAAACGATCACGGGTCTCAAAGATGAAAAGAAGCAGGCGATTGAGCGTTCGACCCAATTGGAGGCACAAGTGCGCACGTGGATGGAGAAATATGAAAAGATCGAGAAGAAGTCAAAGTCGTTGGAAGCCAAATTGCAGGAGCCTACCGTACCACAGGCACAATGGGATCAGCTATTAGCCGAGAAAGAGCAACTGGTTTCTGAGCATCGAGTTTCGACCGATAAGAACAAGAGCCAGGAGCGTGAACTCGTTCAATTGAAGGAGCAACTTGACAAGGAGAGGCAAAAGAATGCAAAGTTGGAAGAGTCCTTGAAGGAAGCACAAGAGCGTGCTGATAAAGCAGCAGCTGACGAAGGAGAGATCGCTGAGTTGAAGAGTCAATTGGCAGCAATGAAAGCACAGCTGACTCAAGTTATGCATGCTCCACGACGACAACAATCACGCGGCTTATCACCATCACCCGCACACAATGGTGCTCTTCGTAGTGTATCTCCTTCTCCTATCGATGCCAACAACGAGAATCAGCAAGCCAAAGCGGCCAACACCAAATCGGCTACTGCTGCTGCCTCAGCACCCACACCACCTCCACCAGCTCGTACCCGTTCACCTACAGCCATTATTCCTAGCAATGATAATACCAAGCTTCCAAGTCGCCGTAGCAGCACCGCTGATATGCCTGAAAACCGTATCAAATCAAGCGTGGTGGATACTACTCGAAAGGCGGAATTGCTGAACAAGATCCCACGTCCAACTTCAATGCATCAATTTGGTGCTCCTGCAAGAGTTAAAAGTATATCGGAAGGCAATGATGAAGAAGTAAGTAAACAACGCCTTATAAGAAAAGGGAAATGTGCTCATAATGGGGGACCTTTTTTTATAGAAATTGAAGATCTTACGTGATGAAGATGGCGTACAAGAAGAGATACTTGGTGGATTGATCAAGGAATTGAGGATTCCGTTGGCAAGCTTACAAAACCAAGCATCAAAGAAAGAGATCTTGTTCCCCGCCCATATGATTGGAATGACGGTGACGGAGATGTGGCGTGCTAGCCGTATTCAAGAATCTGAGCGGATGCTATTTTCGATTATGGATACGATCCAAAAACAATGCCTAGTGAGTATTATGAGGAGGAAAAAGAGCCATCTCGTACATTGTATTCATATGCGTATCCACGCCATGTAGAATTTTACGGGTGATCAAGCTATCATGCCTTGTGGATTTTGGTTATCCAATGTCCATGAGTTATTATCTGTCATATGCCAATCCGAGCGAGAGCTTGAGCAAGAATGGCTTTCACGCAACAAGGCAGCAACATGGCATGATTTCGAGAAATTGGTCTCCACTGTCAAATTTGAACTTCAGTGTTTGGAAGACAACATTTTCCATGCATGGATGAAAGAGCTCAAGAAACGCATCAGCAAGATGGTGGTCCCTGCTATTATCGAGGGTCAATCTCTGCCGGGTTTTGTTACTTCGGATTCGAATCGATTCTTTAACAAGTTGTTGACCGGTTCTTCACAACCATCATGTACCATGGATGATATTCTCAACATACTCACAAAAGTATGGCGTACATTGAAATGCTACTATTTGGAACCATCGATATCCTCCCAGGTTTTGACAGAATTGCTCAAGCTCATTGGTGTCACAGCCTTCAATGATCTCCTGATGCGTAAAAACTTTTCATCGTGGAAGCGAGGTAAGGATAAAAAACAAAAAGGGGACAACAAATGGTATATTGACATCATCATCTTTAGCCATGCAGATTCAATACAACGTTACCCGCATTGAAGAATGGTGCAAGAGCCACGATATACCAGAAGGAACACTTCAATTAGAGCACCTAATGCAAGCAACCAAGCTATTACAAGTCAAAAAGTCATCCTTGGAGGACGTTGAGCAAATTTATGAAACCTGTTGGATCCTTTCACCGACACAGATACAAAAGTTTATCTCCCAATATCAAGTTGCTGATTATGAGGTAAGAGGATCTTTCCATTGTATCATGTTTTACGTTGCTAAAAGTCGTTGTGTCATAGAATCCCGTTGGACAAGATATATTAAAAGCAGTTGCTACGCATGTCGCTGGTGACAAGAGCGATGTTCTTTTATTGGATTCAGTTTCCCTTGATGATACAAGCAATCCTTTCGAGATACCAGTCCCTCGAGAAGTAGAATCTCAATTTTATCTACCTGCTTGGGTAAGCAATGCAACGTACCACCACCATCCACTGATCTATATTAACCCATTTTTCTACATAGCTCAATCTCAAGCGTTTACGCCAACTTGCTCTCTTGGTACAATACCAGTATGACCAACAGCATGCTGTGGACGCCACTGCTGTTGCTTCACCATAGTCTTATTTATGATATCCCACCTATCCCCCTGTATACTTTTCCCTTATCTGTTAAAGTTGTATTCTTTTTGTATTTTGTTTACAATAGTGGTATGTGTATAGTTGATGAACCAGATATATACTACAATTATTAGGGCCTGCCCCATGTTCGTACTCGTCCCCTTCTATCAGCTGTGACAATAGCATCTTTTCTAAAGGAAATGCAAGAGCATGGATCTGCATGTACAGTTTGCACAACAATAGGTTGTAGATATGGGACTTGATCCTTGTTGAGTATTGGATGGACCGTTGCCAGCTTGCTGTGGGATGTGTCGTCTGGGTGATAAAGATCCGAATCATCCTCCTCAACATTGCCGAAAACGTTTGCGCTACGTGATGAACGACGTCGAAACCGGCTCAATGTTCTTGATTTTCGAGTTTCAGAACGTTGTGGGCGCACAGGTGGTGACCGAGGTGCCTCCTTTGGACTCTGCGGTGGGTATGAAATGCGCATTTTCTGAAACAAATCGCATGAGTAAACTTTATCTCTATCACCCCATAGCCATCCACACCACTCACATGTTTTGGTCGATGCAATGCACTGAATGAAAAGTCCCATAATATCAATTTACAATCCTCTCCAACGCTTCCAAATCGATACACATTGCCGTCACAGTGCCAAGGATCAAATGCGACTGATGTCACCTGAGGATAGAACAAAGGATTGGTATTCAATCTCACGTGAGCTCTCATGCAAGCTTACCCATGACTTGTGCCCCTGACATCTTGCCACAATCCTCTGGTCTACTAATGACCATATCGTCACCAGGTCATCTTGGCCTCCAGTCTTGAAAAGTACATATGAGTAATTACATACAACAATGAAATCCCATATACATTACCAAAAGGTATCTTCCATCAGGGCTCCAAGCAATGCAATTGAGTCTACCAAAATACCCTGCAAATATATCACAAAGCCTGATCCGCTCATAATTAGATAAAGTAATATGGAAACGTACATTCCGGGCCAAAGTTACCTTTCATTTCCATAGTCAATAATACGCAAAGTGCCATCCGAGCTCACCACAGCCACATGTGACCCATCAGGAGAGAACTCAAAGTCTGTATTATCAACCATGGTAAGTATTTGATGCATCGTCGTTATGTGGGGGGACCTTGCTCTTCTTTACCTGTAATGCCCTTGTCGCTCACTTTCCAATGGGATACGGGGTTATACTTTGCACTCTTGCGTGGTTTTGTAGCATGAAATCTACCATATCCATTTTTAGAAACTCGTTTCAATTTCTCACACATGCACGCTTACTGATGCTCAGCCCACGATGCCGGTGGTGGTGGATTGAATGCTTGATCATCCCGCTCCTTGTCCAATACCAACATGACACCATCACTAAATGCCGCCATGAATAGCTCCTCTGATCCTGGTACCCATTTCAAGGCTGTGACACTAGACCCATTCATAACACCCTAAAGACACATGTCGATGAATAAATATAGCAGCGTGGGGACCTTTTTTTCTGAAAACTTACTCCTTTGTTCAATCGGGTATATTTGTTGCTGATAGGATCACACCACATGCAGTCACCGGTATTGAATCCAATCATGACATCCATAAACTCGCTGCAAGATGTGGTGATGTTGACATCATGGCTGGTTGGGAATGCTCGGGAAAACGTGATCTTACATAAGCTATCCTGGGAGGCAAAGCAACATCTGATGATGAACATGCTGAATCGTAATTGATCTCCTTTTTAGATACACACCTTGACTTTTTGATTGGCATCTGCCCATATGAAGTTGGTACCCACGTTGTAGAATATATAGGAATCATCCAATGTGCGGGAGAATAGGATCTTGGCTATCTGCTCGTGCACGATCATTTTGGCAATGAAGCTCGAATTGGTCTTTTGCAGGCTATTTTTCGGCTTGCGAGGGTGATGATGATGGTGATGATGGTGGTGATGATGACGAAGGCTGTTACGACTGAATAAAGAAGTCAATGACCCCACACTGCTGCTTCCACCAATGGATGTAGAAGGGTTGACCTGATTGATATTGTCATCGGCTGGATAGGTTGGTGTTGTTGATGTATTTTCCACTGTCAATATAGGTGTCATCACATCGCCTGCTGCTGTTGTGCTGCTGCCCTGAGTATTTGTAGTGGGAAATCCATGTTGGCTCATGGGTGTGTTTCGCAAGAGACTCCCTGTGCGATCGGATGATGCCGATGATGATGCTGGTGCGGCGTTGCCGTTGCTATGGTGATGATTCCCTGGACGTGAATATGGAATAGGTAATGCTGCCGATTGTCCAAAGTAGATCGCTCCACCCCCTTCCTCTTCTGACGACTCGATCTCTGTATTCTCTTGCACAGGCGTCATGCCAAGCATTTGCTCTGACATGGATGAGGCTGCCGATGAACTTTTGGTCGATGCAAGTGTTGCTGACAAGGAAGCGGTTGTAGTAGTAGTGGTGGTGGTGGTTGTAGTAGTTGCTGTTGTTGTGGGAGTTGCAGTTGCTGCAGCTGCTGTTTCTGCTGCTGTTTTTGCATGTGGAATAGAGACACAATGGGTGCCTTGATGGAAGACCGGCAAGATGGATTGGTTGTAGATTTCATGAGAAAGGCGATAAATGCCGTCTGGTGTGTGGACTTGGTTACATTCAAAGTCTTTGTTACTCGGTGGAAATGCTGGTAGTTTGAGTTGTGGGGTAGTGTTTTGTGTCGAGGTGGAAGTGCTAGTGGAACGAGCAATATGTATTGGAGATACACCTTGCATGTGGAAAGTAATAAGAAAGGAAAGGGAAGGAAAGGAAAGGAAAAGACAAACGAGTGTGGGGGAGAGAGTTGTTGCTTCCGGGGCTGTGGAAAATCTGACTGGATGTCGTTATATTCAATTGCTTCCCTTTGCCAATTGCATGAACATTCTTAGCAGTCCAATCACCAATCTATCGAAAGAATATTCGAGTTCAAGGGTATGATCCATTGAATTATCCCATAGCAACCTCCTAAGTGACGCCATATGCATGATGGCGGTGTCCCGTGCGTTTGTAACATGATCCCTTGATGCATTCAACCCATTTCAATGCCAAGATATTCAATCAACGACGCAGCCTATCTTAGGGCAGCAGCCCGTTGTCGTCCTCTTGTACAACATCATCTATCGGCTATTGTTGTTTTCATCTCCCGATCATCTCCACAACCATCACACTCATAGACACATTCTTACCACGATCATGAGCGATTCAAGATCATTAGTTTCACTAAGCTATGGCTCATTCGATTCACTCAACTTCCTCAGGGGTGGTATTCGCTTCATAAGAGGTCGACCCATAAGTATAGTTAGTCCTCGTTAATACGAGTACATGATGATAATGCAATCCTAGAACCGTTTTCAATTCCCCTAATGACCACATACAACACGGCAACAGATATCAAGATAAATCTGTTCAAGGCCAACGTCACTATCGATCCAAATGCTGTCAGTTGACGTATGCTCCTATGATAGTGCGTCAAAATTGACCATCGCTGGTTGACCTTCAGTGCTCATGAAACTTATCCACAAGCGCATGTCTTAAGGTCTACATATGGATATCTCTCTCATAAGATAGTAGGTGCTTAGGAGGGTGTTACATAAAGGCAATTCTAATCTCTTCTATATTCATAGCATACATCCAAAGAGCCAACCTTGGAGCAATATGTGATATACAATCTTCATTATCAGGAGAGCAATAAAAGTGATATCTATCTCTATTCGCTATGTATCACTGCATCTCTCAATCCCGTGATGTGCCGTTTTTGTGAGAACAAGATTTTACAATGGAGTGTTCAGCTGCATACATTGCCAAATTTGGGTGGTTTCTTTTCTCTTTTCCTCTCCCCCTCTCTTTATGCATAGCGATTCTCTCCAGCTCCATCATGAGTAGGCTCACACAGACGCCGCCCATTATCAATCTCAACCCTTCACATCCCGGGCCAGGTATGCATGACAGGATAGGGAATGGGGGTTTAGGTATCAGCTACACGTCAAAGCTGACGTGTCCCTAATATCGTCTCTCCTAGTACGCGTGCATCTCGACGAGCCATTTCTCCATCGACAGCGTTCAAAGAAAGCAAGACATGCCATACACATACTCGGTTTATTTGGACGTTTGGAACTGGTATTAAAGAAGCGAGAGTCTCTAAGGGCTTTGGATGATCGTTCTCCTGCAGAGGCAACATTATTGCAGGTAAGCGTTGTTACGACATGCTGGCAACAGCCCGCTTATCTAAACCATTCTCATCAAAAAGAAACTGGATGGCGAAGCCGAGATGATCAAAACACAAATCGAGTCGACATGGATCCAACTTGGTGCCAAAGACTATGAAACACGAGAGGTTGGTAGGGAGGAACGAGTTATTCAGGCACCATGCTCCAGCTTTGCATGACGGCATAAACTGATTATGGTTCCGGTCGATCGATCCATTGTTTAGAAATACAGCAAAGACATGAAATTATCACAGCTTTATCCACGCTCCATCAACAACCTCCACAAACGATCAGCAGAAGAATACAATGATGAAAACAGCATGCAAGGTATATATCACACAAGCCATGACACACTAAGATGCTCATGAAAATCCATAGCACATTATCACAAAATCGCCATGTATGATCAACTCTATGCCCACGCTTCTCGAATCAATCAATCCCTTGAGTTACCCAATCACGACTATATCCCATACCAGCTGGTTGTTGTTTATGTAAGAGGAGAATTTTCATTCACATACCAACATCATCACTGATTTCTCGTTTGAATAGCAATGTCTCAACCACGTGGACATATCCTTTGCCGAGTACCGTGATAAGATCCAAAAGCGATTCGAAGATGTTAGGAGCTCTATTACATCACAGCAGGAGAAAGGGGCACAAAACCCATTGTTGGATGGAGAATTGAAATCATGGTACGTTGATTCTTATTCTTGAAGGACATCATCCTTATTGAAGTCTCATCATGTAGGCTAAAGGATTTGATGACTGAGATTGTCACCCAAGTGGTTCATGCTCCCGATACAAGCAAAATGGAACGATACAAGCTATTGAATGACACGGTGGCATCGATCCATCAAATCTCCAACGCGAGCAGTAGTAGTAGTAATGATTGATGATGATGATGGCTGTCAAGGATAAACCCCTGTGACACTTTTAATACAACTTAATCATCCATTGTAAAACACAAATGTAACAACCATGTATCTCTTGCCCATTGTATATTCCAAAAACGAGAGTAAACAAAGCTTCAACAACTCTACATTATGTCCACACATACTAAAAGTTGAAAAATGTTAGCATGATGATGATCTCTAATGCTGTTCAATCTTACCTTGGGTCCATCACCACCTTCAGGGACGGTCCAATCAATGTTTTGAGAGGGATCCTTGATATCGCATGTCTTGCAGTGTATGCAGTTTTGGGAATTGATTTGCAATCTTTTCTGACCAGGGCGTGCTTCATCATCTACAAATTCATAGACACCCGCTTTCGATCATCGAGCAAATTAGGGTGTCGTTCATCAATGTAAAATCTTGTAACACAACATACCAGGACAAAAACGGCTTTCAGGGCCATCGTAAACAGCGAGATTTCGTTCCACAGGCACATCCTTATCGCGCAGTCGTAAGTGAGAAGGTTGATCTTCAGCATGGTTCGTACCGGTGCGTGAAACATTAGTCAACAAATCAAACGTTATCTTCCCATCAGGCCTGGGATATGGGATTGGTTTGCAAATCCTGATGTGATAAAGTAAATAATGATAGCTCATTGTTGTCATGCCAAAACTTACGCTGCAGGATCCAATTCCGCCCAATCAGGTTTGCCATGCTTGAACGTCCATGGTTCACGACCCTTTGTAATCATTGTCGAGATACCTGAATACAGGAGGCCCCCATAGATTCCTAATGCTGTATGGAAGGATGGCTTGCAGTTGCGTACAGCATACAACTCGTCATGCACCCATGATTTGTTAAAGGCCGTCTCATAATTATCTAATAGAATGGGTCCTTGCTGCTGCTGCTCCTTGGTTGATCCAAGTAGTCTTTCATACGTCGCTTCAGCTGCCATCATGCCTGTTTTCATTGCTGTGTGGGTGCCTTTGATCTTTGGCACGTTCAAAAAGCCAGCTGTACAACCAATTAGTGCGCCTCCCGGAAATGTAAGCTTAGGGATTGATTGGTATCCTCCTTCATTAAGAGCTCTTGCTCCATAAGAAATGCATTGTCCACCTTCGAGGATAGGTTTGATAGAAGGATGCAGCTTGAATTGCTATCGGTGTAATCAATGAGTAATTGGATGTGCATGGCATACATCTATATCTTACTTGGAACTCCTTGTATGGGTTCATGAATGGATTGTTGTAATCAAGGCCGACGACGTAACCAATAGACACCAAATGTCTCTCAGCTTCAAAATGGTAAAGAAAACCTCCTCCATAGGTCTGAAAGCTTAGGGGCCAACCAATCGTGTGTACCACTTTGCCGGGATCATGCTTTGCAGGATCAATCTCCCATACTTCTTTCAATCCAATGCCATATTTTTGTGGTTGTCGATCCTTTCTCAAGTTGAATTTGTTGATCAAAGTCTTGGTAAGCGATCCATGGCAACCTTCAGCAAGTAAAGTCACCTTGGCATTGATTGCCATACCACGCTCGTAATTATCCTAATGACATCATTAACGACCACGAACCAAGCACATGGTATGTTGCTAGTATGTATACCTTGGGCTTAAAGTTTTTGTCAAGACCAAGATCATTTAGCTGCACACCTGCAACGCTGCCATCAGGATGATATCGTAACTCGCTTCCGCCAAACCCAGGATAGATTTCCACTCCCAATTCCTCTGCTTGTTCTCCCAACCATTTCACAAAGTTGCTGAGTGATATAACATAGTTGCCATGGTTATCCATGGTGGGTGGCAACGGCAAAGGTAATGACATAGAACGCGTCAAGAATTGCATGCTGTCGCTTGTTACGGGTGTATGGAGAGGAGCTCCACGCTCTTGCCAATCTGGAATCAATTCATTCAATGCACGTGGCTCTAATACAGCACCACTCAAAGTATGGGCGCCCAATTCACCCGCTTTTTCAACAACCATGACACGTAGTTCATCTTGGGCTAACTGCTTGAGACGTATAGCAGCTGCAAGACCTGCTGGTCCAGCACCCACAATAACAACATCTGTGTCATCCTCAAATACCTCTGCACGTCGTGGATCATCTTCCGATAGAGAGTCGCGATTGGGGATCCATATGGGTCGTGGATAAGAGCTCGATATCATGCGACGTGATAGTGATATGGGTCGAATAGTGCATGTAGGATGTGGGATGGATAGGTTGCGTGATGCTAGTAGTAATGATGGCAATGCCTTTCTTGAGTAGAACATGGATGAGTGCGTGAGTAAAAGTAAATGAGAAGAACGCGAAGGAAAAAGATGGAATGGATTTGTTCTGGCTTGCATTCAAATCTAACACATTTCCTGAAATAGATGCATGCAGCAGCTATCCCACGCCCAATCCCCCTTCTAATCACGCATAAAAATCCTAGTTGGGTGTGTACATAGTAACGATACGATCAACAGGGAGGTTTTTTATCGAGAAAATCAAGAAATGTACAATGGCGAGAACCGAAAGTGATGGATCAAAAGGTAGCAGGATTCTAAAACAGTGTATTTTTTACTGGAAGCCAGGAGGAGCGACACCTTGTTGTTGCTGCTGGGGTTGACCAGGCTGTTGAGGTTGACCGGCAATAGGGCCCCCCGATGTCAACATCTAAGTATCGACACTCATTAGTATCCTATACCCCATCCTATGTTGCTCTTTTTAGTTTACCTGTTGAGCACCCTGTTGTTGCATGGCTTCCTTTTCATAAGCGAGCAATGCTTGCTCCTTTTCAATCTCAAGTGCCAAAGGCAACACCAACAAAAGCATCGATGTAGTGACAACCCATGCGCTCTTTCCAACAAAAGTAGCACCCGTTTTACCCCAAGAGGTAAGAGTGGACGCGCTGGCGGCGATTCTGTTACGGTGCTTCAAGGGAATGATCTCTTTGAGAGCGGCAAGGCGATCCAAGAGTGATTCATCGTCGTCATCGTCAAAGTCGTCGTCCGAAAAGTCAGAGTAGTTGTCATCACCGTCATCGCTCAACACCTGTTCTTCAAATTGCTCAGCAGAGACTTCCTCGAGTTTGACCATGGTGTGTGTGTGTTTTTGGTTTGTATGTAGAAGGAAAGACAACCCTCGTCCTTTTGCTTTGCTTAAAATTTGCTTCCGTGACTACCGTCGTTTAGACTCTGCTGCAAGCTAACACAGACACACCAATGCATTAACATGATACGTGGACGCACTCTGAAGAATGTCCGAAGATCCATTGAATAGCTGATAAAGGCCATATGATCATGTTTTCCTTAGATCTCCTCTATCAACCCACAAACATGAATAAAGACGAAGACTTTTAAAACATCGCCTATTCGGCACGTGACTTCAAGCCCCCATGTCATTTCTTTGTGCTTGCCAAGTGTAGATCATCACTTCACGAGGCGAAGTGGAAATTCATTCTACGCGTTAGTTTTTTCATCTCTATGAGTAATACAGCTACTGCATCACCAACCTATACAAGTCAAGCGGCCATTTGAGTATTGAATATCGCTCATCACAAGACCAGAGCTGGGAAATACCCCATGTATTAATTACATCATGATCAGGATCCTGTAATTGATGCAAGTGTTGTCTTGCTGTATACAGGCACGCACATTGACCACTGCCGAGTCAGCTGTGGATGATGATGATGATGATGATAGTCGTCAAGGCTCGGAATAAATAATAGTTGACCCCCCCCCCTCATGATGTTTTGATAAAAGTTGTAATCAGCAGCAGCAGCAGCAGCAGCAAGAAAAACTTCCGTGAACTGATATTCGTCACCCTTTTCCCTTTTCTTTTCTCCTCCAGTCATATACGTACTATTACCCCAAAAATGATGGATGAACTTTATCAATCACTCAATTGCTATCGGGGGCGACAATCATTACCAGCCGAGAAGGATATGATTGAATGTCATTTGGTGTTCCAGCTTCCTGAAATCGTTAGCCTGATTATGCAATTTCTTCCAAACCACCAAACATCACGCCGAAAATGTCTACCCAACAACAAGCAACGATTGCAATGGATATACCCATGTCTTTTTGTGAACCGATTATGGCATGATTGTGCCGCACGCATTATGTATCAGATGGCCATCTTTGAAGATGGGACGCTTGCTGATTTTGCAAGCTTTGCAGCCGTTTGCGGTACCAATGCTAATGCAGATCACCCACGACCACTTGCATTACAGCACCCAGTACAACGTTTGCTCAGTGATCAACGACGTAACGTGTATCGACGTAGCCTACGCACATTAGCAGTACGTCGACTTAAGGATAAAGGCCATGTATCAACATTGGAAAAAATGGGCGCATACATGGTCCATTTGGAGAAATTAGAAGTATACATTTGTGATCCAGTGAGCAATGCAACCATTGAACCATTTGTACGACCCTCATTAGTCGAATTGACTTTGGCTGGTTGTGCAAGGGTCGACGATAACCTTTTGCTGCAGGTGGCTGCCACGTGTCCAAATTTGCAGCATCTCGACGTACGCGCTTGCAGTAGCGTATCAGATGTATCCATCAGTGCTATTGCGTATGCGTGCCCCAACTTGCGTCATCTCAATGTGGGTCGTGTGCGAGACCATGATTTGATCACCAGCCGCTCCATCAGCTTAATTGCGAGGCTCACTCGTGTGAGCGTTGTTGGATTTGCAGGTTGTGCTATCACAGATGATTGCATGCTATTACTTGCACGTCTACGTTGCCACGATATCGAACGCGTATCAATCAATCATTGTCCTCGTCTCACCAATCGCACCTTACGAGCATTCATGTATTACTGTAACAAGCTCACAGTATTTGAAATGAAGGAATGTCATAGCATGGATGATTGGGAAGCCGTAGCAAAACTTGTTGAGCGTCAAGTTTTACTCACCCTTTGCCAACAACAAAATCGGGCGTGTGCTGAATGGGCCAAGAGACACGGAAGAAAACTCAATGTTAAGGCACCCATAAAATAAAAAGTCCATTGATCTCGAGTTTCTTGGTTACAAAAAGGTAGTGCTATGAGACAAAGACACCGGTTCATTATATGAATGGATCCCCTTTATTTAGTGATCAAGTGGGATGGGCCTTGCCATATGCGGACAAGAAAAAGGGGGAAGGCACACCAACATCAATATGTCCTCTGCAACCCCCTTTCACCCTTCTTTGATCGCAAAGTGACGTTAGTAACGGAAACAATCATCCGTAACTTGGATGCCAAACGAGCCAATTTGTTTTTTCAATCCACATGCATAACATGTATATGCTTGCAGATGACAAGATATTGAAAGTAGTGGTAAAAGTGATGTGATAGGTGAGCCATGTATGATCGACTATTGGGAAGATCGTAACCCAAAATGGTTGACACGCATCCAGGGATGCTAGTGGACACATAATGAGCAGCTTGCGTATTTTCTTATGCGATGATGGCTGCTCCTTACTGTTGACAATATGTTTTTGTCGCACCGCATGCTTTGTTGTTTCGCCCAAAGGGGGTTGGGATGAATTCCATTTTCAACCACCCAGCTTCCTCATCTCTTTTCCTTGCCTTTCTTTTCACTTTTTTTATTCCTTTCCCTTTCCTTTTGGACATGCCCTAAGCCATCGAGTATGGATCATATTCAGGCTCTGGTATGCAATGCATCTGATTGTTTCGGCAGTGGAAATCTAAAGGTGAGAATGATTAAAAAGTTGACACCTTTCGACAACAAGAGAGATCACTAAAATCAATGCATGTTGTAGAGTTCCTATGACTTGTATCTCAGGGCGCTGGATGCCGCTATCATAGAGCTTCGACAAATTAAATTCATTGATCAATGTAAATGATTGAGACTCATTAGCATCATCGTCTACTTACACTTGTTGTAATATGAGTAGATGCAATATGTGATAGTACTGATGGCTTATTCGCACTTGCGAAAACGTGTTTGGATCACACACAAACCATCTTGACAGAATCACAAGGTCGACGACCAACACAGCAACAACAGCAACAACCTCCTCCCCCTCCTCCACCACTACCACCTAAACCTCCATCCATCATGCAGCGATGTACGACAACAGTGAAAACAACGCAGGACGAACTTAAGCCTCGAGCACGAATATACAATACAAACAACAACAGCAGCCCACCAGCATCTCCTCTTCTCTTATCCGCTCCAATCCACGCTGTAAAGAACCTCATTTCTACAAATACAACTAGCTCAACATACAAAAAAGCGGACATGCATCATCATTCCCCCCAACACGATGAGCTTGTACAAATGGCAAGTGGTGCTATAGATCCATCATGTGTTGTTGAAGCCCAATCAGATGACCTTGTTGCCGTCGGGAGCAACGGTATCAGCACCCTGCCACCAACAACAATGATCGGCACTTGTACGACAGCCGAACCCATACCGTCGATCCCACAAGCACCATTGATGATCATTTATCACTCTTTACAACAAAAACTTGATTACTACGAACGCCACAAGTTGCCGATTGCCGATGTAAAGCAGTCTTTGAATCGTGTGCGTCATATACATATGTCAGCCACCACCGTACCCACTATCCTTCAATTCGCCCCCATCATTGTAGCCTATCAACTCACGCTGATTGATTCAGCCATCTTTCGACATATACAGCCATCCGCTTTACTTAAGCATCAACCCCCAAAGGCACCACATCCAGCTATTGTTGCATCAACCGATTTCTTCAATTACCTCACACGTTTAATTGAACATGCTATTCTGTTGCAGCAAGAAGCCTCTGGACGTGCACAGCAAATCAACTACTGGGTCAAGATTGCATGGAAGTGTCATGATCTTCGCAATTTTCAAACGACCAAAGCCATTGTATCAGCATTAGGTACACCACCCATTCAACGCTTGAAGCGTTCATGGGCTTTTGTACCCAAGAAAGCGATGGCTCGTCTTGAGTTGCTATCCGACATCTTATCTGAAAAAGCCAACTATGAGCAATATCGAGAACGTTTATTACAGCAATCATCCAATGATCCCGTTGTTCCTTTTCTTGGTCTCTTTATGCATGATCTTACTTATCTCCATGCATGTGGGCGTAAGGCTGACCATGTGCTTACCCAATTCGCCACGCTGCAAAGTCATCCACCTTATACCTCGGCACTCCCTTCGGCGTATAGCAAAGATCTCAGCAAGAAGTATCGCACAAGCAGCGTCGAAATGCAACAATGCCTGGTAACCCAATATCTGGTAAGCTGACATAAGGATATACATAGTAGGATATAGGAAGAATCTCTCACACACATTATAGTTGACCAGATCATGGGTGAGTGAAAAAGTGGTGGATGAATTAAGTCAACTTCGAGAACCACCTGCCAAAGTCATACGAAGCAACTCGGCTGTGGATGAATCATCCCCTTCAAGTGTTTGGAGCAGCACAGGCAGCTTGCTTTCATTTGTTGCCAACAGCACCAATAGCAGCGTGTATAGCCGACCTGTGAGTTTGGATGATGAGGATGATGATGATGACATGGCATGTTGTGATCACGAGTCATATAAACGACATGCATGGATGCTCGGTCGCAAAAGCGTGGATAACAACAGCAACAACAATGGGAATCATATCAAGAAACGACAACAATTTCGATTATCACGTCATTTTTCATTTGAAGATTTGGATGGTCATCGTAATAAGCAACAACAGCAACAACAAGGCTTGTCCTTGTTCCGTAAGGATTTTACATTTTGGCGTAGTGCTCCACGAATGGATGATTCTCAACTCCCGCATCACCCCCTTGACCAAGATCCCATGTACCAGCAACCACAGCAACCACAACAACGCAACAGCATCAGTATTGCATGATTTGTGTATCTTGTTCCTTTATTGTACATATAAACCACCCTTTCAATTTCATATTGGACGCTCGATTACTTCTCCCAAATCATCACCCTCCATTAAAGGGGTTGTATCCTTTGTTGATTCAGTTGTTGTTGTAGGTACAGGATTCTTGTTTTTCAATTTCTTCACGGGTTTGGAGGTTGAGGTTAATATCCCAGGTATCCTATCAAGCATGTATTACATGAATATCATTTGTCATATTGCAATCCCCTTTCTTCTCCTTACTCTGAATGTCCACTCCATTCCTGGATTGCATCACGTCTTGCTTGGGCACATGTATCAGGGAGACAAGAGTAATCAATAGCCTTGATTGTTGTTTCCTTTGCCTTATCCTTTGGCTTGATTCCTGATGGGAAAGCTGCATACCATCCTTGGATCAACTTATAGCACTGCTGCAACTCGATAGACCATCTATGGGCCATGCAATAGAGTCGACTACACGCGCCCATATACACGAACATGAGAGACGTAAAGTGCCTTAATCGTAATGTCTTGGTTTGTTCACTATACGCATCATACATAGATAAGTTGATCCCTCCTTAAGATACCCAAACGTTGAGTGCCACTTACACGTATGCTTTCATCAGTAATCCTTGTAATCTGTCTAGTAATAATGCAGCGGCGATGATGCGATGCATGGTGTATTCTGCTAGCTCTTTGGTTGGTATAAAGTTCCAGGGTCCTTTGCAGTTATCAATTCTATGCACAATGGTGAGAGATTGATACGAGATTGGAAGACATCCACATGTGATACATACGAGGCGACGTTCCAAAACACATGAAGAAACCTAGCAACGACTTGATCTATCGCGAGTCCTTTCAACCGTTTGCATAGTTGTCGCACCTATAACGAGATACAATAAATAACTGATGCTGCTATTCCACCGTTATACACCTTTTCATACTTGAGCTATGATTCGGAAGCGAGGGAAGAGTCTTTGGGAATTGGAGAGCTTGTAAAAAGTGCGATCGATGACAGCAACCTCGACCCAGAATTGCTGCTTCTTCATTTCTTTGGTGGATCGCTTCAGCTGCTTTACATTCTGCTCGTGATCGGCTTTGATCCTCTTGTTGAGTTGTTCTTTTGGTAAAGCATTGGGTGTCGTGGGTGGTGATAGCTCCAAAAATGTGTAAGCTGGAGGGGATGTCATGTTGGCAAGTTCAAGAAAAGCATGCACACATGATTGTATCTCAGCCCATTCAAAAACCCATTATATCACTCTTCTTCTCAGGTGCAAACATTGGGAAAATCACATTTATCACTTTTTTGATTATCTATAAGCTACTTTTTTGGTCGACTGTACAATTATAAAAGCAACACCAAAACCCTTAGGCACGTCGGGCAGCACGTCTAGCACGAACACCTTCTCTAAGGGTATCAAGGGTTTTTACGGTCGTCTCCCAGTTTATGCATGCATCTGTGATACTCTGACCATAAGTCAAACGATGAGCTCCTTCACTTGGAATATCTTGACGACCTATAATATATATATACCCATCCATTAATCCATTGTCATAAATAAAGTCGCCTGCACACTACTTGCCTTCAACCAAATGAGATTCAATCATCACACCAATGATGTTGTCACCGGTCACCTTGGGTTCAGCAAGTTGACGTGCCTATACAAAAGAAAATTAGGATGATGATTCACATTGAAAGATCCGATCAACGTACAATATCCTCGGCAACCAAAGGCTGACGATTGTGATCCTTGCTGCTGTTGCCATGGCTACAATCCACCATGACAACGGGAGAAAGCTTGGCATTGGAAAGGGCTTCAGCGCACTTTTGAACAGAGGCAGCATCATAGTTGGGACCACCCTTGCCACCACGCAAGATGACGTGACATGCATCGTTACCACCGGTTTGAACAATGGCGGACAAGCCTTGCTTGGTCACAGAAAGGAAATGATGACCATTGCTGGCGGCCTTGATGGCATCCATAGCCACAGTTACACCACCATCGGTACCATTCTTGAAACCAACAGGGCATGAAAGACCAGAAGCAAGTTCACGATGCACCTGGGATTCAGTTGTACGAGCACCAATAGCACCTGCAATGAACGATATTAACCATCAAATACTCCTACCTCTTCACATCCAATGCTTCCTTACCCCAAGAAACAAGATCACCAGTGTATTGAGGAGAGATCTATAATAAAGCAAACTCTCGTTATTATCATGTATCATGGTGTATATAGCTCGAAAGACTTACAGTATCCAAGAATTCACAACCGGTAGGAATGCCAGCTTCATTCTGTAAAATACATGGACATTGGTCAAAACGTATTCCGGGTACTTGATTTGCCCATCCTTACCAAATCCAACAACAATTGGCGAGCAATACGAAGACCCTTGTTGATCTCATAGCTATTTTTTACATATCATTAAGATCTCATACGACTGGCTACGGCTGCATTTTGCTTACCTGTTATTCAATTGAGGATCATTGATCAAGCCCTTCCAACCAACGGTTGTACGTGGTTTCTCAAAGTAGACGCGCATGATGATGAGCAATTCGTCTTTGGCACCCTTGGCGTATTCGATCAATCGCGAAGCTAATCATCCACGTTAGAAGAGAATCACCCATCAAAGAGAGAGAGAGACATACCGTATTCCTTGGCGGCTTTGACATCATGGATAGAGCAAGGACCCACAACCACAAGCAAGCGATCATCCTGACCCTTGATAACGTTTTCAGCAGCTTGTCGGCCTTCAACAATGGTTTGAGCTGCTTTAAGAGTCAGCGGAATGTCCTCCATGAGGATCTGGGGAGGGATCAAAGGCTTGATAATCTTGATACGCTTGTCGTCGAGTTCATTCAATGCAGTAATGGAGCCCATTGTGGAGTTATGCTTTGTCAAGTGAGAGTTGGGAGAAAGAGTAAAGAGAGAAAAAGTTGAGAAAGGAAAGAAAGATAGATTTGATTGACGTGTCGGTGTTATTTATCCACTGACAGATAAAGCAGAATCTTGACTCATTCCGTGCAACATGACTCACACACACACAACAGTGTTTTTAAGGACCCTGTTTTCCCCCAATCGTTCCCAGTATTTCAATGATGATATAACAATCCTATTATGGAAGGTCACAAAGTACGACATGACACTAGTCTCATTCCGAGAATTACCAGCCCAGTATTTCTATACTGTAGTAATCACTTTTTTCTTGGATCCAGGCACTTTATTAGTAGTAGCTCACACAAACGAGGATATAAGAATACAACAAATCCATTCTTTTACTAAAATAAATGTGCTACCCCTCACCCCACAAGAGTAGATGGATGTATAAAATGTCGATGAAAGTGCACGTTTATAAGCATCTAACTATGTTGGATCGATATTCTCTTATTGCTAATCCGGGAGATGTAGAGAGCATGTGTTACTACGATACAGTGGGTCGATGCTGAGTACCAAAACATGGCGCGTGCATATCGTTTAATCCTGCTTTACTTCTTTCCTTTGTTCAGCCATGGACGACGTTTATCAATATACAGCAGAGGCAGTTAAAGCGAATAAGAACAGCAACACACACAATGTTCAAACAGAGCAAGAAGAGGAAGAGGATCCACTTGTGAATGCCTTCAACAATTTCGGCTTTGGTCGCCGATGGAGCAACCTTGTTGATTCAGTGAAAAAGCAGGTACATGCGTTCATAGACCTTCTAATAGCATTCCTTCTAAAAGGTTGTTGTGTATTATAGAGCGAACAAGTGATAAACGTTACGCGAAACGACCTTCAAGAGTTTGCACAAGTGCTGCGTGAGGATACGACACAAACGGTTGAGAAGCTATCCAAGACCGTGGCAGCAGCAACACCACCTACCTCTCCAACCAGCACCACGAATACGAAGGATATCAAAGGCAAAGGCAAAGCAACGGCTGTATCACAACATGAGGAGGAGGAGAAGGAGAAAAGTGAAGCCAACAACACAACATCCGGTGTATGGAACTATATCAACCAGATTTCATCTCAACTACCTTCAGCAATCCATTTGCCTGGCAACATCGATCTTGGACGGCTGCGTGAAGAAATGGATCAGGGTACCCGTTTTGCTGAACAATACATGCAAAAGTTTGGAACTGAAGTCATGCAAACCCTCAACAAAACCATCACTGTGCTGGATCCAGAGGACGATCAATCGACAACCACCAAAGGAAAACAACCAGCCGAGCAACATGATTCAACTAATCAACCAGCATCATCTGCCCGTGTTTTGTAAGTGTCTGGATTATAAAAGGATACCAACGACTTATCGTATATGATGATACCGCCTCTAGTGCAAGCCGTAAAGATCAACTCTTGGCCGAGATGCGATCGAATGAGGATACTTTCTTGAAAGATGTCAAAGATGCGAAGGATATGGAGCGATTTGATGCTGAGGAACGAACCGAAGAGATCGCAAAGTTGCTTGAAGAATACCCTGAACTGCGGCAAATGATGGATGAGCTTGGTTAGTATTTAGACACCCCAAAGTTTATCATCAGACTTACCATTAGGATTGTAGTACCGGTCAAAGTAAGCTATGTGCTCTTCTGGAAACGCTATTTCTACCACGCATGGAAGATTGAGGAAGATGACAAAAAGAGGCAACTCATCACCAAAGGTATGTATAACAACGGATTATAGTCAATTGGCTATCTTTGACACGAGAATGCTGTTTGAAATAGCCGCACAAGAAGAGGATGATTTCAAGTGGGATTCAGAGGATGAAGATGAGGAACAAACTCCCAAAGATACCAGTGACAATGCGAACAAGCAACCAAAGAGCGCCAACAACAATGATCCAAAATCAGCAGGAAAAGACAATGATGTCGATAAGCGAGAGGATAAACCAGCGGATCAGAAAGAGGACTCTAGCGATGATAGTGATTGGGAATAAGAATGCGTCTATCGAGATTATCGCAAATGTAGTGGACCTTCAATTCATGTCACAATATGTACAATATATTCATCCATTCACTTTGTTAATGAATCATTGTCATGGTTAATGATGGATTTTGGTAATGGGTGTGTTGGCTGAGTATGTTGTTAGGTCACACCATTGTTGCGATTGTTATGCCGCTCACTTCATACTCGTGCAACAAGATAATGGTACTACATTTGCATGCTGAGGTCATATCTCGAAAAGAGTCTATTAAATACACCATTTACAAAGGTAGCTGAATGCAGCAGATGTCAATCGTGTGTGAAGGAGGGATATGTATGCATGAATTATATCGGGAGTGAATGCCGAAACCAAGGAGTAGCTAGCATACATGCTGTAAGGGCTTTATGGTTGATAAATGGCACATGAAATGTTCATATCCAAACACCATTCTTATTTATAGCAGGGCTTAACCGATTGGTGAAGCAGAACGTGTTCTATATCACCCTTCCCGCGATTCCCGAACCCCCTTATTTGTATAACCCTCTCTATCTCCTTCTCCTTTCCAAGTCATCAACTACCTTTCTTTGTCTTTCTTTTCATTGTAATCATTTTTAGGTGTTCAAGAGGTACCTTTATTATACACCCTATCCTATATACGCTACCTAGTATTATATGTGCCTAGCTGATACGTATCCATGCAACTGCAATCCATAGAGACACCTTGGCGACAGTATCACCGGAACTGACTAGAACGACACCACCTGTTATTTACGCAACGAGCAGCATTCCCCACCCCACTAAAGCCAACAAAGAAAAAGAATCGCTTCAGTATTCGTAGCTCTTCCTCCTGGTCTTATTACCCATAAAGAAAACGACGTGTCTATACCTCATGATGGTTACCAATTGTGAACATGGCATTCCATTTGAGACTATGCAAACATTCCCTACATCAACAGTGCCTTCAAAGGGCATAAAGAGCCATCCAAGCTTTCGGATACAAAGTGTATCAAAACGGAGTACGTTGAGCTTCTTTCATTGTCATTGTCATTGTCAGCTTATCATGTTACATGCTTCCCAACATTGTCGTACCATTATTCTTACGTACCCCATCCATTTCTCACATCTCTCTCAGTAGCTAATCAAGATAACATTATCACACGTTTATTTGGCAATGCACATTCAGAAACACAAGACATCATGTCCCTGGTATCCACCTCAAGATCATCAAGTTGTCATGCGTTTTTCATTCAAAGGACCCTATTTATCACAATGCCCCTATTCCCCGGTGGATATCAACAGCAAGCATTTCATTCATGGTAAGCATTCTCTTTATCATCAAAGGATTTCGAATAATAACTGTGTAAGATAGTATCATTGACTTGATCGAATTTGCTGAAGAAACGTATGCCGACAAGTGTGATTCACTCATCATCATCCTGGAGAAATGCACAAAAAACATGGGTAAGATCCCTCTTCCCTTCATCAAGCGTAATCATCTTATGCTCAGCAATTCACTCGCTAGACACTGTGCTTCGTACCTTGCTTTATTTTGGATTTCAATTGATTGATCCCCGTATCTACAACCACACGGCTTCCTATGTATTGGTCGGCTATGAGCTCTAATCCAAGGGCAGATTCATCTTGTACGTTTCCTTGATCCTCTTTGCGAATTCACTGTAACCGCCTACGAGCTTTTGTTGACTTGGATCGCATCCTTCGTAAATAAAAGGCGAGGTCCTGTGTCTGGTATCAAATTCCTATAGCAGAGTCTCAGTACTTGACATATACGCACCTATCCTCCCAATAAGATACATACATCTTGTAGTTCCTTTAACCTTCCATACCACTGTTCTTTGATATATCCACTGACATCGGTCTTGACATGGGGCTGTTTACTCGTCAATCGATCGGCAACTTCGGTTGCAAGGTGAAAGTAATGACAGGTCAAGAAGCCTTCCTATAGTGTCCACTGCCATTGAGTGTTCCCATTCACTAATCCTTGTTGGTGTTGCCCTTACAATGTGATAGCATGCGGTTTTGGTAGGGATTTCATCGAGATCTGGAGCAGCAGTAGGAAACAGCCAAGAAAAGAGACCCATCTTAATATCAAGGGAAAGCAAAATGATTAGACTGGTTGCAGCACACAGCGCCTATTTTGGTCCCCTCCCATCACCGCCCATGACAACATTTTGGAACATGGAATTCTACTAGACGACAACAACAATAAAGCGTATATTTGAAATGGATTGTCTACTGCTTTTGGAGAGCATCATTGGCCATAGCTTCTTCTTGACTCATGATCTTGAGATTGAATTCATTAGCCACTGCCTTTGACCTGGCACTGATCCTATAGTAAAAACAAATACTGTTGTTAGAGCCACCACCACCTCCGCATTTATAGAATACAGGCACTTACCATTCCAATAAACCCCAATCGGCTCCACCTCCATTATCATTGGGTGATTTCACTTTTTTGTACAAGTTTTCTTTGGTTTGTTCAAATGTCCATCCAAAGTTGATACCTGGTGATTGTTGTCGAATACTGCGATCCCATTTTAAATCGGGTTCAATGTATTCACGGTAAGCGAGCACACGGTTACCAAGGACTTGGTCGTTGAAAAGAATGCGGACGGTGTCTTTGAGATACGTTTCAAATCGCTTTCTGATGCTTTTGTTTTCGAGTAAACGATTGATCATCACTGCATCTGGATACCTCTCAGGGAATTCCTTGTATGAGACATTGACAAATTCACGGCCTTCTGGTTCAACGAGATTGACACCAAAAGTTGCATCATAATCTTGTCCAAGATAATACCATCGACCATTCTCAGCTGGATCTTGATAGGCTCCATCATTTGTTTGCTCCATCCAATATCCATCCCAATCAGCGGCAAGATATTCAACCACCATAAAGCGTAAAAATTGATCCACGTTGAAGGTGGTATTTTCAAAGTGCTGTAATTGGCGATCATCGTCCATATCAATCTTGCTAAATGCTCTGGCAAGATCCTGCAAAGCCATTTCATCCTCAGGACTATCATCGTTGGGTGCCCACGCCTCATAGTGCTCTGAGTCGGATGTATAACGGAAATCAGCACCTGTCATACCATCATAAAGAGGTCCCATTTCTTTTGGTGGTTTGCCATTATAGAATACAGCACGTATATAGCTATATTCGATCACGTCATCGAGCATGTTGAATGTGCCAAATCCTTGACCATTGATGAAGAGTCGGACCATATTGGCTCGGTTACCATGAGCACCCATAGCATCGAGCACATCAGCATAGAGCTTCTCTCGCATCTGTGTAGGGTCTTCTTCCATATGTCTGATCTTAAACCAGTTACGGTTGTCAAGGTATTGTCCCTCAGGAAGTGACCATTCCCAACTCTGCTTGGCATTGTTCTTGCTTTTGCCCGCACCATGCAATCCAAAGTTACAATGCTTTATGCACAATACAATGAGTAAATAGATCTCCGAATTTGCCATTGATACACCTTACCGTAAAAGAATGAACATCATCTGGGCCAATAATGGTAAACTTGACATCAAATTTTTCGTCCACTACATTCTTGACCAAGTCCTGCATTTGTCCTGGGTTGCCAGTGATGAAGATGCTGGGGATATAATGGTCATCCCAAATATCACCCTTGGGCCCACCTCGTGTCCATTGGGGCTATGAGAATGCTGTGTTGGCTTTTTTCATCATGAATTGTATCGTGGTCCTTACGTCTTTCTTGATCGGGTGGGGTAAATCAGGTAAATCTGCGTAGGTCACAGGGCGTGAATAGACATCGTTTCTTGTGGTTGCGCCTTCGAGCTTCCTATGGAAATCTTCCTCCACACCATCCACAGCATACTATCTCGTCCATTTCATATTAGTATACACACGAAACAAGACCATCGTATGATACTTTGTCACACCTTGTAGCTGCATGGTGCATCGCATGATGCATCGCCTACGAAATAAGGCACATCGGTATCATTGGCATGAAGATTTGTACGTGCACCATCAATGACTACTTGAACTGAATTTTTGGCACCGGGAGCAACCACCTTGAAAGTGGCCGCTTGTGCATATGCTGCGGCAACTGCAAATAGAAAAGGATAACGCATTATGCAATGATAGAAAAGAAGAGAAATCAAAATCTGCAACACATAGATAGATTTTCAAAGCAGACCATTCGCAACCCAACGGGGACTGTGTTGAATGGAATGTGGATAAGAACACCCGCCTCAGATGTCAACCATTCATTCTACTCAAGAGCCAACCTTGTTCTCATTACATTTTTGTGGATGTAGTATTGCTATGTAGAGGTCATTTATTTGTAAACCGTCCATGTTTCAACAACGTCATCTCCATCACCCTCAAGTTTCTATACTAGTCTTAGTATTTGCGTTCCATCTTACTAGCCCACCTGGACCAGAAGCATAAATAGTCTTGTCTTGGATCTCGATTTGAGTCACGCCATACGCCTTTAGCTGTTGAAAAACACTCGTAGAGTTAGCTAACAGGGTCATGATTTGGTGTATCATTATTTACCGGAAATCGGTTAAAGCTTGGTCCAAGGAATCTATTGCGAGGCTGAATATCACAAGAATGAAGTTGCTTGTACGTGTTGGCATCCCAAATCTAATGTTCAATAATGAGCAAAAGTTATAAAGCAAAAGCAAAAAGTGCTTTACCTTCAAATCACCATCCACTGAACCTGTCACCAGACATTGGCTGACCTTGTCAAAAGCAATAGACCGGATCCGAGAATTGTGTGCAGTAAATGTTTGCATAACAGCGCGTTGCCTGACATCCGAAACCACTGTGATAGTGTTAACATTTCTTCTTGCCTCTTAGCATTTCATCCGGTATATACCTATTTCACCCCGTTTGCCACCTGTAAACAAAAGCTGCTTTTCCGGATCATATGAAATTGCGTAAGCCCCGCTGTCATGGGCAGAAAGTGCTATCATCATCCTTGTAAGTCAAAGAGAGAGATTCATGGACATGGGCAATACCACAACAATACTTACAGCAAATCATCGCCTTGCTAGGAGGCAACAATGTGTCCCACAAACAAACATGATCACGACTACAATTTTTTTCTTAGCAAAGTAATCCCCCAAAGGAACCTTTCTTCTATACTTACCGACGTCCCATGGTCAATGAGGTACCTGCTGTGGCAATAAGGCTGCTCGAATCAAGGAACGTAAAATCACGAGTTGCCTTCGAGTGGCATGAATTGATGGTATAGTAAGGTCGATTACTCTGTGCATGCGAATCAAAGCGCCACAATAGCAGTGATCCAGTGGTATCTCCAGCACCAAAACGTTGACCATAAAGATCAAAATGCGCCCTGATACCTTTTGTCAATCACAAGAATCATACAAGCGCCCATCGCATTGATCACAAACCTGGTAACTTTTCCATGCGACCCATAATATCTTGCTATCTCTTGCTCCTGGCCATATTGCCATAATACTACACTTGGATCATTGGTGCCGCTCGCTTCATATCCAGTGATGTCTACCACAACTCGTTAGCCCCATCACAGCTGCCGCTATTACTGCATACTAGCATACTTACAAAATGGGAAATAGGGATGGGCTTCAGCACATGTAGCCGATACATGGCGCTTCAATGTGACCTAATAGAAGCATTAGCAACATACCAATCGTAATAAATGTGCGCTTTACCATGTCTGCCATTGATCCAATAGAACTTGCCGCTGCAGGAGAGTGCGAAGCTTCAGACCCAGCTTGATCTAAAAAGCCAAAAGTTAGCCATCTACTAACAACTTCCTCGATGACCCACTTACTTATTCCGAGTGATCGCTTGAGAGACTCTTGGAGATTATCAATACTCAAATTCTGTGATCCTTTACTATGCTCATCAATGAGGTGACGACCACTTGCAGGTGATGCCGCGACGCTGCCTGTAGGTGTTTTGCCATGCACAGTCCCGTGAAGATGGTGAGGATGATGGTGGTGAGGATGATGATGATGATGATGCTTTATGCTGTGTTTCGTGTGCTTGGTCCCAGATGCATCCGTCTCCGTATCAGATGAGGCAAAATCTTCCAATTCTTCTTCTGTGTCGGGATAACTCTCAGGATGATATTGACCCAAAGCTGATGACATTGAGGTAGAACGCGCCATATGCTATCCATAACTTTTAGTTCAGGTACGTTTGACGTGATGGGGGGTAACAACTTACATGATCATAACTTCGAGCACACGCAAGGTCAATTTCGTGTATCTCTGATTTCAAGCAAACTGCAACCGTGTCAGGACATACCTAAAATTGATCATGTTAGCACATCTTTTACTCATCACCGCTATGTCCAAAATTACTTACATTGCTGATACTAAATGCATGAACGGTTGTAGGAGTGCTATATATGGTCTGAGGGAGCCTTTCGGCGTCATCTTGGAAGATGTTGATGTGTGGCAACTAGAAGGAAACATTAGCATCATTGAGGTTAATCCTGAATATGGTATACTTACGGCAAAATTGATAAATGGCAAGAGCTGTTCGGGGTTTTTCAATGACTTAAGGCAATGCCAATACTTCTTTTGACGCAGCGTTTTGAGTTGTCGTAGAGCATTACCTAGTAGAATGTCAATTAGTTAGCTTGCAAGTAAGGACCCAAAGCTCATACTTACTTCTTGTCATGATGTTGTCGAGTTTTTGCTCCGCATCCATCCTAAGCACGTGAGTACGATAGGCAATGGGATCAAGTATATTCATCCATATGTACGGGATCAAGTTTCCTACCCCCTTTGAATTAATTTCCACCATACCACGTTGCATAAAAAAAGCTTACCATTCGCTCCATCAGGCTTATCAACGCTTCGCATATGGCTTTCCAACACCATCAGGATGTAATTGAGTGAGGCTGTTTCAAGTAAAACGGCACCAGGAGACTTGTCACGGTAATCATGCAGCGGCCTGTACATTTCCTCGTCCATGTTGTAACCAAACAATGAATCTTCGGAGAAAGTCTCGAAATCATCGATATCCATTTCAGGCTACAAGACGCAATTCAGCAAAAGGAACAATGACCCAAGACACAAACACTTACCATTTTTACTTCTCCATTCAATGCCTTCTCAAAACTCTTTTTGATCGTTTCTTCATGTGATAATGATTCCAGGAAATCACGCAGATTGAAAAGCAAACACCAGCATTTCTCGTAATTCCTTTGCTTGAGTGTCGTTAATAGCAGCATGATATAGGCATTGAGCGCCATTTCTTGGGTCTGTGAAAATGTTCCATTCCCTGGCTGTTGAAGTTTGCTCCATGCTGAAAATGACGTGATCATATTCCTACATAGCATCCTCGTCAGTACTCGTACGACCTATACAACCATCACCAAGCTCTAGCATAGTTGTTCTACGTACTCGGTCCATCGCTCAATGAATGCTAAGCTGCCATATTGAAAGTCCTGTTGATGAAGTGCAATCTTGAATACTTGAAGACACCCGGTTCTGAACGCCATCATGAAGTGCGCTGTTGATTCGTCGTCCTTTTTGTTTTCAATCCATCGAAGACAAAGAGCAAAGGCATCGACTTCCACACACTTTTCCAAAAACAAACGTGTAAAAGTGGACGTTGGTATCTGCACAGAATCCGCTAATGCTGACATATCATGCTCCATTTGACAAAAAGCTTGGTCATAATTGGTATCGTTGATAGCTGATGATGCCGATGGATTGCTGTGAGCTGCTGCAGCTATATGTAATATGGTCTATAAAGGGATTTAGTATCATATGCCCCCCTAAAATAGGAATAAAGAGGATGTACCTGAAGCATCCGCACAACCAACATTGCTTTGTATCTCGAAAGCCCGTCATATTGCTCCATTGTGTCATCTCCTGTAGCTGATTCGCTATCCGATATGTGCTCATTTTCAAACAAATCATGCGGCGTTGATGTAGATGGCTCATTGGCGAAAATGTCTTCATTGTTGTTGCTGCTTAGCCAGTCATTGTCATCGTCAGCGAAAAGGTCGGCTGCCTTGGATACGGTAGGCTCATCGGCGAAGATATCGGTTGCCTTGGATACGGTAGGTTCATCAGCAAAAAGATCAACTGCTCTGTTACTGGTGGATCGAGAAACATCATCGTTGTCGGAGAAGAGATCAGCTGCTTTGTTGGAAGATTGTGATGGTGGTTGTGGTGAAGAGCCATTCTCCTCGAATAAATCTGCTGTAGACGATCCATTTGGTTTGATATCTCCATTCTCGATAGGTTCAGCGGGTTTCCTTTTGGCATATCTTGTAAGGATGTAAAGAGCCAACATAGGGCATCCAAGACGATCATACGCACGACTGACATTGAGCGAGAACAGGTATTCAAGCATGAGCGGTATTTCCAAATCACGTCGATTTTGCATTCGAATCTCTTTCTTGAGGTGCTGATATAGAATGAAAAGGTTGGGGTCATTCACTGTTGCTGCCGAATCGCTGATGTCCACCGTGATGTTTTCAGCCGAGTCGATAAATCGTGATAAAGGTACCTATAATGGATGATGTCAGGCATAGGAGAGTATTGATATGGTCAAACTTACCACCATAGCCCTAAGAGCCTCTCTCTTTTCATCCAGTAGCGTATAAACGATGCTGACTAGCCATCTATCGTTTGTTTCAATAGCGAGCGGCAACACATGGCTAACCAAAATATCACGAAGAAGAGGGCTGTTGTCGCCTAAAGAGCGTCGTGTTACTTGGTGATGAAAACACAATCCTAAATAAGACTTACCATCATACACTCGACATATAGCAATCGCCAGGTGGTAGTCCTTCAAATTTTTCAAAATCACACCCACAGCGTCCTTTAGCTTGTCTGCGAGAAGGAAAAAAGCAGCTGCATATTCTGTAATATAATAAAGTTAGCTACAATTCACCAAGCCATACGCATGTGCATTACCAAAGCGCTGTTTTCCTAGTAGAACAAACGCATTCTTTGCCGCTGCCTTCTGCCACCGTGGTTCTGAAAAGTCGTTTGCAAGGAACTTGACCATGATATTATGCTCATTGTGGTGATAGGCTGTACGCCAAAGTGTCTGCAATAAGGTCTTTTTACGCAATGCCAGGTAAAACAATGTACAATCCACGGGATCCTTGATATCTTTGGAGAGATATGTATTCCTTGCAATCATGGTCATTTGCTCAGTCTACGCTAGGTTTTAGTATCATACATCTCCTTGTCCCTGATGAAATCGCTATAATATTTACCACAACTTCAGACTTTTGTAGCCATAAAAAGATACCAAGAGCACGAGCATCCTGCCATAAGAGTTTGCCACCACAAAGTCGAGTGCATCTTTCTAGCAAGAGATCCTAAAATGAGAATGATCATTAGCCACTAGAAGCACACGCTGCACGAATACACAACATGCCTGAGATTGACTATGAAGCGCCCAGACCATATCTCGCGAGTCAAGCCCTGGTGCCTTCTCTTCTTCAGGTACAACCTTGTTCAGATGATAAAAGTTCTCCAAAAGAGCGGTGAATCGAGCTCCATTTTCATCCAACGATTCTCCCAATGACGATATCTTTGATAATCATATGAGAAATCATGCCTTCAACATCTTGACCAAACTTTACCTCTCCAAAAGTGTCAATCATCGCCACAAGATGCACTCTCTCGCTTTCAGAAAGGGCTGGAAGCTTACGGTGTTTGACCAGCTGAATCAATTCCTCCGTTTCAGACCTTGTAAGCGGCCTAGATCCATCTTGCTCGTCGTTGATATCCAAGCTGCTCATGTCAGCTTCGTCGAAAAGCGCACTATAAGGTTGACCAGAGGACCCATGCTTTCCCTATCATTTGATGAGTAAGTCCATTGCCACTTTTCATTGCATATCAAAATTACCGAATCATTCTGCAACTTCAAGATCGTGGAAATATTCACAGCCGGTACATGATCAAGTACAGCAACGCCTTCATCCATTGTGTTTTTCAAGGAGCGGTATAAAGTTGACACCACCAAATTCACCAACTTCATTTTTCCTATGTACTATCCCTTAGCAATTCCCCCCTTGAGAACAAACAATGAGAGCTACTTACCCCACATCAAATAGTGTATCAAATGATTCGGATGGTAAAAGGGTAGCGGCCCGTTCAGCTCATAAGACTCGTCATAGATATTGCTCATCGGCTCAAGCTGAGGATCGAATGGTTGACCTATTTAAAGGATCACTATAAGATACCATTCTCATCACTTGACAAAGGACATTACCTTGCTGTATATGATCATCAGCTGTCAGCCATTTGAGATAGCATCGTATTTGGTTTCCGGCAGCAACGACTAGTGCCCCACAATCAATCCATGCCAAGTCAACAATATCCTCTGGGCTACATTTTCAGTTGTCAATCCACAAGCCATACTATGTATATGCGTGCTTAAACTTACATGTCGAGAGTAAAATCGGCGTAGCATATCCATTGATCAAGGCTATTGTTGATTTCATCCGCTCGTTTCTCTCCATAAATGGAAACTTTTTTCTTTGACGCCACTGCTAGGATGAATTGCCCATCAGAAGAAACATTCCAAGCTATAGCCGTGATCGGTTCTCTATATACAAGAACAAGTCAGCTGTCAACATGATTTAATTTCCAAAGCCAAGCAAGTACTTACTCAAAAACAATCTCTGCTCGCAAAGCTGGTGCCACATTGCTTCGGATATCAGACCATATAGAGAGCCTTTGATATGGCTGGTCCTGCTCAGTGGATGACACTACCAAAAAGAGCATCGTTACCATTGCCGCTTTCATGTTTGTGCATCCCACATACTTACCTAATCCCATCATGTTTGCCACACGTCGAACGATGTCCACCCTTTTAGAGTCCGTTTGCAGCTGATACAATAACTTCCATTGCACGCGTTGATCTGCTGCGCAAAAAGGCTGATAGCATAATACATTTGATCCAATCGCCACTGTCATAGCCACGTTGTCTTCTTCGGATGACTCAAGCCGATCAAGTAGCGTTGATGTTGTGTTGCAAGAGCTCAAGGGTATGGACGCAATATTGCTCGGTGTGCTCTCCCATTGCATGGATTCTTCACCACAAAATACGACGTCTTGGATGGTTCCATCGTCATCGTTGGTATATAAAATCTCCCAAGTAACAATAAGCTTGTCCTCCTCGGATACGCCGACCAATAATGATGTTGTCTGATCTTCTTGAAGCTGCATGCGTGTGACAAAGATCTTGGATAACGTTGTGTTGATGCCTTTGAAATCGCAGCTATGCACCATGTTGATTGTTGATGACGACTTTTGGCATTCGTAGATAGCTAGCTGGGTCCCATCATATATTGCAAGGTATCTATCTATGAGTTTATTAATCAACGACCGTTATCATCTGCGTCATAGAAAATTTAACTTACCTTGGTCTAGCAGCGTCGTGAGTGCTGATGCATAAGAAAACTCAGTGGTGTTCTCTAAGTGTAGTTCAGTGGTTGATTTTCCTCGCGTCTATGTATACCGATAAATAAGTATATATACCCTCCAGCAAAAGAGCGTACTTGTTCCCTACCTGCCGTAAGCCATATTTCCAAATGTTGATCCGACCATCAGCCCCAACAGTGCAAAGGCGATTATTCGGTCCCTGTGTCATCTCACGGATACAATGCTGATGTCCCAGCCATGAATATTTCGGATAAAGACGCGGCGAGAAGCAGGTCGTGTCAAGGAAATCAACCAAGTTCAGGCCATAGCACCGCAGCTGTCCATTCTGATTCCTCCCTATGAGGGAAAGCTCTGCCGGTTTGATGTTGGCTAAATGACAATGAGTCTACGATTCCAATGGACATCCTATCTATCACTTACATGTTGATTGGATATGAGCAAAATCATGCAACACTTTGACAGCATTCATAAAATAGGGTATGTCGGATGCTTCAACCGTTTGAGCAACTCTGAGAACAACGAAGACACGAGGAATGCGGCGCGGTACACTATTCAAATGCTTATGAAAACCATTGAATAACACTGTTCAAAGAAAAAACCATACCTGAACTCCCCAAAACGTCAATGATCCATCAGGCTGTATTCGAAATAATAGGTCTGGTGTGTCCTTAATGAGATCTTTCATCCTTTCCAAGCTCTGATGCAAACGTTCATGTTTCCAATGGCCTTGCAGCTGTGTATATAGCGAACTTTGTAACTCATCGCATCCGATATAATGAATGGGTGAAAAATCATCATCATCGCCAACGTGTGGTATGTTGTCTTCGTCCGATTCAGCAGTAACCAGTGATTGATTTGGATCGACAACGGCGCATAAATGTAAAGTGCGATCTATCTTTGGATCAATAGGGCTCCAGAATCTCCCAATACCATCACGTGCCATGGTGAACAATGTACAATCAAACGCACTAAAAGCCATTATCAGCTGTTTCATACCACTCGAAAATCCCAATAACCATTAATTACCTTCGTTTACTTGGCAACTTCCTCCATACAAAGTGTGTAACGTGCCGTGGATGTGGTAAATACATGAACTGGTACTCGAGACAGCTTGAATCTTTCATAGATGTAAGTATGCAATCTCGCCTGTATGTTGTAAAATCGAATAGCTTACCTGGGTTTTCAATGTACCATAGCGTAACGAGCCGATCGAGCTACAATGCATTTGTCGTCAGATACAACATGGTAACTGCTAACCAGCTTGCATACCCGTCCAGTTGTGGCAAACATGCTGGTACTCGGCTCGAACTTTGCAATCATCACGTCCGCTGCAGGTCTAATACATACATTAAACGTTAGCAAGGCACGACTTGTAGCGCCTTAATAGAACCAACCTTGTGCTCCAAAGCTTTTCCCACTGCAAGGGATCGTTGACTTGATTTGTCTCTGCAGGTCGCCATATGCTGAGCTCTTGACCAGCTACCAAGAGATGGCCTATATCATATGATTATTAGCATAGATCAAATGACAAGAGACGTGCTTTTAGTACCTTGTGTATTCCAATCCAAACATGATACGCGTGCACCAACATCGATTGTAGCATGTAACACCCAGCAGCATTTCTAAGAGTATCATGAATAATACACACCTTGGGTTGCCATCCATTCCTATACTTACAGCATCATTGATTTGCTTGTATCCAAATATGCCAACACGGTTGTCACGCGCAACGGCAAGCTATCAACCAAGAGCATCACGTATTAGACCACCTTGAGCCATGTTGCGCGTATCGTGTATTTCCCCAAGCCCTACTTACTCGACCACTATTCATGCAACCTGATACAGCTGTTACTGGTTCAAGCGAGTCTGCATGGGGTGTCTCATTTTCTAGTGGCAGAGCGATGATTTGCACGAGTCTTGCTGGATCTGCATAAACGACAACTTTGGACCCGGTAGCATATACCTTTGGAGGCCATCCACAATGAGCAATAGAGTAGAGTTGAAGTTGTGCTTCCTTACAATGTAACGAATGGAATTCCAGATAAAAGTATCAATCGCATGCGGTTCTGGATTGACTTGTCCAGGGCAAATCTGCTCCAAGAACATTGACGGGTTGTTGGGAAAGAAAGGGCGAGGATGAAGCTTCCTGCTATTTTTCGGCTCAGCTCCACAAATGGATGCACGCATAACGCATGCTTCGCTTCCGACGTTGCAATTGTTCTCAAGTGACTCTTTGTACACAAACTTGGCTTATATCATACACAGCCATTAATCCTCATACAAGCGTGTAAATGACTCAATCCTCTTGGATCCCCTATATAAGGTTATTTATGATACGGATTAAAAACCTGCTGGTTCATCATACTTGAGCCTGATGAATGGTATACCCTGATCAGCAGCTTCCTTTATTTGCCCATCCATTCTAAAGTCTCTATATACTATAATAAACATACGATTACTTTTATCGCGCAAACACACAGGAGATGAAACGGCTTTAATACCCTGCAATGACCCTCACGAGAGCCATTGGATGCGATCCCATTTATCCGATAAGGCGATTGGAGATGTTTATTATGCGCATCTCAGCGTACCTACTGTTTCAAGTTATCACTGTTATCGTATCAAAAAGCTGATCCATTTCCAAAAGACTAATACATCAAAGCAAGTTGGCGTGAACTTCCTTGTACTTTTGGTGGCATTGATCACTTTCTTTTCCCGCATCACTTTTATGCATGATTGCTCATTCCGCTCGCTGATCCTTATGAGCAAGATCATAGTCAATTCGCTGCTAGCCAAGATTAGTCACACTTCTCCATAAAGTCATCTTTTTGAGTCTTCAGTGTAACTATCCATTTGGCAACACCTTAGCTAAGCAAGGCGGCTATGCCTCATTAATTCCTGAAGATCCTTATCATTCAATTAAACATCCAATGTTATGATTAACTTTGTGTCGTCAGTATCCACATCCACAAAAGCTTGCAAAGACACCACGTTTCACTTTATTTCATCATTGGACAATCACTAACACGCAATATAAATCGGCTGCCAAGTAGGCGAAATGACAAGCAACATTACAGACGCTATAGGTGCTCCTAATCTCAATTCCTTAATTCTTGCGACCATATTATACCGGATGATGGTGCTTTGCTGAATGCATATGCTTGTGCATTATCAAAGAAGTCTACTGTTTTAGGGATGAATTCCTTCATTGGTGATCATGTGTAACATTGAGATGCTAATACGAAACTTCAAAATGGGCATTTACATTGATGAAGAGAGCTGTCATTGTCATGTGGCTGCTGTGTACCTGGAATGACTCAAGACCTATGCATTGGCCAGTTCCCCTGACAACCGGAGTGCGTGTGGCTTGTAAATTGAGCCACGATGACTCTCTGCTATAAAATGGTTGAGCGCTCTCTACTGTGTCCTCCTCTTTGTACCCCGCATGGCTGATCAGAATCAAATCCCACCACCTGCAACTGACGCAGACGCTGCTGCCGCTGCCGCTGCCAAGAAGGCTAAGAATGAAGCCAAAAATGAAGAGAAGCGTCGTGCTAAATTGGCAAAGTTAGCAGCCAAGCAAGCCAAGGTTTGTAGATCCGCTTGCGTTTCAAAAATGACAGCATGGCTAATACATGGACACCATAGCTTGCAGCACAAAAGGAAAAAGAAGCTGCTTCTCCCAGTGAAAAGAAAAAGAAGAAGGCTGCCAAGGCTGCTGAACAGGCTGTTTTCGTGAACAAGACCCCCAAGGGTGAAAAGAAAGGTAACATAGAATACGTGTATCCATCAACAAGTAAGGAAGCTAACAAGTCTATCATTCTAGATATGTCCGAGCCTATGGCCAATGCCTACGATCCTCGTGCAGTCGAATCAGCTTGGTACGATTGGTGGATGAAGGAAGGATACTTTAAGCCTGAATTGACAGAGGATGGTGAAATCAAGCCCGAAGGTGCCTTTGTCATCCCTGCTCCTCCTCCAAATGTCACTGGTTCGCTTCACATCGGTCACGCTTTGACCGTTGCTATCCAAGATGCTTTGATTCGATGGTATGGATTCAGTATTTTGCTGCGATGAGTAGTCACTAACATGGTGCCTATCAGGAACCGCATGTTGGGCAAGACCGTGTTGTTCAATCCTGGTACTGATCACGCTGGTATCTCTTGTCAATCGGTTGTGGAGAAGAAGCTTTGGAATGAACAAAAGAAGACTCGCCATGATTTCAGCCGTGAAGACTTTATTGCCGAAGTGTGGAAGTGGAAAGAGAAATATGGCAACCGCATCCATGAACAATTCCACCGATTGGCTGCTTCATATGATTGGGATCGTGTCGCTTTCACCATGGATCCCGTAAGTATATATATAAAATGTCGTGGATGGATCTTGAAATCAAGGTACTCATACCCGGTTATAGAAATTGTCTAAGGCTGTGACTGAAAACTTTGTGCGTTTGCATCGTGATGGTACCATTTATCGTGCCAATCGTCTCATCAACTGGTGTGTGCGCTTGAACACTGCCTTGTCCAATCTTGAAGTCGAGAACAAGGAAATCCCTGGTCGCACCATGATGAGCGTCCCTGGTTATGATCCCAAGGAGAAATTCGAGTTTGGTGTCTTGAACGAGTTTGCATACGTTGTTGAAGAATCGGATGAGCGTTTGATTGTTGCCACCACTCGTATTGAAACCATGTTGGGTGATACCGCTGTTGCTGTCCATCCTGATGACGAACGCTACAAGCACTTGCACGGCAAATACGTTGTTCATCCCTTCTTGGATCGTCGTCTCCCCATTGTCACCGATGATATTGCTGTTGATATGGCCTTTGGTACTGGTGCTGTCAAGATCACTCCTGGTCACGATTTCAACGATTTTGAAGTTGGCAAGCGTCACAAGCTCGAGATCATCGATCTCATGAATGATGATGGTACCTACAATGAAGCTGCTGGTCCATACAAGGGCATGAAGCGTTTCCATATCCGTAAGCAAATTGTCGAGGACCTCAAGGCTAAGGGCTTGTTCGTTGGTGTCAAGGAAAACCCAATGACTGTTCCTGTTTGCAGCAAGTCCGGTGATATCATCGAACCTATCATGAAGCCACAATGGTGGGTCAACTGTAAGCCCATGGCTGAAGCTGCTGTGGAGGCTGTTAAGAAGGGTGAATTGAAGATTGCACCCAAGGTCTCTGAAGGCGATTGGTTCCGCTGGCTCGAAAACATCCAAGATTGGTGTATCTCTCGTCAATTGTGGTGGGGTCATCGTGTTCCTGCATACTATGTCAAGATCGAAGGTGAACCTGTTGACTACACTAGCAATGATCACTGGGTGAGTGGTCGTGATGAAGCCGATGCTAGAGCACAAGCCGAGATCAAGTTCCCTGGCAAGACTTTCACCTTGGAGCAAGATCCTGATGTCCTTGACACTTGGTTCTCTTCTGGTTTGTGGCCTTTCTCTATCATGGGTTGGCCCGATAAGGTAAGATCAACTTTAACTAGGGTGGTGCATACATCATTTGACACAATATTATCAGACCGCAGACTTTGAAAAGTTCTACCCTGCATCCTTGTTGGAGACTGGTTGGGATATTCTCTTCTTCTGGGTCGCTCGTATGGTCATGCTTGGTATCAAGCTTACTGGCAAGGTGCCATTCTCTGAAGTCTTTTGCCATGCCATGATTCGTGATGCTCACGGTCGCAAGATGTCAAAGTCACTTGGCAACGTTATCGATCCTGTTGACGTTATTGAAGGTATCAACCTTGAAGGTCTTCACGCAAAGTTGTACGAGGGTAACCTTGATCCCCGTGAAATTGAAAAGGCAAAGGCTGGTCAAGTAAGTAGTGGGCTATTCTATTTATGTTTGCATTGGATTGGATTGGATTGGATTGCTGATGAATATCATAGAAAGCCGATTTCCCCAAGGGTATCCCTCAATGTGGTACCGATGCCTTGCGCTTCGCCCTTTGTGCTTATACCACTGGTGGTCGTGATATCAACTTGGATATTCTCCGTGTTGAAGGTTACCGCAAGTTCTGTAACAAGATTTGGAACGCCACTCGCTTTGCTTTGATGAAGCTTGGTGATGACTTTAAGCCAAGTGCTAGTGCCGAGGTATGTTGTTAACAATTTCGTCTATGGTATTCATATTAAAGCATCAAATCATAGATGTCGGGCGATGAATCTCTTGCAGACAAGTGGATCTTGGCCAAGCTCAACAACGCTGCCAAGGAAGCTAACAAGGCATTGGCCGAACGCAGCTTTATGTCAGCAACCAATGCTATTCACCAATATTGGTTATACGACTTGTGTGATGTGTACATTGTAAGTGTGGAATTGGGTATTTTTTTCCATGGCAACGTATCACTCATAAATGCAATAGGAAGCGATCAAGCCCATTTGCGATTCTACTGACGAAGCCATGGCAACCAAGAAGCGTACCGCACAAAATACCTTGTACACTGCTTTGGAGGGTGGTTTGAAGTTGCTTCATCCATTCATGCCATTTGTCACTGAAGAATTGTATCAACGTTTGGGACGCCGACCTGGTGACAAGGTTGAAAGTATTGTCAAGGCCAAGTACCCAGTTGAGAACACCTCCTATGCCAATGAACAAGCTGAAAAGTCGTTCGATGATGTGTTCGAGGTTGTCAAGACCATTCGTAGTTTGGCTGTTCAAGAAAACAAAAAGAAGGATGGTGTTGTCTTTATTCAATCTGAGAATAGCGATTTGGTCAAGTTGCTTCAAAGCGAACAACTCGCTGTCCAGACTTTGGCCAAGGGTATGAAGGAGGTGACAGTGCTTGCTGCTGACGACAAGCAAGTTCCTGAGGATTGCAGCTCTGCTAAGGGTTTGAAGGATACTGTTACTGTATACTTGAAAAAGTAAATGTAGAAAATTGTGATCTTGTAGACACATATCATGTCATGTTCATAAGCAAATATACACTTTTATTGTTGATAAAACGTCTACGGAGATATCAGGGGAAAGGTGTCAGTAAGGTGCACATGACTTTTTTTCAATTGTGTCACGCGAGAAGGCTGCGGTGTGCCTTCCCACAAACCCCCTTTCTCTCTTTTCTTTCGCTGCTGCAAAGTCGACAGTCGGCCCATTGATGAACCTAGAAAACGTGTTGTTTTACTTTACTTTTGTCCTTTTTGGCTTTTTCCTTCTTCAACTACAATCACTCTTCAAGAAAAGGAGACGATTAACAAGGAATCTTCGTGAACAATGGAGAAACTCATAGGATACTATTCCCTTCTTTTCTTCTGTGACAAGTCCATTTGTATAAAGTTTTGGCTTATGACATTTGAATAAAAGGAGCTGCATGTTGCAGATGCATGATGCATGTGTGTAGATCTGGTGTTGCAAAAAGAAAAAGAAAACAGCAGGTTGTTCTAAAGGTACCCAGGTCACGGATGTGCCAGCTACACTCATTTAGACATATTGTAAGAGAAAGGAAACGGCTGAGACAAATAAACTTGGATCCATAGAAAAGGGCAAATAAGTAAAAGGAGATGCGGGGGGTGGGTTGTGTGCCATACATACATATACACAGGAGAGAAAGCGGCAAATAGGCCATCTGCATGAAATAGAAAAGGGAACAACACACACTTATCATCCCATTTTTTTTCTTTTCTTTTTCCATTCCTTGTAACAACTCTCCTTTCATGACAAAACAACAACATTTATCATGGTCATCTTGTGCGACTAGTGCAACTTCTAATACGCGACGAAGACGTGGTTCTGGTTCTTCACAAACGACACGATCCTTTTATCCTCTTCACAGGTCTATCACTGATGAAGAAAGCTATGCTGATAAACCATCACCTATCACACGCTTTGTGTCGAAGCTTCTGGGTAATTCTTCTTTCTTTCTTTTCATTTTCATCTCGGAACAGAGACAACATGTTTGCTGTTTTCCTCTACAATAGGCCTCGGAACATCTTCCTCCTCTACACCATCCTCCTCCTCCTCCAACCACAGAAGGCGTCCTCCTTTAGCTCACAAGTCCCATTCAACAACTTCAATCACAAAGGGAGGGTCTGTCATTTCTTCAGCATCGACTGTGCATTGCGACAACAATAATACCACCCCATCAGTTGACCTTGCGGTCCTTGACTGGAAACAAGTATCACCCACCAATAGTAGCTATTCAAGCACCTGTAGCAACGACTCAGCTTTCTGCTGCGACCAAAACCAACAACGTCTATCGTGTAGTTGCCCTGCTTCTCCACCTCCACCTTTACCAGCAACCAACACTACTACTATCAATTCAGCAGCTGTCGACGCTCTTGTGTCTGCTGCAAGTCAACTTGAACAGCAAAATAAAAAGCAACGGCTCGTCGATTTTTTGGATATAATGGAACCACCCAAGTTAACGGGTCGTCGACCTGACACCGAACCTGTATTGGATGCTCTAGTCGCTGAACAGGTAAAAAAAGTTCATCATCTTAAAAAAAAACCCCCACATGGATACTAATAATAATAATGTTATTACTACTAGATTCGATCTTATCTCCCAAGGCGTTACAGGCTAGCAACCACTTGGTCCCTTATTTACAGCCTTGATCAGCATGGTTCAAGTATGGCAACCCTTTATCGATTGGCGAAACGTAATCGAGGACCTTGTGTGCTCGCCATCAAGGATGACAATGATTCGGTAAGTGAAAGGGGGAGACCTAATGTCTATTGGAGGAAGCTTGTTCATTTGTTTGTATGATAGATCTTTGGCGCGTTTCTAAATGAATCTATCAAAGGCAACAAGAATTCATATTACGGCAACGGTGAATGGTACGTAGATGATTTGAAACTTTACTACGCTTTAATAATAGGACTAACATTGATATCTTAAAGTTTTCTATGGAAGTTCTGCCGCGCTACCAATACACTCAAAGTTTTTCCATGGACAGGAAAAAACGAATACATGATCTTATCAGAGACCGATTTTATTGCCATTGGTGGAGGGTTAGTATTGCATTGGAGGTTACTATGCACAAGAAACGGATCCTAATGTTTGTTGTTGATAGTGATGGCAAATTTGGCTTATGGATCAAAGACAGCCTTTATGAGGGATACAGCGAACAATGTCCAACCTTTGACAATGAACCATTGTCCACGACTGCCGATTTTCATTGCATTGAACTTGAATTATTTGCATTGGGGTGAGCTATATAGCTATTGATCCTATGTACTCTTTCTCGCACCATCACCAACATCATCATTCTATTTGCTCTCATCATGCATTCAACATAAAAATTATTATATGGCTTACTGGTTCTAATTGCTTTGTATTGGGTGATTTGATGGTCATTATCTATTGTTGTATCCTCGTAATGCCAAATGAGTAAAGGTCTATTTAGGGTCAACGAGGATCATAAGTTCACTGCTTGCCATGCCAACCAACTGCTGCGGATCTAGCAACTTTGATGCAAATAACATGTGCTTAAATAGAGGTAGTTTTATTGATGTCATATAGTAGAAGCCCTCCAAGACATCGAATTTCTAGTGTGTGTGTGTGTGTGTGTGTGCGAGTGGTCGCCAACCAATTCTTCACTTGGGCTGAGTCACGAATTCCAAGCTCGGTAAAGCTGTAGGAAGGACCTCTTCTTCATGTCGTCGCCACCCACATCTGCTGGCATCGTCTCTGCCAACATTAAGCTGTTCAATAGTAAATCAGAGACTGAGACACCGACATCCTACCGTCAACGACCAGCAATAACACGTTCTTCATCACAATTGGGGAAATCCCAAGGACCACCGCTTCCACCCAAACCAACAAAGCCTGTTTTCCAAGAACAAAAGCAGAAATCAGCACCTCCTTCTTCTATCCAACGCAATTTATCACCTCCCATTCCTCCACCACGACCAAGTCCTGCTGCATTACGTTCTCTCAGTAAAGTATCGGCTGTTGAATCGGCAACGTCTCAAGCGGAAACACCACCTGTTGTACATACACCAGCCAGCCTCCATGTTGAAGAACAGTCTAGACTTCCTAACGGCAGCATAATCACACACGTTGGCTCGAGCACCTCGGCAGCACTTAGAGGAGTTCTCGATAAGGTGGTGGGCAGTGTTAGTGGTAGGTGAGATGAAGGCTACCATGGGTAAATTCATCCCATTTAATATTTGGTAAAAAGATCTTTGGTCTAGTCAGGGATCGTCATCATCATCAGGCTCTGAAACACCCAACAACAATGCCAAAACGAAGATATCATCGCCCTACAACCTTATCCATGTCACCCACGTTGGCTTCGACTCTCAAACGGGGGAATTCACGGGATTGCCAAGAGAATGGTTGATCTTATTACAACAAAGTGGTATCAGTAAACGAGAACAACAAGAGAATCCACAGGTAAGAAAAAAAAGGGATAGGATATGCATCTATGTATGTGTGTGATGTCAACTCATCAAGCTATGGATAGGCTGTATTGGATGTTATTGGATTTTACAAAGAGACACGTGAACAATCGCAAGATGTAGTTTGGGAGAAATTTGGGAATGCACATCCACGACACTTTTCGAGTGAAGTAATGCGTCGATTGACTCCTCCTCCACTTCCACAACGAGCACGACCAAGGATGATTGTTGTTCCTTCGACAGCTGACAATGATGATCAACAACCACAACCTCCTCCTCCTCCTCCTCAGTCTCAATCTTCCAAACCCACTTTACCAGCGAGACCTACCATCACGCAAAAACCTATATCACCTATTCCCACTGGTGGAAGTGCACCTTCAACATCTCAGTCTACTGGTAAGGATTGGGTATCACACATTATGCAAAGACCAACATGTTTCCCTTTTAGAAGAGTCACCTGCTGCTGCTATCAGTGTTGCTCAACGATTACACAAGTTCGAGAGCCAATCGACACCCAAATTATCATACAAAGCAACGCCACCACCTAAACCACCATTATCAACAAAACCCACCATTCCTGCCAACAAGCCAACTATTCAACCTACTCAGACTACATCCACCAATACAACTACTACTATTACACCAACAACAACAACTACTACACCATCACCATCACCACCTGTTGCTCCACCACGACCCAAATTAAAACAACAACTTACAGGACCAGAGACCACGCATCATCGATCTTCTGATGTTTACATATCTCCTGTTGCTGCACCACTCGATCCAGCAATGGATGTTCCTCCTCCAGAACCACGGATACGAAGACGTGAAACGAAGAAGCCAAACAAGGATGCCGAGATATTATCCGAGCTACGTACAATTTGCACCGATGCCGATCCGACCAAGCTATATAGGAATATGATCAAAGTTGGTCAAGGGTAAGTGTGTGTATTTATCATGATATTGGGAGTATAGCTGACAAGTGTATCAATCTAGTGCCTCTGGTGGTGTATATACCGCTCAATCTGTTGATACCAATATCTCAGTCGCCATCAAGCAAATGAACCTTGCCCAACAGCCAAAGAAAGAATTGATTATCAATGAGATCCTGGTCATGCGTGAGGCTCGCAATGAGAACATTGTCAACTTTATCGATTCTTTTTTGGTCACTGGCGAGCTTTGGGTAGTGATGGAATATATGGAAGGTGGCTCTTTGACGGACGTGGTGACGACCAACATGATGACAGAATCACAAATCGCTACTGTATGTCGCGAGGCACTACAAGGAATACATCACTTGCATCATTTGGGCATCATTCATCGGGATATCAAATCTGACAATGTGCTTTTGGGATTGAGTGGACAAGTCAAGCTTAGTAAGTACCTTTGTTCTTTCATTATGCCATTTGCTCACCATCTTGTATAGCCGACTTTGGTTTTTGTGCAAGGTTGAATGATCAAGAGATGAGAACGACAATGGTTGGAACACCCTACTGGGTAAGATAAGGAGAAAATTCATGATAGAAAAATGAGATATTAACCAGGATACCGTGTAGATGGCTCCCGAAGTGGTGACGCGGAAGGAATATGGACCAAAGATTGATGTATGGTCACTTGGTATCATGGCAATTGAAATGATCGAGGGTGAACCACCGTATCTTCACGAGAACCCACTACGAGCGCTTTATCTTATTGCAACAAATGGCACTCCTACTCTTCAACACCCAGATGCTCTTTCTGAAACCTTGTTGGACTTTCTCAAGCAATCATTACAAGTGGACAGTAATCAGCGTCCTGACGCCGATGTCATGTTGCAGCATCCCTTCTTACAAAAAGCGGAGCACGTGCGATCACTGATCCCTCTTATAAAAGCTAGCCTCGATATCCGTAAGGCTCATGAATCGTAATGCCATCACATATATACCACATTTCTTGTTAGTTAGTTAGTGCTCATATGCCATTTTGTAAATATACTCGCTTAGTTTGCGCCTAATAATATTTGGCTCTCTTTTCCTCTTTCACTATCGCGTAGGAGAAGAATGGATACATGGCCGATAATGTCGAAGAACCCATTCTCAAAGCGACAAAGATGTTCGACTATCAAATTCTGTGTCGTATACCACTTCATGGTGTCGTCAAAGTAAGCATTAAAATCAAGGCATGATTGAAAGGGGTAATGAATGAATGGCTCGAGCGGGATTTGGTGCGCGTAAAAAGTCGCGTGCATTGTTCTTTTCGCGAAGTTCAACTCGACCCATTCGACATGCAGCCAAACATTAGGTGAGTGCACCTCACACTACTTGACAACCAACACCAATTGACGCCATTTCTCCAGATCGTTCTTTGAAAAGCAAGCTGCAAACAAAGGTGTGCATCTCTTTTATTATTGGCTCGACTCCTATGTGCATAGCTTAATCCAACTACTATAGATGCAGGCGATAAACGAAAGCGATCCGAGGATGCTGACAAGAGCCCAGAAACACAACCCGAGTCTCCATTGAATGACAAGAAAAAGCAACGCGTGGCTGATCCCGAGCAAGATCCTGAAATTCTGGAAGCCGAAGCCCAGGAGAAGGAACAAGAAGTCCAAAAGAGAGAAGATGCTGCTGTAGCCAAAGAGATGTAAGTATATCATCATTATGCTAAGTATGTATGGATCATTCACAAAGGTATATAGCTCGTGTTTATCGGTTCCTGAGGCTAGTGGGAAGCTTGGCAAGTCATGGAATACAGGCAAAGAGTAAGTGCGATCATCAATGTTCGTAGGATTGTTCTCATTCTTTGATGAATAGTGTCCCTTATGCTATTCTTTGCGAGACATTCAGCCTTTGTGGAAACACAACCAAGCGTACCGAGATCACTGAATATTTGGTGTCGCTGTTCCTCAAGATCATTCAACAAACGCCAAGCGCTCTGCTTCATACTTTATACATGTGCATTAACAAGGTATGCCATGCTATCACTACAATCATAATAGGCTGATTAACCCATACGTCTTTCAGCTTTGCCCTGATTATGAAGGCCTTGAACTTGGAATTGGTGAATCTTTGCTTGTGAAAGCTATTGCACAATCCACGGGACGAAAGCCTGAAAAGATCCAGGAAGATTATAGCAAAACCGGTGATCTTGGAACAGTTGCAGAGGTATTGGTTATTTGGGAATGGATAAAAGAAACTACGTATGGCTTACAACATCTCGTCTTTAGAACAGCAAGCAATCTCAGCGGACGTTATTTGCCCCAAAGCCCCTCACTGTACAGCACGTCTTCAAAACCTTGAAAGAAATTGCACAAATCACTGGCCAATCAGTAAGTTTCGCCATCGATTTAGAGTATCAATGATGGTCTTAACATGTATCCTTCATAGTCTCAATCCAACAAAATCCGCAAGATTCAAGGTCTTCTCGTTGCATGCCAAGGTCATGAAGCCAAGTTTCTCATTAGGTTTGTTACATGATGCATGTTTTATATCATCCGCATAATAACATATACATTAGACAATTGGAAGGCAAGCTGCGTATTGGTTTAGCGGAACAAACGGTGCTTACAGCTCTGGCACATGCTGTGGTGCTTAGTCAAGAAGGTTTTTATTACTCACTTTTATGACTTTGATACATCTTACTCATGTCGGTGATGGTAGAGACCAAAAAGTTGTCTGTGGAAAGCAAAGAGCAAAAGCTGGCAAGTGCTGTGGATACAGTTAAATCCGTTTACAAGTGAGTGGTCAACGTTTGGTTGATATGGCATAGGCTCACTAAACATGTATGTAGTCAACTGCCATGCTATGACATGCTCATTCCTGCGCTCTTGGAATACCCTATGGAACAATTGTTAGAGAGGTGTACAATGAGACCTGGTAGGTATCAAGAAGATGGCTTGGATGCCCACTTGCTAAATCATCTTGTATCTAGGTATCCCATTGAAGCCTATGCTTGCACATCCCACCAAGAGTCTGAAAGAAGTGTTGGATCGATTCGAGGATCAAAGCTTCACATGTGAATTCAAATACGATGGTGAACGAGCTCAGGTATGGAAGGAACGTTTGAAAACGATATGGATTGACTCATTCATGTGATGATATTAGATTCATCGATTGCATGATGGAAGCACAAAGATTTATAGTCGCAATTCCGAAGACATGTCTGTCAAATACCCTGATATCGTGGATAAAATTGAAAAGGTACATGGGACACGAAATTTGGGAGCCTACAAAATACTTACATGAGTGACATAGTGGGTTGGTCCCTCTACGACTTCCTTCATCTTGGACTGTGAAGCGGTTGCGTGGGATGTTGAGAAGAAGTGCATATTGCCTTTCCAGGTCTTGAGCACGCGTAAGCGAAAAGACGTCAAGGAGGAAGATATCAAAGTACGAGTAGCTATATTTGCGTTTGATTGCTTGTACTTGAACGGCGAGGTAATATTGAAAATTGGTTGTATGGCAATCTTGTGGTACTAATTTGGTTCATGTTATGTAGTCTTTGTTACAACGATCATTAAAAGAGCGTCGTGAAAAGCTACGAGCGTCATTCAAGATCACCGACAATGAATTCTATTTCGCCGAGCACATGGATACCAACAAGATTGAAGACATCCAAACCTTCCTTGATGTATCTATCCAAAGCAGCTGTGAAGGTCTAATGGTCAAACTCTATGAGAATGATGAGGCTTCCTATGAACCATCCAAGCGATCTCGGAATTGGCTCAAGGTCAAAAAGGATTATCTTGCAGGAGTCGGCGATACTGTGGATTTGGTGGTGATTGGTGCCTTCAAGGGAAAGGGTAAACGTACCAACGTATATGGATCATTTCTCTTGGCGTGCTACGACCCTGAGACAGAAGAATACCAAACCGTGTGCAAGCTGGGAACCGGGTTTTCGGATGAGAATCTACAAAAATTCTATACAGACTTGAATGAGCACAAGATTCAACAACCAAAAAGGTTTTATTGCATTGGCGAGAATCCAGAAACACCAGACGTGTGGTTTGCACCTCATATTGTATGGGAGATTCAATGCGCAGATCTCAGCATCAGTCCGCGATATATGGCAGGTGTGGGAGTGGTAAGTGTGTCAATGTAGCAAGGTTTACAAATCAATGCTAACTATAATGACATGTTCAGGTTGATCCTACCAAAGGCATTTCATTGCGTTTTCCCCGGTTTATTCGTACAAGAGAAGATAAGGATCCTGAAGATATCACATCGAGTGACCAGGTTCGTGCTATCGGCTGCTCATACGTATAGGAATTAACGCCTTTTCCCCTGTAGATTATCGAATTTTACAGAAAACAACAACAAAACCATGACGTATAACAATAAAGCATAGTACATATCATTGTGCACTTTCATTGCAAAGAATAAATGTTGAACATTGCTCATTTCAATTGGTCATCATGGTAGCAAAGGGCTTCTAAAGCATCCAAACAAAGGGGAGGGGGGAACAAAGAGGGGAAAAGGAAGGAACGAGGGGGAAAGGTAAAAGAAGAATGTATATCCTGATAGGTTCACAACTCCATACCGGCAGCTTCGTCTTCGGAAGAAGCGTAACTCACAGAACTCATTTCGTCCTCATCAGAGCTATCATCCACTGCCGCATCGGCTGCTTCTTTTGTCGCATATCGTGAAACATAATCTATGCATCATGCTTAGTGTCATATCGCATAATGTATCCCGGCGCATGACAAACCTTTCACTTTGGCTTCATATTTGGTAGGTTCGCGCATCAACAGAGCTGCAGCTTCACCGTTCAATGGATCCGTTGGATTGGGATAACGAAGGAGTTGGGGTAAAAACACTTCAAAGATGTTGATCATGTCTAAAATGCATTGTGAGACACGCTGATACCGAAGATTCGATTTCTCATCAGAATCACCATAGAGCTTGCTTACCAAACATTGGGCTCCACGTTTGATTGATCACATCAAGACACACTGAACCGCTACTATCCATGAATGTAAATAATAAATCCTACTTGTAGAAACCCATACTTACACTTCATCAATGTTGGGGTGGAAGATTCTGTTCATAAAACCAATACTGGGAGACTTGTAAGGATACTGATCAGGAAGTTCGACGTGCACTTTCCATACACCTCCAGTGAACGGCGCTACATTGTGAATTAGTGGAAAAGTAATAGCAATGTAGGTGTATTACGTACTGTCTGTAGGACCGTGGAAACGCACGTAGAATTCCTGCATATTGTCATTGACCAAGGTCACTTCATAGTCGCTCATTAAGCTAAACAAGTAGACGATAAATGCCGGCATCTTTAACAGCAAATGCAAGTTGTAATGCTTACAGCTTCATAACATCGGTTTCTATCCGCCTTCTTGGAGTTGACATTGCTGATAAGGAAAAGCGATTCTTGTGAGGGAAACAGAGGAGTGCAGGCTTGATCGATTGGAATTTCCGCCATTTTTAGCTGCTGCCCACGGATCAATTTCAGCACCAATGAGACAGGATAACGATTCTAGCTAGCAACACCATCTGTCACCAGCATAAACCGCATGACACATTGACTAGAGCATCAGATCTATACATACCATAATTAGCCATGGCGTCACGTACAAAGCGACATTGTATTACAAGACATGATATTACTCGCCCGTGTGTTAGGAGTTTCCTCGTAAATAGAGCACAACTTGTAATATGTATGCATTATAATACATGGCGTGATTCTTGAAATGATCACGAAATGCACGTCAACAGTTTTTTCATACTTTGATCCATTACCTCAACGGCGATAGTGATTGATTACTAACATGCTTAAACCTGCTACTTTTGAAAGACATACATGATTGCCCTCTGTGTTGTCCAACTCTCATCCTGGACTGCTGACCTTACATCTGGACTTGAATTTTGAACCTTTCCACAGATTTAAAGATTTTATACCCATCTCACACATTCCACACCACCCCAAATGCTACATGAACCATTTCACTAGTCTCAGCACCATTGTCGCTATCGGATGGTATACATCTCGAGGCCATTTGAAACACCTTCCTTTTTGGGAAATCGGCTCGCTCTTGTTACACAAAGCAAATCAAAAAACAAGGGGATGTAGCTCAAATGGTAGAGCGCTCGCTTAGCATGCGAGAGGTACTGGGATCGACGCCCAGCTTCTCCAGAACACATCATCTTCTGATCGATTGATCCAATACAGGATCATTCGGTTCGATCTTTTGTTTTTTCTTATCATAGATCACGTGACATTGCTATGTCAATCATAGAATGATCGCTTTTTTGACATTTGATTTTATCCATGCTGTAGAAGTAATCCTGGGTGATGGAGAGGGCCTTTTGCTTTTGTTAGTTCACCTCGTTTGTATGATCCACTTACTTTTAATCTCTCTACATAAAATACAAGCACTGCCGCTTTATATTTAGTAAAAGTCACTGTAAACAAAATGATCAGATCACTATCCGCGAAAATGTCTTCGTACATGCATCCATCACATATAACATCTTCAGGCACCAATAGCTTTGAAGGTATCACATCATATCATCTTCCAAGATACAGAATAACAAAGTACGATCATTTCATGAGTAATGATAGTATATGCTGATAACGATGATGGCAACATGCATGACATCAGTATAGTAATGTAAAACACATAGCCCTTTGTTAGTAGTTGCATGGTTACTGCTACCGGCAAATAACCTGTTGTTATAAGGACACATGCTTGGGTTTCCATATCTTCGCCCAAAGCCTTGCTATTGCTTCCACCAACCCACACGTTTATTTTTTTATTTAAATGAATGAGCATCTTTCCGAGTCCCGTGGTTGTACATAGCCATAACCTTTGAGTGCAGTTCTTTGCAATTCCATGCACCGGTGAAAGCTACAATGCACCTATTTCTCTTTCTCATTCAATTCCATGATAGCCAATACTGCTCACGTGCCAATGGGGTGCATTCTTGATAATAAACTGATAGGATGCTTCTATAATGGCAATAGCCTTAGTCTTTTGTCGGGTTGTTCATGAAACTTGTAATTAGGGTGGTGAGTGAAAACCTCATACATGTATCCATCCTGACGACCCTCGGCAGCAGTAAGAAAAACAGTGGATAGTAAAGTGCACAATGCAACATGTTGGTATGGTTAATATTGCAGAAATGGTCAGCGCAACCAAAAGGATCTTTGTAATGAGCCAAGTCGCTGACGTCGATGGCCATTGTCTGCTGCTGTCAACAACAACCCAAATTAAGATCAACATTGTGGTGGGGACGACCTTCGGTTGCCTCACGCTTCATGCACTTTCAAACAAGATACATACTTTTGTATGCCGAGATCATTTGTTGGCTTATCAACCATACCCATTCCATACAGGTCATCATAGGCGGACAATTACTCTCGGCGTCGTATAAGGGGGGAAAGGATCCATTAATGCACTCTCCACCAATAGGATCGACCCATCGAGTCGCGTCCTCCCTGCTGGGGCATTGTGACACAAACAAGTAGTGCTTCTGCATCTTTTGCTCTATTATAGTCATACTACTTTACATTAAACAAAGACCACTCTTCATATAGCATCACGCTTACAAACATAGAGGTGCCTGTATCTCTAAACTTTACAATGAAACGTGGGGTTTTTATTAGAGCAATGTGCTCGGCTTGGCCAACAGCACCTTGTGTGAAAGTTTCAAGTTGATCGTGGCCAATCCCAGATTTCGCAATGTCGCTACCAGCCAAACTGGATCTGGGGGTCGACCTCTTCAACGACGACGACCAAAAAATATTTTTTGGGCTGTTTGCGACATTGAACGTGAAACTTTCACACAAGGTGCTGTTGGCCAGGCCGAGCACATTGCTCATAAAAACCCCACGTTTCATTGTAAAGTTTGGAGATACAGGCACTATGTTTGTAAGCGTGATATACTTATGAAGAGTGGTCTTTATTCATTGTCAAGTAGGTGGACCCTGGCGGAGCAGGTACGGAAGTGTTGTGTAACACAGCTACGTTTGCATGAATGGAAGGGTCAATGTATAATTACTTTATGGATCATCTAGGAACAGGCATGTATTGCCAGCTAACGGCCGCACATCAATCATCATTGTTGCGAGAGATCCACTGCATGGGAACGATGCCCCTGCTGAACATTCGTTCCATGATTAAAGTAGGTTGATCCGAGCTGATTTGACTGAGCAACACTCAAGCAAAGTATCAGCTCAATAGCATCAGCTTCAACCTATCGAATTTTCTCCTGTCTGATTGTGTACTGGCAAGATGAAAAAGGTACGCGGTGGTTACACACACGTCGTTGTCCTTTCCCTTTACATGGCTTTGACATGATTACAAGTTGATATTGTATAGACATGCAGCTGCTTCTTTTGCGTCTTTATCTCGCATATTCACCATTCTTCTTTGATCTCTCCCTTTCACATATCTGGGATGGCATACTTTACATGCACGTTGATCCTAAGCTGCATTACATCTTTTACATCTCGTTTGTATTGTTTATATTGCAACCAAGAACTTCTTGTGTGTAAAGTTTAAGAAGCATGCATTGAATGCTGTGCATCTGACAATGTGACAGGTGATCCATTAGTCGTATTATAGAGTAGATCAACGCCGTTATAGCAGTCGTTTATCGAATGAAGGTGGCATTTATTATCAATCAAAGTGAGGGAGTCTTTATATCAGAAAGAAGTGTTCTCGATGCTTCGGTATGCCGGGCCGATGTCATCCTGCATAATATTTCATTTAAGATGCACACACATGGTGGAATTATCTCTTTATGCATAGTACATGTACCGGTATCTTGGGTCAAATTCCCTAGGGTTGATAACGTCAGAAAGTACGATTAGTAAGAGGATGGGAAGTATCGGTGGTCATGCATGATATAGGGTGGCATGGGTACACAAACCAATTCCGAGCCAATGTTTTACAATCAGAATCCCGGCAGTAGGTCTTTACTGAACCAATGACGGTTGCGGTCATCTGATTTACCGCTTGATCCAGAGGATATTCTTAAAGGAAAAGGATATGAAAGAGCGCAAGTCTCACTGTGAACAATGACGAGATGGAATGTATAACGAGACCAAAGTAAAGGTACATAAATCGTATTGTTTTCAAGCAGAATTGAGAAAAAGGTTTGGCTTCCAGGTGAAAGCCGTCGATCTCGTGGTCGGAGTAGTACGTCTGTATGAAGAGTGAGAGAGAGAAAGAGGAGTTACACACAAATATGGTATAGGCTCAATCCCGCGCCACGTTCTTTCCCTTCGTCATTGGTATGGCTCCTCTCCAAAGGAAAAGTGTGCATGTCTACTACTATTATGCATGGATATCACATATCACTAGTTGTTTCGATCGATCTAAAGGGGGAAAAAGATAAAGATAAAAAGGGTTGAATTGAAGGGTCATTCAAAAAAGGAGGATAATAAAATGGAGAATGACGTTTTCAACGTGGGTAATGAACAAGAAGAGGGAGTTTACATCAGTTGCCTTTGTGGCGAAAGAGCATTGCGCATTTCTTTGTGTTAGGGCTAGCTCCGTCAGACACACCGCCAACGCCAACATTCGTTGTACAAGAAACGACAATACGTCATAGAGCCTTCCTCTACCACTAATTTTCCCTTTTGTCTCCCAGCACCCTCCACCCATTTCTCCTTTCATCTGTCCATTGACACATTTGCTGCAACAGACACGCTCTTTTGTCTCTATCAAGTTCGTGTTGTGCGTGTGATTGTGTGTGGTCTTTTCTTTGACATTGACGTCTTCTCCTTTGTCGCTTTCTTTCTTTCCACCCCAACTCTTTCACCCACCCACCACCCCCCCTTATTTCCCTCACCGACAACGACCGTGATCGCTTTCCATTCAACCAGTTGACATCACTCTGCACATGTTTACAAGTGAACATCGCCAACAACAGCAGTAGCATGTCCGAACTATCGTCCTCATTGCCAGCCGCTTTCAACAATGCCACGTCTTCAGTGACAGCAACAACCACTCAATCGACATGACAGCTCATCGTAATAGTTATCCGTACACACGCAACTACTCAATATACATGCACAGCTTTATTCAGGGCAACAACAATTACAACGACGGCAACTACAACAAATGCAAAACAACAAAGACAATGAAGGCAATAAGCAGAGACCACCTGGTGCAATATCATTTGTGCCACCGAATCTCTATCGCACTTCATTACGTCTGGTGACAGAGCTCGAGATGGATGCATGGTGGTCTGCACTTGTCAGCATCTTGACTGAGTCCTCGTTTCATGCGATTCGTAATGAGTCTTTCAGTTCCACAAGATTCAAACGATCCATGGACAGGGGCTTGGGGTCTCAAAGGCTTCTTGGTCAAAACACGATGCACCAAAGAGACGATGCAGGATAAACAACAACAACAACAGCAACAGCAACAGCCCAGTGAACGAGATTACTTTGCACATAATCACCACGCTTCTACACAAGATCGTCTCAAATGCTTTGATCGTATCCATGCATTGGAATCAGATGCTGAACCACTTATCAACAACGCTAGTGCACATCGTATCATTCGACGTAATGCAATCATTGTTCTCTCACACGCAGTATCGACCACATTCTCGAAAAGACAGCACTACGAGCATGGTTGGGCGGCATTTACATTTGCATCATCACTTCGACGATCGCGACATGTTCAAACGTGCGCACACCCCGGATCAAACAGAAAAGAAACGACTTAGTGCTCAATGCTCTTTGCATGATCAGCCCTAACAGATGAGCCATCAGCACTTTTCCACGGCAGCAGTGTACCAGCTGACATGAACATTGCATCAACAACAAGCGAGTCACCTGTTGTGGGGGCCATCAAGGAACCCAATTTGTGATTATGACGAGTATGAGCAACAGCAGCAATACGCCATGGTCACAATCACCAGCACCTTCACCAGCCATGATGGATCCCGATGTGAATCCCTTTTTTCAATCAGTACCCCGGCATTGACGATGAAGCATTTAATCCCGAATCACCCGAATCATCGTACGAGAGTACAAGTATACCCTTTCCACCACCAGCTTCTAATGTTCATTCAGTCGTTCACATACCACTCGTTCATCAACACACCCGATTCTTGCGACAGCTACACTTCCAACAACTACAACAGATCCGCATCCGTCCACGTAGCAACATTCAACCAGCACCGATTTGCAATCATCATCTTTTCTCACACCGGTTGTTCCTTATCCATCAGCATTGGTAACAAGTCTCTCGGCTCTTGCTCCATTTATCGAGCAGCTGCTCAATCATTTGAACACGCACGACGTTGCTCATCACCACGACGACCTCAGCTATCATCTACCAGCTCAGTGCGTCGCCATTCATCTTTCAGAATCGTAAAAAATCACCAATATCAGCAACCAATACAGCCGAGGATCAGCAACAAGATATTGTATCGCATCAGCAACCATCTACTTGTTCTCCAGATGTCATTGTACAGCAACCTACTTGTCAACAACCTGCATTCCTTACAGCATCTCGGGGATTTATGCGCAATTCACTTGAGACAGTCACTGAGGCAGGTTCATCACCATCACCATCAGCAACAGAGGAGGAACAATATGAAGAAACGGTGCCTCCTACCTTGGTTAGGAGCCAACAATGATGGAAGTGCACTTCAATCACCTGCATGTTCAGATCGTGCCTTGTCACCATCGTCAATGGCTATTTTGGAAGGATGGGCAAAGACAACATCATCATCTCCACCACAATCATTTTCAGCAGCATCTTTGCAAATCCCGGATCAGAAGCGTGTGGATACTCGAGCACCATCAACAACAACACGAAGAACAAGAGTGGTACGAAGATGGCGACCGAGAATGAGATGGCGGCTACAAGCATTTCGTGCTCTTCATCCATGTGTATCCATGAGCTCAAGTCGCTGACGACAACAACGGCACTTGCTCACGATCAAGGAAGGAAAGCAGAATCGAGAGGCTATTTGTGGCTCCTAAATCCAGTCTTTTGCGTCTTGTGATTGATGGTATCCCTATTCATGTCTTGTAAGATTTGGAAGGAAATAGTGTATGTGTGTGTGTATGTACGCGAAAGGGGGGGATGCTCATCGAAAATGGTTTAGTACATGTTCAACAACAACGGAATTAGGTCACATGGGTCAACAATCGCATATTGCAATACACGGGCCGGCCACTTCAAGAACATTTTGGGACCTGGTTGGTTATCACATATGCATCCTGATGATCAAATGGCGTGTCGCAAGGCTTGAAATGGCATTTGAGCAAGGCAATGGATTTGCTGGCGAGTATCGACTACGACGATTCGATGGCAATTATCCTTCTTTTTATGGCGTATTGTCACTTCGAGATCTTAAAGGAAGGATTATTCATTGGTTTGGAACATGGTATGTAAAAGCATCACAATGGTATGGACATACATATCTGCTATCTCTCTTTTACTAGCACCGATGTCCATGATCAGCATAGTACTATACGGCAAATGGAAATCGAGAGCAATGAGCGCAAATACAGGTTACTTGCTGAAGCCATCCCACAGATCGTCTTTACCTTTTCGCCTGGTGTTGGTGTGACCTATGCCAATGAGAAATGGGAATGCTATTCAGGCTTTGACTTTGATCGTACCAAAGGCTTTGGGTTCATGTCGCAGGTGCATGCCGACGACCGTCAGAGACTACAACTACCAGACCTTGCACCACACAAGACCGCTGGCATTATTTGGCAAAAGTGAGATTCGATTGCTAAGCAAGGAAGGGGAATATCGTTGGTTCTTGGTCAAGTGCATTTCGGTAGATGAGCTGACACAGGCAATGTTCGCTGGTTTGGTACATGGTATGTCATATCAAAGTCCTATAGTATTATCGGTTTCTCATATACTATGTATAGCACGGATATCAATGATCACAAGCTCTTGGAACACAAGCTCAAAAACGTGCGGCTCAAAATCCATGGAAAGCAAGACACGATTCTTATCCAACATGTCACATGGTATGATTGAAATTGTTAAATGTCAAAGTTCATTTACTTTACATATGAAAAACATCCCCCCCCTTATTTCCCTCACCGACAACGACCGTGATCGCTTTCCATTCAACCAGTTGACATCACTCTGCACATGTTTCGTGGAGCATCGCCAACAACAGCAGTAGCATGTCCGAACTATCGTCCTCATTGCCAGCCGCTTTCAACAATGCCACGTCTTCAGTGACAGCAACAACCACTCCAATCGACATGACAGCTCATCGTAATAGTTATCCACGTACACACGCAACTACTCAATATCATGCACAGCTTTATTCGGGGCAACAACAATTACAACGACGGCAACTACAACAAATGCAAAACAACAAAGACAATGAAGGCAATAAGCAGAGACCACCTGGTGCAATGTCATTTGTGCCACCGAATCTCTATCGCACTTCATTACGTCTGGTGACAGAGCTCGAGATGGATGCATGGTGGTCTGCACTTGTCAGCATCTTGACTGAGTCCTCGTTTCATGCGATTCATGTGAGTCTTTCAGTTCCACAAGATTCAAACGATCCATGGACAGGGGCTTGGGGTCTCAAGGCTTCTTGGTCCAAAACACGATGCACCAAAGAGACGATGCAGGATAAACAACAACAACAACAGCAACAGCAACAGCCCAGTGAACGAGATTACTTTGCACATAATCACCACGCTTCTACACAAGATCGTCTCAAATGCTTTGATCGTATCCATGCATTGGAATCAGATGCTGAACCACTTATCAACAACGCTAGTGCACATCGTATCATTCGACGTAATGCAATCATTGTTCTCTCACGCGAGTATCGACCACATTCTCGAAAAGACAGCACTACGAGCATGGTTGGGCGGCATTTACATTTGCATCATCACTTCGACGATCGCGACATGTTCAAACGTGCACTTTTGGATCAAACAGAAAAGAAACGACTTAGTGCTCAATGCTCTTTGCATGATCAGCCTAACGATGAGCCATCAGCACTTTTCCACGGCAGCAGTGTACCAGCTGACATGAACATTGCATCAACAACAAGCGAGTCACCTGTTGTGGGGGCCATCAAGGAACCAATTTATGATTATGACGAGTATGAGCAACAGCAACCATCGCCATGGTCACAATCACCAGCACCTTCACCAGCCATGATGGATCCCGATGTGAATCCCTTTTTTCAATCAGTACCCGGCATTGACGATGAAGCATTTAATCCCGAATCACCCGAATCATCGTACGAGAGTACAAGTATACCCTTTCCACCACCAGCTTCTAATGTTCATTCAGTCGTTCACATACCACTCGTTCATCCAACACCCGATTCTTGCGACAGCTACACTTCAACAACTACAACAGATCCGCATCCGTCACGTAGCAACATTCAACCAGCACCGTTTGCAATCGTATCTTTTCTCACACCGGTTGTTCCTTATCCATCAGCATTGGTAACAAGTCTCTCGGCTCTTGCTCCATTTATCAGTAGCAGCTGCTCAAATGCATTTGAACACGCACGACGTTGCTCATCACCACGACGACCTCATCTATCATCTACCAGCTCAGTGCGTCGCCATTCATCTTTCAAGAATCGTAAAAAATCACCAATATCAGCAACCAATACAGCCGAGGATCAGCAACAAGATATTGTATCGCATCAGCAACCATCTACTTGTTCTCCAGATGTCATTGTACAGCAACCTACTTGTCAACAACCTGCATTCCTTAGCAGCATCTCGAGTTTTATGCGCAATTCACTTGAGACAGTCACTGAGGCAGGTTCATCACCATCACCATCAGCAACAGAGGAGGAACAATATGAAGAAACAGTGCCTCCTTGGTTAAAGGCCAACAATGATGGAAGTGCACTTCAATCACCTGCATGTTCAGATCGTGCCTTGTCACCATCGTCAATGGCTATTTTGGAAGGATGGGCAAAGACAACATCATCATCTCCACCACAATCATTTTCAGCAGCATCTTTGCAAATCCCGGATCAGAAGCGTGTGGATACTCGAGCACCATCAACAACAACACGAAGAACAAGAGTGGTACGAAGATGGCGACCGAGAATGAGATGGCGGCTACAAGCATTTCGTGCTCTTCATCCATGTGTATCCATGAGCTCAAGTCATGACGACAACAACGGCACTTGCTCACGATCAAGGAAGGAAAGCAGAATCGAGAGGCTATTTGTGGCTCCTAAATCCAGTCTTTTGCGTCTTGTGATTGATGGTATCCCTATTCATGTCTTGTAAGATTTGGGGGAAATAGTGTATGTGTGTGTGTATGTACGCGAAAGGGGGATGCTCATCGAAAATGGTTTAGTACATGTTCAACAACAACGGGTCAGGTCACATGGGTCAACAATCGCATATTGCAATACACGGGCCGGCCACTTCAAGAACATTTGGGACCTGGTTGGTTATCACATATGCATCCTGATGATCAAATGGCGTGTCGCAAGGCTTGGGAAATGGCATTTGAGCAAGGCAATGGATTTGCTGGCGAGTATCGACTACGACGATTCGATGGCAATTATCGCTTCTTTTTATGGCGTATTGTCCCACTTCGAGATCTTAAAGGAAGGATTATTCATTGGTTTGGAACATGGTATGTAAAAGCATCACAATGGTATGGACATACATATCTTATATATCTCTCTCTTTTTACTAGCACCGATGTCCATGATCAGCATAGTACTATGCGGCAAATGGAAATCGAGAGCAATGAGCGCAAATACAGGTTACTTGCTGAAGCCATCCCACAGATCGTCTTTACCTTTTCGCCTGGTGTTGGTGTGACCTATGCCAATGAGAAATGGGAATGCTATTCAGGCTTTGACTTTGATCGTACCAAAGGCTTTGGGTTCATGTCGCAGGTGCATGCCGACGACCGTCAGAGACTACAACTACCAGACCTTGCACCACACAAGACCGCTGGCATTATTTGGCAAAGTGAGATTCGATTGCTAAGCAAGGAAGGGGAATATCGTTGGTTCTTGGTCAAGTGCATTTCGGTAGATGAGCTTGACACAGGCAATGTTCGCTGGTTTGGTACATGGTATGTCATATCAAAGTCCTATAGTATTATCGGTTTTTCTCATATACTATGTATAGCACGGATATCAATGATCACAAGCTCTTGGAACACAAGCTCAAAGAAGCGCATGATGCGGCTCAAAAATCCATGGAAAGCAAGACACGATTCTTATCCAACATGTCACATGGTATGATTGAAATTGTTAAATGTCAAAGTTCATTTACTTACATATGAAAAACATAGAAATACGTACCCCATTGATCGGTATCACGGGTATGCTCAATTTCTTGTTGGATACGGATTTGACACCAGAGCAATTGGATTATGCACATACCATTCAACAATCAGCCGAATCACTATTGGTGGTCATCAATGATATTTTGGATCTTAGCAAGGTGGAAGCGGGCATGATGAAACTTGAATGGGAGCCTTTCCGACTTGTGAGCATGATTGAGGATGCCAACGAATTACTATCGACCTTGGCGATTCAAAAAGGACTTGAGCTCAGCTTTTGGGTGGATGAAAGTGTACCTGAAGTGGTGGTTGGTGACCGAGTGCGACTACGGCAGGTGCTATTGAACTTGATCGGCAATGCAATCAAATTCACCACTGAGGGCGAAGTCTTTACGCAATGCACCGTTGAGCATTTGGATACCCAGAAGAATGAAATGAAGTTATTGTTTGAAGTTGTGGATACTGGTTCAGGGTTTGACTCGGATGGTGAAGCCGTCATGTTTAAGCCATTCTCTCAAATCGATAGTTCGGTGAGTAGTTGAAATGTCCTTTGAGGAATTGTATCATACTCATTTTTTATTTATTGATAGAGTACACGTAAACATGGTGGTAGTGGACTTGGACTTGTGATATCCAGGCAATTGATTGAACTTCATGGTGGTGAGATGCGATGCAAGAGCAAAAAGGGCGAAGGATCCACCTTTTACTTTACGGTCAAATTCTCGATTCCTCCACCACAAACACGCCCACGCCCTCAAACGCCACAGAATGAAACCACCAGCGACCCATTCTTTAGAACGAGCGTATGTACATCAGTCGCTGCTAGTCAAAATGCTTCACCTTTACACCAACAGCCGACACCTGCCAAGAGCATCAGCAGTGATAGTAGCAGCAACGGCTCTTTATTCATCCCATCTCCTTTGGCACATTCCAAGAAGCACTCACAAGCGAATGATTTACCCACGTCGATGGAATTGTTACAGGACGCACTATTGAACAAGGCAGCGACGATGCGATTAATGCCTCCCCCAACACGTGGTGCCAAGCAACAGCAACAACAACAACAGCAGCAGCAGCAGCAGTCATCAACAATGACACCACCTAGAAACAAAGAACGCACCCCTCAGATATCATTATCCAAAGCATCACCACCTACAATGTCGTCTGTTCCTCCTCTTGGTTTACTCTCTCCCAACAGCGGCATTATTCTTCCACCAAGGACACCTACACGTGGATCGCCATTGCGTATTCTGGTAGTTTCGGAATGGCCACATGCACGCGATACCATTGTCAAACATCTACGTGCTATCCTAGGTGGCATTTCAAATCAACATCACGATTATCAGCTACACATTGCAACAAATCACATCGAAGCAACACAAATGATTGCTTATCCACAATCCATGTCATATGACTATGTTGCTCTCAACTTGGCTTCTGATCAGCACGTACTTGGTGTTACCCGATTGATTTGTGGTTCTATGCAACACAAGGATGCGAATACACTTGTTATTACTACTCCTATGCAACGATCTCTTATTATGGAAAGTGCAAAGGATCATGAACAAGAGATGATTCCTGTCAATTGTAGCTTTGTTTTCAAACCTATCAAACGAAGCAAGCTGAATTGGTACTTTGGTGTTCGACAGCATGACCTTGCTTCATCCCGTGACCAGCAAAGCAACGATCCCGCATCACAACAACCACAATCATTTACAGCGGCAGCAGCAGCAGTGATGGCTCCAGATTCGTCACAAAAGCGCGTGGCAACGCAAAAGGAACTTTTCAGACGCATGGAACAGGATGTTGGTGGTAAAGGATACCGGGTAATGTTGGTTGAAGGTGAGTGAGTTTATCTATAATAACATTGTCAATCAACTAAATCTTTTAAATAGATAATCTCGTGAACCAAAAGGTATTGACAAGATACTTGGTGCGTGTGGGACTCGATGTGGAGGTAGCTTCCGATGGTCAAGAGTGCGTGGACATGTTTCTTAGACATCCCCATGGCTACTATTCCATCATCTTATGTGATCTGTTCATGCCCGTCAAAGGTACTACATATGCCCTCTTTTTTCAAGGTAACTATGATTAACTCATTGTATGTGTTGTAGATGGTTACGAAGCAACCCGTGATATACGTCGGTGGGAGCATGAGAATTCTCAAGAAAGCATACCGATTGTAGCACTTTCAGCCAATGTCATGAGCGATGTAGCACAAAAGTGCATGGATTGTGGTTTCTCGACCTATATATCAAAGCCAGTCAACTTTGCCACGCTTAGCGACGTTATTCGAAAACACTTGCTCAAGCAATGATCAACTACAACTAGAATCATGCTTTCATTCCATTTCTCACCCCCAATTGAATTCAATGTATATCCACCTCTTCATCCTCAGTAAAAATTACATACGTCTTCATTCAAAAGTATGAGTTTAAATGTGGGGTTGATTTGTGTCACCATTATGCTGTCAACGTTGTTGCTGTATCACCTTGACGGCCCGATTCCGAGCAACGATATCAGCAGTCTATGAAGAGAAAATGGTATCATCATCGAGTGCTATGTATTTAGTGGAGTGGAGGTATGTCAAGGCATAATTAAACGATGGACCAAGGACACACACAAGGTACAATGTTTATGCAGCTGCTGCAACGGTGACGCAATTGCATCATGTGTAATTGGAGGCGTTTTGACCAGTGACACGCACAACACACGTTTGTTTCCTTTTCTTATTTCTCCTTGCCACGCAAACTCCCCACTCTACCTCACTCCCATCATGACTCTTGCATTTGGTAATCTGAAAACTGTTGCATTGCGTACGCGTCAATTGGTGGTAAGTAACTTGCGCATTGCTATGCTTATACTTGTATGCTAATACAACAGTTACCATAGACCTTGACACGTTTTATTAATACGAGCAGTTCCAATACGATGGCAAGTGCTACTGAAGCTAAAGAATCCACAGGTGCTAGTAAGAAGGCACCATTGATGAAGACATTTGAGATCTATCGATGGGTAGGTTGTTCTTATTCGCCGAGCTTTATGAGTGCTGATGTATATATTACAAGTGTCCGGATAGACCCACTGAAAAGCCTACACTTGAAAAGTTCCAAGTGGACCTCAATGCGTGTGGACCCATGGTGTTGGATGCATTGATCAAGATCAAGAATGAACAAGACCCATCGCTTACTTTTCGCCGTTCATGCCGTGAAGGCATTTGTGGCTCGTGTGCTATGAACATTGAAGGTGGAAACACGCTCGCTTGCATTTGTAAGATCAACCGTGATGTCAGCAAGCCCGTCAAGATCTATCCTTTGCCTCACAGTATGTATCATCATCATCATGCACCCACTCTATGTAATCGAACATGATCATTTATGTATATCATTCAGTGTATATTATTAAGGATCTGGTGCCGGATATGACCCACTTTTACAAGCAATACAAGAGCATTGAGCCCTATCTCAAGCAAGTCAAGGGTCCAGAGCCGGGTCATGAGAACTTGCAATCGATTGCGGATCGTAAAAAGTTGGATGGACTATACGAATGCATTTTGTGTGCTTGTTGCTCGACCTCTTGTCCTTCGTATTGGTGGAATCAGGAAGAATACCTTGGTCCTGCTATTCTATTGCAATCATATCGTTGGATGGCGGATTCACGCGATCAATTTGGACCTCAGCGACGTGAGCAGTTGCAGAACAAAATGTCACTTTATCGTTGCCATACCATCATGAATTGTAGCAAGACTTGTCCAAAGGGACTACAACCTGGTGAAGCCATTGCCAAGATTAAGCTATTGATGGCAACAGAATAGAAGCATCGTGATTGTAGGGGATGAAAAGAATGGTGGATGGATGACTCAGGATAGTAAATGGTCGTGAAATGAAATCATCAAATACAATGTCCTTCGCACACTGCGGTCGCTTTTCCTTTATTCTTTCTCTTATATAAACTACGGCTATGTATAAAACACCTGCCAAACGTATCATTACAAAAGAACACTTGGAACAGTTTCTTCAATCGGAGGCTTATCAAACCTACATTGACTACATTGTACGCTTGAACGATTCTGTTTGCGACCTTAAAATCGACTCGGACATCCATGTCTCACCTGTAAGCAAGCTTATGCATCCGATGAGTCATAAAACCCCACCACGTAATACTAACACTGTCGATAGAATGTCAACCATATCCTCACCTTGCTTGATACGCTGCTCAACTTCATCAAGGAGATCCCTGCTGTTGAAAACTCAAAGTCGCGATTCGGCAACCCTGCTTTCCGAGACTTTTACGACCGAGTCGAAGCATCCATCACAGATCTATTGAAGCCCTTCGTACCTGAGGACGCCATCGTAGAAGTGTCTCGTTACTTTGTTGAAAGTTTTGGCAACCGGCGACGTATCGATTATGGCACAGGCCACGAAGCTAATTTTATGGCATGGTTGTAAGTAGTGAAGTATGGATAGGATGATGGCGTGGTAGATGATGACTGATAATATCACTTTGTGAATAGACTATGCTTGGAAAAGTTGGGCGTGCTCACACCTGAGGATGATAAGGCAGTGGTTTTAAGGATCTTTGTAAAGTAAGTATATGGATGGCAATGGAGCATCACTATCGGTTATTAATGTATGCTTAGATATATTGCTGTGATGCGACAACTTCAATTTGAGTATTGGCTTGAACCAGCAGGATCACATGGCGTTTGGGGTCTTGATGATTACCACTTTTTACCATTCATGTTTGGATCATCTCAGCTCAAGAGTAAGTTGAAAAGAAAGGAAGAGTGTCAAAATAGGATGGGGTGATTCATTGACCTGTTTGATAGACCACAAGTACATTCGACCCAAATCCATTCATGATCAAGATACTGTGGAAGAGTTTTCAAAGTCATACATGTACCTCGCTTGCATCCAATTCATCAACCAAGTAAAAACATCAGCATCGCTACGATGGCATTCACCCATGTTGGACGACATCTCTGCATGCAAAACATGGATCAAGGTGAACCAGGGCATGATCAAGATGTACAAGGCCGAAGTACTAGGCAAATTGCCGATCATGCAGCATTTCATGTTTGGATCCCTTATCAACTTTGAAGGAGGTGTTGACAATGCTGAAGAAGACGAGGATGAATGTGGCCATAATCACCATCAAGATACCTTTGCAAAAGGACAAGAGTACCCCGATTGCTGTGGCATCCCTGTTCCCAGTGCTATTGCAGCAGCTGCATCTCGATCACGTTCACAGAGACCTATTCCTTTTGATTAATGCGTACATTGAAAAGTAAAACGATTAAATACATGTTTATTATCGTGTTTGAGGGTTTTACATTTTACTCTTGCTACGTCCAACAAAGCTGAGAATGGAGTTGGGGTAATCATGGTTGCCGCTGTTAAGCCATTGACCACCATCAACCACTAAGGTAACACCAGTGATGTAATTGGCTGCTTCAGAGAACAAGAATAAAGCAGATTGCTCAACATCCTTGATCTTGCCGACACGCTTGAGGGTAGATTAAGGTTAATAAACTAAAGTCCCTCACTTTCATTATCTTCATCTTACCTGGAGAGGAACAGCAGCTTCTTTAAAGTTTGCAGCCAAGCGATTGGCACCTTCAGTGTCAGCAATAAGACCTGGAGAAATACCATTGACGCCTACACAATGTAACAAGATGATGAGCTTACAAAAACGTGTACATACATAATCAAGGCAAGAAAAGAATACTTACGGATACCATGAGGACCCAACTCAACAGCCCAGTGAGTGGTTAACGCATCAATGGCAGCTTTTGCAGCACCCACATGAAGCTGGAAGGCTTTGCCAGTGTAATGAAGTGTTGCACTAATGTTGAGCACAGCGCCTTTGCTCGCTTTGAGATGAGGGAGAGCGGCCTTGGTAAAGTTAAAAGTGCCAAGGGTATCAATTTCGATTACGGTACGGAAGGCATTGTAGGAAAGGCCTTCAAAGGGGGCTAAAAAGTTGCCGGCAGCACCATTGATCAAAAAGTCAATGCGACCATACGTTTCGACTGTTTTGGCAACAGCAGCTTCAACTTGTTCAGGTTTGCGGACATCAGCTGCAACAGGCCTGTAGCACAATAAAAGGTTTGCATAATGAGCGGGACATGTCTTTTTTGGGATTATGCTTTGTTGGAAAATCACTTACAAAACAGGACCACCAGTAGCAGCACTCATCTCTTTGGCAGCCTTTTCCAATTTTGAAAAGCTATGATAAAAGCATTTAGTCAACTTGTCTTTGTGCATATGCATGTAAAATTTACGTTCTGCTAACAATGGCAGCCTTTGCACCATGGCGTAATAAAGCTTCTGTCAAACCGCGGCAAATGCCCGATCCACCACCAGAGACGAGTACGACCTTGCCTGCAAAGATATCCTTCTTGAAAATGTCAGTGGTATCAACTGGAGCGCTCATTGTGGGAAATTGAAAATAAAGAAATTAGACAAAGGAAAAAGATGAATTGAGAGATCGATTGTCCTTTATACACAATTTGGGCAAAGGTGGGGTAAAGTGATCTCCGCTATGAATGTGTGTAGCTCGCTCGGCCAGTTGCACCCTTGTATGGTAATTCTTCAGTGCCAGCGAGGTCTCAGACAACGTTGAGTCAGCGATAATGTTCGGGGAAATTGTGTCCCACAAATGCCCTTTTGTAATCCAAAACCTCCCATCAAGTGGTAGATCAAGTCCTTTCATCGTGTTCTTTGGGGGAATGTTTATGCCAGTAGTCATCATCTATCGTATACACATATACAAGCTGTATCTGTAATATCTTTTACGTCAGCTAATTTATCACCACGTACCCTCATTTGATGATTGTCTATTGCTGGGCATCATCATTGAACTTAAAAGAAAAGGATACTTGTAGCTAACATCAAACCTGCCATTGTCCTTCTTGATTGTGGAGAGTGCTTTCGATTAGCAATAACAGTAGGCCCAAGTTCTCCTTATCGTGTATCCAAAGCTTAACGACAAATGCTTGTAGTAATTCAACTTGCTAAATGTGAACAACAACCAACATACATCAAATAAAATGCTCCTTGATTCTCAAAGTAACATCATAATGCAACGTTTGACCTATCTAGTATTTGTCCACAAGGGACCGTTTGCTCCATATGCTTTATATACCAGCAGCCTGTGTCTTTATTATTTAGGGCAAATACGAACAAGCCATTTCTATCAATGTGATCAGGGTTCCTAGGTCACGTGTATAGGCTATGCAGGCCCATTAAGTAATCGAGCGAGTGCTACGGGGTGTTGTATCTGATGTCTAGTATGACTATGCCTGCTATAGGGAATGAGGGGATGATGTGATATCCCATAATCTGGAATGTTTGTATGCATCGATCAGCCAGTGAGAATGCAGGCATTATCTACACATGCAATGTGGCTGATGCAGCCTGCTGATGCAGGGAATGATGTCTAAATAATGGTTAGTCTAATTTTTTAGTTCCTGGCCTAGGTTTCATCTAGAAACGACGCATTTGTTTCTCTCAATCGATGAATGATATGGAAATAAGTGGGTTACAAGGAAGGATGTGATATTGGTGATTGAACAAGTAGCTTTTATAATATCATCGTCATCAGCTGGTACGCTGGGTTGCTAAAAAAAGAACGAGGGTAAAAGAGGGGGGGAGAGAGCGGGTGTTACTGTTGCGAGTGTGTGAAGCTCTATTTCTTTCCTCCCAAGCGTCGGCTTTCGCAATGGGGCCGCCAATAACTCGATCTCATCGCTCTTTCCCTTGGTTGTTATTACTCTTATGGCTATCAGCAACATTCTTATTCACCAATGCACAATCGACTGAAGAGAATGAGTCAATGTCCCTGGCTGACCCGGTCTCCACGACACCTCCTACTTCCACCACCCCAGTTATAAGCTCAACAAGCACGACAACTTCTTCTCCTGCAGCCACCTCCTCTGCAGCTGTCAATAACACCAATCCAATCACCGTTGTACTCGCCAATTGTTCATTCGACCATGGTCATTGCAGCAAGGTTCAAAGAGCTGCCGAGACAGCGGCTGCTGAGCTTACTCAAGTTGTGAATATCAAAGTGGGCATCACGCAAGTATCCATGCATCTTTTTTCATATCATTGTTATACTAACAATGAGTGATTGTAGTGTCAAATTGGATTACTTTAGCTTTTGTGATCGATCATGTGCTAACGATACCTATGGATTTGGTGTACCTGGTTCACAAGTAAGCGAATTGCCCATTGTATCGAAGGATTATTGTTCTAATTTGGATTCTTAGTTTGCTTTGAATGCCAAGAGTAGCGGTGTTGATCGTAATTACATTTACCCACAAACGTTGGCACGGCAACTCGTTCAGTTCATCAAGATTTCAACTTGGGCAGACTATGACGTACGAATAGCCATCAACCATGACGTTTACATGAATGCTGTCGACTATGAAGCTGCAAAGTCATCAGGATGGAATGGCACTGGGGTACCTCCTGGAGGCAAATATTGGTTTCAGGTGAGCCATTGTTATTGAGGAGAGGTATAATGATGAAGATGATCATGATGATTGATGTTGGATTATTTAGGGAGATGGCGATATTGGTGACAATCAAGTGGACATGGTGTACATCATCTTGCATGAATTGATTCATGGTATCGGGTTTATCAGCTCTTGGGCCGCCTATTTCTACATTCCCCAATCACCTTACTACAAGCTGGTGGAAGGCATCTTTGAGGAAGAAGAGCTACGTCTAGTGACTCCCGAGCCAACATTGTATATCCCAGGAGAAGCTGGACAAGCTTACATTACAGGATTTGAATCGACCATGATATTCGACAAGTTCCTCAACGTGACCTATGAGAGCCTGAATGAGACCGATTTCATATCATTACAAAACTTCACCATGACGCTACAGAATTTTTGCCTGCAACGACAAGACGCATTTGTCATCAACTTTTTACACAGCTTTTTGAACGAGGCCAGTGAATCAAGAACATCAGCACAACTCTTCAAAGCCATGTCAACGCCAGGCACTGTCACCTTTAACTTTCGACCAACATCTACCAACGACAGTGTATATATGACGGATGCCTATTTGAATACGACATACAGCTCGAATTTGACCTTGTTGACTGGAGACAACCTTGTGCATCCAACATTGAATGAATACACTGGGCCAAGCAATCCACCAGGGCTCGCCATATCACATTTGACAGATGATTATACATCATCGTTGGATTTCATCATGACCGGTATATTTCCCACAGGATCAACATTGACAGAGCTAGTGGATGAAGCGTACAAGGATGTTTCGAATATCACATACCATGATCTATTACCGAATGGCACCATGGTTCCCAAAGTCTATCGATCGCCTATTGGTCCAGGAATATTACGCGTATTGGATGCAATGGGATTTTCGACGGCATTAGCTAGAACGGATCCCGACCGTGAGACCATTGACGACGACAATGACAGCCAACAGAGCTGTGATTGGAAATGGTTATACCCCAAACCTCCTCAATCAACATCCTCGGCATCGTTACCGCGACCTCTTGTTCTTCCCGCCTCTTTCTCCACCGCTCCCGCCATTTGCTATCATCTTGTCCTATTACTCCTTGTCATTTGTATCATATAGTTGCAGCTTTGTTTCCCCCCCGGATCAAATGTTCATTCATCCATCCATCCATCCATCATACAATTCTTCCTTCCCCTCCTCCTCCTCCTTTTCGTCCACCATCTCACGTTTCTTTTTCCTTCTTCATCCCGAATATCCTCCTCCTTTTCCAATGTACTTGTTTGATTTGCATAATCTCATACTCCTTGTTCCGATCTACTCATATGATAAAACAATCGCATCATCTAGTTGGTTTCTTTGTTTGTAATGCTTTCATCATTAACGCTCGGGGGGGTGGTAAAAGAACGTGGTAATGGGTTGCTTTGTTCCGAGCAATTGGAGAGAAATAGCTTCTTCCGTATACAAGCTCAAGAGAAAGAAAGTTTATATACGTGGATGCCATTGGATAGGCTATGTATACGATGCATGAATGTTGATATTCTTTGCTCTATTGCAGATCTTTTCTATTCGCGCTGCATTTCTTGTTGCAGGATGTGGTACCAGTTTAGCCGATGTAATTGCATAAAAGTACCCAAGGAGCTGCTAATAATATCGATTCATCTTGGTTTGATTGTTTTCAGAAATGTATTTTGAGAATAAAGTTATAGAGCAATGTCTGTTTTCTTTGTTCTATCTAAGCATTTAGCCAGTAATATAGGATCTACCATTATCAAATCTCAAGGTGATAGTCAAAGAAATCTAATGGAAGTGTATCATGTACTAGATACAGGTATGCTGATGGATGCTATGATGATGGGGATATACCAGTGGTAGGGGTTACCATATAAAAGTGGGCAAGTTGACAAGGCAGTGCACAAACAAGGTCATCAAGCAGCTGCATATTTACTCTTCAGAGGAGATACAATCTGTCATCCCGTTTAAACCATAGAAGCAAGAAACCATGTTCATTGATTATATGCAAGGCTGCGCATGAAATGATGGGTAGATGATGAAAGAGAGTAAACCTAACACCCCTCGTCACTCTTTCTCATCAGGTGCCCCATGCTCCTTTGATCCTTTTCCCCCCTTCTCCCAATCACATTATTTCTCCCTTCCTACTACCCTTGCTCGTTTCTCATGCAGAGCAGTAAACTCCCTTTTCCCCCTACAGCAATAATAAAAAGGTGACCTGCATTGCGTAGGTATATATATATATATACATACGCCAACATTTGGGTTTGTCTTGTACCTTGCTTTTCTTCCTCTCTTTCTTTCTTTCCACACACAAACACACAAACACACATCACAATGACACACCTGAAATCGACATGGTCCAGCTTTTTTTCACGCTTCCAACATGACAACAACAACTTACCTGCCAACGGTGACCGTCGTCGTCCATCACATACTAGCAGCTGTAGCTCGCTTTCAATGTGGAGTGATACCGGATCCACATTTTCGGAAAAGAAAAAATCAAGCCGAGGTTTATCAATCCCCTCTCTTTTGCTTCGTCGACGAGGATCAGGTGCATCGACGTCAACATCATGCTCGTCACTCGTATTGGATCAACAACAGCATGACATGGAAAAAGAAACAAGACGGCTACAGAGCCTTTATGAGTTAGCCTTAGATGAAATCAAGTATGCCGAAGACTCACGTGGATCACCTTATTATCCTGGTGATCGAGTTACTGCTCGAGAGGCCATTGATGGATGTGCAACGGCTGTCATGGAACTACAGCAACAAAATCCAACATTGCAACCACTCATTCATTCTACCATGGCACCTCGTCTCATTGAACTTGAAACAAAATACCATGCACTACCCAAACCAGTCGATGAGGCATAATACCACCACCAAGCCCACCATATAGCATATACTTTCCTTGTAATTCGTTCTTTTGTATAATAATCCATAGCATCCACAAATGCATATTCCCACTCAAACAAAAGAAAAAAGTCTCAACCACTTTTAATACTCTTTAAGTGTTCTTGTTTCAATTGGATTGTGTTGTTCAAAGAAAGAAATGGCATAGAAGGAGGAGTAAATCTCATTGTCATGCAACAAAGAAACAAGCGTGTTATGACACGTGATGAGGGGGAAAAGGCGTCTTTTCTTACTTAACGCACGAGATCATCTCCTCCTTCTGTAATGTCTTTATTCAAAAGCAACGACACATGTAAAGAGGAGAGTAGACGATGACGGCATAATGGGCAATCAGGAACAATTCGGGCTTTTCGGGCAATTTATGCAACACCACGACTCCTTCTCCTGCTCCTCAGCCCCGTCCCCTTTGACCACTTTACCTCATACAAGGAATGCTGTCATTGTGCGAGCTTCCTATTGACATTCTCACCGAACAACTATTGCCTCTCTTGCACATTGGTGACCTGGCTACATTGGCAGCAACATGCCGACATTTGAAAATGCTTTGCAATGAGGACCGGTTGTGGCGATATCGGGCAGCTGCCGACTTTTCTTTGGATACGTCAAGACTTGAGCCTTGTCAAGGATGGAAACAGACATACAAGAAGATGGTGGATAACAGCATGGTTTATGTATGGGGCGAGAATTATGATAAAAGACTTGGTATCCATGACGACGCTATGGAGCAGTAAGTTATACGCGCATCATGCTGCTGCTGTTTCATCGCACCAAATCAGCTCATCCACAAGATTATCTTAGGTCTCTGGATAAAGTGGTGATACCTATCAAGATGACAAAGTTGGTTGGAAAGGGCATTGCACAAGTTGTGACAGGTGGATGGTCATTTCATGCATTGGATTACCGGGGGCGTGTATGGATGTGGGGAATGGTAAGCTTATTATGGGGAAAATGAAGGATGCATATTCTTACGTTGGTCACGTGTAGATGCAACCAAGGAATCCATTGACTGGTCATGGTGAAGAAACTACATTTGGTGTCGTGCACTTGCCATCCAATATCCGAATCATATCACTTGCCAGTGGTCGTTCACACGCCATTGCACTTGATGAAGGCGGCAGAGTTTGGCATTGGTCCAATCGTTGGCAACCCATGTTGGTGAAGAGTCCTGCTGGTTCTGCAACCATGATCCAAATCACAGCTTGCGCATTTTATTCGGCTGCCTTATCCACAACGGGTGACCTTTATACCATCAGCTATCCTATCATCAATTCAACTCCAAGCGTGAACCACGTATCAATGCCATTGCTACTGCACTCATGCGATCGCATTATCCAGATCGCAGGTATGGATTCAGCGATACTTGTCCTTACAGCTCATGGTCGGCTATTTCGAGTTTCTACACCATGCAACAACCCCCACATCCAAGAATTGCTTGGCTTTTCCACCCTCTTGAATGGCAGCAATCGGTTATCTATCAATGCCCATCAACATTGGTTTGCTATTGTCGACCACACTGAAAGCAAGATGATACTGGGGAATCAAAAAGATGAACATCCATTACAGCAATTCAACCTAGACACGTTAGTGAACAGGATAATGTTGGGCAAGTAAGTTGTTGAAGGACACACACACATGGTCAAACATGGAAATTGAGACACAAGTGCGTGTAGGAATCACATGGGCGTACTCACGGTGGATGGAACTTTGCTGACAGGGAGCTTTCTTCAAGATGCAACAAAAGACCCATTGCTAGGCCGTCGCCATCATCATCGTGACCCATCTCTTACTCTTGCTGAAGCATACGATGCAATGGATTTCGATACTCCTGTGCATGTATACGCTGCAGGATTTGGAGGAGAGCATTCAGCGTGTTTGGCTTTACCCCGCGAAATTTTCTAGAATGGGTTCTCACTCAAATCTTGTATTACGACGATAACGATGCCGATCTGGATCAAGACAACGCTGTTGGTCTATTAGTATAACGACCCGAGACTTGGGTTTTTTCACTCATCGAGCTCTCCTCCCCTCCCCCCAATTCACTTTACCCGATACGTTCCGGTGCGTGTGTGTGTGTGTGTGTGTGTGTGTGTATGTGTATTCCTGACAAGTGGTGACTAAGGATAGTTCACGAGATAATAAACCTTCTTTCTTGCATTGTAAAAAACTGCTTAGCAAGCACTTGTTATTATTTTGGTAGCCGTGTGTACTTTTTTTTTGCCGTGGGTGTCTGTAAAATGTCATGATTGGCATGTTGTTTGTTTACAATTCTTGTCACACTTTAGGATCTCTTATATCCACCAACAACTCCTCCCCAAAATAGATCAAAGATCTTACACATGCCCTTGATCCCACGAATAGTAAAGAATTGGCTTCCATGCTATGGTATGTGTTACAGGTTAGAGTTGGCTTGATGAATCAGTGATTGCAAAAGAAGGATTGAATGATGAGGCTCTATAGCAAAGGCCAAGCTACGAAGTCCAAGAATAAGCGAGTGGGTCTGTGCGTCAAGGTCATTATGGAGATATGATACGTGAACACACGTGTTGTGCTCACTTGTTGCACGGCATGTGAGAATGGGAACAATGGAGAGAGCGATTTTGTTTTCTCCATAATGTCATCAATAGGAGTAGAGTAATTAACGTGAGAGCGACTTGTCATGGCTAATGCATTCTTTCAGATCTTGACATTGCACAACCACAGCCCAGCTGTCGTTACTGGTTCATGAAATGCTTGTGAATCCCATGTGTTTATCATATCCAAGTCAGGTGCTCCATGCGAAAGGAGGTCACTGCATGCTTGCGTTCTCGAGCAAAACGCAAACAATGATGGCCGATTGCTACCAAAAGCGATACATGTCACTCTTTATGATTCAATATTTGATACATTATCATGCATTATCTATAATAAATTACTGTATCCAGAAATAAACAAGGTAATTATTGGCTACAAAGTGAATGAAAATAGTAAGCAACATCATCAATCACTACGCTTCTTACATTGCTGGGTCAAACCATCGACCATCATCATCACCACCACCATGCTTTCAAATAAAGGTATACAAAGCATTAGCCCTTAGTGATCCTTCACATTCATCTTATTCCCCAATTGTTGTGCAAAGACCAAGCCCTAAGGGCAAGAAAGCGATGGCTGTGTACGAAGAAAGAGTTAGTCAGCTGAAGTGGAGGGGGGGTAACAGGAATGTGCACGCGTTTTACCCACCGATCCCCTGTGCTGTGTCACCACAAGTAGTTTGATGTCCAGATTTATACCAGCGAGCTTTAATTTTTATTTCAATCAATCCAGCTAGAGTGCTCTTCTTTTTCCACTTTCCCCACTTTTTTCATCTTGCTATATGTCACATCAATCCGATGTCCTGATCGTCGGTGCAGGTACAGCTCGGCTATAAACAAACAAACATTAGCACACAAACATCATTATTAAGCTCATTTGTTGATTGTACAACGCGTCTCGTTACATAAACAGGTCCTACAGGTCTATATGCTGCTTTGCTGCTGAGCCATATGGGCTGTTCGATTCGCATTATCGGTAAGACATGAACAATCACAATAAGCAATTATCATGTATTCATCATTGCATGGTCAAATACTTTTAGACAAAAAAGGGGCCCTTGATCCCTATGACAACCCTAACTACATCTGGTCACCAAGATCGCTTCAATTATTGCAGGCATTTGATTTAACCAACATGCTTGCTGAACGTGGACAACGACATTGGCGACTCGAAACCTATACCAACAAGGGTTACGGAAGCAATGCCATAACCACCGATCGACGTAATCACAATGTGTGGGAAAACGAGGCGACCGAGTTTAGTTGGAGCTTGTCATGCGAATGCGATCGTGTGTGCCGAGCCATGATTGATACATTGGAACAGCGGGGCGTTGAAATTCAATACAATCACGAGCTTGTTGATCTCGAAAATCATCCAACATTTGCCAACGCATCGATTCGCACACCCACATCCTCTTATGACTGGAAATCACAGATTGTTCTTGGTGCTGACGGCGGCAACAGCTTGGTGCGACAAAAGTTGGGTATGTTTTCCTTTTCTTCACTCGCTGTGTAACTTCATTACGTCGTTTCGTATAACACCAGTGCTGTCGCTTTTGTTTCAGGCATTGCATATGAGCGCCCAAGAAAAACCAGCACCGTATTTTACACGGTGGAAGCTACGGTCAATACCAACTTTCCTAGTGCACGCAGCATGTCATCCGTTACCAAAGATGAGAATACGTTGTTCATTGTTGGTAAGCATAATGATGACGACGACCTTTGTTGTTGTTGCTATGATACCTTTGTTAACCAGCAAATGTGTGTGGGTGTGTATCTAGGACACCGAAACAATAAGATGTATATATCATTTGAGCATCGCCCCAAGTGGAGTCGCCTCACCATTGATGATGACGTGCCTCTCATTCTCGCTCAAAAGCATATTAAATCTGTACTCGATCCATACCAAATTGAATTTACGCAGGTGCATGCATACCGAAGATGGTCAGGTACGTCAACAATGTCAAAATTAAGCGTATTTCTCGATCTCATTTATTTCTCTCTTGATATCTTTAAGCGAGCGAACGGGTGTGTGAAGAATATGCAATTGATCGAAAATACTTCTTAGCTGGTGGCTCAGCACAAACTGTATCGCCTGAGGGATTGCTTGGATCCGATTTGGGATTGGAGCAAGTGCACAATTTATGTTGGAAGATAGCCCTTGTTCTCAAGCATCGTGGATCGCCTCAACTCCTTGACACCTATGCTGATGAGTGTCAATCCAAATGGGCTGATACGATATCAGCATCCAATGCATTGATTCACCTTTTCACTTGTAAAACGCCGACATCAGGCACGGGTCTCAATTCAACACCTGACCGTGAGCTCGGATATCAACTTCACCGCAATAAGCATAGCCTTGTTGGTGAAACGCCCTATCATGCCAACCTTGTAAATGTCGACACCACCAGCACCGTCTCATTCAACTCACACAATAGCAATGACACCATTCAAGCTGCTGCCGTGGTCACGATGCGTGCACAGTGCAAGATTCACCCTGGCAGTCCTGGTACCCTAGCCCAAAACTCCAAACTCAAACCATACACCTTGTTCAGTCTCCTGGTGTCACCCTCAAGCAAAACACCGTCTCCGCCTTCAAGTACAAAGAACACAAGCACTGATGACCGTCCTCCTCGATCACGTACTTCTAAGCGTCGATGGCGATCCCGTTCGAATTCAGCCTCTGGTCCAAGTCGCTTTTTTGCACCTTTTCTCGGCACCATCGCCAAACGACAATATGACATTCCATTCACCACGGCTACCAATAACTCCGTTCAGCCATCCTCACTTGCAGATCGATGGCGCATGATTAAAACAACACATTATCGCCTCGTCGATCGTATGCTGTCTGGTTCCTTTTCATTCACTCTGCTCGTATTTGCAGGATCCATTGCTGAACGTGAGAATTTGGCGCTCTTGCAACGTTTTCGACGACATCTTGAAGAACCCCATTCCTTTTATAAACGATATGAAAAGCTTCATTATCCATTCAACTATACAGTAACCCAGCAACAGCAGCAACAACAGCAACAGCAACAACAACAACATCAGCGATCCTCCTCCTCCTCCACAACATCCACAACAACAAAGCAACGTGATAGTCATGGTTGGCGTGACACTATTCGTTCTTCTCGTTCATCCACTACAACATCCTCATCATCCGCAGCTTCATTCTTTCGATTCTCTGCCAGTCTCTTTCCATCACCACCTACATCACCCGTTTCTTCATCAGCTGGTCGAAGCTCTTTTGATCAACCACGCCCTTCTATCGACACATACACCTATCGCCGTGCTCGTAGCACATGCAGCACTACCGCACCAGCTACATCATCCATTATCGATAACAACAATGACAAAGGCGCCCTCTTTTCATTCTTGTATATTACCACATCCACGAGAACAGAGGTCACCAAGTTCTTGAGTGACACCAAGCCATCCATTGTACATGCCACTTTTCCCTTTGGACTTGATACTGTCTACCTTGATCATGATCGGGATTGTCACACAGCATACCGCGCAGCAACATTGCCAGCCACCAGCAATTACAGACCTACCATTGTCGTTGTTCGTCCAGATGGCTATATTAGTGCACGCGTTGAGCTCCAAAACGATACTGATTTTGAAAAACTCGATCAGTACTTTGACTCCTTTTTACGACCACCTATTGATATGACTAGTGCTGCTGCCATGGCAGCTGATTTCTATGACTTGTAAATATATACCCCATTTCATTCATTATAGCATACCCCCTCCAAAATAAACATTAGCACTTGTCAATAACGTACTCGAGAGGAAGAATAGCATGATACATGTCTTTTATAGTTGCATGGTCTACAATGTGTGCTAAGTGTAAGAAAGGCTCTTTTTAAAAATGCATTGATAAAGGGAGTAAAGGTGTACAGAATAAATGTTTGTTTAGGATTGCTTGCATTCAGGTGCATTCTCGCCCTTGTTGGCAGGCTGTAAAATAAAAACGAGCGTTTAGCTTCCAACCAAATGATATGACATCCATTCATGATTACTTACAGCAGCATCATCATCATCGTCATCATCGTCGTCTTCATCATCATCTTCCTCATCGTCATCATCATCGTCATAAAAGTCATCCTACCAAAGAAAAAAAAGGTTTAATAATGGACGTCTCCATGACACTATATGATTGATGTACATACCTCGAAATCATCGTCGCCTTCAAAGTCCTCATATTCAAGAGCCTTGCCAGTAAAGTAATCAACAGCATGGGGGATGATCTTGTCCTTGAATTCCTCACCCATCTCATAATCAGCTTCAAGCTTGGCATCCAATCCTTCAGCTTCCTCTTCGTCTAATTCCTCATCCTCACCAGGGAACACGGGAGGGCTGAAAAAGTTGAAGAAAGTCTCTGCAGGAACGGTACGCTTAACGACACGAGTCTTGTTGGTGCCTAACATGTCATAGAGATAATTAGCATGATGGATCCTTCCTATCATCCATACTGCTTCGAGATGACCTACCCTTATGACGCTGCTTCTTAGTCTCGACGGTGACGGTCAAATCCTTGCCTTCCTTCCAGTTGATCTTGGATCCTTCGGCATGATCATAGACAAAGTCACCACCTTGAGCGTGTTCTTGATAGTAGTAAGTCTTGGACAAGACCTTGTCGGTGAAGTAGTCATTGTCAGCAAATTCAAACTCGAGCTTGAAGCCAGGCTTTTCCATGTAAGACATGCGAATATCCACAAGCTGACGGAGGATTTCTTCATCTTGATCAGTGATAGTCTCACCAATTTGGGGATGGTTCTTGAGCAAAGTGAGCCAGAATTCGGGAATACCATTGACTTGCTTGTCCTCTTCATCCTCTTCCTCTTCAGCAGCAGCCTTCTTAGTCTCTTGCTTTTCTTGATCCTCGTCTTCCTCATCTTCATCCACCTTGGCACCCAACTCAACTTCTTGTTCAGTAGGTTCGTAACGGCCATTGACAACATCAGCACGCTTGGCATAAAGAGGCTTGTACAATTCAAGATACTTTTTCTCAAGAGCAAGCACTTCTTCTTGGAACTTGCCCTCCAATTCGGCATGTTGAGATTGAAGATACTTCAAACCATTGATACGACGTTGCACGGAAGGAGGAAGCGATTCAACATAGCCAGAGGATTGACCAACAAGTGTACCAAGCTTTCCTTGAAGCATACTGATCAAAGCTGGGTTGCTAGTGAAGGCACCACCCAGAGCAGAGGATTGGCCAGCAGCACCTATACGTTGTTATACCAACCTATTAGCTTACTCCTTTCTTTTCTATATATGAAGCGTACACATACCTGGTGTAGTGATAGTCTCCATGTCTTCGGAAATAGTGGTGATATTGGGCTTGTAAGACGAAGTGATGGGTGCTGGGTTGATTGGTGTGTTTTGTGGGGTGGGAGCAGTGGACGGATCCTTCTTGTTCTTAATGTCAAGATTAGAAGAAGCTATCGTCAAAGTGAAAACAAGTCAGTAATGCAGGGAATGCCGTCGTTGACCGATCAAGCTTACTTGATTGCTGATCCATGAAAGAAGATAAGCGTTAACGCTATAAACTTTTTGAATTCGGCGGTCACTTAAAACACTTGTTCCGCAGTTGCTGAGTGGATAACGATCTTGTTCCCATCATCGATTGCAATCCAAAATGAAGCTTCATTTCATTTATTTGTTTTTTCTTTGTTCAAGTAGGTCATAAGGGGTAGTATACGATTACTCAAAGTCATCGGCACCATTGTCAAAGAGGTAGTTGGCAGCGAGTTCTATAAATAAGCAAGACAATGAGCCATTTTGGAACCAGCAAATACACAATCTCCATGGTTACCTTCATTCTTATCACAAGCAAAGTATGCTTCAATGGCCTGTGCACGATCAAATCCTAGACCCTCCAGCTAGATAAAAAGATGAGTCTCCCATCATTGTAGCTATAAGAATAGTCATGTACACATACCCGATCAATAGCTTCCTTCTCCTCTTGGGTAACCTAACAACCATGATAATGATGATGATGAGTTAATTGTCCGCTTACGGTGTAATAAATACTCTCTCTCTTTCTTACCTGGATAACATGAGATCCAGGAGGCACAGCACCGCCTTCTTCATCACCACCCTCCATCAATAATTGGAAAAAGCCTTGTGGGTCCGAGTTGATCATGCGAAGCAATTCTGGGTTGGATTGACCAAGTTGTTGCAAAAGAGGTTGCAAAAGACTAGGGTTGCTCTGCACAAGTTGTCGTAATTGTTGAAAGTGAGGCGTATTACGAAGCTGCGAGAAATCGACATTGCCGGTACCAGATTGCTGCTGTTGCTGTTGCTGTTGCTGAGCTGCTTGTTGAGCTGCAAGGAAAAGGTTTTGGCTGGCATCTAGATACATATTACATCCCAATGTCAGCTACAATCATTGAATCAAGCAATATAAACATACCGTTGCCACGAGTTTGGGCGCTGTTTGGAGATGTAGCAGCAGCTGCTGCTGGTGCCTCGGTGGTGTTTGTTGCTCCACCTTGTTGTTGTTGTTGTTGTTGCTCTTGTGAATGTGCTTGCTCAGCTTGTTCCTCGGCCAAAAGATCCTCGGGAATGCCCTATCAAATCAATGCTCCCCATTAAAATGATATCCATTTTTCCATTTCATCCTATGCTTACATTGAACAAGTATTCGACAGCACGATCAGGATTGTTGAAACTTGCACGAAGAGCTCGCTTGACCTGATCTCGTTCGAAGCCCATTTCCATCATGTTTTGCACTACACTCTCGTATTGACTACCGGTCACTGTAGGAGGTATATGAGTATCCTATGACTGACACAGATGCATACGATCAAAGAGACATTACCTAATGAGCTATCACTGCTTACTTGTGTGTTTTCTTGGGCAGGTGCCTGAGTAGAGGGCGTAGTGGTGGTAGCAGCGGCAGCAGGTGTAGCAGGTGCAGGTTGTGATTGTGTGGTGGTGTTGGATGCAGGAGCAGGCTTTTCTTCCTGTTGCTTGGGGGTCTCTTGTTTCTTTTCAGTTGGCGTGGATGCTGATGTGCTTGATCCCGCAGCTGACGCCGTTGCTTTAGGCTTAAAGATGATCATGTTAGCTTGCGTATATTAAATCATCATCCACCTTACCTTGGACACCATGACGACCAAAAAGTCCTTTTCACTGATATTGTATTCTTCAACCTTCTTGTCATCAGCCAAAATCTTGCCTATAAATCCATTGATAAGCGTCCTGGCCAATGACGATTATCATGTACGGCCCGTTTACCCACCTGAAAATATCAGCTTTTGCTGCGAAACGGCATGTCCTTGAGATTCCTCAATCTTTTGCTTGACAGAGAGAATCTGAATAGAGGTAAGAGGCATCAGTCGTTGACAAGCTTCAATGGAGATTCTCGTCTACGTTTTCCTTTACGTACCGTGTCGCTGCCTTCTACGTCGAGCTTGAACTGTTTTTGTTGGAGTGTCTTGACTGTAAGTTGCTGCATGAGGTACTTGTTAGTATCATTGAATACGATCGAACCCATGTCTTGTATAGAGAGCGAGCTTACCATGGCTACCGTCGATAATGGGGGTAAGATTAGTTGGTTTGAAAAAGCCACGTACTCTGCAGGACAAAGTGGAAGCGCGGCATCATTCTCACATATCCCACCCAGTGACTGGCGCTTCATAGCCCTATCTTACCCACGCCTTGGTCACCCCACCACCCCTTTTGCATAACCTATCATCTCTTTTACTCTATGAACGCATCATCATCCACGTTCTACCTATTCATTGTCATTGTCTTCAATTGTATGTAGTATGTGGTACCGTTGATATGAAAAGGAATAAAGCGTTTCAATCGTCGGACAACAACAATGCATAAATTGGGGACCTCTTCTTTGCTTTATACGCTTAAACAATCTAATCGTATTTACATATCGCACTACAAGCATTACATCATCCAAACCATGTAAACATGCACTCCATTCATACACTACAACTTTGGCATGTCCATCATCCACAACAACCAAATCATGCTGCTTATTATTATATCCTAAAGGGTATTCGCTACGTTTTGCATCTCGTATGTTATGCAGCTATTGAGTGATGTTACATTCTTGGGGAGAGTGATGCAGACCCAAAGTTCGATACAGTATCTCTTTCTTTGCCAAGGGGACATCTAGCGTGGATAAATGTGTGTTTTGAAAGTGGGAAAATTATCATGTTGGATACATAGTTACATACCGTGGTTTCTTTCAAGTCCTCTCTTTTTAAGCTTTGGCATTAATCCTATGCTAAGCGCAGTATTATTACCAAAATGTTGTCTTTCCTCTCTTGTTGTCGGATACATACTCACTTAGATAATTCTCTATTTGCATACATTGCTTTTGACCTTACATCTCCTTATCACATTCTTGCCGTTATAGATAAATACACCATCATAACATATGAATAAACATTATCGAATGATCTTGTATTCTCTTTATTTTCGCATGTGTGTCATCGTCGATACACAAAACAAGATACACGACATAGTTGAGAGAATCTTTTTCATCTAATCAGATTAATCACGTGATCTATGATAAGAAAAAAACAAAAGGACGAATCGAATGATCCTGTATTGGGTCAATCGATCAGAAGATGATGTGGAATGGAGAAGCCGCGCATCGATCGCGGTACCTCTCGCATGCTAAGCGAGCGCTCTACCATTTGAGCTACATCCCCAAGCTGTTATTTATGGGTCCGCTTGGTGACTGATCGATCACATGACTTCCTAATATGGAATTTATATGGTCTATGATGTCACTCGTACATGAAAAAACATCGAATTAGCGCGGATGGTTTAGTGGTATAATATCCGCCTGCCACGCGGATGACCCGGGTTCGATTCCCGGTCCGCGCATTCATCCTCACATCACCGCCTGATCAATAAGGTTGGATTCCTTTTTGTTTTTCTTCTTTTGGATCACGTGATCTCATATTCTCTTTTTCGTGTCTTGGTAGTTTGGCTTTATTCATCCCATGATGCATGATACCACTTTTTTTTCTTATATATGCTGTTTTCTATCATCGCTTTTCAACCTTCTTATGTCCATCCTCGTTCACTTCTAATCCTTTTGGGCGATTACGCCCTTTTTCGTTATTGCTCTTGTAAGTGGTGTAGTATCTACTCTAACGAGATGACGCATTGATAGGAAAAGCATAAATGTGCTGATGCAAGAGGCAGCGATGGTACCACAAAGATGAATTACATGAACATGACATGAAGACCCTTTTAACTTTTATCCTTCACGAATTCTATTTATTCAAAAAACCTGAATTCGTCTTCTAAAGTAGCATCATTTTCTATTGATGGAGGTGTTGTAGTGACCGGGTTGACATGTTGGGATTGCATCATGTTCGCATTTGCTAACGGGGGAAGGCGTTTCTTTCGACATCCACCACATACCGGAACGCATTGCCAGCATCGATCAAAGCTATATCCACATGCCCAACAGCAAGCATCCTTGGCAATAATCCGAGAGCATGATTTCATATTCATTGATTGAAACGTGTCGACAAGGGCGGATATATGTGGTTGTTGTTCCATGCCAATGATGCTATTATAGTCGATGGTATTGCTATTGGAGGAATTGGTAGTCGATGGTGGTATTGATGTGGTGGTTGTGGTAGCAGTAGCTCGTTGATGTAAAGGTGTCCGATCACATTCACGAATATCGAGTTGGACATGTTTGTTGCGAGAAAGACGATTAAGCGTGCGTTGAAATGTGTCGAGATGTGGTTCGGTTGACATGTAATGATGATAAACATTGACTGATTCGAGAGCAAGAGAGTGTGGTTGCAGCGTACCGTTCTTTAATAACTCTTGGATCATTTTGGAATCGACTTCGAGGCTTGTATTGAATCGACGATGCCGTGTACTTAAATGTCGTAGCCGGGGAAATTTCACAAGCATAATGATGGGGGATATCATTGCGTCGTCGTTGCCATCCATAATCACCTTCATTAAGGTATAAGCTCAGCATGCCATCATATGACACATGTCACCTAGATACAACTTACCTCCCTCACCATGTTTCGTAAACCATTGGAATCTCGCAGTCTTCGTAGTGCAGCATAGAGGCTCGAGAGATCACAGTAGTCGAGATCAACCACAATGCGTCGCCAAACTGATTGGTAGCCGAGAAGATTGTACCGAAAGTAGCGGCAAGTGTCCAGCAAGTTCCATAAGGAGCACACGTCCAATTCACTTGCAATCGTTGCAATTACGTCAATGGGTATCTCGGTTAAGGACCGGCTGCAGGACGTTGTGGGCATGACCATAGAGTAGTGGGATCGATCGATTAGTAAGATTCGAGACAAGTCGGAAAGAGAGAGCGGCTGTCGGATTTCAATTTCACTTCTTGCATTGGAAGAGGATACGCACACATACACACACACACAACTTGTCAACGTCTACAACGGTGGTTGAATGAAAAGGAAGATATCATCTTGAGGCACTCGATCTACAACATGCGTGGGAGCACAATGATGTGTGCATTGTACCGGGTGCATCACATTATCACCTGATGGACGGTGGTTGTTGTGCTCCCCGCTCCCTTTCACAGCTACTTCCTATCCTCACTTTGGTGACAATGCAAATCGAATATCCCTATCATCTTGAATGCCCTCGACCCTCGAATAATGAATCATACATAAAGAGATGCCTTGTCAAGGAATGAAAAGTAATGACGTTGGATCGCCATCATCTTTTTTGCTACAAGTGTTACGGACCACTACACAAAAGGAAAGGAGCCGATGCCGATGAAGGGCAGGCGCGTATCATGATGTTGATGAAGGATCATAGCTGCTTGTCACACCTCCATACGTGTATTCCCCCCTATTGAATACTAGATATAACTATCCATTAAAACCACATTTGATATGAGCAAAAAGCATCTTTTAGTAATGAGATACGCGCATCCCAGTTTAGGTTACACGGCAGCTCACAACACACATTCGAATCTTTACGCCGACAGCAAAGTAATCGATGATCATAGAAGAATAATGAAAGCATCTACTTTTGATGCTTGATAGTGAGATGAGATGCGATCATCATTCCCTTGCTTTTTTGTTGATGATATCTTGCATTTGGTCTACAAGTGTGTCATCTATCATCTATCAATGCTCATTATCATTGAAAGGAGATTAAAGATTATTGTGCCCCACTGTTGGCTCATCGATCCAATTTAGCTTAAATAGGCTATCAAGTCATTTGCATTAGGGTGCGGGAGCAATGAGATAGAATTCCATCGGGTAGTGTGATGTTGTGGGGAACCCGCCATTAACGGCATGACTTGAACAGTCGTCGTGATTGGAATGCAGTGCATACATCACACCAGCAGCACCATAGACACTGTTGATTATGATCCCAAATACAGCAATCTTATTCTGCAACTCAAACGAGCCCATTGCCCATCTTTTCCTTTTCCGAATGTCCCAAGGGCGCTTCTCCTCATAGCAGCAACCATGCATGTCCATTGAGTTTTCTCCTTACCCCACCCCACTTGTTGCCCGCCAAAGCCAATAATCCACTTCTGCCACTCTCTCCGACATTGCTGTCTTTATTTCTTGATCGTCTTTGCATTTCTTTTGCTTCCCCCTTTTCTCTCTTACTGTATTGTTATCAGCCCACATAAGCCCTTCTTGTATTCTTTATATCCTTGTGTACTTTTGTCTCCTTTGTACTATACCTACCATCTTCTTTCTCTCCCTTTTTGACAAAAATCAATCGTCACCACAGCTTCATTAAGAAAAAAGAACCACAGCAGCAAGTATATGACCACTTTGGATTTGACGGCAGCCACCTCCACATCGAGCAACAACAGCAACTGTGGCCGAGCTGCTACTGCCACTGCATCATCTCACAGCAGTGAGCCAAGCAACAACAACAACAACAACAACAACAATGGCGCGTTGATGTGTCTCCCACGACCAACCAATAATGACACCGACGTGCGTCTTGGACAAATTGACGACCTCAAGTACTTTCTTGCCACAGCGACTAATGATTGGGATCCTGAACAAGCGGTCAAATCATTTGCGCTACCAACTACAGGCGAGAGCGTGTCGTGTGTGTTTTGGAACAACCTCTTCCATATAACAGGGACTGATATTGTACGTTGCCTGGTGTTTCGTTTTCATGCGTTTGGACGACCTGTATCCAATTTGAAAAAGTTTGAGGAAGGCGTGTTTAGCGATCTACGCAACCTGAAACCGGGTAGTGATGCGTGTTTGGAAGAGCCCAAGTCCGAGTTTCTTGATATGCTTTACAAGAACAATTGCATTCGCACACAAAAGAAGCAAAAGGTGTTTTATTGGTTTTCGGTGCCTCATGATCGGTTGTTTCTTGACGCCTTGGAACGTGACCTCAAGCGAGAAAAGATGGGTATTGAACCAACAAGCCAAGCTGTTGCAGACCCTGCCACTTTGCTTTCACTCGACACTACACATGAGCTCTTTGATCAATTACGCAAATCCATGGCACTATCAGCTGCAGCTACAGCCCATGCTCTAGAAGACGACCAACAAGGTAAAGCATAAGAGACACAAAATGAAAGAGAGAAAGAGAGCACATACACATACACCTCTCTCTCGCTCTTTCTCATACCACTGGAAGAGCCCACAATTAAATAAAAGCTTTCTTTTTTTATTCTATATCTTGTACCTTTTGCAATGTTGGCGCGACGAATCGTGTGACATAAAGAAAAGTGCACCAATGGATCCAACCTGCAAGTGACAATGCATGACGAAGATTTATCTAGCGACATTGGGCGCTTGGATCTCGAACCACCACCACCTCCGCCACAACCATGCAGGCTCCGCAACCCCAAAGCTATCTTTGGCATGGTGTCATTATTCGAGGGATCCGCTTCATACAAGCAACGTAGACGCCGAGCTGCATCTTTGTCGTCAACATCGCCATCAACTGCCCTTGTGACTCCAAACTATGCTAATGCTACAGCACGTCGTCATCGTTCAACATCGAATCCAGATCCTGATACACCACCATCATCATCAGCTATTATTGATGACTTTGCCTTTGGTGGTTGTCCATCGACATCATCATCACCACCTTCTTCATCCATGTCGACACCATCCAACAGTAATGTATCAACGCCAAGCAATACAATCATGCTCTCGACTTCATCTTACAACGCACTTGCATCAGCAACCAATGCTTTGGCATCACTAGGGGATGATACAGGTGCATCCGAGCGTACCTATACATGTCCCTTGGGGTCATGTGGTAGGTTCTTCAGACGCCTAGAGCATCTCAAACGTCATTTACGTACACATACAATGGAACGACCTTATCTATGTCATCAATGTGGTAAACGTTTCTCACGTTCAGACAACTTGGCTCAGCATCGCAAAACGCATGACCGTGCAACCAGCAGACATAATTCCAAAAAAGGCAGCGGCGGAGGTGGTGGTGGCAACGATGCTTCACCACCACCACCACAGTCAAGCAATGGACCTGACAACAATACCAACCATGCTGTATTTGGTAATGGAAATGGTAACAATAGCAATAATGGACCATTCTGCAACATTTCTGGTAGCAGCATTCATGGCACCTCATTGTCGACACCATGTCAACAACCACTTTACAGTAACATTCCTTCTACTACGTTATTCAACAATGCGTCCAACTACTGGTTTTCGACACGTAGCAACAACGATACAATGACCATGCCATTTGATTCAGAGGATCAGGCATTGTTTTCGAGTAACGACAATGGTAGTGCCCTGAAGCAAGAATATTGGGATCAGCATGGTGTTGTGGCAAATGACCCATGGCAAACTTCTTGTAGAATGTTTGAGGAACCTTCCTTTTTGAATCAAGATACGACAACAACCGCATCTCCCTGGATCATGCCAATGATCCCATCAGCATCCATTCCACCATCGCCCGTCATGAACAACCATGATCATTTGTACAATCATCATCACTATGATCCAACAACAGCTTATGCAATGGGCGATGCTGATCAGCAAGGGCACTTCCAATGGCTTGGTGATGATGATGGAGGTGCCACTTTTTATTGCTAAATCCAATCCAATCCCACAGCATTTTGTAGTAGTCCCTTCTGCATGTTATTGTAGTTTAACCACCACACATTCCTTTTCGGCAATCTTGTTCGTCATCAAATCCTACCCCTCCTTTGTGTATGTCCATATGCAATCTTTTTGATCTTCTTCTTCTTCTACTCCAGCAGCTGCGTGCTAGTGCAAAAGTACTATCGTTCTTAACGTATGGTCTATGCGAACTATGCTCATGCTCTTTCCCCTCTCTTTCTCTCTCTTTCTCTTTTTTTTTTCGATAAAGGACTTTGTTCAACCGATAAAATCTCCGCAAGCTGCATTGATGTTACACCGAACGAAGCAAATTTTTACATATGAACAGGCCCCGAGCGCCCATTCACAGTTTTCTTTCCTTTCTTTTCCGAATTCTCTATCCCACACACTCACACACACACCTCGACGTGCTTTTGTTCATACCATGAATCATACGTCTGAGGACCTAGAAAAGCAAAGCAAGGTTCTTGATATCGATGAGCTTGAGAACGAAAAGGTTCATGAAGAACAAGAAAAGCCTGAACAAAACGATGTTTGGACTTGGAAGGGCAAGACATGGAAGCAGCGACTTGCCTTTTTGACACGCAAAGAGTTTTTGAGAGTATTGATCCTTGGTCAAAGTAAGTCCTGGGCATGCTGTTGTTATGGTACACAAATCCCAAAATTTGATCCGCTGATATACCGATTCATTTTCGGATACACAGTATTATCGCTTTGCATTACTGGCACCGTCGTCGTCAATAACAAGCTTACCGAAGAATTCAACTTTAATGCACCTACCACCCAAACGTTTTTGGTCTAGTGAGTAATCATGTGGAAAAATTGTCATACGTGGGATCGTTAACCGTATCTCTATAGCGCTGTGTTAGCTGTGGTGTACAATTCCTATGCTATCTGGAAACGAGGCATCAAGGGTTGGCTTAGACAATTCTGGGAACGTGGCGTTTATTGTGAGTATGCAGCTTATAGTAGCTTACGTATGTATATGCTTACCTCCTTTTTTTCACAAAGATTTCTTCCTGGGATGGGTTGATGTGGAAGGCAACTACCTCGTGGTCAAGGCATATCAATACACTGGCATGTTGTCGGTCATGATCCTGGATACGTGGAGTACACCTGTTTGTGTATTATTGGCATTCATCTTTTTCCGTGTGCGCTATCGATGGGTGCAATATCTCGGCATCTTTTTAGCATTGTGCGGCACCGGCATGGTTGTAGGCAGTGATGCCATGTTGGGTAACTCTTGGCTTGCAAGTGATCCTGTCAAGGGCAACTTTTTCGTCATTGTGGGTGCTACATTTTATGGTATCAGCAATACGAGTGTTGAGTATTTGTCACGCAAATACCCTATCTACGAGGTCAACGGCAGCTTCACCCTTTTTGCAACGCTCATCAACTTTGTTCAGCTTATGATCCTCGAACGCAACGAGTTTGCCAATTTTAAAGATAACAGCTTTGAAGTGGGTCTTATTATCATTTACGTGGTGTGCATGGTCATTTTGTACTCGTTGGCGCCTCTCATGTTCCGTTGGGGCAGTGCTGTCATGTACAATTTGTCATTGATGACGAGTGACTTTTACAGCTTGATCTTTGGCTTGGGTCTCTTTGGCCAAACGGTAAGTGAATGTAAGCTTTTATATGGAAGTGCAAGAAAATGCTTATCCATCCATATACATAGGTCAGTGTATTGTATCCTCCTGCATATGTCATTATCATTGTTGGCATTGCTGTGTATTACATCTTTCCAGCACCTGAACCAGTGGCCATCACCGATCCCAACGATCCCTCCAAGCCCCACCGTCAATTCTCTTGGTTTGGCTTTTACTTCAAAAAGATCCCAGCTCAAGTCCAACCTGGGCCAGTCGAATCGGTACCCCATGAACATGTGGAGGTGATTGAGGACAATGGCAACACCACCACCACCACCAAGGCTTCTGAAGCCAAGGTATAAAGAAGGATCATTGTTAATACTAGGACGACAGGCGCGTCTTTACACAACGGCATCAACATTTCAATTCAATCCCCCACCCATACACTACAAGCATCTCGAGGAACGTCCATACTTTGCATATTCATCCGCATTTTCCACTTTTTTTCTTTACCCTTTTGATCCTTCTTATTGCCGTCGTTCTGGTTTATTTATCTACTATCTTATTAGTTGTAGTTTCCTATATTGTACTTTTAGTCTTTTTTCATCCCCTTTCCCTAGCGGTTGTAAATTTACTGGGTCGACACTTGCGTCTTTGGTCGATCTGTAAAGAAAAAGACGTTTCTCCCTCATACATAACAAAGAGTATACCCCCTTTCCCTCTTGGTTCCCTGGTAATGGGTTCAGGGAATAATGTGCAGTGTTGTGATCGCACGCCTACATGTAGTGAACAGGTCTCTCTCTCTCAAGACAAAGGTAAGTGTGATGCTTGATCATCTATGTTATCAGTGGAATAAACCGATTACATCTTGTGTGGTTTAAAGTATACGCTTTGTCACCAATGTGGATGCAGCTGGACTTTTATTTATATCCATTTACTGGCTTGAAGCTATATTGCATGATGATCTACAATGACTTGAACATGTACTTATATGGATCCAGAGTACACCAACAGCTATGGGGTGGATGGATGTAGGCATTAAGCAGCTGAGCACCAAAAACGAGGTGTGGTGGTGTCTCCATGTACAAGTCCGGACACGACAAATACCTGGTTGGTCTTCCCGCGAAATGACAATGCCATCTCCACGGCGAAAACGCATTCAGCTTTTGAGTGCATTGCTCTTGTTACTATCTTGCATTGCCGTTCCTGCAACCGCCATTTACGCGTCTCAAGCCGGTGTTGTCGATTGGTACGTCATTTGCGTTCCTTTATCAAATTGTGTAAAAGTATACTCATCCTCCATCGGTGCGCTTAGGCATCACACTTGGGTAGGCAAGGCACGATGGTCAGCATTAACGTCTCCTTCTCGGCTGGTGGTCAGCACTGAACGCAACATGCTCGCATCGATCAATACAGACACTGGAGCTATCGGTACTAGGCTATTTTTCTATTGCATGCATGTGTTGTTTTACACTATTCTCATGCTATCACGTTCTTTTTCTTCGTTTCAATAGTATGGCGTCAAGAATTAGATGATCCTGTAGGCGAAGCACAAGCAAGCACATCAGGTTCGAAATAGGGATGTCGATGCATGTATCATGGTTATTAATTGATGGTTGTTGTATAGGCGTGCTTACGTTTTCAAGCAGCGGTGCACAAATGTGGGATGCTTCATTGGGTCGTTTGATTTGGCAGCAAGATGGATTCGATCATATTTTGGATGGCCGTATTACATCAACAAACGTGGCAGTGATCGTTGATAAGCGTCATGTTACAGCACTTGATTTGACCAATGGACAAACTCTATGGACCAGCGATCGTGTTGCAGATCACTCTCTTGTTACATTGCATCCATACGACGACACCACCTTGTATATCATTGAACGATTGGACAATCAGGATGCCTTCAACACAATTGCACTTGATATCAGCACTGGAAAGACGATCAGCAATAACAAGCTCTCGACGCAAAAGATGATTGACAACGTCAAGGTTGTAGGCAAGCATTTGCTGTGGACCGAGCGCGACACTATTCGATGGAACCAGCTTGGCACCAAAAAGATCCAAAAGGCTACTGTATCGGTAAGCAAGGGATGGTTTGTCGAGGAATGTAGCAGGATAATTGATCCATGGTTTTAGTCCTTGGTTGGTTCTCTTGCCTCCTTTGCATCAGCCGAACCTGAAACGGTGCGCTTGGATGTTACAACATCGAACGCCATTTTCTTGAGTGCTTTCAATATCGCTGATGATCAATTGTTGGTGCCAACAGCTGCTTTTCGTATACAAGAGAACGGCTTGAGCTTGATTCAAGATTTGGGTGTTCAGGTGAGATGACGACACAGCATACATATATTATGGTTTGATTCTTATATGAAAAAACGATAGGATTCAATTGGCAAAGTGGATGCTTTGGCAGGAACAACGGTGCAATTCGCTCGTACATCTGACAAGGAAATGACATGGCATATTGTATCGGATGACTACACACATCAGGAGCATCGTCTGCCTCATGATTTTTCATTGACTGGAGATGTGGAATATGTCAAGCTGGTGAGCACATCACCTTTGCGTGCATTCATTGTGACAAGCAGTGGATCTACTTTCCTCTATGATGGTGCAACCAAGGATCTGATTTGGTCACGTGAAGAAGCATTGGGCCATGCAACAGCATCCGAGTTCCTGGAATTGCCCGAGAAACAATTGTGGACCCAAATGGCTGATGAGATTGCAGAGGAACATCCTGAATCGATTCCACCTTTGACTCGTTACGTGCATCGATTGCAAGCTCATATGACTGAAGCACGTCAATTACCCCAATGGATCATTCAACGTGTGATGGGTGCTGTCAAATCTGACAAGGCACAACCTGCCGATGCTAGCGAACTTTTGCAAGCACAACAATGCTGGACCAATGCCACATCCCCCTCCATTGTATATCGTGACGCATTTGGATTACACAAATTGGTGTTGACAGTAACAAGTACTGGCAAAGTGATTGCACAAAACACAGCTGATCGTGGCGCAATTGTTTGGAGCCGCTACTTTGAGGATGTTCGTTTTACGCATGTGGAAATGGTTCGCTCTGTATCCGTCAAGATGCCACCCTTGATTGTTGTGATTGGCGAGTCTGGAAGTCCTAGCCTTGGTTATGAGGAGACTCATTTATATCGATTGGATGCTCTTACCGGTGAAGATTATATTTCGCATATCCCAGAAGCCGACGTGTATTTCGAGCCAGCTCTTATCACCGAGACAAAAATTTCCAAGGTCATGAGACTCCCTATTGAGGAGCCTGATGAGCACACGCATTTACTTGCCCTTTATGAGGCCGGTACAAGCCGAGTGTATATTTATCCAGACACCGAAGGCGCCCGTGTACGGTTTAGAGAGTTTGCAAATTCGTTTTACTTTGTGCAACCTTCCAGCAAGCAGCATGATGGTTTCAAAGGTTATCACGTTGTGGAGGGATACCGTGGCAGCTTGTCAGCTAAGCCTGTTTGGACCCTTGATTTACCTTCCGATGAAAAAGTGGTCGCTGTTGGTGAACGTCAGCCATATGAAAAAGTTGCTCTTCTTGGCCGTGTCCTTGGTAACCGCAATGTCATGTACAAGTATCTCAACCCCCATATGTTTGCTGTCCTATCAACAAATCCAGTCCAAGGGACATTGGCCGTACGTCTTGTCGATGGCGTTAAAGGCACTATCTTGTACGAAACGTTGCATCGTAAGGTGGATGCTATCAATCATGCTGTACAAGTGGTGCAAGCGGAGCATTGGGTCATTTATCACTTTTGGAGTACGGATGCTAAAACAAGAGGATATCAAGCTGTGGTATTGGAGCTTTACGAAGGCGAATGGGAGAATGAACGTGTTGTTGGGTAAGGGATGAAAATGGCAGCTTATCCGCGGATCTAATGAGATTAACAACCGTTTTTTTCTCAGCACCAACTTTTCGTCTTATGACAACATTCGTCCCAATGTTCAGTCATCAGCATTCATGTTCCCGTACGCTGTGCAATCGATTGGTGTTACTACTACACGAGGCGGCGTTTCCACACGCGAAATCTTGTGTAAGTTTCAAATCAAAGCTATTTGAGGACCCTGCATCCTTTTGGTAAGACGTCTCATCGGATATTCTATAGTTGGCCTCTCGAGCAATCAGATCTTTGGCGTTAACAAGGGCTTTTTTGATCCTCGACGACCACGTGACAAACCTACCAAGGAAGAACAAGAAGAGGGATTGATTCCTTATGCACCCATTCCAGATGAACGACAAATGTTCCTCACCTATAATCGCGAGGTAAGACATACCCTTCATTTTCCTTATCTCTTTGCTACAATTTTACACGAAGAGAGAGATAACGAGATTGATGCCCCGCGATCATTACATCAATGCCGAAAAATTAACCTTTTTACAAATGTATATCCAGGTATTCGGTATCAAGCGGATCTTGACTTCGCCTGCTTTGCTGGAATCGACATCACTCGTCTTTGCATATGGTCTTGATACATTCTTTACGCAATCTTCTCCAAGTCGCCAATTTGATGTGCTGAGCGAAGACTTTTCCAAATCTCAGCTTGTTCTTACCATGGTGGGCCTTGTCGTGGCTATTGCTATTGCTAGACCAATTGTGCGACGGAAACGTGTGAATGCATTATGGCAGTAACGAGAAGCACCTTACATTTCAAAATCGAGGTCATTTATACACATGTTATAAGGAAAAAGAATAAACCATTGTAGTATATACAAGTAATAGTCAAAAAGTTTATATAGTATATGGATATTGCTTAAAGAGAAAGGGCGCATAGGATGAGTATATATACAATAGTTGCTGGACGTATGTGTTATGACTGGGATGTTTACAGAATTATGGATTTGCTTCAATCATGGATAGGATGAGGGTCTTCACTCATTTTGTCTTGTTATCACGTCGTCGGCGGTGTAGCTTGGCAGTGGGAAAGTGCTTTTCAGCATCACCACATTTCTTCTCCACATGCCAATGTCTGCGCAAAGCATCACGTCGGGCAAAGCGTAGGTTGCAATGTTCGCATTTATGAGGTTTGATGCCGCTGTGCAACAATTGATGCCGTTTAAGGTCATGGGGTCTTGCAAATCTCCATTTGCACCCAGGATGGTCGCAAGGATAAGGGCGGTCGTTATTATGTGTACGTTGATGAGATCTCAAGTTGTAAGGTCGAGTGAATGTCTTATTGCAAGTATCGCACTTGTAGATAGGTCGTTGGCGATGCGTAGTAGGAGGTGTTTTGGATCGACTGTACTTTGGCATAGGAGAAGAAGGAGGAGTCATAATACCAATGGATCCATCAGAGCTGTCATTGCCGAAATTCATTATTGGAACGGAAGAAAAAAGGCCTTGGGTATCACCGCTAGGTGTGTCCATAGGGAAGGTATAGTTTGTTGGTGTTGGAGACATGTACATAGGAGGCTCCTCAGGATATGGAGAAAGCTCTGGGGATGGTGAGAGCATCATTGTAGCCATTGTTGGAGTCATTGCTGGTGGAGAAAGGTGATGTATCTCTGGAGACGGATAAGGGAGCATGGGTTGCTCAAGTTGCGATGGTGGTGGTGGTGGTGGCACAGCAGTGATGGTAACATCATGGGGAAAGGAAGGAGAACAAATAACGCTTGCATTGAGATCTTCATTCTTGAGGTACCAATTCCATGGATATTCAACATTGGCAGATGCCAGATCATAGGCTGACGATAGCATGTGAGAATAAGAAAGCGATGGTGGTATATAAGAACCCATCACTGGCATGTTTTCTTGCTCTAAAAGAGATGCAAGATATGGCTGTTGTTGTGGTTCTTGATATTGCATGATGGATAATAAGATGAATACAAAAATGAAACCATGTTTTAGAGATGGTGTTTATATACTTTTTGCTTTCGTTTAGAGTTATGGGTTTGCTTTGTTACCATTTGAGGTAGTCGATGTAAAGGCATCCGAGTTTGTTCATTGCGGCGCTTCTATAACACAATTCGCTGCAAAGTTACTAAAAAGGGTTATTTGGAAGTTACAATTTTTGTTTTGCATATAACAATCTCTTCCATTTCATGGTGGTTCTTTGTCCCATTCAACCGAGCTCCGCTTGACGACATTGTTCAGGGTCGCAGTTATTGGGTACCTGTATTAGCTTTGTACGCCACATACCTAGTACACTGTTAGCCTATCCTTATTGAACAAACGATGGGAATATTCCGTTTCACGATCGTCAAGAGAAGAGGTATCATATTAAGCACATCAAAAGTAGGGTCGTCATCGACATAATAAAATGCATCAGAAGGGTGGTGCTGCACTGTCATGCATAGGCTCTGACTGCTGATGGTCATGCACGTCGACTAACCTGGTTAAGCATCATATCGGGTGGCGCCGTTTTGGTCGTGCCATGGCAACGAACCTTGCTGGTGACGATGTTTTGATACCAGGTGCTCAGCAGATCCACACAAACTACTACTTGCAGCGGAGACAGCCACCACTACCTTGTTTGTCCTTTGGTTACTCAGTCCTTGTGATACTCAATAACAAGAAAAAAGCGAGGGAGATGAGGTAGCTTCACAAATACGCAGCAGCGTTTTGCCGATTGCTACCCTGATAATGATAATGTTTTATTTCTTATAGCTTGAAAGCATGGCACGTGTACTTTTTTCTCTGTCTGCGTCAAGATAATCAACAAAGGGTCATATACTAAGATGACAATAAGGGATCTCGAGATGGGACACGATATGCGGGGTAGCAAAGGTGCGCTTTTACTGCAAGATGCTGCGAGGGAAAAAAGATCAAAGCCCACAATTCGGGGAATGGTAAGACAAGCTTCTGCTGGTGGTGGTGGGTTGTTATTATTAGAACGTATGTAAATGCTACAAAAGCTAACACATGATAATCAAAGAAGCCGTGCTTAATCTTGTTTCTTTTTGCTATTCGAATGGGTTGAGGACGTGTTGTTGTTGTTGTTGTTGGCGATGATGGTGTAGCTACCAGTAGCTGAGGAAGAGGTAGAGAAATTTGATGATGGCATGTGACAGCTGAATATGTAGTTGCACAATAGTCTATAGAGGGATGCGAATCGCTGACGCCATTTCCACCACGGTCTATGTTGGAAAAAAAAGAGGCGTGTATGCAAGAAGAAGAACGTTATTATCTGCCAGCAGTTTCCATTGCACCATTCGTGTAACCATTGACTTGCCGATGCTTGTAATGCACTTCAGAACATGCTCGTAGTCGTTCAGCAGCTTGTTCAGGTGTAAGGTCACGTTGTGGTTCACCCAGCATCTCGTAGCTTTACGTTGTTATGAGTCAACCATCTTATTGCACACATACAAATAGTACAAACTTACCCAACCAAGAATTTTCGAACCGTAGCATTGCGTAGCAGCGGGGGATAAAAGTGGATATGCAAATGCGCAAAAGCATCATGATCATCTTCATTGCTGCTGCGGATGGGACTCTGGTGGATACCCATTGAATATGGAAAAGAGCATCCAAAGAGGTTGTCATAGCGACAGGTGACACGTCGTAGTATATCTGCAAGATCATGCCGTAACGAAGGTGTCAAATCGGAAAGTCGACTAAGATGCGATTTTGGGAAAACAAGAGTCTCAAAGGGCCACACAGCCCAAAATGGGACAACACATACGAAGGAATCGTTTTCAATGACAAGGCGTGTTCGACAAGTAATTTCTTTTTGCATGTATTGACACAAGAGACATCGACCATGATGGGTATCACGATACATCCGCATTGAATCCAATTCAACTTGTACTTCTTGGGGTATTTGCTCGGTACACCATGCTTGTCCATGTGGATGTGGATTGGAGCATCCCATTGCTTGACCCTTGTTCTCGAATATTTGTACGTGACGCACATGCTCCTTGTTGCTCATCTCCTGATACAATGCTATCCATGCATCCACTATTCGTCCAACTTGCTCCACGTGCATCTCCGCCATCGTCAAATCGTGTTGTGGTGAAAAGCATATCACGTGGCATTCTCCTCGTACTCCTTCTACACGCAGCAAATCGTCTTGGTCGTCATCGTCATCAAGAGTCCATTGAGTCGTTTCGAGTGCCGGTTGTTCTTGTCGCACAGCTGAAAAGTCATTTGGGAATGTAAAAGTGCTGGTGTACAGTGGATTGTGATCGCCATTGGCTCGTTCGTTGCCTGGACACAAGAAACATCTCGGATCGTACGTGGGTATCTTATCGACTTGTTGACTTTCTCGGTGGCCTTGCCAAGGACGTTGTGTACGATGGGGTGAACAGAGAACCCAAGAACGAGTTAATGGATTATAGCGTCGATGAGAGTGAGTGCTGAAATCAAAGGCTGTTGTCGACATGGATATCCGCCCTTCTGGAACAGCAAAGGAAAGAAAGGAAGATGAGATGTGAAAGAGAATGAATCATACCCTCCCCTCCGCACTTCTTTATATATATTACCTTACTTCCATTACGCCTACAGCTTACATAATCCCTGCATATGGCAAAGTCCCGTGTCTCACAATCGCCACCCCTTCTTCATTTTGTGTACCTGGGAATAGAACTCCCCATTCACTACTACAGGAAACTACTTCATGTTCATTTGCCTTATCCTCAAACATGTCTACCTCTAAAATGTCCTCTATACACTGATGAATAGCTCATCTTCGCTTCTAATAAATCACGTCCTCGTTTTGCATGATGGATGAAGCTCATTGCGTATGTAACGCAGGAATTTGTGCTCCATTTCGGAAAAAGAGAGCATGTAGTATATCAATAAACCCTATGCATAAAAATAGTTGATTGTCGTCATAGGGCAAAGGAGAATATAATCCATATTGGATGGATTGTGTGCAACTTTGGGGATTATGTCAGCCATATTTCTCATTGCAATCCACGTCCCTTTTCCATTATTCAACGTCGTACTGATCTTTAATACAGAGAAGCGCTAGACTACATACAACAACATAATGTCTAACTTTGGTCTTTTTTAGGCTTTTTCATCATGTAGCATGCCCGCAGAATTGGTATACAGCTTCCCATGAAGAATGAATTATCCATGATCAAACAAAGACATCCACCTGCTATCACAAATCCCCTATGTCTATCATAGAGTAAAGGATTTCTCATTGCAATCCACGTCCCGTTTCCTTTATTCAACGCCGCATCATAATCCGTAACATTCAATTTATCACAACACTACACGTGAATGAGCTGTGTAAACTGCCCATATCCTTGTTGGATATCAGCTGGACCCCTCCTTAACCAGATGATCGATCGTATGATGTAGAAATTCCTCTCGCATAAAGACCGTCGTAATAGCTAACGATAGCACATGTAGAAGATAGCTTTTCCAACAATGTTCTCTAATCGCTTGATTTATTCGCTCGGTCGTTCATGTTGAGGTATTGAAGGAGCGTCATCCAACTCTTCTCTCTTTACAGGGGATTCAGATATCACTAAGGGTGTCTTGTTGAGTTTGTCCTCCACAATAATCTTCTCCAGTAATTCCACAAACGACACCATCGAACGCTATAGATCACCATTTAGATTCAAGACATGGTATACAAGAACACAACTTACTTCCGGTATATAAGGCTCTAAACGTCTACATTGTTCCTTGCAGATCGTTAGCAAGTGACCAGCACCAGATGCAATAGCCGGGTTTGAATCACGTCGGCATAACAAGAGAATGCAGAGCGTTTGTAAAAAGACATGACCTGAAAACATTGGTGGTTAAACAAAATGCTTGAATTACCGAATAAGATACTCACCCATCAATGTCCAGCTGACAACAATCAGTGATGGAATATCCAATGCTTGTACGATATACATGACTTCTCTTGAAGCGTTGAGAACCTCCGTAGCAAGATGGGCATGGTTTCCATTACAAAAGAAAGGTAACCGCATCAACAAAAGGACTGAATTATATACCAGGCGCAATTGTCCCGCTAAAAAGGACATTGGTAAGGGTGGGTTGTTGATTCATATTTTTCTTCTTGTTGACTCACCTCCATTATTGAGACGTTTGGATAACTCATCTGATAGTGACTCGTGTACAACCATTTGGATATCCTTTTCACTGAGCTTGAGGTCTGCAGGTAATCCATTTTGCCAGTCTGCCAATGCACGATCCAAGTTGTTGCATATATGACTCATGCCTTGCAAGTTGCCCACTAGTCGAGCTCGAGGTGCGTATAATACTCGTAAAACATCGCCCAGGATCCCCGATAATTTGGTGAGTTGTATGAGGTATTCATAGTTGTTGCCATGGTGTTCCACTGCAGGCAATTCAATGTCACAATCAGCATCCGAAATGATCAATGGTCTGTGCGTAATCCATGTCAATCAATATCCACGTGATTTTCTCCTCCTCCTACATACAAGTCATGCATACCTTCCCAAAGCAGCACAAATCCATCGATCCATGACGTATGCAGACCACCAAAGACGTTTGTATGGTTCAATCAGGTGGGGTGCCAATTGCTGTTGTGTCCTCGATCGATGTAATCCAAGATCTTGAGCCTTAAAAATGATGGTTAGGAAAGCTCATCAAATAAAAACATCGACCATGCATACGTACCATTTTCACTGCCAAGCTAGCACTCACCCAATCCTCGCTCTCAGGTGCCCACTTTTCAGCACAATATGCCATCACCAGGAGTACTTGAGCATGTTCAATCTTGGGTGTCATCATGTCAATGTTGCAATTGTGGTTGTATTGTCGGTCGAGCGATACGAGTAGTTGTCTTCGATCAATGCCATATTTTTTGACAAGTGGATCATCATCAGTCAATAATCGGCTTGCGCCACGGCAAATAGCTACTAGCAGCGGCATAAATACAGCGTCGTATCCTTTTCGATAATTGGCCAGGAATTCTTCTTCGTCCAACACCGGAAGCAGCTTGTTCATTCTTGAGAAGAATCTATCCACCACACATTAGTATCCACCAATGTAAATTGCATCCATTACTTACAATTCAACGAGTTTGTCGACCACTTCCTTGGGTGGCAATGCCCATTGACCATAATTAGGGAGAACAGAAGGTCCTTCATTGTCGAAATCCTCGCGATTGATCATGATATCACCACCCGTGATTGGCAAAAAGTGGGGTTTCTCATGCTGTATCAAATCGGGAAAGTACTTTGCAACGAAATATATCCCTGACGAGGATCCAAAGTAAGAGTAATCCGGTATAAGTGGTTGATCATGTTTGCTCGTGGATGATGATGACTTTTGTTGCTGATAATGTTGAATGGATTGTTCCTCTTCAGCCGACGATGAGGATGATGTTGTGGTCGTCGTTTTGGCTTTCTCGTCTTCCAAGAGCTGTTGTACCGTTTCTGCCGATGCATTTCCTGAACTGGCAAGGTTGGCAAGGATTGCTTCCATTCGTTGTAATCGATTCTCCAATGCTTCCACATATCCTTTGGATGGTCCTCGTTTACGAGCAGCCTAATAAAAGGTCGCTAAGTACATGCATAACAATATGAAAATGGACCCATACCTCATTAAACGTGCAAACCGTTCCATAACTTCTGCATGACGAGCAAGGTAACTCAGCGTGCGCTTGAGAGTAATCACACCTTGATTATAGTTGGGTGAATGGGTCAACATACGTATTTAGTATAATCTTGATGAGTCTACCTTATTTTCTTTCGTCGGCAACGGTCACCTATTCGACAGCCATCAATGAGTTGTTTTTGAAGTAGTAGTTATAGGGTATTGCTTACATGCACGCTCTTTCCTGGGTCGTTTTTGTGGTATCCGGTTGTCGTGTTGAAGTGTATCTGGTGGTGGTGGTGGTACTGTGTTCACGATCGATTGAGCCGATTTTGGATACAATGCCAAAACTGGAGGGACACCCGGTGCTGGTGCCGGTGATGCATGTCTTGGCATAGCTGTTGATTGAGACGACGATGGAGGCATCGATCCAGGTTGTTGTTGCTGTTGCTGTTGCTGTTGCTGTTGTTGCGATGGATAATACATTGCAGTGGTGAATGGCGCGGGGAAAGGAAAGAGACTTGTATTAAAGTTTACTGCAGAAGGAAAAGTGAAGGGTTGCCAAGTAATGGAAAAGGGAGAAAGGATAATGAGTTAAAAGTGGACCGCTCCAAAGTAAATATTGAAAGGTAAACGGAGACACAACAACTTCCCTTTCTTGCCTATACGACAAAGGATGTCACTCAAACATTTCATATCTTTGAATCCTGTCATTCATATTTCATTCTCATTTCCTTTCTACGAATGTACGCATGTGGAAGTGTACATCTCGTAAAAGGGTCCTTGTCCTACATCCATTGGGGGGCCCCAGGACCTGTGCAGGTGATCATCTGCCCCCTACAAGAACAAAGATGGTGGCGTCGACCTTTTTTTAAACTTTTCTTTCTCTCTTTCTTGTGTTTTTCTCTCCCTCTTCTCTCTATGTCTCAGGCAATACGCCCATGTCAACCCACATGTTGAAGTCTTTGACCAACCGGGAATACGACGATTATGTTAATCAACGTTTAAGTCGTCTGGAGCAACAAGCTGATTTATTTCGCTCTTTCCTCGCAACAACCGAAGATCCTATCATGATCGATGACAACAACTCTCGATCTCTTAATAACAACAATCAAAGGCCTTTTCGTCGTTCCAACAGCAGCTCACAACATAATAACGAAAGAGCAAGTTTGCCGATACGACGACGACCATCAGCCAATGACAACAATAGTAGACGAAGACGTCGCATGCCAAGTCATGAGAATCTTCCATACTTGTATCATGAGCAGGTGAGTCTCATTCATGCAACCTATTTTATACTACAAGCATACTCATTGTTTTGCATAGAATGATCCATGGCATAATAATCAAGGTGTTTCTAGTCAACAATATCCTCCTCCTCGTTTTCGACGACGACCACGTTCTTTTACAATGGGCACAGCAGATTCGTATTCATCCACTGGATATTATCATAGCGATAATGATGAAGATGAAGAAGATGACGATTCTGTGATGCGTAGACGAGCTCTTTTGACTGAGCATAATACGATAAGGAATGCCAATGCAGGTCGTCTTCCAAACAACATGCAACAACCCAATGATACCCCTATCAAACCAATATTACAACATCGCCCTGCCGAGACAACCAACCCAATCCGATACAATACGCATTCTGCACCACCGCTACAATCACAGCAACCACCACCAGCAACCACTACAACAACAACAGCAGCAGCAACCACTACTACTTCCTCCCCCAATGCACCCAACAATGATATTCAACAAACAACATTATCAGTACAACCACAACCACAAGCTGGATTGGTGGAAGATCCTGTCGAATCTAACACGACTACTCCGACCATGTCAAGTGGCACCACCGCCTCCTCATCCACTACCACAGGCACGGCTTCTCCACTGAAAAAGAAAAGCCGCGGTTTTTGGTCTCTTTTGTTCAATAGCAGTAAACATCGAGATCAACCACGAGATTATACACCATCACCCAATCCTTCCATGTCTACACCTGTTGATAGTACCACCAAAGCCAATAGCAGCGGAGGTGGACGTGGTACCATTCGATCGATTACAACCACGAATGGTGCTGTGGGGGATGTGTTGAACCAGCAGCAACAGGATGAGATTGTGCAACAACTCCCAAAGAGTATCACAACATCACCAAATAACAACAACATCATGAAGGTTGCGGATCTGGACCGTATCTGGGTATTTCGTGCCACAGAGCAGAATACTACGTCTGCCAATGTATGGATCACTTTTGACTACAAGAATCAAGAAATCCTCAACAACTATGTCCAGCACCTACAACAAGCAAAGTACCAGTTTGATCATGGTATCGATCTTTTCGATTCACACATTCGCCAAGGGCAATTGCCCGTTTTGGTGCTTCCGACCCGACAGCAGGCTTTTTATCCAACAAGCCTTTCTGGAGACCATATCGTTAGTCTTCAAGTTTATTGTCTTCCTAATTCATCCGAACTTCAATTTGTGTATCGTCAGCATCAACAATTACATTAGCATCATCCAAAAAGTTGTTTCATTTTTTCTCCCTTGCGTGTATCACACACCTCCCACCTCCTCCCACCACCACCATCATCATCAATCATACCACCATGCGACAATAAAGCAATAACACAAACTACTACTCTCCTGCATAATAGTACGTAAATGTATCATATCCATCTACCATTATTATATGTTTGAATCATCGAGATTGGAAGTCTATCTTTCTTTTTTTTACCGATCATGGCAGCTAACAACACCTATATCGTGGAGCAGGTGTTTGGCTACCTGGGGCTTGTGATGTGGTCATTCCAGCTTGTTCCTCAAAGTAACATCATTTAATTACATGGCAACATCGTGTTGTTATGGTTACACTGATCCCAACCAGTTTACAAATCCTATAGACGTAAAACGACTGAAGGCGTATCGCCATGGGCAATGTTGATATGGGCACTTTCAGGAGTCTTTCTTGGAAATTACAACATCGGCGTTCAGGTCGCTGTGCCACTGATCGTTCAACCACAGCTTTTTTCTTTCTTTGCATATGTTTGTCTCGCCCAAGAACTATATTACAGGTATCTTTGGAATCGGTGGAGATCAACAGCTGCATTCATATTCCTGTGCCTCGCTTCAAGTGGCCTTGAAATTGGTCTCGTGTTCGGATACTGGGTACGCTGCATGTTATCAAACAATGGTTTTAGATGCACGTGTCTAATTGAGCAAGCTAATGATTAGGCAGCCGATCATCATCACAACAAGCAAGTCATTGATTTTTTCGGGTTGCTTCCAGTGGTCGCGATATTAGTAGGTTTCATACCACAGTATTGGTCAATTGCTCGTAAGTATAACCCTCCTCCTCATGTCATGATGAGTGCGCTGATAGTGATGTTATAAAGGCGAGCGACGGGTAGAAGGCATCTCACATGTATTTCTCGGCATGGATTGTTTGGGAAGCGTGTTCTCATGCATAAGTTTGGGTAAGTATCATTTCAAAGATTTCATTTCTTACATTCCAGGATTCCTTGTTCGATCTCGGGAGCTCGAAAAGGCTAATCATTTGGTTGTCAGCGTTTCGTAGTGAGATTGATGCACTGACTCTTGTCAACTATTTATCCATCGCCGTACTTGATCTTGGCATCATTTTTCTTTATTACGTTTTCAAATGGTGGAACAATAGAAAAGCACAGCGCCAACCATCGCTAACGATTCAACAGCAGCAGCAACCTCAGGATGAGACTACAACAACTACTACGCTTGCTCAAGATGATATTGCTGAGAAAGGGTTGTCACCTCCTACTAGTGGTGGTAACAACTAACAGAAGCGAGCATACAATTGTACAACAGCCCACTATCCCATGTCATTAATATACCACCACGCTTATGCATCAACAGCCAACTTTATTACGCTACCCCATTGTTTGATTCACGCAAGCTTCTTTTGCATGGGCACGGCTCATAGTCCCAATAAAAGCGATACATGGCCATAAAAGACACCATGAGACCTTTGTTTACATAGTAGGAGGTTGCCATTATTTCCTGAGGGATATTACTTCCTGCCTAATTTGGTCAACGTCAGTTACCTGTATATGCGTAGACAATCATCACATTGAAGCTCTTTGGTTGCATCACCCAACCAGATCATGCCCCAATTGCCTCGTCAAAGACTTATCGCTCTTTTCTTTTGGTAAGCAGAGAAATCCACACGTCGAGGATGCACTAATAAAAAAAGGTGGATGCTGTCACTCGTCGTATTCCACGCTTGTGAACATTCCCAAGCTCATGTGGGGTGCTAGCTTGTTTTTGCGCCCTGTCGTCATCATTCTAGTTTTTCATTGTTTTGCGCTCTTACCTTGCTGTTGTTGACCTTATGATATTTGTATCCTGTAAAGGTAAAGCATAATCATTGTTTTAAAAGTTGACTAGAACCTCATTACTCCAACTTTTGATATCCTATTCTCAAATGCAGCCCAATTCACTGCATATCAACGATTCTCCTGTTCCAGCCCTTTATTTATCCTTCAATTGTCTTGATCCAAGAGGATTTTAGTGACCAACCCTGGAACAGAGAACATGTTAGTTCATGATCCGTACACTCTACTTTTGATGTTCCCGGCCGCCCATCATCATCTCATCCTACATTTGGACCCTTCCATTCAAAATTTGTTCATAATGAAGTGTGTGGTTTTATATGAACAGAGCTGATCAGCAGGTCCCAGCGAACCTTCCGACAAAGTTTCAAGTTCGAAATGGGGAATCCCAAGATACTTCATGCTGTTTGGCTTTTTCGTGAATCCCGCGCTTTCCCACTATCCGACCAGCATAGTCAACCCCACATTATACCCTCCCATCCCGAATTCTCAAATGAAACATGAGGTCTTTATGGATCAACGTGATCAGGATGACCAAGAGAATGTTGTGTGTGCAAGTTTCAGGTTCGAGAGGGGCAACCTCATATTCAAGGATTGATATACAGTGTACATGCATTTGTGGGCAGGGCCTATTTAATTTCCAGTTCTTCCATTCGCAGCATCTTGCCTCTTCTTCCCATTATTCTCAACTGTTGCCCCCATTCAATTATACAACTACCAACTGCACACGATTGTCCTGCTTCAACCCATCATGTCAATCCTACAACTATCGTGATCCGATTGCCTTTGACTGAATGACAGCTTCATGGCGTGTACACAGCCTTCTTGTAACTCTACTACAACACACGCTCTTGCTTACTATACTCTCTTGCTACAATCCAACGTAACAGCATTCAATCGAGCAGCTGCTATTAGGAAGGCCCTTACTCCATTATCTCAAACAACGTTCACAACCTTGTCACTCTACTACAACACACGCTCTTCCACGCTCCTCTGCCACGACCAACGTAACAGCAGCTGCTTATAGGAAGCTCCATTGTCTCAAGTTACTTGCAGCAACTTGCTTTGGTACACACATATCCCATGGATGATGTCATTTCAGCTATCAAGTACACTGCAATACAAGCGATCTCTACACGGTTGAGCTGCGATGGAAAATGACAAGAAAGAGATAGACCAACAGCCGGATGAAAAAGGAAGGTTATCAGCAGCGATCACATGATGGCTCTTTCTTGTTGGATTTGCAATGGTTATGGATGGAAGGATGCGATCAAGTGCAGGGATGAGAAAGAATCCTGGAATGTTGCTTTGGTTACTTATCGCGCTGTCTGCAGGAACGATGAATCATAACATGTGGACACGGCTGAGGATGGTGATGATGGATGGGATGGAATTGACGAAGGGTGTTGTACAGCCATGGATGATATTGGAGTACTCGATTCAATGCATGCAGCAGCTATTTTGCAACGTGGATGAAGAATGTCTATGACGGCACCCACCAAGAATACAATGGCACAATGATCCCTATCCAGTCTATGTGATTCACCCGTATCTTATTCAACCCCCAATGTTGTTGCTATCATATTTACTTTATAAACACCCACTCTACCATGTACTATTCTTCGAATTGTTCATTGAATGAAAATTGGATTCAACATAATGTTGAGAAGGATATCGTGCTATCAGCTCATGTGTGCAAGATGTGGATCGCTTGGTTGGTTTCTGGATTGAAAGAGTGAATGCAAGTTTGAAGGTCGAGAAGCGAGAATGGTTCATCTACATCATCGTATCAAGATGCTTTTTGTTCTTTGGTCACAACAACATCGCTACATTCACTACATAAAACTTCCTAGTTCACAAGCTGATAGTCGAAAGATAATGTGAATGCGAGAACCCTTGTATTGCTGCAAAGATACTAAATTCGAGAGTGATGGTGCTCAAGATAGTGCCTACTATTATTACCTAAAAAGAAGCTTGGATCACTGTAAGCTTACTTCATTATGCTCAAGAAAGAGTGAGCTGTGATACAATGTGATACGAGTACATGGACATGCCATGCTTACCTATGCCATTCTTCAACTAAATGCAATTTTATACAAGAACGAAGCATTCCATTCGAGCTATCATAGGCGGACATTACTCTAGGCGTCGTATAAGGGGGACAGGATCCATTAATGCACTCTCCACCAATGGGATCGACCCATCGAGTCGCGTCCTCCCTGGGGCATTGTGACACAAACAAGTAGTGCTTCTGCATTTTGGTACTAATAGGCTGTAGCTATGTACTTGACAATGAACAGAAACCACCTATCATACAGCATCACACTTACAGCATATGTAAAACATAAAGGTACTTGTATCTCTAAACTTTACAATCAAACGTGGGCTCTTTATTAATAGATCAACGTGCTTGTCGGGGTCAAAGGAATCTTGTGTCAAAGTATGAAGTTCATCGTGGGCAATCCCAGATTTCGCAATGTCGCCACCAGCCAAACTGAATCTGGGGGTCGACCTCTTCGACGACGACGACCAAAAAATATTTTTTGGGCTAGTTGCGACATTGAACGTGAAACTTTCACACAAGGTGCTGTTGGCCAAGCCGAGTACATTGCTCTATTCAAAACCCCACGTTTCATTGTAAAGTTTGGAGATACAGGCACCTTTATGTTTGTAAGCGTGATGCTATATGAGAAGTGGTCTTTGTTTAATGTAAAGTAGCTAAACCCTGACAGAGCAAAAGATGCAGAGGGTCGTGTTGTGTAACACAGCTACATTTGCATGAATGAAAGGGTCAATGTATAATTACTTTATGGATCGTCTAGGAACAGGCATGTATTGCTAGCTGACGGCCACTTTTATCCAATCATCATTGTTGCGAGATCCACTGCATGGGAACGATGCCCCTGCTCTAGACATTCATTTCCATGATTAAAGTAGGTTGATCCGAGCTGATTTGGTTGAGTTACGCTCACACAAGATTACGTCGGTTGAGCTACATCGAGCGTGCTCTATGTCCAGAGTGATGTAATCTCTCTTTGACCGCAGCTCAGTCAAATCAGCTCGGATCAACCTACTTTAATCATGGAAATGAATGTCTAGAGCAGGAGCATCGTCCACCTACAATAGAATGCACAAGAGTTGGGAATGCACAAAAGTGGCTATTAGCTGCCAATATATGACATAAAAGTGAGGGTTGCGTACCGTTCATGCATTGTCCCTGAAGTCCTGACTTTTTAGCTGAGTTACCCAAAGAGGTCCTTCTGCATCTTTTGCTCTGTCAGGGTCTACCTACTTTACATTAACCAAAGACCACTTCTCATATAGCATCATGCCTACAAACATAAAGGTGCCTGTATCTCCAAACTTTACAATGAAACGTGGGGTTTTGAATAGAGCAATGTGCTCGGCTTGGCCAACAGCACCTTGTGTGAAAGTTTCACGTTCAATGTCGCAAACAGCCCAAAAAATATTTTTTGGTCGTCGTCGTCGAAGAGGTCAACCCCCAGATCCAGTTTGGCTGGTAGCGACATTGCGAAATCTGGGATTAGCCACGATGAACTTGCAGCTTGCACCTAAGGTGCTGTTGGCCAAGCCGAGCACATTGCTCTAATAAAAACCCCACGTTTCATTGTAAAGTTTGGAGATACAGGCACCTTTATGTTTGTAAGCGTGATGCTATATGAAGAGTGGTCTTTGTTCATTGTCAAGTAGGTGGACCCTGGCAGAGCAAAAGATGCAGAGGGGCCTCTTTGTGCAACACAGCTACTTTGCATGACTGGAAGGATTGATGGATTATACTTTATGGTCTATCCACAATAGTCCGTATATTGCGCGCTATCAGCCATTTCCTCACAATCAGCGTTGTTGCAAAATCTACTGCATGTGAACGATTGTCCTGCTCCAGCCGAGCATTTCCATTATTCAAGTGTCTTGATCCGAGCCGATTTGACTGAGCTATGCTGGAACAGCAAACATGAAAACTCTTGAAAGACAGACCCTGCGAATGTCTCCGTCTTTCAAACTTTTGGACGCTGCCATTCAAAATTTTCAAATGAAGTGTGAGGTATCTATTATGAAAAAGTTGATCAGCATGCTCGAGAGCACCCTTCTGACCAATTTTCAAGTTGGAGGTAGGCAACTTCGGGGCGGTGGGCCGTCCGCTCTTTTGTTCCCATCATCCACCGTTTGGATCCTCCCGCATTCAAGACATTCTTAATGAAGTGTATGGTTTTTAAAGGAATGAAGTTCATCAGCATGTTGCAGCGAATCTTCTGACAAAGTTTCAAGTTCGAAATGGGGAATCCCAAGATAATACATAGCATTTCGATGAATCATGAATCTGGGGCTGACCTGCATTCCGACTTATATAGTAAACCCCACATTATACCCTCCCATTCCAATTTTTATAATGAAGCATAGGCTCTTTTTTACATCAGCGTGATCAGCATGTCCAAGAGCACCTTGTGTGAAAGTATCAGGTTCGAGAGGGACAATCTCAATATCAAGGTTTGATGTACAGTGTTCATGCATTTATACAAGAGGTGTCCGATCTATTAATTTCCACTTCTTCCACTCACACAACTTCTTGTCTCTTCCTCCCATTCTCATCTATTGCTCATTCAAGTATACAACTACCATCATGCGAACTATTGTCCTGCTTCAACCTACCATGTCGATCCAACAACTGCCTTGATCCGAAAGACATTGGCTGAATGGCAAGTCCATGGCGTGTACACAGCCTTCTTGTCACTCTTTTACAACACACGAGTCTCTTGACGCAACACACGCTCTTGCACACTTCTCTGCCACAATAAACGTTACGGCAATCATTCCAGCAGTTGCTATTAGCGATGTCTTGACTCCATTGTTTCAAACAGCATTCACAACCTTGTCGCTCTACTACAACACACGCTCTTCCACATGCTCTGCCACGACCACGACCGACCGTAGAAGCAGTTGCTATTAGGAAGGTCTTTACTCCATCCAGTTACTTGCAGCAGCCTTTTTTACGTGAACAGCAGATAGCCAAGCAGCTTTATTTACGTGTATCAACTTGGTTTGGTACACTGGATGGAAGGATCTGGATATACAACGCGTGGAAAAAGGGCCTTGTTCTTTGCATCCATTGTCAACATCTTTATTATAGTTGATGCATGGCAGCCACTATCACCATCCTTTTGCAACATTTCAGCCATGTACACACACAATCACCACGACGCATCAAGTGTCACCTCACGTCCATTCATTCACCACTTTGCACAATGCATGTCCAAAGGATAGACTTTTCCAAATCAATGTATCTTCCCACAGAAGCAATTCATTGTACCCTTCAATCCATCTCTTGTGAATGATGTTACATTAAAGGGTTGCTTTAGCTGTTACTAGATTGCGTTGGCCAAACATTTCGAAGTCTGTAAAGTGTAGTAAGGTGCCTTCCTTCATCCCGAGTTGGATCTCGTCGTGTGTGCATTATACTATAGAAAGATGTATGGTAAGGCAAATGCAGGTTATATCCACTTGTGAATGCTGTAATAAAGGGAAATGAGGGGGAAGAGAAAGGGGCTGATTGATTCATTGTGTCTTGAACAAAGGCTGCTGTATTCTATAGCATAATCTCCTCCCTTTCCTTTGTGATTAGATCTTATCGAAAACGTCGTAACCGTTCCCTCTTTATGATTTAGAATTTGTAAGATAGTTAATTTTTCTGTATACGGCGGGAAGATGGATCACACAATTAATCATATTACCCATTGCATTTCTTGCGTTGTACATATACGGGGTTTGGGTTGGGGAAATCGACAATGCTATTATGATGTGTGTGATAGTGCTTAAGAAATCCACCTTCTCTTGCATGGCTGTTGCAATACATTAATTGTACAGCCTATGTTCAAAAAGTGCCGAACAATGATGTGCCTGGCACCTATTTTGGAAGGTCATGCGTTGTTTTCGATCGTCCTCGCACTCAATCAATGGTCATTGGGTGAGGATGAAAACCAAGATGTTAGTATATACTCTTTAAAAAGATCTTCAACAATGAAATGGAACAATCTTCTCCAGCAACTTGAAACGTTGGAAAGCGAAAGAGAGTTTCAGCCTGAAGAGGACAGCAGCGCTCATTGTTTGAAACACAATGAGCGATTTCAAGAAGTACGTTAAATCCAAAGTTATGGTTAAAGCATGCAACATCTCCTTTCCAGATATAAAACCCGTTTTAGCTTTGAATCAACATTGATACTTCCAAGAAGAATAAACAATGATTCAAAAGATCGTGGTTCCAATGATACAACAAAGGTGAACGCCACATAGAAGATACCTTGGATCATGTATTCCCCGGCATAGAGTCTTGTTTCCATGCATCATTAGCTTCCCACATTCCAGGATTGCGGTGCTGCAGCCACGGATTGTGATCTGTGGTGATAACAACCACCGGCAGCGACCCCATTATGTATTGTGCAACAATTCAAATGAACACCACATGCCATTAATATACCATGTTAGCAACCAAATTCTTCAGGGTAGGACGATGTGGCAAAAGCTTATTTTGACATGCAGTATCCATAGCAACGGCAAAGTATTCCTTTACGTGGGATCAGCCACTTTATTACAAACATTGTCCCATAGTTTACCCATTCAATTCCAGCGACACTTGCTCGTCCTATCAAACGGAGACTTCCGGTTTTCCGGTTGTAAGTAGTATTATTATAGATGGCTAACTAAATATATACAATTTCTCTTTCCTATAACATCTCCCCCACCAACTCAAATCAGCAGCCATCGATCTTCTCTCTTTCTCTTTGTTCTCGTTACTACTACTGATCCTTCCATTGTTTGAATGGCGGTTGATACGAATGTGGTAGAGCAGGTCTTTGCCTATCTCGGCCTAGTGATGTGGTCATTGCAGTTGGCTCCTCAAGGTAAAATGATAGACATTGGATGGGATGGGACGGGTGTGTTTATTGATCCAAAACAAGCGTACAAGACCTATAGACGCAAAACAACGGATGGTGTATCCCCATGGATGATGCTTATATGGGCACTCTCGGGCGTGTTTCTTGGCAACTACAACATTGGCGTGAACGTGGCAGTACCGCTTATCGTTCAACCCCAACTCTTCTCCTTCATTGCCTACATTTGTCTTGCTCAAGAGCTGTACTACGGATCGCCGCAATGGTCTCGTTGGACGGCAATGGCCATGTTTGTATTCTTGTGCATATTCTCGGGAGGTCTTGAAGTCGCTCTCTTGTTTGCATACTGGGTGAGTTGAATTGCGATGACATGAGCTCCATTGACACTGACCTTTTCCAATTAGGCGGCGGATCGGAACGGCAACATGCGAGCTGTTGAGTTCTTTGGTGTGCTCCCCGTGGTATCGATCTTGGTTGGTTTCCTACCACAGTATTACTCTATTGCTCGTAAGTGTATTCTATCATCCAAATGATATAGTCTCATTATTGATTGTTGCGTGTGTTTGTAGGCGAGCGCCGAGTGGAGGGCATATCTCATCTTTTTCTTTGCATGGATTTCTTCGGAAGCATATTCTCATGCATCAGTCTAGGTAACGTATATCCACTTTACTGGATCGTCAATGGCTGTTAGATTAATTCACACTATAAATAGCTTTTCGCAGCGAAATCGATGCTCTCACCATTGTCAATTATGCTGGTGTTGCTCTATTTGACCTCGGTATCTTTTCGCTCTACTACATTTTCAAGTTTTGGAATGCAAGGAAAGCAAAGCAATCTTCTGACAAGGACCATCCACCAGATGAAATGACCCCATCCTCTTCTATCACTGCCTCGTCCAATCAGCCCGATGATATCGCTGAAAAAGGATTGCCAAAGTCTCACCATGGACACGAGAGCAACATCACCACTGCCCGTTCATCCATTGAAGAAAATCAGGAGAAGCAGCACTCCCAACAACAGTAGACTTAATTGCATATTGTATACCCACCGTCGATAGATAATTACTCAATACGTAGTCTTCATTAATACATAAATGCGCCACAATGCTGCACAGGATGTGGGATTTGCATGACTTGTATTCACCAAGGGGAGCATTACAATAATGATAGAGCGGTTATACCCATATTCTTTCATGACCACAATATCAATGATGAGGATGATGGCCATACAAAACCTTGACGGCAAGAGTGCATTTATCACAAGCCATATCGAGAGAATATCAAAGAATGTGTTTCATGGCAAAGACGTGTGATGTGTGTAACGAACACCAAGGAACCATTTATTGCGTCAGTCATGCGTTAGTCATTGCTTGTTTTATCAGCAGCGTTGATTGTTTCACCGATAGGCATCGAACATTGTCCCCTGTGATAAAGGCTAGCTGAACCCTCCCCCCAAAAGGCGTCGATCATCTTTTTTCCCTCTTTACAAACAAATATTACTTTTGCTATATGCAAGCCAGCACAGAGGACACAACGACCTATATTGGAGCCATTGATGCAGGCACTACATCCGCACGCTTTCTTATCTTTACTGATAAAGGCAAGCTGGTTGCTAGCCATCAACTCGAATTCGAGCAAATCTATCCACGACCAGGGTACTTTGTATTAAAAAGACAAAGAACGATACATGTGCTCAACGTTTTTGTATAATGTAGGTGGATAGAGCACGATCCACAAGTGCTTGTTGACGTGGTGAATGAATGTGCCACTGTGGCAATACGGAAATTTGGCATGATGGGTTATGACTCTGCCAAAATCAGAGGTAAGGTATCAGTGGATGCACGCGTGGTTAAGCACTGATTCTTTTTGCATACAGCTATTGGTATTTCCAATCAACGAGAAACAACTTTAGTTTGGGATCGAGAAACGGGCGAGCCCTTGTACAATGCTATTGTGTGGGGTGATGGACGTACCAATAACACGGTTCGCCGTCTCAAGACCAAAGACAAAGAGGGTCGTGTATCCAAGCTATGTGGTTTGCCCATTCACAACTATTTCTCAGCTGTGAAAATGTATTGGCTTATGCACCACAAGAAGGATATCAAAAAAGCCATCAACGACAAGCGAGCTGTATTTGGCACGGTCGATAGTTGGTTAATATGGGTAAATGGGGGATCATGTTTTTATTGAGGATGCGTTTCCCTAACAGTACAGCATTGTAAAGAATCTGACAGGTGGCAAGGCTTTTGTAACGGATGTGACCAATGCATGCAGGACCATGCTAATGAATTTGGAAACCAGGAAATGGGACCCTGAGCTATTGAGGTAAGCTTGATGGGGTAAGGTGCACGTTTAGCAAATAACTTAAAATGGCCCATGCAGCTTCTTTGACATACCCGAAGATGCACTTCCAAAAATTGTTTCGAGTGCTGAACACTATGGTACAGTGAATGATGGTCCACTAGAAGGGCTGCCTATCATGGGGTGTTTGGGTGACCAACAAGCAGCGTTTGTTGGGCAGCGATGCTTTCAACCAGGTGAAGCAAAAAACACCTATGGCACAGGTGCATTCTTGTTACTCAATGTTGGTGATAAACCCGTTTCTTCCAATAATGGACTATTGTCTACTGTGGGCTATCAACTTGGGAAGGATGCACCTGTTACCTATGCCTTGGAGGGATCCATAAGTGTAGCAGGTGCTGCTGTCAATTGGCTGCGTAACAATCTGGGCATGATAAAAGAGCCAAAAGATGTCAGTGAGTTGGCTTCGCAAGGTACATACATATATACATACGTATGAGTGACGTTGATGGAGACATTAACATGTACGTTGTAGTCCATGACACGGGTGGTGTTATGTTTGTCACAGCATTCTCAGGTTTATTTGCACCTTATTGGCGAGACGACGCTCGAGCCACTCTTGTCGGGCTTACACAATACACCAACAAGTGCCACATTGCACGTGCCACGTTGGAAGCTGTATGCTATTCTACTCGAGCAATCTTGGATGCCATGACTGAAGATGGCAACGTCCCACTGAAACTTCTTAAGGCGGATGGTGGTATGTCAAATTCCGACATTTGCATGCAAATCCAGGCCGACATCTTAGGCATCCCCGTTGGTAAGACGTTGTCACATACATCCAATATTAAGTGCTAATTGGTGGATGTTGCATAGAGCGGCCGGCTATGCGAGAGACAACTGGATTTGGTGCAGCGCTTGCAGCTGGGTTGGCCATTGGCGTATGGAAAGATATAGATACCATTCACGATTATCAGGATGAAAAGGCTGACGTGTTTCAGCCTAATTGGGATGATTCTGGTAAGGTGATCTATTCCTGTTTGTATGATGTTGGCTGACTTTTTGTATTTGCATTTAGAGCGAGAACATAGCTTAGCAGTGTGGAATGCAGCTGTACAGCGGAGCATGGGTTGGACGGACGTGTATCATTCTGAAGAATAAACAACTCTCTATGTTGGGATTACGTTTCAATGATTATATTTGAGAACACGAATGTGATATGGGTGAATGGCAGAATTAGGCTCGAGATTTTGGGAAATACAATTTACAAGGTAAGAACAAGGTTGTGGGAGCTACGGTGGGTAAAATGGGATGCGTGTGCTACTATTATGTGGATATGGAGTGTGTTGTGGGAAAGATGCGTCTAATCCTTGCGATAATGTAAGGAATCCTTGTAGGTCCAAGCACCAACATCAAGCAGATTTTTGCGTTTCATCGACTTGAGCATAGCAACGTTGCGTTTGGTGTATTCATCCGAAGCATTCTCATCCTCCACAAACTTGAAAAGATCCGGCTTCCATGTTTCTTTGCGTTCAGCTCGCTCTTTCCGCACCTTACGTTGCCATTCTTCGATCTTGTTCTTTTCAGCATTAGCCACACTATAGTTTTTGGCCTTGAGTGCTTCAGTGACAGGGCCCCACAATCGATGGGATTCGATATCTTGTTGTTGTTCAAGAGGTGGGGTAACACGCTTGGCCATCGGTTCAGCTTCAGCATTGAACAAGAGCTGCTTCTCACTCTCGCCCTTGGTTGTATAAAACGTCTGGTGGCTCCATCGACCCGAAAGGGTGTAACGCTCTTCACCATTGGATGATACCACTCCCTTAATGTGATTGTGCTCACCGCCAAACCAAGGCTTAGGCACAAACTCGATGGTCGTATTGGTCACACCGTTGGAGCACGCAATTGTACAAACACCACTCAATTCAAGGTAAGCAGCACCAGTCAAAAATCCTCGGATCATCAAGTCGGGGAAATCAATCACATATTGCTCGTCGTATTTCTTGACATAGAGCACAGCACGTCCTACTTGCTCAACCTTGATGCTGGTGCCCTTGAATCGAGACTTTTGACCACCTTTGTATAATCCATTAATATCCTTCATATTGTAAGAGAAATAAATACTTACAGTGGCCATTTAAAGAAACACCAGCCTTTTCATCTTGGAGATAGAATGCAGAGATTGGGGGGTGGTGGCACACTAAAATGCATTAACCCATGAGTGAAACACAGGTACACACGGGGCTTTGAATCTCATTCATCATACCTTGTTCACAAATACAATCAATGTCGCCTAACTTGCAATGGAATTGTTCGCCAAGAATTGGGTTGTATGGCTTCTTTTCATTTTGACCATTGGTACAGCGTGAGGCGTAGCTACCCCAAAGAGTCGACATAAACCAACGAGCCACAGCCAACATTCGTTCTACGACAAGGTATTAGCATGCTTCCAATGGGTTTGTAAGGTTCATTATACATACCAGCAGGGTCCTCAGCAGCAGCAATGGGCGAGAAACTTGAAATAACATGTTAATAGCGATCTACATATATCACTTCCATCCACATGACCACATTTTACCCGATACTTACAGAGTTGGATGATCACCCCAATAGGTTCTATTTGTTTGTATTGATGGTTAATGCATGTATAGGGGAAAAAGCTTAAGCCATATGACAATGTTGTCTATGGCATATGGAGATCATGCATATATAGTTCATTCAACTTACCCATATTCCAGCAGCGATAGACCGTTCAAGAAGAACGCAGGGCAAGTGAGCGACGAGAGATCACCCGTGAAGCTGATGACGGTTTTGATAAATTCCTTGAATTGACCTGTGGTTCCTGGTTCAGCATTCTTGACAGACATGGCGTCGACATCGGTAACGGAAGGTGCCTTGTCTCCATTGAGCTCCGAGGAAGAGTTGCTTCGACTGCTTGAGAAGAAAGACTTGCCCATTGTGTAGAAGAGAAAGAGAGAGAAAGGAAGAGAATAAAGAAAGAGAGAATCACCCACACTCACCTTTTGAAATGCTTTGTGCTGCACGACACGCTTTTCGGCATTCATTCACTGACATTGAAATACAAGTAGACTTTTTGCACCCCCAACCCAACAAAGAGCAAGGGCTCATTTACACATGATATTTTCAGGGCAACTAGATCAACCAACAAAGCCACCATGATGATATCTGTTACTTGAACAACAGGGCCTGGATCAGCTTCCTACATCAATGAACCGCTACTAGAATGAAGCTCGTCGGTCAGGCCATCCGAATCCCCCGAATCCGGGTTTATTTTATCCATTCCCAGGAGATAAGTGATATCCCATGACCATTTCCAGTCTCTTGATGTATATTTGCCATCCCCCCATGGTTGGATACTTGCCATTATTCTCATTATCAATGAACAATGAATATGGGTATATGATGCCTTGAACATCCCCACTTATCACATCATGGTACATAGCTCGTGCTCTAGTGACAAAGCTTATCTCCGAATGGGTGTCACGAACACTAAACATTGATTCCAATCATTCTTCTTCTTGTTTACTCGTTCTCGTTGCATTATTATGGTGATCGTTATACTGAAAATCTCCTCAATAAACATCGCTTATGATTGTGAATGAGCATGATGGATTCATGATATGAACTTTACCCAAGCCTTGATGATGTCCCCCTTGTTGGCACATGTCGGTACAACTATTGCCGAGAAAAAAAGAAACGTGATTTAGCTTATTTGGGTTTGCAATAAGCGTCTCACGTCTAACCCACAATATCAGGGAAATGCATAAACCCCCATCCTCTCTCTTTCTCTCCGCCCCCACCTACCATATCTATCTATCCTTTGATGACATACATGTGCGAAAATGGAAAACTAACACTCTTTCAACTCGATCCATTACACGTCAAACATTGGCAATGTATTGTTAAAATGATATTAGCGTATCTACAAGCTGTTTTGTGGCTAAGGTGAAAGAGGGAGAGTGGCTAGGGAATGGTGATGATGGATGCTGATGATATGTATATATACGAGAAAGGAGGAGAGGATGGTAAAGCACATGGTTCTGGTTATCATTTGGATCTTGAAGTAACGTTGGTTGATTTGTGATGTTGATTGTAATCCAGTCTCACCACCAGACACAAAAACTGGACCGTTTCAGTAGCCGAGTAGTAGTTGAGTGCTTCAATCAATAGCCTCATATGATAAGAAAATGATTCTTCAAGCTTGTTCAAAGATCGACTCGTGTTTTCAAAGCTCGCTTGTATTGCTGCTGCTGTATCGCTCAGACCACCTTTGGGAATGCCAAACTCATCCGGACTTTGTTGTTCTACCATCGACTTCAAAAGTTGCACAAAACGATCAGTGTGCGTTGCAAACACCACACATGAGGTCATAAGCTTGTTGTAGATCTAACAAGAATCATTTAGTTTCATGAATTACTTGTTATCTTTGAACTATCTTACCCTTAAGAGTTTGGCATTGGTGAGCATGCATTCCTTCAAGCACGTGTCAAGAAAATCAGAGTGGAATTGCAAAACTTGATCCACGGTAGTAACCTTGCCCAAATTTGATTCGAGTCGTCGCCAATTAGGCTCCAAAACCTCGTTGGTCACATAGTATGCAAATTGCTGCACGAACATGAGCATTCGATGTCGTAAATTGAAGATACGGAATTTCCAGGCATCAATCTCAGGTATTCCCGTTCGCATTTTCCATAGCAAATCCTTTTGTTTCATCCATGCGTCACATAACATATCCTCCACGTGTTTCAAATATAGCAAATGTCGAAAGAGAAGCTGGTATTTTGTCAATGCTTTGCGGGATATGACCAGCGATAATGGAAAAGTCACCGTATAATCCAATGTCAATGCATCGTAACCTAGATACACCTTTGTTAAATAGGGGGGCATCATGTTAACGGTCCTTAAATGCTTACCACTCAACACATCACGAGAAGATCCTCCACCAGCTGACGTGCTTGCTACACTTCCACCACCAGCAATGCTTCCAACCATACTTTGACTACGCTCCAGCATGGCAGCACCCGACTCATTGCCATTGTTTCCCCATCGCGAATCACGTGGTAGGCTGTCGAGACCAGCGACATTGATGATCCTTAGCAATTCATCCACCAGCTTAAGAGGACTCATGGCAACCTTGAGATCTTCCTTGAATGGATCATATGCAGCAACCGAGGAGGAGTTTCGAAGTACCAAATCCATAAGCGATTGCAACCTTGTTAACGGGATTTCCCTTGCTGGCTGCCTCAATTCATCTCGCGCAAGATCCAGAAAAGAAGTCAAGAAATCCGATTGATCAAGAAAGAAATAGTGCTTGAGTGAACTAAATAAATGTATAAGATACATGCACAACTTTTCCTTCTCATTCGCTTACCGTAATCGAGCGTGGAGTTGTTGATCCTTTGTGAGTAATTTGAGAAGCGTGTGGTTGGCGTATTTATATGTAATCTCAAGGCTTTTGACGAACCTATGTAAAAGGTAGCTCAGCAACCCGTATCATACCTGAATCCATCCATTTCCCACGTACTTACCCTGCGCCATCCACAGCCGACCATACTTCGCTTCTTGTCACTGATTCTCTCCATTCGTCTCTCAATGATTGGGTTTCCACCATGTTATCCTGTTGCATAGCAAGCTCCATATCTTCAGGATTGGCAATGCTGACACCGCACTCGCGAACCACATTGAGGTATTTTCCTGCCAGTAGGATCTTGGTCTGAAGCGGCTGCAGGAATGATGGCACCAGCTTTTCACGAACGGTGTATCGCATCTCCCAATAAGCGTCATTAAAGTCTTCCTTGAGATTTTCCTTTTTGACGTTGCGTTTCTCCAACACCATAAACTCGTTGTAGGGATCAATGATTTTGCCACGGTAGATCCAAGAATGAAGAATCTCAAAGTAGGGTACTGATGCACGAGATAGCAAATAGGCAAACATCTTTTTACATCGAACATCTCTATCCACCAAAGGGAAAAAGGTTAATCAACATCCATGCTACCCTCATCCCCTATTCACACATACCCGCTGTATCGGATCAATCGATCTGTCAGAATGTTGAGGATGGCACCGCCTTTTTCATGATCAGAGATACGCACTTGGCCATCATCTGCCTTTTTCAAGCCTTCCAGTACTGCCTCGATATCCACTGAATCATCATCAAAATCCACATCCTTTTTTGTATGTAATCCACGAATCGTCATGGCAAGGTCGTGAATGATGCCCATTTGTTGCATGGTGTCGTCTTGCATATAAAACCAGAATTGTTGTAAGGTGAAGCTGTCGGATGATTGAAATTGGTATTCGAGTTGTGCAATAAAGGTCTCGTATTCTTTGAGGATGGATGAAATGGCGGCTGCTAATGCGTGGTTGATGGAACCGTATTCGTAGCGTGAATATTGATCGACAAAGGCGCTGATTGACATGTAATAGGTGGCCAAGGGTAAGATCTTATCCACCAGATCACGTACACTTGGATCTATTTTGAAAGTAAGCTTTGGTGGCAATCGGTATCCATACACTCGTATTTACCCAAAGAAGCATCAATTGTATAGCGTACATCGTCCCACATTTCCCCTTGATCATCTTGTACACCTTCTTCTTCCACCATTTGGTCATCCACCTCACCGGCGACTCCTCGAGGATAGTTGATTTTGATATAGGTGCCATTAATGCCCTTTGTAACACCGACTGACATTTTAGTTCACAAAAGTAATGATACCGCATTAACTTACCATCAGCACAAACAGCAAATCTTCAATCACGGCGTATTCTTGAATACGAGTCGGGAACATGGACATGGATTCTGTTGCCATTTCCTATATTCAAATCAACATCATGAGACTCCACCATCAAGAAGGAAACTTACCACAGGTGTTGTTGATGTTGTGTGTACGCCATTCAACGCATCTAGTCAATCGTTTAACTATAACGTTCTTTCTCTCCCAAGTAGTATCACTCTTTTCTCCCTCACACTCACCTAGAGCAGAACCACGTGATTGGGTGGATATGAACGATGCATCTACATTATCCAGGTCTGTGCTCAACGCTGATAGCTGTGGACTAGACAATGCCAACGAGTTTTGCCGTACGTTCGCAATCTTCTTGTTGATCTATCGACACCCACTGTCAATGGAACGTTTCAAGTGACACTGGTAATAGCATATACCTTGTTGACTTGTCGCTCTGATAAAAGGATGCTAGTGCGATTGGAGCTGGATGAGGCGCGTCGTTGATCAGCAGCTGCGGTTGTTATGGCGCGATGGGCTGGCGATTGAGGAGGCGATCGGCGTACTGAGTGGCTTCGTTGTCGTGACATTGCTGCCATGCTGTTTCTCGATCAAGCAGAGAGGGCGGTTACGCGGTTGAAGAGGAATGAGGAGATAGGAAGAAAAGGAAGAGGGAAGAGGTGTGTGGTATCAGCCATGCGGGCTCTGTGACGTTTTCCATCAGCATGAATGTCCCACCAGCAACAGCTTATTTTGTATTGTTTTGCATAATAAATGGCATCCCACCATATCCTATACAAGCATGGCTCTTGTCTTTATGATATCATTTGATTGAAACAAATGTGGTTGGCCCATTGTCTCCTAGATGACCACATTTTACTTGACATTGTATAGACAACAATCATCATTCCTAGTTGTTGATGGTTTCAAGCCATGTCATCTCACGTTTCTCTTTAAGCATAAATGGGTGGATGATGTGTGGTCGCAATCTCTATGATCCTTTGCGCTTGATCAAGTAGTGATCACTGTTTCCAAGTGTCTCATTGTTATGCATTGTTGACATAATCCGGGAGTATAAAATGCCAAGATAAGGCAGTGTAAGATGCAGTCAAAGTTCAATGTTTATGATGGAAGAATAAACCATCAATCTCGTTAATAGACGAGAGATCCTTTAAAGAGTTACAAACGTATATGAATAACGCTCGTGTTCCTGAGTGTTGTTGTTTCAGGGCGATACAAATGATGATCCCGCTTGGCATCCTTTACAGCTTTTCACAATGCCAAAAATAGCTTCAAGCTGAGCCTCCGCTAGTCCACCAACTCTTTACCTTTCTCTTTCTACTACTCTCCTCATTGTACATTTGAATCATGCCCAGAAGATGTTGCTGTATTATCCCATTACGGGGAGGCGCTGTACTTCTCAGTATTATTATCGCGGTACGACTCGAGAAAAACAAGAGGATCTCAATTGGTGACAACGTTTTGCTCATGCTTGGTTCTACATTCGACACAGGCTGTTTCAGCACTACTAGTTGCTCTCACGTTCACGCATATGAATCGTACGTATATCCTATTCATGCTAGCAACTTTCCTAAGACTCACATGCCTATGTACATTGTAGCTATGGTGATGCATCTTGATGTGGTGCACCCTGTTCTTCCATGGGTGGCTGTCATTATTTATAGTAAGTATCGAGGGATGGATGGTATCTATATGGCACTCTCGTATGGCTTTCTTTTGACATGGATGAATAATAGTTGTTACCGGGGTGATTGGTATCTATGGTATCCTTGCATCTGCCACGGTAAAAATTAAAAGCGCACGTGAGGGTGGAACACGAGACCGAGAATTTACTCACATGGTTGTTTTACAGGGAAGTCTTGGATTGATGCGTTTATATAAGCTTGTCTTTTGGTTATTCCTCGTGTTTATCCTTACCATCTGGGAGGCCGTCGATTTTGTACTTGCACTTGTAAACCGATCCAAGAGCCTGGATGCTTGTAATGAAGCCAACCCGGATCAAGCGGAAGGTTCCGGCGACCAATCTGTCAGTGTCGGTGATTATAAGGCAACCCTACTTGGTATGCAGCTCGGCAACACATATGGTCTTGCAAATTGTGCCCAAGCAGTACAAGCAGGTGTGATTGGATTAGCCATCTTACTCTTTGTTGGCCAATTGACGATGGTAAGTTGAGGAAGGTTCATGGCGAATATTGGGACAAGGCACCAAAAGCGAGAAAGGGGAGGTGGCGCGGAGAATCAATTTGGGTGGGATGGATGAGTGAGCGCCCTTCACACTCACTTTTTATTTGCATAGTTCTATTTCGCTACTGTGGTGGGATCCTATTCCAAAAAGCTGCGTGAACGTCAATATGGTCATCGTATTCGTGATGAGGATTGGTCTGATAACTTGGATGATTTGGGTGCTGCCTACCGTGCTGATGCCCAAAATGCACAGCGATATCGAATGAACCAGCTCAACAACAACAGCTCAGGGAACAAATTTACGGCAGGCCTTAAAAAGTTCAAGCTAGGAAAGTGATATGCATGCAAATAAATCGACACCATATACACCAAAGCAATTCATCCACCACCTGTAACAAGTTTTTGTTGATACATCTCCCATAAAGAGGCTTTGTGAAACTATACTTCAGATATAGCTTGTGGAAAAAAAAGGCTCCCCTTTCATGGCTCAGCTAGGAGATCGGCTGTATGGCTTAGGTTAGCATTTACTGCAGCATGTATGTTACACGTGGCTGTGGGAGAAATCGTGATGCAAGTCAGTCCAAGAACAGTAGTTTGACAATCGAGATGCATTGGGTGGGAAAAGTTATGGAATTATGATAAGTCAGCCTTGGAATGGTATATTGACAACGACTTCGCATTGGATGGGAAGGAAATAAGCATCTCAGCTTGCTAACCGACAATGAACCGGCGGTGATGCGAGAATTCAAGCTTTCAAGGGTCTTTTGTTTTCGCGTCTCGTGGTTGCACTAAGCGGAGCAGAGTAGGTCACAGCCAGTCAGCATTCGGTTGCGGATCTACATCCGATATCGTGCATATACGGTGAATGTTGTTGTTTGATCGTTTCGATATTATCGTGTCAACTTGATGATTGGATGTCAAAAACGGCTATAATCAATGCAAGATGTTACGCGAAAGAGGCCTGCAACCACAAGATAAAGAGAAACAATGATGCATTAGCATCTTGGGGGAGAGAAGTGTGGATGACAAGCAACAAATTCAGATGAGACAATTTTACCATCTTTATGTCCTCATATCCGCTACACACATACCATTAGTAAGAATCAAGAAGCATCTTCAATCATTCATTGGACATGATTATCATAAGAGGTTTGCCCTTTTCCTTGTTAGTGAATGTAATATATGCACGACTATCTGAGTAACCATGGGCGGGTGTTTGTGTGTCCTTTTGATTTCCACCTCATCCTCCCCCCAAATCCCCCGATTGCTTCAATTGACACTGCATATACAAAAAGAATGAATGGAACAAGAAAGAATGCATTATTACTAAAAAGTTGGGGTATATGCGAGAGCCAAAAGAGCCGTAAAGTGAACTAGGTTGTGATCCAGATCAACCCTTTAAGGAACATGGATTTCCTAAATGCATGTGAGTGAGCTGGTAGTGACAGCGTAATACACAGTGGGGGAAGAGAAATAGTTTCGAAGTTCCTTTCATCACACTTAAACAGTCATGCGATCCCAGAAAAAGTTACAAAGCTCGTTGCGGGCATTATGGAGAGCTTATTCTTTTTCTGACGAATGTTCATCACATATAAAAGCCTGTTGTCCCCCCTGCCTGTTTCTCATCCTTGTCACGACCACCTTCCTTAACGACATACGTCTATTGCAACAACAACGACAACAACGACATTGACGACGAAAGCGGGCCCACCTATCAGCAACATGTGGACGACGACGTTGCAACGATATTGCCTTGGGATACAAGCAGCAGCCACTCATCGTCAACGTGTATTGTGGCATGTAGTGTCGAAAATGACCGTTCAAATAGGTACATAGTCGTTGGCCATGTTGATTTTATCCATGTTGATTATTAGCATTGATAAATATGGCATTTTCTCACAAAAACGTTGTACTGATTTCGCCATTTCTATTCCATTCTCAATCATAGCGTACTAAGAAAAAGATCACACGCGTTTGTTTCGGTCATATGTGCCATCAAGAAGCGCATACTATCCATTGGCGGATATGTCGCGCGAGCGTGTCATGGGGTCTTTGGCCATGCATTTGGCATACAAGATCCGCGTCTTCTCTCTCTGGCTGGGTTTCTCGGGTTGATCGGGCTGCTCGGAAAGAACGAGAGGGAAAAAAATAAGGATGGTGGGATGTCACAATACGATGCGAGTGTCAAATCCCATCATCATGGTCGCCGGCGGCGCCGTGATTGATGGGAGCATAGAAGAAGGGGCGTTCGCACACACACTTTAGAGATCGGGCGCGTCGTCAGTTTGCCACTATTTAGGGGGACAAGACTCCTTTCAATGTTATAGGGCCCGCTGCCTTGAGGTACCCAGGTCATGTCGTTGACGCCATACAATAAAAATAATTTCTTTTTTCTGCTATTCAAATAATGTGCCAACTGTGTTTATTCATTTTCATCCAAACATTGTCTTTTCTTGGCGGGTTTGTTTGTGTTTCCACAAACCTGGGTTACAATGGCAAGTATGTACGTGTGTCTCTAAAGAGTAAGATACCCCTGGGTGGATCTCCTGATTCTGCACTTTTAAGATGATGGGAGTCAAACATGTGATAGGCATTACCGGAATAGGTCTGGAAGTTTTATGATCGCGTACACCAGCCGGCAAACTATAGGTGATACACTTTTATTTATATGTAAGTCACATGATCTGCATTAGCTGTGATACTACTCTCATCATTGGGGGTGGGGTAGCTAATACTATGTGTGTGTTGAAAGAGGTCATCACTTTTATTGTCAAAGGTATCGTAAACAAGAATTGAACAGAATATGGATATGGTTATCAATCAATCAATTTTGGATACAACAAACATAGCCCTGTCATCGGCAAGGAATGGCGCATTCTTCCATGCAACTCAGTGCTTGTCGCATCATTTTCGCTTTGATATCCTGAAATAATGCCGCCACTTGTATGGCTCGTCTTTTGGCTGTTACGGATAGCTGATGTCTTCGCTTACAAGGAACTCACCAATGGAGGACTGGAACGAATCGCAGACAAGACCGATCGAGTGGCGAATGAGTTATTAACACCTCTGATGGTGCCACGAGTAGCAGGGTCTGCCGGGAATGCCAATGTGCGCAACCATATTATCGACCACTTTGAGACTTTGGGTTGGCATGTGGAACTGGATAGCTTCAATGACACCACACCTTTTGGAGACAAGCCATTCACCAATGTGATTGCGACGAAGAACCCTGATGCACCCAATCGACTTGTATTGGCAGCTCACTTTGACTCCAAGTACTTTGACGACTTTGTGTTTATCGGGGCGACCGATTCAGCAGTGCCATGTGCATTATTGTTGGATATTGCCGAAGTGCTCAATGATAGTATCCCAGCAACCGATAGCACAACAACGCTACAACTTGTATTCTTTGATGGGGAGGAAGCATTTGTGAAATGGTCTGAGACTGATTCAACGTATGGTGCCCGACACTTGGCTTCGTTATGGGAGGCAACGCCTATTACATCCAAGCCTTTCAACACAATACACCGGTTCAACAAGCTCAGTGGCATTGATGCTCTTGTGCTATTGGATTTGCTAGGCACGCCCAATCCTTCCATTCCCAACTATTTTCGTGAAACAGATACTCTCTATCAGCGTCTGCAAAGTCTGGAGTCTCGTCTTGCGCATAACAACTTGCTGGAAACGGAATCGACCAAGATCGATGAACCCTTGCACTCGATTTTCGCACCTGATTCTTTACTCACTTTCAATGGAAGAGCCATGTCGGATGATCATATTCCTTTTCTACGTCGTGGTGTCAACATTCTACATTTAATCCCACATCCATTTCCTAAAGAATGGCATGATGAGATGGTAAGTATAGGTGAGAGGATGGGAATTGTTAAGAGAGGCTTTGGTGGTGGTGGTGGTGGTCTGACAATAATAATAATGCTGCATTTAGGATAATGCCGATTGCATTGATCCCCCTGTTGTGCGTAACCTTGCTCGACTTTTCCGTGGTTTTGTATTAGAATATCTTGAACTAGACACATCAAAGCTCTGAACCACAATATATTCATTCATGCTCGTATTTGATATGTAATGTTGGCTTTAATGGGAAAAAGGGAGGGTGATCCAGGGGAGAATAATGAGATGTGTGATTGTGTATGTGCATCTGTGTAAAGAAAGAGAACGAAAGAAAGGGTTGATCTAGCAACATCCACCACCTTGCTTGGGTTGAACAGCAGCACCTTGACCAACAGTGACGGTCGACTTTGGTTGTTGTTGTTGCATAGTGCTACCAACCTTGTCCTTGATTTGCTTAGCCATCGTCAAGAAAGCTTGTTCGACATTAGACGAGTCCTTGGCAGAGGTCTCCAAGAACGGTATGCTCAACGAGTCGGCGAGTTCCTAGTAGGTAGGAAGATTAACAACAAGAAAGAGAGGGAATCGGCCAAGATTGGATATTACCTTTGCTTGATCGGTCTCGACCACCTTCTTATCGACCATATCGCTCTTATTGCCCACCAACAACTTGCTTACACCTTCAGCAGCATATCTTTCAATCTCTTGCATCCATTGCTTGACGTTGTTGAAAGAATCCTGATCCGTCACATCGTAGACAACAATGATACCATGGGCGCCTCGGTAGTAAGAAGAGGTGATGGTACGGAAACGTTCCTGACCAGCTGTATCCCACTATCATAAAACATACAATAAATAAAGACATGCTATGGTATACAAGCACACAACCCCCAAATGGACTTACAATCTGCAACTTGACAGTCTTGCCCTCGAGCTCAATGGTTCTGATTTTCTGCAAGACGTTAGATGAGGAAGTTATCGTAGTAGATGAGAAGCGAATGGACTTACAAAGTCAACACCAATGGTGGAAATGTAGCTCTCAGTGTACGTGTCATCGGCAAAACGCAGCAACAAACAAGACTTGCCAACACCGGAATCGCCAATCAGGAGAAGCTTGAAGAGATAGTCGCTAAAGAGGAAGAATGTTTCCGGTTATGGTTGATGTTCATGTATCACGATAGAGGATAGTATCAAAGGTACAACACATACTATTCAGAGTTCATGAGGAGAAAAAGATAGAAAGAGAGAGAGAATGAAGGGTGAAAGAGAGAGAGAGAGAGAGAGAGAGAGAGAGAAAGAGAAAAGGGTTGGTTCTTGGTTCTCCAACTGCACGACAATATTCCAAATGACCAATTTTAGGGCCCATCCGTCCACTCCTCATATGGCGATTTTGTACTACATTCGCTCGAATGCTCATCTTCCTTTGCACATGATTTGACTGCTGACTAGAAGAGACATCATGTAATGTATTGTAATAGTATATGCACAATTGCCTAGTCTATATTATATCTCTAATCAATACATATCGTCTCACCAATCGACGTGGTAATAAAGCGTGTGTCCTCTTGACCAACAATCGATGCCTTTTCAATTCCAATTTGTTTCCATGCTTCCTTCAGCTGCTTGACAGGTTCCAAATAATGCTCATCCGACATCATAAATGTTCCCCAATGGATTCCCACCGATATCCTTGGTCGGCCAATATCATAATGTACCTTGACAGCATCACTTGGACCCATATGCAAATGCTCCATCAACACTTGAGGCTTAAAGCTTCCAATCGGCATGGCCGCCAAACTAAAAGGAGCATATCGTTCGCCAATAGCCTTGTATAGTTCCGGTGAATACCCAGTATCCCCACTAATACAAATGTTAATTTCTCTTTAAGCTTGCTTATTCATAACAACATACCAGAAAAAGATGGAGTGGGATTTGGTCTTCACTACAAAGCTGCCCCACAATGTAGCATTCTTGTCAAACAATGTCCTGTGCCCGCTCCAATGCTAAAATGGAAAATGTCAAACATGTTTGATAGATAAGGAGTTGCATTACACACTCACCATAGCCGGTACACATGCAATCATTGTATCATGGTCCCCATTGTGATGTACTTCCTGCCACCAATCCAGCTCAATGACCTATATATTAATGAGCACCATCATTGTTTCTTTTTCATTGTGTACTTACATTTTCGATTCCTCGCTTGACAAACCATTGCCGTAATCCAAGGGGGACATACCATGTCACTGAATTCCCTAGCTTCGTTACTACTTGTTGATCTAGATACCAAGAATCCGTAAGAAACAATCCTATTCCGTCAACATCCAAGTCATGTTACCTAAGTGATCAAAGTGGTCGTGTGACACCAATACAATATCCAAGTATGGTTGAACCTCTTCCAATGTACAAGGGATGGGCCGTAAGCGTTTTGGACCAAGATGATCGTTGATTGTGCACTGTGTAAACACCGGATCCGTGAGGATAGTCAAATTCTCGACACGTATTAAGCATGTGGATTGTCTAATGCCATAAAACTTATAAGCACTGCAAGAAACTCGAAGGAAAGCAACATCATACAAAAACCATTTGTTTACCCGAGCCATGTAAATGCAACCGGTGGCATTGATGATCGTGATGAGTCGCTTACTCGATTGACATCCACCCAAGACTCTGTCAATTTTGCTGAAGGAAACATAATGTCAAAGGATGGCTTGACCACGGGTAACGTTTCATCGAGTTCCTTGTATATCTTGTGTAAGTCCCTTGGTTCTTTCAACCACCATCCATCCACTTTTTTTCTCACCTTTTCAGACTTGGGTACACCGTTTCCTTTGTAACGAAAGAGCCAAAAAAGAGCAGTTTCCCACCATTGTACTTCACGCCATTCACCAAAGGGGTTGACAAACCTTCCCTCCACCTAGTATCATTCTATAAGTCTCTTGTGATATGTGCCCATGTCCTTATCATTCGGTACCTTTAAACTTGCATAACGTTGGTCTGCACGTTTCAAATGACGACGTTTCTTAATGTCTCGAAGGCGAACAGCCTCGATGAGATCGGCTTTGTGTGAACTTTGGAGATAGTAATAGACCAGAGATGACGCGGTGACGGCGACAATGAGAGTTGGAAGGGTATATGGGTGGTCGAATGGAATAGGAAAGTTGGCGAACGATAAGCGCTTATTGTTGACAGGCATAAGAGAGATAAAGAGGTGAAGGGAAAAAGAGGAAGGGAAAAGCGAGAAAGAAGGTGTTTGAAAGGTTTCACTCACTGGTCACATGCTAAGAAAGAGTGGGGTGGTGCATGATTTGCCAACTGGTGAATAAGCATTTTGCATACGCCTACTACTACAGTCACCACCCACCAACCAACACCCCCCTTCTCCCCACTGCTGCGTGCCTCCTTGTTTGTGAGACTCTTTTCTTTGTCCGCTGTTTCTTTTGCAAGAGAGCAACGCTCTTGATCCTATCAATGATCAGCGTGTATCAGAATCGCTATGATCGTTGCCCCACACACCTGCCCCAAAGCACCATCTTTTGTTACGCCGACTGCTTAATTTCAATACGAGAGATGAGATACATATAAAGATGCTCTCGCCCATACAATATCTCTGTGTTAATAACATCCTGCCTGCCTTTGGCTCTTGTCGACTACACAAAGTACGAAACGTGAAGGATTTGAGGTACCATTCGTTGTAACCACGCGTTTGATAGATATCATTAACGTCGCTATTCATTCTACATTTTAAATTTCTTTCCCCGCTGTGACGAGAAAATGATGGGTACATCGCATATCAAGTTTGCATAATCACGATCATAATAGTCATGTGCATAAGGGGTCTTGTTGTTCCTGAATGTTTAAAACTGTCAAGGTGGCTCTTTCATGCAACCTGTAACACGCTAGCTCCGCTGCCATCTCACACATATTGGGATTCATGTATATCCTATCAACACAAGCAAAAAGTAGATCTCGCTGAAAGAGTAAAAAAGTATCAATGAGCTTATGCAGCAAAGTGGGTACGTATACCACACAATGTATCCTAGACATGGTTTGTAGAGCTGTGGATCGAGATAGCATATAAGCCAGCTTCGGCTACTCACCACCCAAGGTATTACTTACGGTCGTCATCAATCCTGTATGCCGTTCTTGGTGATGAAAAGGACTCGAATAAAGGCGAGAACGTAGGATCAATCATGCTAACATGGCCGCAACGCCACGTATTTTCTGAAATTCCCAAAAGGATACTCGTGTGACATCGACTTGAAGGGCCAAGCTCCAATCACCACCCAACAATAGCCGTTCGGCAGCTGCACCCTTTTTCTTTCCCATCACACAGCCCATCCACATTCTTATATAAGCAGCAGCTATGAAGACAGCTGCACGTCTATCTTTTATCGATTTTCACTCACAATCTCCCTCCCTTGCAGTCGTAGTACACCTCATTTTCTCATTAAGCATGATACATTGCGTTATGTACAATAGTATCGAAATTGTCGCATCGTAGTGGAGCTGCTTGTTTTCTGCAAAATTGTTAATGATGTCATCTGCTTTAATGGGATGGATTATGGGAATCAGCTGTGCTACTAACGTGCGACACATGCACAGAGATGGTATGAGATTGGTCATCAGTTTGACTCTATATCTTGGTGCATTTTACACGTAGACGCCTTTAATAGCGCATAAAAACGAAAAACAACAACGATACCTTGTTGTCACTTATGCATCTTCTTGTTGTGGAAAATGGATTGTGGCTCTTCAGGGTCCCAATCCATATGCTTGGATGATGATGGTGAACCTCGATGCTCTTCTTTTTGATAGTTGTTATCAGTTTTCTCCTGTAGAGCACTTTTTATACGTGGTGATAGTGATTGATGAGTCGTAGCACCAACAATGGAAGGTGTCGAAAGAGATTGGGTGACTTCAAGTGGTGAGCTCGGGGAAAGGGAGATCCCGGCGGCTGTGCTACTGACTACGGTTCTTTGTTGTGTGCTACCAGGGGAGCTACTTTGTAGCATTGGCACCATGGATTGTGAGAACAGGGACCATTCATGAGCAGATAAATGGTGTCCAAAGCGTGACATGACATGGTTCATGTATTGAGGCGTATTATTGTGATCCCCATTTTCGATCTGTCGGGAGCCACTGGGTAGTTCATTGTTATCCAAACTCCTGCTTTGTCGTGAATGGTTTGATACAGCCTCTTTTTTTGAGCGGCTCATGTTGTTGGTACAAAAGCAAGTAGTAAGCCGACAGTGGTAAACCGCAATTTGAGCAAGAGGAAAGAAGAGAAAGCCACGCACCTTGAACACCACTCATCCAAGCATATAAAGTATGTGGCATAACACACATCTTTAGACCAATGGGAAAAAAACCGCTGCTTTAGGAAGTAAATATTGTAATTCTCTCCTTTGCCACTCTTCGCCATCCGATATTAGTGCACCGTCACTGCCGATCGCGTCTTGCTCACATTAACACCAACAATAAAAGGGTAGCTGCTATATCCTTTTTACCTTCTAACAAGCTATCAATGCAAAGCCGCTTCAATACGCCGTTGCAGCAGCAATGTAAATGAGTACCTTATGAGTAAAGGAATACAGCAACAATGAAAAAGCCTTATTGCAGTATGCCAAATAGTGATTTGAAATATACAACGGCACGTCCATTCGAGCTTTGTAACATGCCGAACCTTTACAAGTCATTCAGCTGTGCAACCCACGTAAGAATAGCGTGAGTACTCGATTGCAATTAACTTTGATTTATCTTGATAGGGCAAAAGAACAAATGCCCGATCTTCTCTCACAACACGTTTATGTCACAAAAACATCTTTGATACTGAGAACCCCTTGCTTTTCCATTTTCGCAATTACACGACCTCATTTATCCGCCTTGTTCTCCATAAGCCATGGTAGCTTCATTGTTTAAGGGTACCTATCAATAAAAGGAGGGAAGTCGTATGATCGATTGCAGCCTATAAGGCGCTCATGCTGTTGCGAGTGAGATAACATTCATCGCTACTGCCATAAATTCAAAGCTATGTTGACTTTGATAGTAAACAAGCTAATCATTCATTGTATGCTGTAGTAGAGAAGAGCCAATAAGGAAGTACACTGCTTGCTGTATTGTTGTTGTAGTACAAAGCATGCCATATGTTGTATGCATCGAGCGTTTTCTCGCTATTCCTTATTGAGCTCCCGCCAATGAATACAATAAACAATTGTCAGGTTGAGGAGAAAAGCGACAACAGGCCCCAGGATAGTCATTAGCAGCTGCAAGGTTAGCTGGTAACGAAGGCGTGAATATCTCTCTCCTAAAATAATGAACACGGATCACAAAACTAGGGGGGTGGGTTTGGCTATGAAATGCAAAGTAGATCAGCTATACCTGGATACAGAGGTAAAAGCGCTATGGTAACAAGTGATCGACGCTGTCACCTGATGACGAATGCTCAAGAAAAAAAGCTATTGGCAGTGTTCTTTGTCGCATCCATAGCATGCTGTGCAACCTGTCTCAGCTAATATTGAAAGCGACTGCATCGGCTCGGCTTGATGTTTTTGATGATGTCTCATGCATACATGCACATGCATGTCATACCTCGTGTTCTATTACATATCCAATGCTATCTCTTGGCGAGAAGAGAGAAGCTCACACGCTGAAGAATGGGTTGTCAGTTACATGGAAGGAATACATAGCCCTTGGATAATTGACAAAAGATCGACGATCTTCCCTATAAAATGCATTGCCACTGACTTTGGAGCATGATGCGAATGAGATTAAACTTACGCGTAGAGTAGTAGGTCATATGGAAATGATCTACGCTATGCATTCATTCACATTGTGTATTTGCTGTGCAAGATGTAACTGATTGATCAATCAAGCGGAGCATGTAATAAACAAGAAGGAGAGGTTTGTTTGTAGGGATTAGGGGCATCGATCAATTATTGACATAAAAACTAATATTGCTGCCTTTTCAGTTTTTAGTTAAGCCAAGCATTGCCAAGGTTGTGTGTAATGATACTAATGCCTAATGATTGGCACCAATAGCAAATCCAAATGAGTGACAGGAGAACAAGTGACCTCTCTAGCAGGGTGAATGAGAAAGCAAGAGAGGAGGAGAACAAGGGGGAATGCATAATACCCGTGCTCAGCCTTTCTAGTTATCTCTCCGGATGCACCCGAGCTAACCCGATTGATGAGACCATCACCGCGTCGATCCCCAATTTCCAAATCGATCCACCCCCTGTAGATCCTGCTTACTTTGAAAGGGTGGTGGAATTATTTCCTTGTAACGCCAAGACTATAAAACGTATGATGGTTGCCGAGAGATGCCATATTACAATTCCTTTGAGAATATACAAGTGAGGTGCTTTGCTTAGATGCTTGGGCCAAGAAGAAATAACCTACCAGAGTGGTTGCATGAAAACTTGGCGTATCATCTTTCTCCATTATTGATCCAATGTAATCCCCCCTTCCATTCCCTACCATGGAATGGAACTTGATGCTTGCTCAGCAAGTAAATAACCACCCTACTGCAGCATAACCACCTCCCTTTCCCTCCCTTTTCTTTCTTTTTGCTGACGTTTTATTGCCACCCATATTCCAAAAATAAGGTCTGATCTCCGTGATTTGATATGCTAAATGTTGAATTGAAACATGTATGTGATCTCCCGGGAGGTCGGATTGAAGCGACGACGATCCTTGTTGTTGTTATGCGTGGTTCGGTTTGAAACAAGGCTACATTGAAGAGAAACAGTGATGGAGATCATCGGAACTACCCAAAATATTGTAAACACAAGCTATAAGGATACATGAGCATGATGGTGGCGTGTGCTCATAGCTGCCGCAAATCGATCAACCGATGACAGCAATCCACTGTGAGCAAAAGCAATAATGCATGCTCGTGCAAAAATACGATGCTTTGCATTAGGTTCCATGACAAAGTCTAACGACTTGGCGTGTACTCGAACCAAGAAAAGACGACATGATGGGATAATAGAACAGTGATCTTTTCATGCTCCGCCCTGTATTCAGACTTTACATTTCCTTTCCAGTACATGCAGGGCTGTAAGCAAGAGTAAAGCAATCCACGTTTTCCTAATTGCTCTTTTTGTCACTTCACCGTATCTGTGCGCTTTTTCTCTTCTAATGTTGCCCCCCTTTCCTTTGCCTAGAAACCAAGCTAAAGCACCCCTTGGCTTTTCATGTACACGGTCCGCAAAAAGAGAATCTTGGGGGAGGAGACAAAGAAAGGGAGTGGGTGATTATAGGTGATCTTGTTTTTCGTATAAATAAGCTTCCTTGTGTTTTGCACTTTGATCCATTGTCCAAACCCAATTCATTTGGTGTCACCTTCCTTTTCAAAATTTCATTGTCATGCAGCCAGACTCTCCTCTTTCGATCAAAGACGCCAACGGCAGGCACATCAGTCTTTTGAACAATAACAACAACAACAATGGAACCACGCTCACAGCACGATCCACTTCGATTGCTCGCCGCAAATATCGTTGTTCGGCACCTGGATGTGACAAAAGCTTTACCACAAGGTATGCCAATCAATGAAAACGTAGCATATCATACCTATGCTAACATCCAACATAGTGGTCATTTGGCACGCCACAATCGAATCCACACAGGAGAAAAGAATTTCCATTGCTTGTATCCCGGTTGTCCTTCACGCTTTTCTCGCCAAGATAACATGATGCAACATTACCGCACACATCTTTCCCCCAGGTCAAGACGCAATAATCACCAACAATGGATGTTGCTACGCAACCATCCCTATAGTTACCAACGACATGCACCACCACCACCACAACAACAACAACATGCTCCTCCACTTTGTACTCTTCCTCGTGACATGTCGTTAGTACGCAACCATCGTCATACGCATGATCATCATCCAACATCTTCATCTGTATTGTTGCCTCAGCTTCGCATTGACATGTCGGCTAGGCAGCTGGATCTGTCAGCTTTTAGCAAGCCCCAACCTCTTGAACCATCCTCCACATCTCCTCCACCTACTGGTCCTCTTTCACCAGCTTCATCCTTGTCATCGGATGCATCATCACCTACCGCTACACTTCCTTCACCAAGCATCATGATGGAACGTGCTTCTGCCGGTATTTTCCAATTTGTCAGCACTGTGGGCTGATTTCATCCTATCATGGCACACAAAGTTTTTACATTCGATCACTTAACCTGCCACTCGTTTTTATGTTTGTAACACTTTTTGTATCTTTTTTTCATGTCGAAAATCCTCCTTGTATATGCCAACCCACACACACCCGCACATGCCATTTGTATGTTTCATCTTTTTTTCTTGTCTTTATTGACTATCCTACATACCAAGGATATCACGTTTATCACACACATGCACTGTTTTAAGGCACTCATCCTTTCCACACACACACAAATCACACAAAAAGCACACAAAAGTCACGGGCAATAAAAATACGATGAATTGCAATGTATCAAAAGGATAATAGAGGAGAACAAGTAATAAGGGTGAAGGTAAAAAGGAGATTGCATGATGATGAATACAGAATCTTCCATCCCTTTCCATAATTGGTTTCTCGTGTTTTCCCTTTTGCTCGATTTATCGTTGTCCTTTGGCGTACTACGGTATGCTGATGCAGTCCAATAAAGCTAAATATAAATACAATAGCTAGGGATCATTGCACTATAACAAGAAGGGTCATGCATTTGGCTGCTAGCAACACTGGTGGTAGTGGTAGTAGTGGTGTTCGTCAATAAAGGGGCGAGTTGCTGAGGAAGGAGGAGGAGGGAGAAGGAGGAGGAGAAGAAGCGGCGGAGGATCGACATGTAACAGGGTCTCAGGTACGACTCTTTTTTTTTTTCGATCGAGATCTACTTTTTGAGATGACGGGGTGCATTATGGAACAGTGTTTTCCACATGTAAGCTTCCGATAATAGAAGTTCAACATCCTTTTCTTGCCAAACTTGGGTAGGTAGTTGCTGCAGGAACACCATGATGCCCTAATTCCAACAATTCACAAAGGTCAATCCAAGGAGTGGATATTGAGATAGAGATTTGTGTGTGTATGTGCGTACCTGAAAATCTAGCTTTAGCAATTGCTTGGACCATTTGGCTAGAAACGCTGCACAAACGTAGACATGGAATTCGGAAAACCCGTCCGAGGAGCCTTCGGCCAAGTAGGTGTCCCACATTCGCACCGTGCACTGCATCGGCACCTCACGCATAAGTAAACAATTCATCCATCGGAATGCAAACTGCATAAATTCAATCCCTTCTTGCTGCAAATGATTTGCCAATTGTGCTAAAAGAGGATATACAATATTAGATCAACCTTAGCCACACTTCTCGAATAATCCTTACCTTCAATCCGGGAAACCAATTCCTTCAATACAGCTACCTGCCTCTGAATGCCTGGTTGTGCGAATGTATAGTTGTCTTGGATCCCATCCAGCAGCTTTGACAAGCACCAGAAGCTGTCTGCTTCAATAATTGATAACACCTCTTCGTTCATTTGATCCATGTCATATTGCTGGGGCTCCACATCTAGAAAGGGAGATCTCAGTTTAGTGATGATAGATGCATACATGACATTGATTACATTTATGCTTACCGATATATGCCCCCAAACATACTTCGAATATAGGAGTCACCAGGTCATTGATACCTTGCACATAACCAGTAGCGGGGTGTCGGATAGCCCATTGGTATAGAATGCGCTCCAAACACTATTGAGTTTAATTTAGTTGCCAGTGCATCATCACCTTGAAACCTTTTACGTACATGTTGAGTTGTTTTGTATTGGTATAGTGGAGCGCCTGGATTTGTACGAGGAATGTCAATGCGAATCTAGATGCCATCCTTAGCCATTAAGCCTCTCTATAACCCTTCTCTTCATCCCTTCCATATATACCTGATGCCATAGTGTTTGATCTAAGCCAGCTGTACCTCGTGAATATGATGCAGCAACACTGTCAGTGTATTCCTTTCTCTTCCGTGCAAGTGTCTCAGCACGCCGTGCTTGGTTGCAAGGGAGGTATCCAAACAACAGTTGCCATACGACCAAACGTAGATCCCTGGGAACGCCGCTCCAGCTTAGTTTCCTTAATGCCGCTACAAATAAAAAAGAGAGAGGATAAGAAAAATGAACCCTCTCATGTACCTTTTTACCTTACCTAAATCAACGTTGGCATCGGAAAGGACTTGTGTGAACTTTTGGATCTTTCTCAGGTCATCCACCTTGGTGGTATCAATGTGATGTATGATATTCGTGGGATCTGTGTGATAAGAGACGATCACATTAGCTACTGAAAGGTCATAGCCATCACCTTGATCATTGTATTTTACCAGTCAGCAAGTCGTCAATGTCTGTTTTAAGAGCACCTTTATATGCTGGAGGTGATTTTTCTTCGGTGATTGGCGGAAATGATGGTGGTGATGAAGGCTGGATTGGTAGAGATTGATGGGATAAAGGGCTGCTCGATGATTCTGAAAAGGGATGGCGTATGGATGACGATGATGAAGAAGACAGCCTAGTAGATCGATTCACCAAATCATAGCCGAGATCGTCACTCCATTCATCGTTGGTATCTTTGATAAATGCGTCGAATGATTTCAAAGGTGATAAACTTGAACGCGCATGTTGATGTGAAGGAGCTGATGATGTTGATGATGATTTGGTTTTGGTTGGTTTTGATGAAGAGGATGATGACGATGATGGTGAAGCTGTTCGAGAAGGATACTGGGAAGGAAGCATCACGCCACTAGGACAAGTATAGCTGTAATGAGCACCAACGATTTTGGGTGAAGCTATTGTCGTTTGCGGATCGGTTGGCAGCCTTGAAAATAGACGTATGAATACATAACCATGCTACTTGGTGTTTAGCGTATCCTACCTCTCATTATTCTTGCGCCCAGGTTTCCTCCAGAATGATCTGTATATTCTATCTTGTTTAGAATCTCCAACTTGAAGGGCACAAGCACCCGCATTCAGTTACCTGCGTGTAGGGGCATCTACGCGATCGGCACGTGCACCAATAGAACCAGAAATGAAGCATACAGCAAGTTAGACATTTGGAGAACACGTAGTCGAGCGTTTCAGAAACAGAAATGCCTCACTCTCATCGGCTTACATCCGTCCATTAAAGGCAACCAAGCAAGAGACGCAAAGGAGATGGATTTGGCACCGCTTTTGTGCTGCTCAATGTAATGTAATGTTCTCGATTCACATAGCGTCAAGTAGCAACTCCGCTAGGCCATCGCTGCATGGTGCAATCCAATATGGGGTGGGATCGATCATGCTTGTGAAATGGCGTGAGGTTGTGGTTAGAACGTATACTTGCAAGGTCGTCTATAGACAAACACAGCCATAATACACTATCTGTTTACTTTATGGTCATAAATAAACTTGTAGCAATAATGATTTGAATGATACCTTTGTTGAAGTGAACATAATCCATGCATCCTTGTAGAGTCTATCCATAATGCTCTTTTGGCTTCAGCGTTACTATTTCACAAAGGAAAAGGTTCAGCTGCATGGTATGTTGCTCCTTAAGATGCTTCCATTTGCAAAGAACCCCGGATATTAGCAGCGTCTGAATCATCGCCTTTATTCAATTACATAGCAACTACTATAACCCAAACTACTACATTCTTTCTCGAAAGACTAAAGAAATATGCATTATGAGTTTGTCGTAATGGTGCATGTGCTCATGTCGCCTATCATGGATATGTATGGTGTGTATACTAATAAGGAGGCTATATGCATCATCATTGAATGGATAACGTATGCGTAAATGGGTAAGAGCAATATGAATGGGGTGGTGTCACAAGAATGATCTCTGTAAAGCGCTGTCCTCACCTTATTTGAACTTCACAGCTGCTTTCAAACAGCGCGTGACTTTCAGCTCTGCTCTCGATTGGACTTACAGAACCCCTTCTTCTCGACTGATGAACGATGGAGGACGACCAAGGTAAGCATCCCTTGTTCCATTGACCTTCAACCGTAAAACCTTATGAATGTTGGCTAACACTTGTCGTCCGATCCAATTCCATTTATTGACTTCCAACAGAGATCTGCAGAGTGTGCAGATGTGAATCGACACCTGATCACCCGCTATTCCACCCTTGCAAATGCTCTGGTAGCATACGATTTGTACATCAAGACTGGTAAGTTATGATACACTTTTGAAGGATGTATACACATACTCAACTTGGGATATATTTATAGTCTCTTAGAATGGTTATCACACAGCAAAAAACAGTAAGGATCTGTGAAACCGGGAATGATGATGATGATGATGATGATCCTATGTAGTTGATATGCTTATGCCTTCGTTGTAGATATTGTGAGCTATGCGAGTATCCATTCATCTTTACGCCGATATATCGAGACGACATGCCCGACCGTATCCCGATCAAAGTAGTATTACGACAATGTGTACGGAGGTCCGGTGCATTACTATGGACATGCTTTAGAGCAGCACTCGTCGCAACCGTATGGCTTGTTATCTTACCATTCCTCACATTGTACATCTGGCGATTCTATTTCTGGACAGGCGAAAGCATTGGATTTGCAGAAAGACTCGCTCAATATCGCAATCAAACCATCGAAGCATACAACAACAACAACAACAACAACACCGCATCTTCAACAAACGATTCAAAAAGTGGCATATTTGGATATGACATCAAGTGAGTGAGGAGAAGGTTTATTGGGTATGTGTAATGGATAGGATGACTAATCCGATGGTATAGCTGGTTTCTTAGCGAATGCTTTGAAGGACAAATCATTACTGCGTTCGTCATTATCGTATTTGTGGCAGCTTACCTCTTTCGAGAATGGGTCATTCAGCACACGCCCACTGATACTGGAATGGAGATTGTGGATGAAGAGCCAATAGCAGTCGATCAACCTGTTATTCAAGGCGAACCTGCACGCGAGGCCATCTTTGCTATGCGAAACGGCACACCTCCTTATGACCAAGACGACCAGGAACATTTTCGACAAATGATTCGCAACATGGCTGAACGCGTTCATGATGACAATGATCAACATTCATACGGCAGTGGAAGTGATGATACAGAACCAACGTACGATGATGATTGGCATGTTCACCATCATATGGATGACGAGCATGACAGCCATGACGATGAGGATGATGATGAATTTGTAAACAGCAGCCGTCAACCTCTACGTGCAAGTTGGAGAGAAGAACATGAACGACATGATGCATCCTCATCCAATGTACGATGGCGTGCACCTGAATTTGAGGAAGGAGCAGCAGCAGCAGCAGGAGGTTCCTCATCAGCTATGCGACCTTTGGAAGAACACAATCAACAAAACAATGATGACAATGTCAATCAAATACCAAGATGGCAAAATATTGCACCAGCTCGTGCACCACCAGTAGCACCAGTACCAGCAATTGCACCAGCACCAGCACCAGCACCACCCCCTGTACATGATCAATGGAACAATGACAACGATAACAATGACGCCGATATGGATGATGATGAGCCATTTGATTTACGAGAGGATATCGATGGTGTATTGGAAGCGATTGGCATGCGTGGTAGCATGTGGATGCTAGTACAAAACTCGGTCTTGATGTCATTGATGATCAGCCTTTGTCTCGGTATAGCCATTTGGATTCCATATGTCATTGGACGTTTGGTGATTCTTGTAAGTTCAATCAGCTATCTATGGCATGATCCTCGTTGCTAATGGATACGTGTGTGTGTGTATATATAGATTCGACCGATTAGTTTCATTCATACGCCTATCTCGATTCTTCGCTTCGTCACTGATCACGTTGTCGACTTTGTGTTGGATTACGCTATGCCATACGCTCGATCGAAAGCATCATGGATCAGCCAATTACTTCCAGAGAAAATCTATCTCGCTTTGCAAACATTGGACGCCCACGTATCATCGTTATTCAATGCAATTCAATCGGATTCGACATCGACATTATCATCAGCTACCACAAACACCGTTACTTCAGCAGCGACCAATGGCACTGTGTCATGGGGTATGCACGTTGTTGCAATGCAAGACAAGGTTGAAATGATTGCTTCAGTCGTATTGGATCGATGGCATCGCTTTGCACTTGGACAATCCGGATTAGATCGCAGCATTTGCATTATGATGGGTTATTTGGTTCTTATCTTTGTGGGATCCTGGTATCTCGCTCGCAGTGGACGAATTACACATAACGATGCCGGCAACAGCGTCAATGATATGATTCGACAACAAGGCGTGTTCTTGAAAGTGTTCTTTTTCATCGTATTGGAGCTTGTACTCTTCCCAACAGTATGCGGCATCTTGATTGACATGGCAGCGCTACCCTTATTTGAAGATGCAACACCAGCAAATCGTTGGGATTTCTTTATGGAGAATCCTTATTCGAGCACGTTCTTGCATTGGTTTATCGGCACCGGTTTCATGTTCCATTTTGCAGTATTCATTACCTTGGTACGAGAAGTCGTGCGACCTGGTGTTATGTGGTTTATTCGTGACCCCAATGATCCACAATTCAATCCCGTACAAGAAATGGTTGAGCGCTCTGTTTTGACTTTGATTCGCAAGATCGGTGCCAGTGCTTTGATGTATTGCGTATTGATCGTTGCTGGTATTGGATCAGTCACGTTTGTGGTCAGCCAATACTCTGGCTTATATCCTCTTCGTTGGTCCTTTGAGTAAGTAAATGCTTCTTCATGCTATTCGTGACATAGAGAGATTAATGATTGATGTGTATAGTACTCCTTTGTCAACGGTGGCTCTTGATCTTCTTGCCGTTCAATTCTTGGTGCCTCCCTTGGTTTCCTACATTAAGCCACGCGAATTATCAAAGAAGGCCTTCACAGATTGGTGTCTAGCAGCCTCCCGCCAATTACGATTATCATCATTCATGTTCAATCTACGCTATCCCGATGAAGAAGGCACCCACGTACGACGCACTTTCAAAGCATGGATCACACGACAAAAGGCAACTGTGCCATCGGATGTATTCGCTGATGTTGCTATTGAGGAAGATCAAGATGCACCAGTGGTATTCAAGCGTGATGGCAACCTTGCACGTGTCCCTAAGCATGATAGTGTGCCGGTGCTTGATAATCGACGTATGGTCGTTCCTGTTGATCCAGTCACTTTGGAGCCATTGGATGAAAATGAGAGACGTTTGGGTCATCCCGCAGCTTCTGAATCGGGTGATGTCGAGAACAACACCATGATTGTGTATATTCCACCTCATTTCCGCTTACGGTTTTTGGCATTTGCATTGTCGACTTGGCTTGCAGGTTCGGCTTTGGCATGTATGGTTACAGTGCTCCCAATCTTATTGGGTCGACATGTCTTTGATGTGTACCTCGCATCCGAAAAGCCCGCTCATGACTTTTACTCGTTCATTGTTGGTGCATACATTATGGTCTTCCTCAGTATGACAATCAATTGGATCAGCCAAAAGTATGAAGCTTTCTCTCACAGCAATGGTTCGTTATCGGCTGCGATGTCACGTGCTTACCTTAAACAGAAGGCTGGAACAGTAGGTGTCCTAACACGTGTTTTGATTTTGCTTTTACTCACATGTTTCGATAAAAGGTATTGAAGGCGACATACTTTGGTGTGGTCTTTGGCGTGGCGCTTCCTTTGCTATTGGGTGTTGCGGTTGACATGTACATTTTCATGCCTATCCGGTATTCAAAGTCGACGGATGCTTTGGTTATTCATATCTCAGAAGTAAGTTTATTCATGGCTTGATTTGATGGGGTGTATAAAAAATTAACAGCATGTTTCAAAGGATTGGTCTCTCGGCATAGTTTATCTTTCTATCATCTATGGAATTGCACAAATCTTGCCTGCCAACCCATTACAACGATTCCTAAACGACACCTTGGGCAACAACATCATGCGAGCTGATACGGCACTTGTGACACGATCATTAATTGGACCTTCGATTATGGGTGTCATTGGCTTTATTCTGGTACCTGGATTGCTGGCATTGGGTACTGTGCACATGCTAGGTATTACGGACCCTCCCATGCAAGTCGCCTTGTTCCGTTGTGCATATCCTGTGGTCTTTTGTTTTGCAATCTTGTGCGGCATCGTATTATTGGGATCTCGATTTGCCAGGTTATGGCTTGATGAAGTCCGGGATGCAACCTACTTGGTCGGCAAACGGCTGCACAATCTAGACGAACAATCCACATCTGCTGCTTCTACATAGAATTCCCTAACTCTCATATATCTCCCCCTCCCCTTTTCTTCATTCAGTATTTTTCGTGTCTAATAGTGATATGCAACGACATTGCGTAAATCCTCCATTTAACAAAAAGTGTACGTATTCATGATTCCCATTTGTTATACATAACAGTGATCGAAAGTTCTTGATGCAGCAACATTTACGGAACAAAGATTGATTCAGGAGCAAAATAAAACGCACACGCACACACACACATGCGTACAATACAATCATACTTTTGGTCTCAGCTCATTGATCTGCAGTTAAGAACATTGGGATGACGAATTTCATGCAAGTGATACGTGCATGTAGTGCACTATACATCATACTACAGTATTTTCGGAGAGATACGGGGATGAGGAGATCCGTTGAGTAAATAAGCACAGGAGATTGACTCGTATCACCACGAGCTCAAGGGAGAATAATCGTCCATAGAAAAATGTTTGGATGATCCATATCGTATGCTGCGCACTAGTATTGCTTCTTCAAAGTAGTAGGGCTTGATAAACCATGTCTATGTCAAAGCAATCCACATATGGGATTAAGCATGTAGTAACACAAACAAGCTTTAACCCTTCTTCAGGCAAATACGCAATTCGTATATACATAACACAGATCCTCCTTAATATTTTCGGGCGAATGTGCGAAAGAAAGCAACTCATTTCATGGTGTCATCTTCGACTGCTTGTAACATCCTACGTAAGCATCTCATTCTAAATTACATCACACCCATGTATCTCCACAACCTGCTAATGAGAGCATCACCTCGATACGACACGCTCCTATGATACAGCAACAATGAGCTTTGCCAGCTTCTGAAAAAGAGATTTGTATAACCGTTACGAAATGCCACGTGGAAAAGGGCGTTGGAATTGATCGTGTCAGGTGGATGACATCATTATGTATATGCATATGTCGATCCAAAGGATACATTTAGGACCACACCGATTTGCATGCTTTTCGGATGATCAATATTGCTGCTCGTATCTTTATCATGTGCTTAATAGGCTGTGAAGGGATAGATTTGTACTACAGTCATGATGAAAATGATTGCACGGACCAATCGAAGCACTCGCGGTGCACTTTTACCGAATCATGGAAAAAGGGGAGGTGAAATAGAGCGCATTGTTCAAAAGGAACAATGATATTTGTCTTTTTTGTTTCCCGCCGCGAGGAGCAGATGCATAGAGTGTATCACAAACTCACAAACGCAATACGCAGGTGCACATAAGGAAGAGCCATTTGGAGGTAGTTGCCTTATTGGGATACCCATTACATCATACGTGGGGTGAAGGAGGGCACAACAGGAGATCCAGAAAGGGGATCAAAGACAATTTTAGAGACAACGATGAGGGAGTGGCTACTTCTGGAAGCCAGTCCCACATAACAACAGGAATGCATTTGCGTCATTGGAATAAGGAGGCTCTCACAATACATAGGCATCATCTCACTCATTCTACCCATTTATGTCATGCTTACGCAAACAAACGCAACAAGGTACTGGCAACGAAAAAGGTTGCAATCAACACAATTTGGTCTGTTAGCACGTATCGTTTTTCGTGGATCACGCAAATCAAGATTCCAACTATGGTCAATGATAAACAACGCGCATGATGGTATGATTACTTGATCCCAACAACGTAGCTTTGTTTTACAGCTTGATAGTAGCAACAACAACATTTGACCCATTCACTCTCATATCGATCGAAAATGTTCCATTAGGAGTATGCGTAGAGATGAAAGCAAAATAATAATTTGGCAGTGATCATGCATACAAGTGTGTACTCATTGAAGAGATATCTGGACGTGTCAAATAGGCTATGAAAAGGGGTAACACGATACGTGAGAAGAAAGTTTTGAGCAGATGGGAAAACGTGGCAAAGAAGCCTTCGGTATGCAAGGTAAAAAAGGGCACATCATGTCACAAAGGAGCGTGCACTTTCTTGAAAGGGTGAAGGAGAAAGGGGAAGAACACCTTTTCTGCTAGGTGATTTAGAGACCGCGTAGTTGTGATGATCACTGTGATACTACATGTCATACAAAAGCTATGTCTTCGGTGATGAAACCAAGAAAGTCGGTTACCAATGAGTGAGAAGAGATCATGTTCTGGAAGCTATACAAGTTTATCTTATACGCATGTACCTGCACGATGACAAGCTGTACTACGTGTATGCATGAACATTTATCCAACGAGTAGGCACGCCCCCACCCCCCATAGAACGATCTGGACAAATAATCTGTTGACGTGGTACATGCAAGGAGTGACGGAATGAAACTCAACGCGTCCTGCCGTTCTCTTTAGGGGTTGTTTAGAGTTTAGCTGTACACCGTGTTGCTGAATATGATAGGCTGGTCCAATCAGGTCTGTGCTGTATATCATTGTCGATAATTCCTTACCTCGATCCTACTGCATCTATATAAAGCGTGAATTTGTGGTCACCATCATCCTACTCATTACCCCAAATCATCTTCTTTACCTTGTAAACTTCACATCTTTAATATGGATTTCTCTCTTTCATACGATTGGAGCATGTATGCACCCACCACTACTACTTCTGCACCGCCGTCTGTGCACTATCCTTCCTTCTCAGCTTCCTCCGATCTGTCATCATCATCCGCCATGATTTATCCAATTATCAACCCTCCAGTCGTTCAATCTCAACAAGCTCCTACCCAAAAGAAAGACATGGCAAAGAAACCCAAACGTAAACAAGTGAAGAATGCATGCAGTAAGTTTCCCGCCTAGCGGAAAAAGTTATAGGCAACAAGATTTCTAACCACTTTCTTAAATAGTTAATTGCCAAAAAGCATGCAAAAAGTGTGATGATGGACGTGCTTGCCAACGCTGTATCAAACTTGGATTGACAGCTACATGTGTTGATTCACCTCGCAAGGAACGTCGCAAGGGTGTTAAGCGTGGACCTTACAAAAAACGCCAACCTCGTGCCCAACAACAGCAGCTCGCACAGCAAATGGAGCAACAGCAACAGCAACAATGTGAGCAAACCTTTCAGCAGCCTAGTGCTTTTGACTGGTTTGATCCTGCATTGGGATGTTGGCCCATTCAGCAAGAACAGCCTATTTGGGATAATCAATTTTCTGCTTTGGACTTGTTTGCAGTGGATAGCATCCCACAACAACAGCCCATGCTCCCCATGGAAGATGACCTTTCTGCCGGCAGTAGCCCTTCCAATACAACATTGAGCTCACCCACTACACCTCCTTCGGCACATTCACTCTTGCCTGCCCAACAACGTATTGCTATGCTTCAATCTCAACAACAGCAAATGTTCCAGCAACAAACGTTGATGCTTGAGCAATTTCAACAAAAGCAACAGCAACCAATCCCTTTGCAGCAGCAACAACAAACAATGCCAGAACTGGCTTCGACATGGATGTTTGAATCTACCCAATACTACCTTTGAGCTTTTGGCAATCTCGACAATGATGGCCTATATTACTCTCTCTCTCCAATCCTATTTAATTCTTCTTGTATATACCCATGACGTTCATAACGCATCTCTCATTCCTCCGATTACCGGTTACTCGACACTCTTTCCTTGGTCAAAATTACTCTATATGCATTTGAAGATGCGTGCATCTTCACCTTTCATCATCACTTTTTTCATGCTGCAACATCTACTAGTAGACAACTCACATCACCATTCTTCATATTTCCTTTCCCTGTCCTTTACACATTAAGCATAATATGGTCAATACAATACATCAACGGGGCTGATAATAATAATAATACATTCATTTTTCCTCTATAACAACTTGCTATTCTTACAACTATGTAATGCTGATTACACGTGGGCTATTGGGGATAATGGATACTTGTTTGCATCATCACTTACTTGATGTCATCTTTGCTCGTACATTCAATTCCATCTTTGCACCTATGATGAAGATGAGAGGAGTCTGCAATGATGGAAATGTAAGCAGCCAAAGGAAAATCCAGATGGTTGTGGACGTATCCCTCAGGCGTAGCAAAGGATCAACATCACATTGAATGATCTCATTCAATGATTTATGAAGGTTTACTATTGGTGGATCGATCACATTGAGTTAGATCTTTCATGTATTGTGGATAGGAGTAAAATCTCGCTCATTGTTTGAGCAGCTAAATACTCTCTATGGTAAGGATCGTCTTTATTTTAAAAGGGCAGCCGAGTATGTACTGCGATCGAGAGTTTAAATGCCGTTGCCTTTACGGTACAAGTACATAGCGTAATGCGTCGTCACTGATGCTGGGTAGTAGGGGTCTTATAAAGGAGTAATTGCCGATCCACAACGTGGTTAGAATATACATCGACGTTGTTGGGAAGCATGTGTTTTAAGCTGCAACTTTATTCTTCATAACCTTATCCCGCCTCACGGCGACGTTGTGATCTCTATGATACCTGTCATCATCGATGCTTTTGGAAAATGTGTACTCAGCATTATGTAAACGGAGGATCCGAACATAGCAATTGCTATTGTTGACGACGCTCATTTGAGCACTTTATGCCAACCAGTGGAAAAACATGGTCCGCTGTAGCAATGCATTGGTTGCACAGACGACCAAAGCGATTTAATTCCATGGCAACATCATCCCCCAACAACACAATGATGCTACCGTTGCAAATCATGTATCTTTAATAACCCAACTCCATTGGCTGATTGTTCCCGAGACAATGACTTTGCCATTGTTAATGTAGCACGGCTTATGATGAGTCCTCTAATAATACATGGTATATCAATAGGCTACAAGCGGTTCATATTATTGATGAATGCATAATGTCTTTTATCGTTTTGTATAACATTAGAAAACTAAGCTATCTCCCCAAGCATGCAGGAACAGAAGCTATTGCAATTCGGACGTCCGCATTAACCCTTCCGTTTTGTTCTCCTTGTTGGTTGTTCCTCTTTCTCCCGAACACCGACTTTTGATGACTGTAGTACCCATTCCAACACAAGGTGCGCACCCAACCACTTCAATACGATCGTAACTTTTGACTCATTCAGCATTCGACTAGAAATCCCTGTTCTCGAGAGTCTTATCACTATCCGTCACAAGCTCTCGGCATTGAAGAAAGACAGAGATGCCAGCCCAAAAAGTGAAACAATCCTTGAGCTCTACCAAGAAACCGAAAAGCAAGTGGAGACGCTAGCTGCTATTCGATCGGGTGATGTTTGGGATCCGACTCTTCGCAATCGACTCAATGACGTATTGGACGATGTCATGTCGCTGCTTTCGCTCTTTTACATGAGTCTTGGGCGTAATAGGCAAAGTAAGTGTGATATGAGTAATGGGTGTCGTAATTGGATACTGATTTTACTTGACAGGTCCTGCCGTCTATGTCCATTTGGTAACTGCCGAGGTAAGTTATCTATCACCTGGATGGATCAGCTATCTTTTTGCACAAGCTGAGTATAATATTCTTGTACATGTAGCGCTATTTAGGTCAGCTGGCACAAATGGGTATCTACACAGACTCGATCCTCGTGGAGATTGAAGCACGACTTGCCGATGTGGAAAATATCATTTATGCAGACGAGAATGGTGAGATCGCATCATCATTCCTTGATCTACTCAAGAAGAAATTGGCCCGATGCAGTAAGTTGTTACATGACTCATTTCATTGTTGTTATGGTTACTCATGGTTTCTATGGAGCACGAATTGGATATCCTTCTCGAATTGACTCGCGACGTATCTCCGGAGCTGTAAGTACCTGTGGGGATAGCTATAGATAAATCCAATAGCTGACAATGGGCTTCTTTAGCGAATCCATACACAAGGAGCTTACAACGTTAAGGCGAGATTTGGGCATAGTCGCCGCAAGGCCTGCAGGATTTACAGCCAATGACATTTTACCGTTCCAGGATAAGGTACTTGGATCTTGGATCACTGGGTACATCGAATAGCATGATCTTTCTAACCAAGTCATCGTGTACTTTCATAGCTGCGTCAAATTGATCAACGTTGGTCATCCAAGGAGAGCGATCAGCTGCCCGGCAAAGGATTGATTGTTGGCTTATTGGAGCAACTGCACGAAGAGATACATGACCTTATCGCATCAACCGAAAACGTATCAGCATCATTGGTTCCATTGGCTGATCGTCTTGGACGTTACTTTCCAAAGGTACAGAAAAGCGGGCCTAATCCATATTAGGATATACATTGACGTGGGGCCTGCCTTGTATCTTTCTGTTGTTTCCCTTCTTAATTGGCGCCCTATATGCAGATGTTGTTACTACGTCGTCGTATGGATATGGTACCCTAGATCATGAACCTGAAAGAGTGAACGTATGAGAAAACTCCGCATTGCCCATCATTCATCATCATCATCATCAGCATCATCATCATTTCACTGGGTCTTGATAATATATATATATAGCCCCTCTTGTCATCGGCGTATCATTTTTTTATTATCTCATCAATTCTTTCTCTCTCTTACTCTTATCATCATGGTCGTCTATCGCAACGTTCAAAATACACATCGCCCTACAAAATCCTCCTTAACATTGGTCATCAAGGTTGGCACCTCGTCCATCTGTGATGAAAAAACACATTATCCTTTGCTTGGCAATCTTTCAAGAATCGTTGAGACCATTCTCGACCTCAAGCGCAAGGGCCACCGAGTTGTTCTTGTCACCAGTGCTGCTGTTGGCACAGGTCTTCGGAGGCTAAACCTTGCCGAGAAACCACAGAACCTAGCAGCCATACAGGTAAAGCATGTGAGTTGGTCATATCACAAGCGTATGCCTTAATGATGTATTTATCTAACCCATCATCTTTTCTTATTAGGCTATTGCCGCTGTTGGTCAAGGACGTTTGATGAGCATGTACGATGATCTCTTTGGCCAATTCAATCAGCCTGTGGCCCAAATCTTGCTTACACGAAATGATTTGGCAGACGTAAGTGTACCTTGATCCTCCTCTTATTATGATGGCTCTTTTACTTATCCATTTTCATTATCTAGCGGTCGCAATATCTCAACGCGGTCAATTGTCTAGAACAGCTCCTTGATATGGGTGTTGTGCCCATTGTAAATGAAAATGACACCATCTCCGTTTCGGTAAGTTGCATCAATAACAGCAACAACAACACTCATTCTCACACATACACGTCTTTTAGGAAATTAAATTTGGTGACAATGATACCCTTTCTGCCATCACAGCCGGCATGGTCAAAGCCGACTACCTCTTTTTGATGACTGATGTTGATTGCTTATACACCGACAACCCACGTTCAAATCCAAATGCCAAGCCTATTCTTGTATGTGATGACATTGATCGCCTTCGAGAGCAAGTTACGGTGACCTCACCGGGTTCATCACTTGGTACGGGTGGCATGGTTACCAAGCTTGTGGCTGCTGATCTTGCTACCGCTGCCGGCGTTACCACTGTGATTGCACGAGGATCCACACCCGAAAACATCCTACCCATCATTGAAGACTCTAACAACAAAAAGCCTCCACACACCCGTTTCCTTTCCAAATCCAAACCTTTGATGGATCGCAAATGGTGGATTTTGCATGGCCTTCATACAGCGGGTACCATTGTGGTCGAATCCGATGTTGCTGAATCCATAGCCAACAACAGCGGTGATGCCTTGTTTGCCCATTCGATTGTCAAGGTGGAAGGCAACTTTGTTGAACATCAAGCTGTCCGCTTAGTCGTACAACAGCCATCAGAACAAGGCACCCCAGAATTCGTTACACTCGCCAAGGGCATTGTCAACTACTCATCAGCGGAGATTGGTCGAATCATGCACGCCAACGAAAGCAACATCACTGATGACCTCGGTTACAAGGACGCTGATTGCATCATTCATCGCGATAATATGGCAATGTCCGTATGATCGTATCGTTTCTTTTCTCTTTATTCATACCAAAAAACTTCCCTTTCCCCCCACTTTGAATATTATTATACCACCTCTACATCCTCTTTTTTCCACGACAGCCATCATTTTTTCCCTTTCTTCCGCGTTATATCCCCCTCTCGTCTTCATTTAGTTTTATCTCCATATCTCCGCATGCGTACATATCTTGAAAAAATATCATTCTCTCTACACGCTGCTTTATAGCAGGCGGATTCATCATCATGCGGGCAACAAGTTGATAATTTGACATAGGCAACTTGTATATATATAGAAGGGACAAGTACAACATACATATAAGGATAAAGGTGAGTACGTGATTTCTGCAACAATACCAAGAAGCAGAAGCACACACACACAAAGGCTTAATCGATCAACAATGCAACATTTTGTGATACATGATATACCGCCAAGCATCACGCGCACTCTGGTAGCTTTTTGCCCTTGGGGCCCTTTGGCTTGATCTATATCCTTTTTTAAATGCTACTAGTAGTATGCATGTTATGTTGCTTGGCAACATCTTCCACATTGCCACGGATTGGAAGCAATGTAGTGAGGAGAAGATGCCCTTCTTGGATGACATCATTCATGTGTTAAAGGAAATGAAATCATGATTATCAAGGATAGTAATGTACCCATGACACGTTATTTTAGCAACCTTCTGCATTTGGGATCCGGTCTGGAACCTCTTGCTGTATATGTATACATTCACACCACGGTGAAAAAAAGCTTATATCAGCTTAGCCATTCCCTGAATGTAGTGCCCTTGTGTTCAAAAACATGCTGAATAAAAAAAAGGCCCTTGTACAACCATTCAAATCAACAATGGATCCTTTGCAAACAAGCTAACGCACTTGTATAGACATCCACCAAACCCATTTTGCATGAGCGTGATCACTGATAGTGAAGTAAACAAGACATCCTAGTCAAGCTGCATGTCGTGCATGGCTCTTTTGAGAACGCTTACTCATTTCCTGAAAAGTTTTGGTAATAGCTGTTTATAGACAAAGACGTTGCTATGATCGGATGGGTCTTTCCTACTAAGGTGGTACACATTTTGTCTATATCTCACAACAACCAGGAGAAGCCTCCTCAAGTCAATTTTGCAATTATCGATCGATAAACCATTTTGGGGATCCAACGTCGCTTATGATGCATAAAGAGAAAACCATTTCATTTACTTGGCGTAGGTAACAAAGTATGATTCTAGATTCTTCTGGGTATTGGGCTTGTCAACAACTACTGCAAGTTCGAATGGATACACTGTGATGGCATTGTACTTTTTGTTTTGCTACAACGTTGCTATGGTGAGTCAACGGAATCCTATAAAGCACGCTATGATGGAAATATGTACTCACACGCAGGATCATGGCGCGATGGGTCTCTTGCCAGAGAAAACGATACACCAGCCGAAACCGAGCTATGCATAATGTATCCGGTGAGATCAATTGTCCTTGGAAACAAGTGCAAGATGATAGTACCTTGATCAAGGCTTTTGGTGTTTTCAAGCTCTTTCCTTCGCTTCGCCAATGACAAGCCGTGTTTATCGTTGACAAGAAACCTCACAATAGTTCCATATAGAGCTTGTATCACATGGGAATAAAGCTGCTCTTCTTCATACCAGTCTTGGTCCATAATGTGTAAAATGACACGCAAAGCCTACATTGCATCAGTACACGTTTGCCAATGCACGTCCATGGACGTCTTCGTTACCATTTTGCTAGTGATTTGTAAATGGACTGCTTTGCGAGCGATGGGCATAGTTGTATTTGTTGGTGGTGGAATAAAAAGAAAGATGATTGTATTATACAAGAATCCAAAACTATTTACTCTACTACTTGTTCACGCCTTTCACAAGGATGCAACCAGGGTGTGGAAGTTCATACCGCCATCCCTCTTGTTTCAATAGCTTAAGAGCACTAGGCATCAACTTGGCTTCTCCATAAGCTGAATGCTTTCCTGCACCAGTGATGATCTTTAAAGGCCGTATACCACGTCGTCCTATTACATGATGTCAATAAAACATGCCTGCTCCTTGTCTATTACTGCCGTCTTACCTATTTGCATTTGACTCCTTGACCACCATTGGGTGACACCTTCCTTGAGTAATACACGAGCTTCTTCAACCGTGAGACCATGTAGATCCAAAAGATGATCATCGCTTTGAGCTATCCGTTCATGCCTGACCAATGCCCTTGCAGCTCTCATATTCCATTCTCGGGCTCTATTATCCAATTTGCGTGCCTAAGCATGATGGTCTTAATAAGGGTTGATCACATGACGCACATGTACATACTTCATCTGAATAATAGAATGCAACTCCAGATTCACCAGGGCCCTTGTTCTTTGTTTGGCGATAAGCTTCAGCTGCCTTCATAAACAACTGATTGCGATTCACGATCAATTGCATTGCCATATCTCTGCACTCTTCCGGATCATCATCCACATAGCTTTGTCCATTGTCGATCCTTAAATATTCTGGTACCACAGGTAACTCTTGAGCTGCTACTGCCGCTGCTGCTGCTTTACGTGCCATCTCCTGCTGTTTGAGACGCTCTTGCAAATCATGTTGTTGTTGATCATATTTCAAGGCAAAATCCACCGCTGCATCCACCATTTTGTCATGCGTCCATGCTGATTCACGACCCGTGCCTTCTTGTTGTTGTATCAATGTATCCACCAAGACACCCGTTGCAATTTGTTTGACCTCTTCTTGCGATCGATCCTCCAACATGAGTGCCAATGTCTTTTCCAACTTTTCCAATTCCTTCAAAGAAGAGAAACTCAACGATCTTCGTGCATTGGGTCCTTGTTCCTTCATCAAATCTCGCACGGACGCTATGATGTTGCCACGACATCGTTGTACTGATCCAAGGATTTTTGGCTTTGGCATGTTGGGGAAGAATTGGGCGATGCTCTTGACTTTGCCGTCATATTGGTGCCAACAATTGAAAGGCACTGTAGCAAGACGATCACCACCACCACGCTCCACCTCTCCTTCATCATTGTGTTGCTGATGATGGTTGTGGAAACTATGCGTTGTACTCCAAATCGTCTTTGGTTGCTTTTTCTTCTTTTTCTTCTTTTTGTCGGCAGCATCAAAATCATGTTCCAAAGAAGCACCACTGTCGGATCCTTGTGAATCGGTTTCCAAAAAAATGTCATTCAATAGGATATCGGTCGCTTTTTCAAGATCGTCATGTTGTGCATGAAGCGTGTTGGATAAGGTGCTCACGCTCAATGATGGAAAGCAGGTCATGAGGAATTCGAGATTATCATCCAAGCCGGCATCTTGTACTTCTGCTGCTGCTGCTACTGCTGCTTCTGCTTCTGCTGTTGTAAAATCGGACACTTGACTGGGTGAATCCATGGTATCTTGTTGTGCATGATCCGCTTCCTTTGCCAACTCGGCAAGTATCGCAGAACACGTCTCATAGTTTTGTGAATCGTTCCAAATGGCTTCCACTAATGCTGAATCCAAAGGAGGACAAAACCTAGCCTATGGTCAAGATTAGTCCACTTTCAATAAAGAGAGCGCTCCCCCATGGTGTGCCCTCATTTACCGTCAAGTCGTCCTTATCGCGCTGTTTCTGATTCGTCTTTTGCTGATCTTTTCTTGACGTGAACGCATTGTATTGGTTGTCTTGTAGTCTGCCCATTCTCTTTCATCATCAATCGTAGAGTAACAAACCAGCGGGGGGGGAAAAGAGAGGCAGATCGCCGCTGCTGCCTCCTCCGCCTCATTCTGTTACTGTCACATGGCGGTGTAACCTTAATGGCGCCACAACGCGTGTAGAGTTGGCATGACAATGAAATTCATCAATCTGAGATGGTTGCTATCACATTCTCCTCCTTTCTAGGCAGCAAGTCATTTCCATGACGACGCATATCCTTCGACCTAGTATCCTAAATTGACGATTGATTTCATTATTCGATCACTTTGTGGTGTGGAAAACAACCCCCTATCCATTATTGAGGCAATCATCAATAGCATGTGGTTCTTCATCGCTTCATCATCATTGATGTTTCATTGTTGTCTTTTTTATTCACTGGTGGAATCTTTGTCATACGTATGCCTATTCTTTTGTATATCACATGGTCTTTGCTAGTATCTTTATATACCGTTGAGTCATGAGCGTCCTTAACATCTATGTATCAATTTGGGCTTTCATCGCTTCAAGTATGTAGAATAAGGAGATAGTGCGAGAGAATGAAATTATTTCATTGCAAATGGTCCTCTGAGGCTTCTAAGCGTGGCATTGTGGCCATGGAATCAAGGATGTCACGGGATCAGCAGGTAAAATTGCTCGAGCAGCACCAGCGGCAAGTCCAGCTTCCGATTTTATTGGCTGCCATGCGCAAAATTATCTTTTCTCTCCCTCCTCTTGCTGAACGCTTGCATAGATCCAGATCCGATCATGGTCGCCAAAGCCAACATGGATGACTCAAAGTCTCTTACAAAAGCACTCTTGAAAGGCGACACCACCAATGTCGACAGCACCCTTGACAATCTGTTCAAGAGCAGTGTAAGACCCTCAATGCCACGAGCAACACAATGACAGTTTACTTATCACACACTTCTTCATGACAGGCTGGTCCCACCAAACAAGCAACAGCACCTCCTCCAGCAGCAGCAGCAGCACTCATAGCGAAGAAGGATATCAGCAAATTGAGCAAGCGAAAGCAAAAGCAGGCCTTGGCCGAAAGAGCAGAGCAAGCAGCGATCAAAGCAAGAGCATTGTCGTCTTTACCCCCTTTGAAGAGAAAGGTACACCCACTCAAACCTACTTCAACATGCTATCAAATCAACTTATGTTGGAATACTTTAGAGAAAGGCTGATGTGCTCGAGACTTCTGATGAAAAGCCTGAAGAGGAAGAAGAAAAGAAGGCTGATAGCAATGCACAAGAACGCAAGGTGGTGGATGAAAAGGAAAAGAACGAGCGAACCATTTTTATCGGCAATGTCCCTGTGGCATGCTGTGAGGAGAAGGTATAATTGCTATCATGCATCAAAGTAAATGTATCACTGACAAGCAATCGTATACGTAGTCCAAGTCAAGAGCTCTCAAACGTGCGTTTGCAACTTATGGTGCTATTGAATCCATGCGTTTTCGTTCTACAGTAAGTGTCTAAGGGCCACGTTTGTGAAAAAGGAAAAACTTACAATGGTATGTTACTAGGCATTCTCTGAGACTTTGCCTCGGAAAGCAGCATTCATCGCCAAAAAGTTCCACGACAATCGCTCCGTCACCAATGCATATATCGTTTACAAGACCAAGGAATCAGCAGACAAGGCTTTGGCTATGAATGGACAAGTGTTTATGGAGAAGCATCTTCGTGTTGATAATGCAGCCAATCCAAAGGTATGATACCATCGAGCATCCAGGGAACGTTTGACAATGACTGACATCATCGTATCTATATAGCCACATGATAGAAAGAGATCCGTCTTTGTTGGTTCATTACCATTTGATGCCGAAGAGGAAGAATTATGGAAGTTCTTTGCTGATTGTGGTGCGATTGACAATGTCCGCTTGATCCGTGATAAAAAGACCAATATCGGCAAGGGAATTGGCTATGTACAATTTACTGTAAGTGCATTGAAATCGTGATGATTGGGGAGAGTACTTACTTGGGTCGTTTTACAGCGTAGAGCAGCAGTCGACCTCGCATTGGCATTGGACGACAAGCCTCTTCGCGACAACCACACTTTGCGTATTCAACGATGCAAGGACCAGATTCCTAAGCCTACTACTGCAGCCGCTGCTACTGCTGAAGCCGCTGGAAAGAGATTAAGGAAAAAGGAAGGAGCAAAGGCAATGAATGCTACAAAGGGATCAAAAGCACCCGGTGATAAGAAATCACGACATCGCAAGGCGCTTAATGTCTTTGAAGGAGCTCGGGCATCAAAATCAACCGGTAACAAGTTCAAGATTGGAAAGACGTCATCGAACAAGAAGCAGAAGCGACATTAGGTTTAGAATGAATGGAAAAGAAAATATAAAATATGGGATGTATCACGTGATGTTGGATCAATGAGCGTGTGTGTGTGTTTAAAGATGTTGGGTGGTTGTTCAATTGTATATAGTTGCCATGGCAACATTAGCTGGATTGGCTGCTATTAAGTTTCCATGACTAAGATTGATCACATTATGGTGTTCCTGAAGGCGATATTTATTGACAACATTGAAATGTTTCATCTACAAGGATAGCTGTGGGGAAAAGAGTGGCGGGGATGTAGATAATCTGCTTCTTTCAATAAACACATACCGATGGATACCACCAGTATTGAGGATACGACGACGACGATAGAGCTGCTACAGTCTATGTATTGCGGTGACGATGAGTTTTCTTTTTGCACCCCACAAGATCAAGATGCGTACAACCGATTGGTGAAGGCGATGGAGGATGGCGACAATGACAAGCCAGCAGCAGCAGAATCAATACGATTGCAACTCAATTTACCCTTGTCATCGGATCAAGAGGATATCTCAAACTGGAGGCTTACAGTGACCTGCCGGTTCTCTTCCGATTTTGATATTGCTGTGGCGTCGTCTCATAATAGTTGGCTTTCTCGTGATGCTCATCAAGCGCTTACTCGATCATTGCAGGAATTTGAGTGTGATGCGGATGATCAGCCGACTCGAGTGCTCGATAGTATCCAATTTCTTCAATCCGAAGCTGAACAAGCTGCTGTCAAAGCGTATTTGGAACAACAAAACAATGCCAAAAGCAATGATAAAGAGAGTGGCCCAGTGACATTTCTCAGAGAATGGATTTGGTTTCCTATGATTTATACCAGAGAAAAGGTGGGTTTCATTTTATTGGTTTTGTTATCATTGCCTATACTCATCAACATTGCTTTTTAGAGAGGACATATTATTGATTGGGCACCAGGATATGGAGTCACTGGGTTTCTATGTCCGGGAAAACCAGGTGCATTATGCATGGAGGGCATTGACAAGGTAGAGCCTACTATTTATCATGTGCCCACTAGCTGTCAATCTTTTTGTACTAATTCGTGTTTATTTGTCACACACACACACACACACATACATACACATCATAGAACGTGCAACGCTTTATCAATGACATTAAGACCGTTTCTTGGTCTGACATCCCAGCATCGCATCGTAAAATGAGTACCAAATGGCAGGAACGACATCATTGTGATTCCATACACGACTTGAATCGACATCGCAAATTTCCGGATATGACCGAGATTACATTTGATTTGCATGGTGCTTTTGGAAACCATAACGACTTGGGAATGCTGCAACAATGGCTTAAGGATAAGGATTGTCCAGATGCATTTGACCATTTATTTGACCATGATTCATAATAAACATAGAGAGAGAGTATACTAATGTAGCCATGGTGTTGTTGATGGGGGTTGTAGTGATCAATGTAGTAAAATCGGGAGGGGGGTTGGTTGGGTGTTCAGTCCACACACATAGCGCACTGACAACTTACTGACGCCTTTTCTTTTTTCCTTGTTGGTAATATTCCACCACATGAGTCAAAACAACCCGCTGCCGAGAAGGAAACCATTCCAAATCTACGTTCCCATCCATCGAAGAAACAACACCCAATCCGAGAGCGCATCACCTACGAGACCCATTGACTCAATTAGCACGACAACCATCAACGCCAACACCACCTCTTCACAAGACGATGGCCTTGTTCGACGAGGACGAGGACGATTCAGAGCCCCATCAAGTAGTCCTACCTCTGGACATTCATCCGTGCAGTCGCCATGTATAAGCAATGACGACGAACAGCAGCAGCAGCACTCTATAGTGGATGATAGCAAGAGCAGTAGCAGCCATAGTAACCAGCAGTCAGTATCGAATCATCCAATGTCAAATGGATCTCCTACTACACCCACCAAAAGCACAATCACCGATGAGAACCTTGCAACTGCTATGGAGAAAAGTTTATCTCTCGAATCAAAAGAGGATTGGGAGCAATTGGATGATGAATTGGAGGAGGAAGACGATAACAATGAGCATCCTTCGACTGCAGGCAAATCGAAGGGTAAGTAAGAGCTGATGTTGATGCATGCATTTGTTCATTGTATAACTTGGGCTATCATTCATAGTGAAGAAATCAATATCATCCTCATCCTCATCTTCAACAACACCACTACCACCCATTGAAGCCGGTACAACGATTCTCGATTGTTCAGGATTCCCGGCATCTTTCAAGACATACCACATCCAAGACATGTTTCGAATATACGAGGATATGCCTGGAAGCTTCAAGATTAAATGGATGGATGACACTCGAGCGTTAATTATTTTTGGCAGTGCCGCTACAGGTAAAAGTATACAAAAGATGGGGTGATGATCGTCATGAAGCTAATCTATGTATTTAGCAAAACGTGCTTATATCGATAATATTAATAACCCAACGGCCAAGGTAAGGCCCTACACTGGCGCCGTTGAATTCACAGCATGTAAGTATTAGAGAGAGTGTGTATGTGTCTATGCGAGTACATATCGCTGACTTTTCTCGGGATAGCTACAAAGGGTGAGCCGATACCTCAGAGACCCGTGACCACGGATATGGTAGCAAGACGACTCGTGCATGGTGCTCTCGGTATGAAAAGACCAACTCGAACCCGTGAACAACTCCAGCAAGAAAAAGATATGCTTCAATCCATACGAGGTAGGCTCAACAACCCTGTATTATGAAGGATGGATCATGTGACAATGAAATGATATAGAACAACGCGAAGCAAAGAAGCAGCAAGCAGCTCGTGAGGCAAATGAGATATCAAATGCGTTTTTTGGATAGCATAGATAGAAAATCAAGGAATGAATGATTTATTTCGATCAACATCAGCTATCAGGAACACATCATAATGTGGTTATGGGGACAAGGGTTCATGTTAAATTGGAAAAGCATGCTACACAGCATTATCCCTCGCTATCGTTGACTAATCACATAGGCTAATGATGTTCATGGTATAGATAATAAAGATGATTATTATTTCAGCGGATTGCTCGTATGACAACTCCATACGTATAAAGGCAATGCGGCAACTTCTCCAAATTATTGAAAAAGGAATTATAGTAATACTGTAGCATGTCCAATTACTCTTTCTCTCCTTTCTCGAGGCAGTAGTTTCGTTTTCCACTCCATTTGCATCCACTCCTTTGATAGTTTTTAGCGCATGCCGATTCGGTCATCAGGTTTTTGCAAGAAAACTCTCTACATATGGTTTCGATTACGTTGTCTTGCAGATGTAATACATTGAAATGATTAAGTTCCTTATACTTGAATGTAAGCTTCTCTCCATGCATGCTACTTACCAAAAGTCCTTGTGACCTGCTCCCAGGTGCATCCAATCTTCAGACATTCTTGTGGCTCATGTTTGAACTTTGAGCATGGGATTGAATGATTACGAGGACCGCACGGACGCTTCATGAGCCTGTCTATAGAAAGCTGGGTCAATGATTGTGGCATTTTTGATGTACCGAAGCTGACATCTCATACCATGAAAGCCCTTTGCACCATAATCATTATCAATCGTCTCATATGTACAGAGCGCTAGGTCCTTGGGAGGACAAACATTGACATTGCGGACAACTGAGCATATGCCATCCTTTTGAAGAGTGCTATCAATTGGATTGGCACCACTTGCAAAATGTGATGAGCCACCTAAAAACGCTAAGGAAATGGCAAGAGCAGAGATTTTCATCGAGTAGGGAGTATGTACGTAGAAAGGACAGGGATCAGTGGTTAATAAGAAAGGCTGATTATTTTATAGTTTCAAGTGCATCATAAATGTCCTGATTCGCCACGAAAACCTCGCCTGAATTATTTGTATACATGCATTAGCATGTCCCTGGAAGTTCAAGGATTTCCAAAAGTTGAATCCCTTATGCAAATGCTGCATATCGAGTGTGATTCCATTCTTCATTGAGTGGATATCCGCTAGAAAGCTTGTTCACTATAGAGGAGGTGCAAAAGGTGTGGGTGCGAAAATGTTGTTAAACGGCTCATTGCGTATGACCATGAATGATTCGACGTATCGCTCTGCTGTGATGCGATTTATCCATGAGCATAATTTCACAAACTATCGGAGATCATTGGAAGCAGCATCATTAGATGGCATGGCGCATGACCAAAATCGACTAGGCTCTCAAATTTTGAGACGTTGTGTATACGTGCGCAGATAGCATGGATAGCCACAGAGGGTGTCACTTGCTGTGATTGAAAATGACAGCTTCTATACATAAAAAAGTAAAGGGATAACTTTTATTTTGCCATTGCGCCCTTGCGGCATGCCTAATTATCCTTTCTCCCCTTTTCGAGGCAATAGCCAATTTTGTCGCTCCACCAGCACCCGTCACTTGAATGGTGTTTATTGCATGCCGCCTTGTTGTAAAAGTCCTCGCACGCAAACGATCTACATATGGTCACGGGAGAGTTGTCTTCAGAAGCACATTTAAATGAGTAGGCTCTTAACACTCGAATGGGAGCTTTTCCACGCTGCATGTTACACTTACTGCTATTCCTGAGGAGGTGCTCCCAAACGCATCCATTCTTTAAGCATCCATTTTCATCATTGCGAAACTCTGAGCATGAGTGACATTCTTTTTGGTTATCGGGGATCTCCCAACATGGCACTGAACCACGACCACTACATGGACGCTTCACAACGGCGTCTAAAACAGGAGCATACATAGAAAAGGTAAACAACATCGACACCCTTTACATCGTCTCTGATACATACCATGAAACCCTTGGCGACCGTCATTATTGAATGCCTCATAAGTACAGGAATCAGGATAGGGAGTGCAAATATTGATACTGTTGAAAGCTGAACATAGGCTATCTTGAAGAGCACCACCAATATGATTGGCACCACTCACAGAATGCGATCCAACTAGAAACACAAAGGGAATGACAATAGCCTTCATCGAGTAGTACGTAGAAAACATAGGTATCTGGGACGGCGCAAAACGTGACCCATTTTATATGTAGCCTAAGAGTCAAGGCGATGTTCCAATACGCCACGAAAACGTTGGCTTTTTCTTAGATGTACATAAATACATGTATCATGTCCCTGAATTATCAAGGGGTTGTATAGCTTCGAATTACCCTTTATGCGAGTACACTATATGGACCCTAATTTCGCTCCTTATTGCTTGGAGTACGACTAAACCCCGAAGGCCCGTGACTACGGATTTGGTAACAAGGCGGTTTGTTCATGGTGCTCTTGGCATGAAAAGACCAATTCAAACGTCTGATCGACTCTAACAAGAAAAGGTATGCTTCAATCCACACGAGATAAAGCTCAGTAACGATGCTGTCTCATAAACGATGGGTCATGTGACATGAAATGATATAGAACTACGCGACGTAAAGAAGCAGCAAGCACCTCGTAAGGCAAATGAGATCTCAAATATGTTTTTCGGACAGCATAGAAAGTGAGGTCATTTTAATGAATGAATGAATGAATGATGCGTATATGTAATACGATGAGTTTTCCCATTTGTCAAGGAGACATTACACCGTGGTAGTAGCATGCCTAATCTTGACTATCATCTTCCCATCTATCAAGGCAAAGCTCCCATTTGTCACTCCACCTGCACCCATCCCTTTGGTGGTATTTAGGGCACAATGACTTGATCCTCAGGTTGTTGCACGAAAAATCTCTGCAAGTGGTATAGAGAAAGTTGTCTTCAGATGTACATCAGTTAAATAATTAGGCTTTTGGATACTTTAATGTATATAGTCTTTTCCACGTATATGTTACTTACCGTCATCAGCGAGGGCTTGTTCCCAAGTGCATCCATTCTTCAGACATTCTTCTTCGTTGTTGCGGAAGGTGAAGCATTTAACTGACTTATTACGAGGACCGCATGGACGCTTCATAATTTCGTCTAGTAGAGTATGTAGGATTTAGAAAGCGAAGTAAACGACATCAACACCATTAACAATAAAGCTAAAACATACCATGAAAATGGCCGTAAATCTTATTCTCAAACGACTCATAAGAACAGGGATGCGGATAAGAAGGACAAATGTCGAGCTTGCGGGCAACTGCACATAAACCATCTTGAAGATCGTTACCAGGGGTGGCAGCACTCACAGAATGCGATGCACCTAAAAACGCCAACGAAATCATAATATCAAAGATTTTCATCGAGTAATGAGTAGAGAAGGTAGGTATCAGCAGTTAAAAAAGTTGATCATTTTATAGTTCAAGAGCAAAAAAGACGTCCTTATACGCCACCCAAGCTGTAAATATAGAGCTGCATGATGTAGCATGCCCCTGCGAGTTCAAGGGTTTCCTTAGCCTTCGAACCTCCTATGAAGCGTAACCCAACCTCGTTGCATGGGTGATGATCTCTTGAAAGCCTGTTTATATAGACATGGTGGTGAGAGAGGCGTAGGTGTAGAAGCCCTGTTGAACAGCTGATCATGTATGATCAAGGACGATTCAACATACTAATGTATTTTGAAGCTTCCCTAAGCTGAGAGATAGTGGTTATCCAAGAGGTAAGCTTCATAATCTAACCAATACCAAAGGTTATTGGAGGCATTACCATTAACTGACATGGCACATATCCAAAATCTACAATTTGGCTGGGCTCTAAGTTTGAAATCTGTTGAATTCACAGCATGCAACGATTAAATGCATGTACACATGCACACATACCATGGACAGCTACAGAGAATATGCCAATACCTCAAAGATTCATGACAACGGATATGGTAGCAAGGGGACTTGCTCATGGTGCACTTAGAATGATCAGATCGATCCCCTGAACAACTCCAAGAAGAAAAAGATAAGGTTCAATCCATACGAGTAAGCTCAGCAAAAATGGATGATAGGCTTATGACGATGAAATGATGCAGAACATAATTAAGGAAAGAAGTAGTAGCAAGCAGCTTGTGAAACAAATGAGATTTCCAATGTGGAAAGAGAGGTTGTTTCTAAGTTGATTTATAACAAAAACCGCTAGCATTAGCCTCCCACTTGCACCCATACGAAGAATATCTACTATTGCAGGCAGACTCTTCCACAAGGGCGTTGCATGAGAAGCTTTCTTCGCATTCAGTATTAACTCTTGGTTCGCCTGGTCCTGTATATTTAAAACGATGAGTTTCCATATCAGAAAATTCGCGTTTTTCATATTATCACTCACCCCAAGTCGATGTCCAATGAACCCAAGTACATCCATCATTCAGACATTGTTGTTCATTATCCTTGGAATTGTTGCATTTGTCAGGCTGAATGGGAGCAGCACATGGGTGCTTCATGGTTGCCTCTGGAATTGGATAGAAAGCAAGGTAAACGATATGGAACACTACTGACGCCCGTATCAATATTTACTAAGAACACCAGGCTTCTCAGTTGTAATGGTCTCATATGCACAGGAAAGCGGATTGGCGAGAGGGCAGGCCTTTACACCACGAACAACAGAACATATGCCATCTTTGAGAGCACCACCAGTTTCATTCTCATCAAGAGGGTTACCACCCACACAGTACGATGCACCGAGAAACGCGAAGGAAATGGCAATACTAAATATTTTCATTGAGTAGTGAGTAGAGAAGCTAGGTAGCAATGGGGCGATCATTTTATAGTTTTAGCGCATCAAGCAAATTTTATAGATACACCATGGCAAATGCAGTATTCTCCCCCCCTGAAAGTCTAACGGCTTCCACAACGGAATTCTCACTTTTATGTGCCGAAGCTGCATGTGAGGCGTACTCATTGCATGGATGTATCGTCGGCCACAATGGAAAAACAAGGGGCATTGGCCGAAATACCAATTTGTGGCGTATAGTGGAAGATGGTGGTAAAGCACTAATGTAAGGTGGTGATACGCTGTCGAATATCCACTTGTTATGCCGAGAGAATACATGATGTGAAAATCAAGACATTCATTACTTTTGGATACTTTCGACAATGTCTATGATTTTATTACAATGGAGGGAGATATATAAGAGTCTATTACTAAAGCACATATACACAGCGGTTTGTTTACCACTCGTCTTCATCAGAGTAGACCTCTTCACCACGCTTACGACGTTCCATACGCTCCTTCTTCTTCTTACGGAGTTCACGGGAAGAGAGTTTCTCCTTCTTCTTGACAGCCTTGATGGTGTTACCTTGAGCATCAACCATATCCTCTTGCTCCTCTTCCTTGATGACGGTGGTACCATTACCAGAGACCCAGTTGTGACCAGAGGCAACGAGCTCACCATTGTCGACCTTCCAGACTTCACCGCAAAGGGCTTCAGAGAATTGACGGTTGTGAGTAACGATGACGACACCACCACCGTATTCCTTGATAGCACCAGCCAAGGCACCAAGAGAGTCACGATCCAAGTAGTTGGTAGGTTCGTCAAGAACCAACATGTGAGGACGATTCCACATGGCAGCACCAATAACCAACTTGACCTTTTGACCACCAGAGAGACCACGGATACGAGAGTGAGTAGCGAATTCAGGCTCCAAACCAACTTCGTTCAAGTGCTTTTCAATTTCCTTGGAGGTCAAAGGACGGTTGAGACCCGACTTGGCAGCTTCTTGAGCATCACATTCAGCGATCTTCTTGCCGAAACCCATTTGTTCAAGACGTTGACGAGAGATCCAGGTGTTGTCAACAGAAGAACGGCCAACCCAAGAAACCTCGTACTCGTAAGATTGCTTGAGCTTACGACGACCCACGATTTCCTCAACGATACGCTTCTCACCATCAATGACAAAGGTTTGGCTCATTTGCTTCTCCTCCTCTTCAGTGACTTGACGATCCACCTTGTCGAGTTCTTCACGATCCTCACCAGTCGCATAACGCCATTGAATGTACTCGTTAGGAGTAGAGTCCAAGTGCTTCTCAATGTGGTGGAAAGCGTGTTGAGCAACATAGGCAATACGCAAGTTGGGGTGCTTCCAAACAGTACCGATATCAGCCTCCATCTCACCAGTCAAAAGCTTGATCAAAGTGGACTTGCCAGCACCGTTAGGACCAATGACGGCAACACGAGAAGAAAGAGAGCATTGCATGCTGATGTTCTTGAGTTGCTTGCGAGCAGTACCAGGATATTGGAAATCAACGTTCTTCATCTTGAGAATGGCACGTTCCTTGGTCTTGATACCTTCGAGATAGCCAGGCTCAGGGAACTTGAATGCAATGTTGGCAGCCTCCAAAGAGTAGTAAGCAGCAGCGGTAGGGACCTTCTTGACGAATTCGGAAAGGTTACCCTTATAACGCTTGAGCTTGTAGTTCTTCTCGTAGTGAATGATATCAGAGCACACGTGATCCAAGAAACCAGAGTCGTGAGAAACGATGATGGAAGTGACGGTCTTCAAGCCAAGGAGGTAGTTCTCCAACCAAGCAACGTTAACAACGTCCAAATGGTTAGTAGGTTCGTCCAAAAGCAAGATGTCAGCGTTCATCAACATGGCACGAGCAAGAGCGAGCTTCATCTTCCAGCCACCAGACAAAGAACCAATGGTGTGGGAGGTGACCATTTCTTCAGAGAAGCCATAGTCACGCAAGATTTGGGCAACCTTTTCCTTGTCCTTGGTCTCGACACCTTCGGAAGCAATGATGAAATCAACCAAAGGAGTATCAGCCTCAGAGCCATCAATATCGTGTTCGACGTAAACGGTCTTAAGCTCGGACTTGGGAGGGAAACCTTCGACTTGCTCATTGGCAATGGCACGCATAAGGGTGGATTTACCACAGCCATTGTGACCACACAAACCATAACGACGACCACGCTTGAGACGAAGAGCAGTGCGGTTAAGCAAGATCTTGGCACCATAAGCAAGGGAGAATTCACAGTTGCAAAGATCTTCACCCTCATCATCTTCCTCTTCGGTATCCTTGGGAGTGACAGCTTCCTCGCACTTGTCAAGAGCCTTGCCAACAAGGACCTCAGCATCAGCAGCGGAGACGAAAGCCTTGATGTAGCTGGAGAGGGATTGGATCCAGTTGTTCTTGAAGAAATCCTTGGCAACACAAAGAGCAAGAGCAACTTCAGAGATGTGCTTAAGAAGAGGCTCATAAGCAGCATCAATATCAGCAGGCAAGAGCTCCTTGAAAGCGGCATTGACCTTATCTTCCTTCATGGACTTGGACAAGACTTCATAGTCGGCGGTACCAACACGCTTGAGAGTAGCCAAAGCCTTTTGAACGACACCACGGCATTCAGGATCGGCAACGACATCTTGAATCTTCTCCAAAGCGGGCAACAAGAGAGGAAGGAAAGGAGCAGCGACTTCGGGATCATCGACAAGCTTACACATGTTGTCAATGATCAAAGCGGACTTACGCTTGATGGGAGTAGCACGCTCAGCCAAACCACGGCTCAACAAGGGAACCATGATGGAAAGAGTGGCCGAGTCGACTTCTTGGACAAAAGTGGTGGCACCCAACAAGTGAATAGTCTCAGGGACGTTCTCGGGCTTGTTGATACAAGCAATGACAGCAGGAATGAAACGCTCGATATCCTTGTTCTCAACGAGACCGCAAATGTTGCCCATGGTGGTGGTGGCAGCCTTCTTGATATCAGTCTTGGTATCCCACATACAATCAGAGACCACAGGGATCACATCAGGGATGGTGTAGAAGAATTGCTGAGCCTTGGCCTTGGTGAGCTCATCAATCAAAGACAAAGCAAGAGCCTTGGTTTGCCACTTGCAAGAGTTGCCGAGACCACCCAACAAGTAGGGGACAACAATAGCAGTAGCATTGGCTTCAACCTTGAGAACCAAATCCTTGGCAGCTTCAGCAGCACCGGTCTTGATGGCAGCTTGCTTCTCGGCTTGAAGCTCCAAAAGAGTAGCGAGGAAGGGCAAAATGTAAGGTTCAGCTTGACCCTCAACGGACTTGTCAGCCAAAGCCTTGATGGCAGCAATGGCAGACAAACGAGCACCAGCATTCTTCTTGTTACCAAGATCCTTGGCAATGGCATCCACAATGCCGAATTGCTTGAGAGCATGAACACCAGTGGCGTTAACGAAAGCAGCGAGCTCTTGAGCAGCACCTTCACGAGCCTCATCGGAAGCACCAGAGAGATTCTTCAAGAGGTCCTTGGCCTTAGCAGCCTCGGATTCGCTGGGAGCAGCAAGCTTCTTGACTTGAATGTTGACGTTGTTTGCGGCAGCGGCGGCAGCTGGCATGTTGTAAAATTGGTCTTCTTGTGGTGTGGTGTGTGTGTGTGGATATAAAGAGAAAGGATGGACAAAAAATAAGTGTCCTATAGAGAGAGACGAAAAAAGACAAAAGACAAAAAGTTGACGGTACACCAACGTCTTTAAAAAATTCAATCCGAGTGGCTTACCCCTGATTCCGCCAAGTCCAATCTCAGCAACACACTCACACCAAACGATCCAACCTATCAGAAACCACCATTGTTCCACTTTTTCGTCCTTTGCCCCATTTAACATTTGCTATAGGAGCTATATCCATCATCATACAATACAAGAACGCCGTCTATAGTTAATCCAATGAATGAATAAACATCATCAACATGATCTGTTTACTGCCAATTAAAGTGCTGAGTATGATAGGTAGCATCATGCAACACCTGAAAATGGCTGACACATCCCCGGGTTTCATGATCTGTGCGCTACGCTCTTCATCGTGGATGCTGCGGTGGCTAATGCCTATGTAAAAGCTACACCTCACATCATCAATTGAGCTATCTTTCATGATGCTTTATCGCTGATGTATACACTATCGGGTCGTAGCTATTATCATTGTATCGACCATGGTGTGAGGTTGAGGAAGAATACTAATGCGGCACCCAATTGGGATGGAGAACAGCCGTATTCATAAGGAAGTGAGCTATCGCATTTTATTGGATGATCCCTTGCTTGGCTAAACAAAGTGTCTTTATGCAACTACCCAATGACCATTAAAAATGCACGCCTTGATGTATTGGTGGTGATTCATAAACCATGTGCTTACAAATTTCCGGTTTCCATAGCAACGGGCATCTTGAGATAGTGTGTGACAACGCCCACCATACTAGAAAAAGAGGCGCAGCAGGTATTGTTGGTCAATTTCTTCAAGCAACACGATGCCCTTTATGAAGACAAAAGATGATTATAGCGTGCCTGAAATTACATGCTGCCTGAGACATGGTATGATGGAATCTCACTGTATCCATGGATATCCTTTTTAGTTAGCATGGCTATTGGGTGGTTCATTTTTTGACAGCAAGCGCTTTCAGGTCCGATGGGTCTCTCACAAAGACACAATGCTTCATTATGCAAGCCTGTCTTGATGCCTATTATACTCACCAATGCTCAAGTAATAATATAGTAAAGATATCGTTAATGGAATCATTGGATTTATTTCATTTCGTTTGCACAATTACAGCTATGAAGTTTGTTTAAAGGGGGATGTGAGGTGGGGGGGGGGCATATGAAAAGAGGATAGGTATAATGGTGATGCTGTAATTCTTGTTCTTGTTGAAGTCAATAATGTGGATGTGTGATTGGGACAATGGGTCTACATGGAACCACCCTTCTTGTTCCACCACCAAGCATTCTTTTCATGTTCTTTTTCATCCTTCCTCCACCATTCGTCTTGGCTACGATCCTTTTCTTCTTCCTTACCCTTCCACCAGCCGTCATGGTCATCTTCATGGTCCTTCTTGTCATCATCACGATTATGGTCCTTCTTGTCATCGTCACGATCATGGTCCTTCTTGTCATCGTCACGATCATGGTCCTTCTTGTCATCGTCACGATCATGGTCCTTCTTGTCATGGTCACGATCATGATCCTTCTTGTGGCGATCATCCTTGTCATCCTTGTCATGGTCCTTGTCATCATCACGATCATGATCCTTCTTGTGGTGATCATCCTTGTCATCCTTGTCATGATCACGATCATCATCCTTCTTGTGGCGATCATCCTTGTCGTCCTTGTCATGGTCCTTCTTGTCATGATCACGATCATGATCCTTCATGTGGTGATCTTCCTTGTTCTCCTTCTCATGGTCCGTGCCTCGACCCTTCAAGTGGCGACCTTTGTCATGATCTTTATCATGGCGATCCTTATCATGATCCTTCTTGTGGCGATCCATATCACGATGATCCTTCTTCTTGTCATGGTCACGATCATGATCCTTCTTCTTGCCATGATCACGGTCATGATCCTTCATATGGCGACCCTTGTCATGATCCTTCATGTGGTAGACACCATGGGTGTATTCGTGCATCTTGACACCACCTTTGCCATGTTCAGCAACGTGGCCACCCTTGCCACCAGAAGCAACATCACGTGTAGAGAGGAAAGGAAAAGCATGGGTGGCTGCAATGAGAGAGACAGCAGTAGCAATGGAGAGAGAGACTGTAAAGCGCATGATTGATTGATTGAAGAAGACTTGATTGATGATGGGAGTGGATTGGCTTCAGCATCGACCCTTTTTATATTCAATTGATCCCCATCCGACAGCGTCAAGTTCTCCAGTTGAATGTGTCAAGTTGGTGACGATTGGTGGTTACTATTGTTAACTTTGGCGGGTAAGATGCTTGATCGTTTTCAACAGGTTGTTGTCGGCTATTGCTAGGTATCAAAGGTGAAGGTAAGTGACCAGCATAAGACAAGGACACAACAACAGCTGTCAAACCTTAATACGGTAATAAACAAATAAATAGGCTTTAATGACTGACGTAAGGGATCGTCATGAAACAGGTAACACACAAGAAGATGCATGATCTACTACATAGGAATCCACTCCTGCTCCTTGTTGTTGTTGATTGTTGGCTGGTATAATACAGGATGAAAGCGAGGCTTCTTTTCGATCTTCGTTTTCACCGTGCGAATGAATGTCATATGATTGCTGCATATTCCTCGTGCATATTGCAACGATCTGGTTCTGTAGCTGTGCAATTTCATCGTCATCCGGCTATTGTATAGGTGGGAAACAACATCTCTCTTAGAATAGGTATCCAAATAATCCACCTCCTTCTTCTTCCTTCTTACCGGTATATTGATATCCAGGAATGTAAGCGTGTGATTCATCTTTACAGATATGGATAAGGCCAAGACACCAGCAAGCGTAATACGAGGATTTTGAGAAAGGTCTAGACGCAAGAGTGTTGAATTCTCGGGAAGACATTCTGCCAAAGCGATGGCTGCACTTGAGTCAAGGTCGGTATTGGAGAGATTCAATTCGCGCAAAAAGTGGTTTCTTGAAAGAGCGCATTTGAATGCCTGGATCTACGTATACACCCTATGAGTAAAATGTACATGCACGTTTCCAAGTTGTACATACTCCCTGATCCGAATTCTTTAGCATATGATTTCCTGAAATGTCCAACACTTGCAAATGGCGATTATGCAGCTACGAGTTGATGGTTAATACGGGCCTTCATACCATCTCCCATCCAAGATCCACTTTACCAAAGCGTCCGCCAAAGTCGTGCAATCTTCAGCATGGAGTTGGCATTGTGATAGTATCAAATGAGTCAACGTCTTGTTTCCAGCAAGAGCTTGAGCGAGTGAGGTGATGGCGCCTTGTAATTCATTTCCTGTCAAGTCGAGAATCCGAATGCCACGTCGTACATAGGCTCTTGATTGCCAGTAGACTTCAATGGGCTCGTCACTGACGAGCATGGCAGCTAACCATGGTGCTCCTTTTGGCGTGATACGATTGTGTCGAATCGACAAGTGGCGTAATGATGCTGATTGACGAGCTCCACCCGCCAGTATCTCAATCAAGGAAGGCTTCAACGAGCAATGATCCATGTGCAAACGTTCCAATGATGGTGAGGTGTGAATGGCATGTGAGAGATAATGCATCCCTTTCTTGTCGATCATACAATGGGAAATGTCGAGCTTCTTGATGGAATGGGACTGGAAGATAATAAAAAGATGTCAGCAGCAAGCATCATGTGGATGATGATAATAGGACTACTTGCATGGTTTATAAATATGGCAATATACTTGAATCCTTGGGACTTGAAAGGATTGTCTTCAAGACAAAGCTCCGTAACGTGATCATATAAAAGCAAATCATGCAGCAAAACTCGTGCTGACTATAAAAGAGATCCTTGTATTAGTATCCATTTTAAAAGCACCCTATGGACAACGACAAACCTCATCATCCAAACCACAGCGAGCAAGTTTGATATTTTTCAGGTTGGGACTGACGGCTAGTATGTTAGCGATGGGTTCCATTTGAGTGGCGCCAATGGATTGTCCTGAGAGATCGACGACAGACAACTGCGAATAGCTGATCTGATGTTATTTGCATGAATTTCCGAGTTTGGTGGAGTTTTATACATGTAGCATTGAGGATGGACTTACCGAGGGAAGGATTGCTGTAACAGGTTCATGAAACATTCAAGAGGTGGTTCCTCAACAAGACGACACGCTTGCTTATAAAGCTCTCCAAAGTCATCATCATCCTTTGCAATACGCTGGTCACCGTTGCTGTGGTCTACTTGTTCACGCAAGTCGTCGAGTATGTGCTCGGTCTTAAAGTCGCATACAGCAAACGTCACTCGCTTGAGCTCTTGTCTCGTTAAAGCAGGTACGGTGTGGAAATCGGTGGAAGCATAGAATCGAGATTGTATACGGGCGAGCCATGATGAATTGGAGCTGTTAGATGTGACTGATGGTGGCTTCCTTCTCGGTTTCTTTAGAATGCCCTTGCTGGATCGACTCGCCATGGCAAGAAGAAAAGAAGAGAATATGGATGTCCATAACCCGACCACTACACCAGCTCATGCGTTTCACATATTTAAAAATCCCGCAGCTGTGTGTGTGTGTGTATTACCATATTGAACGTAGTTCCCATTGATCCACAAATCCCCCATTCATTCTTTATTGTGATGTGCAAAGCACACGACCTTTAAGTAACGTTCTTACTGAATCAAGATTCCCTACAACAAAGGGAGGACAAATACAAAATACAACGGTGCCTGAATTCTGACCATCTTCATCAATCATTGTCTCTGGATCAAAGGATTGCTCTCCTTCTGCCACGGCTGCTGCTGTGATATCTTCTTCTTGCCCCTTGATCGCCAATCCAAGAGAAATCGCTTGTTCCACCAACATTTGCACGCGAGCACCATAATGCTTCCTTACATCAGGCTCGGCCTTATCATGTTGATACACAAAGGGATATGCCTTGACGAGGCCACTGTATAGATACTTCCAATTGTTTTGGAGCGCTGTATGTCTTGATTTATACACCTGGCTATTCTTATCGGACTCGGTCTTGTGGATGACAAGGGCGATTTCTTGTCGTAGGCGTGTAGGAAGATTGGCGCATTGTTCTGTATAATTGTCTTCGAGCCAATATTGTAATTGATTGTAGTGATCGATGATGTCGAGACCGGGAAACACATTCAAGTTGAGGTTTTGTACAAGGACATCCATCATGAATTTCTCTGTCAGCATTTGTAGCCGTTGCGGAGAAAGAGGACACCCCAAGTCGGTAATGGCCTTGTTGAGATTGAGCCAAAAGGTGGCCAGAGCGCGTGTCGCCACTGTATGATCAGCCCTTTCCACAAGAGCCGCTGCTAACTCTTGCATGCCTTGTTTAAGTTGCTCAATTTTGGCTCTCACGCTGTGAAGATCGTCCCCTGTAGCACGTAAGGATTGCACGTGCGTATCATAGTTGGCTTTCAGTTGGCTCAAATCTTGACTACGCTGACAACGTTTGCTCTTCAGCTGTTCCACACGCTCAGTAAGCGATTTGATATCCTCCTCATATTGCTGATGCTCTGCTTTCAAATCTTCTAATACTTGGCGTTGACATGCCAGCATTGTTTTCAGCGGAGCTGTGTTGCGGAGGGAATTGGATGAGGTTGGAGTGGTGGTTGTGGTTGTGGTAGTTGTATTGGCCGACGAGTCTCGACTTGCTTTAAAGACCCCCAATGAGATTTCTTTGTTGACCCCATTTCCCACTTTTCCTCATTTACCTTTTTCCTCTTCGTCATTACGTTTGTCATCTTGAGAGGACTTGGTTTCACCTTCATAGGAGGGGCGTTGTTCTGATAATTCGTTGTCGTTGCAAAGTGTCGTTGCTGCTGGTTGGGGGGTATCGGTGGTGTAACAATTATTAGCAATGGTGGTGTTCATGTCCTTGGCAGCGGAGGTAAGATTTGGTTTGACACTAGCTCGAACACTGCTAGATCGTTGTGGTGGATTAATGACGGTGGTGTTGGTAGTGTTGGATGATGACGAGTCATACGGAGGTGAGGAGAGAGAAACGGAGGAGAAGGATGGTGTGAGTGACGAGCTGATGGATTTCTTTTTGGATTTCTTTTGAAATAATTGTGAGATCCTTTCCATCGATTTCTTCTTGGATGTGTTGCTATTGGCGTTGTCAGGGTCATTGCTATTGGGTTGTAAAAACTGCTGTGATGATCGAGTATCATTGGAACCAGCCAAGAATTCTGCTGCTGTCAGCGTTTGTGAATTATCACCACTATTAGTAGTAGAAGCAAGCATAACACAAAGTCTCCGCTTATTGTATGTGTGGTGAGAGTGCGAGAGAGAGGGAAAGGGAAAAAAGAGAAAGGGAAACGGTCAAAGCCAATGAGCTTGGTTAGCCCTTTTGAAGTTCTGGTACTTTCAAGATCCGAAGTAGGAGAAAAAGAAGAGAGAGAGGGAGGAGAGAGAGAGAGGGTGATAAAAGACGCAAGGGGCTACCCTACCACTGTTGGAGTACCTATTTATCTCCTTTCCTTTGATTGCTCATGTATGACTGGATTGCTATGGTAACACAAGAATCACTCCATTGACAACATTCAATCATGGAATTTATTCCATTCATCCCCATATATTACATAAAGTCATCAAAGTCATCATAGACATCACGGTATGAAGTGGAATCATCCAAAGCAGCACTCTTGCCAGCAGCAGCGAGTTGGGGTTTGCCCTTCTTCTTGGCCTTGGTAGCTTCCTTGGCTTGACGTTGCTTATCATTGGCCATGGCAGTAAGCGATGATGCAGCCTTGCGAATATCCATATCCTTGCATGGAGCAGCAATCTCACGCACCAAAGTATCCAAAAAGGCACCATAATTCACGCTTTTCTGTAAAATGGCATTCAGTAATTCAATTACAAGATGAACCCAATGTTCCTTACAGAGTTGGCAACAATCATAGCACCCAAACGCTTAGCGTAAGCTTCGAATTCAACGCGAGTCTTTGGCTTGACTTCCTCAATAGGCTTTTCCTTGTCATCCTCTAATATGATTGATTACCATTAATCCCATAGGCTCCCTTCAACAGATGATTCCCTCTCTTTCTCTCACTTACTTGAAACAGAGACACCAGAGAAAAGATCAGTAGCACTGTTCAAATCAGCCTCCAACTCCAATTGACGCATGCGTTGTTTCCTCTCAAAAGCATCCTCTTCAGTCTCAGAATCATCATTTGCACGCTATTTGTAATATCCGTCAACAGCTGTCAAGGTCAAATGATGTCATGTTCCCCCAAGCACGTGTAGCTGCTTACAATGGCTGCCTTTTTGGCTTCGAGTGCTTTCTTCTTTTCTTCCTCGGCTGCCTTCTTTTCAGCAATCTTTTGTGCGAGTGGCACTTTCTTGCGAACGGGTGGAAGTTCCTTTTTGGGCTTTTCTTCTTCATCGGATTCCTCCCAGTCGTCCTTGACATCGTCTTCAACATCCTCGTCGTCCCATTTGGACTTCTTTGGGATTGTCACATTGATTTCTTGCTCGTCCTCTATCCCAACTTGTCAATAAAAGGGGGGCATTGTTGGGTTGCTCATTGCACAACTTACCCCAGTCGCTCATTGTCGTATCTATCAAGCTAAAGAAAAAAATAAAAAGTTGGTGTTCCACGCCACAAGGAAGGGCCCTCTTCATCCGATCACGTATCCATGTCGGAATGTGAAATGATTTGTAGTAGTGCCACACATCCTTCTGTGATGGATCGATCGAAAGCTAGATAAGAAGGACAATTGACCCTTTATCAATAAACCTGCAGGCATCATTAAGTGTGTTATTGATGGTTTCATATATGGCATTTCTTCATGCATACATGCAAACAAAGAAGGTCCATGCTTTCATTGTACTCCAATTCGTCCTTCTTTATCTTTATAACTACACTGCCGAAAACATGTACGCTATGTTTATCAATGAAGGTGCCTTAATAAACTCCAAGTTGATTTGAGTACCATGAACGTGGTTAGTCACTTCTGTTAGCGATTGATGTACTAATATTAGCGATGCTATTATGATATGGCTCTTTTATTATAATACAACCCAATCGCCTTGCCATACATCACGGTCGTCATGGCAACAATGTCCGCAGAGATGAAGCAAGGGACCTATTCAACATACTATGATGTAAACATGGTGCACCTGACACGCACAGCAAATTGATCATGGGATGGTAGAATGGTATATGCATATCAGTTTATAGAAAAAGGTATAAAGGAGCTATCGTATGACGACTCATCTACATTATGCAACTTCAAGAAGAGGAGGGAATCTTGTCAATCTCAGCACGGGCCTCTTGCCATGATCCCAAATTCTAAAAACACAGCATTCATGAATATCTTGTACCATCGTATCCCTGCCATCGCTTACCTGTTTGCAATACTGTATATGAACTTTGGCATAGGCAATGAGCATGTTTCGAAGATCCTTGATTTTCTCATGTTGAAATCGATCCAACTCTGCTTGTAAGTCGAGCGATGCACCTGCCAAATCCTTTCGAGTGATTTCCAATGCTTGCTGGAGCTGTTTTAAAAAAGGGGTGAGTCTAAGTAAGCAATCGACCTTTATACCATCCATCCTTTTTTTGGGCTTACCACATCCATAGCATCTTTGGTCTTTCCGATTTGGTTACGACGAGTGGCAGTAGGATCGACATCAATCATGTTTTGTAACGAATATCCCAAGGCTTGTAATAATCTGACAGGATCACTCCATGTGGGTGGGGGTCGTCTCGTTGGCATGTCATGGGAGGATGGATCATTCAATTGGTCGATATCCACAGCATTGGCGCCAATGGTCCTTTCACGGCTGATGGCTTCTTCTAATCGTCGCGCTTCTTGCTCCATGTTTTGTAGATTTTCCAATGTTGCCTTTTTGTTCTCGAGGCACGTCTCAATCATTTCCACCTGGGCATGTTTCATGTGCCGAAATCGAAGCACTTGCTTGATGATTTGAGCAAATTGGGAATGTTCCTGGATAGGTTCTGCAAATTCGCCTTCCAGTGAAGTGACCTAATAGGCATGGATGAGCCCCACTGTATATACGTCCCTCCCCCCAATCACTCTTTATACATACCATTTGTGCTGTTTCCATATACGATGCATCCACGGCTTGACCAATTTTCTCAATGGCATTGGCGACTTGATCCGATTCATTGAGACTGAATCCATTGTAAACGGCTCCTAGTTCGGCATAGTCATTGGCGAGCTCTATATGGTAGCTTTAGTAAAATTGAATCCATCAAAGTGACATTATCCATACGCACCTCCCAATCGACGAATCACCTTGCGTTGACTCTTATCCAAATTGTTGCTCATATAATTGGCTATCCGAAACGTGAACCTTTCTGATTCCTCAAAGCGCTCATCCGGTGACTTGAGTACATAGGTAGGTGATGGGATAGGGATCAAATTGCTGGATAGGATAACACGATCGGCTTGTAAATCGGCCTGTTGCTGTTGTTGCTCCTTGCTGACAATGGTTTGTAATGGATTCTTGGCAAGCATCGACAAGGGAGGCGAATGTAAAACATCAGACTGAATGAATGATCGTTAGCGGTAGGGAAGAAAGACACATTGTTATTATAGTTACCCAAACAACACCATCTTCGAGAAACTGATGAAAAACATGATCACGGCCAAGAGTGGGATGTTTCGCCACACGTACAAGAAAACTCTGCAACATGCGCTTTCGCTTTTCAACCATTGGCATATCATCCTTGACACGAGTTTGAAGTGCTGCATAATCCGCTGATAGAGTGCTAGGCGTGTTAATGGATATAGGATCATGAAACCAAGTATACTACTTTGACTTGCCTAGCGAGTGTTTTTCTGGTATTGGTGGCACTATTACGGTGGGATACAGACGAACCAGTGCTTTGCGTAGTGACTCAAATTCGCTGTACCGATGTCTTGTTTCTACATTCTAAAAGGGACGTCTCATGAGTTGAATGGTGCTGTGGTGGGTGGAGGGGAGGTGGTTGATACTGTACGCCAAGACGAATCGTGTAAGCCATGTATGACTTTCCAGTGAGGGTATCGGTTTGCTTTTGAGCACCCGTAATCAAGATGTCGACGTCATTGCAAAGTAAAAGTCGACCGATATCGCAGTTGCACGTTGTCATGAAATACAAAAAGAGAGAGAGGGAAAGAAAAAAGAAAGGTGCGGGATTTACTCCTCTCACATGACACATACAATCCTGCGTGCTTCAGGAACACCTTTTATGGAGATTCCCTTATGCCCCATTGCTCCATCCATGAAATACATCACGTGGATTGGTCTATTCCCATTAGAGCCTTCTCCAACAAGCACTGGGACGCCGTCTCATCATGTCCAGCACTTTGAACCTGCCAAGAAGCCATACTCAAGTCATCATATCAAAAGTAAATATACGCCTTTCCATATCCACTTGATTGCCCATCACTCAACACAGCCTCCGCATGGGCGGACAACTTCCTCTGTACATAGATTCAAATATCTGTATTTAGAATTCGGGATCATGGCAAAAGAAGCCCGCGCGCTGAGATTGACAAGATTTGCATTACGTAGAGTCCTAGCTATTATTCCTTTATGAGCTTTTCTTATAAAACTGGTACACGTTCTTTATTGTTATGAAATAATTGTATGATAGAGAGGGATTTTCAGTACAAGGATGGTTCAAGTAGACTTGGATCATTGAATACAGAGGAGTATTCTTCTATAGGATCATCCGAAGCTGAAGAAGAAGCTAATGATAAATCACGAAGGGATCGGGAGCGATGTCTCCAATAAAAAGGATAGCGGGACTCATACTCCACCGTTAAACCACGGCTTGGTGCTTCGTGTGAAGGTAAAAGTTTGACCCAATCCAGCTCCTGTTGTTGTGGTGATGGTGGTGCATACATAGTGTGAAACGTCAGATGTCATTTTGTGTGCATGTATGTACAGTACTTACAATGCCGGATTTCCAATGATTGGTCTTTTTCTCATGTGATACTCGTACATTGGAAAACCAATCTTTGACATGAATTTCTCCGGGCAAAGTCACCAGGATCCAGGTGTTGGTGAGGATATCTTCTCGAATGTAAAAATCATCCGGTGTCGTGTATGCATGTGTCAATCCATTTGCCTAAATACAAAGAAAAGAAATCAGCTGCTGCTGCTGCTGCATACTCTTCTGTTTATGTATATACAGACCTCCATGACAGAAACAGTAAAATCCAATGGCTCATTCCATCGAGCTGATAAAGAGACTCGCATCCGCCATTGGACTCGATACGATCCTTGTGGTACACCTTGTAAAATACCATTGACCTATTGTGCATAGAAGAACGTTATTACAAGGTCGTTAGGTAGTATACATGTACAATCAACTTGCATCAAACCAGCATACGGAATGCAGTCTTGCTGTGGCTTCATACATGCTCTCCTTTGATTCTAAGCGTTGCCAGTAAGGTAGTCGCACATGGGTAATGGCCATCTGCTTTGCAACGGACATTCGAAGTTGGTCTATGTACGTACATCACATGTCAATTGAGATACCAAAAACAATGAACGTATGCTTATGTACCATTTTCCATGTAGAGTTTCCGCCAATGGTGTGGTACATCATCCAAGAGGAGTGTTTCTTTGTATAGCTTTGGAAATCGAGTCTTTGTCATTTGAGCCCAAACGTATTCGTCTTCCAATGCCACTTGTAATGCGTGATTACACTTATAATAAGGGGTGGTTAAAAGAGGGGGTTGGGGATACACATCGTTAATAAAAAAGAAGAATTGAACTCGAACGAGGGGTACATGATGGGTGGGCTGTGCGGCGGCGCCCTTTTTCAATTGCCCCCAGCAGCAGCAGTAGTAGTAGTAGTAGCAGTAACAGGAGAAATAGTAACCCACCTTTGCCAAGTTGATGGTATCTTTTCCGGAAAGATAACTGCAAATGATATACAAGACTTCTCTTGCAATTGTATGCAACATGATGCAGAGAAAAAGAGAAAATATGTCAAAAAAGAACAAAGAAACAAGAGAAATGAAAGCTAAGCTATCTTTATTAAAGGAGGAGGATTATAATATCACAAGACACACACCCACACTCACCTATCGTGGTGGATCGGAGCGACTCGCTGCGTGCATGAAATTGTTGTGCGGGCTATAGTGTCGCCAACTAAAAAAAGCAACGTCCCGCAGCTTAGTCGGTAGATTAGTACGAGATGCTACAACTACTACTGCTACTACTACTGCTATCATCGATGGAGGAAACAAAGAAACAAGAGCCATTGGCTTGATTGTGTATGGAACAATTTATTTATTCATGTTGCATGTATGTATGTATACAAAGTGGGATGACCCAAATGGCATGGGTGTGCTACTGCGTCCTTGCTGCTGCTGAGGTGGTGGTGGAACACACCAAGATGCTTGGCCAATTTTCTACTCAGCCGAACGTTTCTCTCTCTTCGTTCTCAAAGACCTCGTTTGATATCATGTCCACCACCACAGGCTCCTCAACGCCTCGATTCCAGGCATTCCAAACCATGGCTGGCCCAATTACTCGGGAACAAACAGTGGAAGAACGTTATGGCATTCCTGAAAACTTTCTTGAAATTGAAGTCAAGAATCCACAGACCCATGGTAAGCTTGCTCTCTCTCTCTCTTCTTCTTTTTGCCGTGTGTGTTATCTATCTACAACAATGAACTAACCCGATGCTGATTAGGCTTTGGTCGCAAGATGTTTACCGATTATGAAATCCTTTGCAGAGTAGGTTCATTGGGTGTGCCTTGTTGGCAACGAGGAGTCGTCGTCTTAGTAACGCCGTATATCCATCTTTGATAGACCAATATCCCAGCTTTCAAGCTAAAGCAATCTTCAGTGCGTCGACGTTACAGTGACTTTGAATGGTTTAGAGATGTGCTTGAACGTGAATCAACCCGAGTCAATATCCCACCCTTGCCTGGCAAAGTCTTTACCAACCGCTTTTCCGACGAAGTGATTGAACAGCGAAGAGAAGGATTGGAACGCTTTTTGCAAATGTAAGTGAAAAAGGTATAACATGTATCTCGATTCTATGATAATAATAACCACCTTTCTATTCATAAAGTGTGGCAGGTCATCCTCTGTTACAAACAGGGAGCAAGGTACTGACAGCGTTCATTCAAGATCCCAACTTTTCGCGTGACACCTACAACTATTGAGGAAATCCACACCCACACACCCACACACCCTCTACATGATCATCTATCAACATCATAACAACCACCCTGGCTACCATCACCCCCCCATTTTGTTTTACCCGCCAACTCGTAAAATACACATGTACAATTATTTGGCTTTCATTTCTATTGTCTTTGCTATGCTTTTGGATTGAAAATACATATATTGCAAGACTCGCTTTTCGTATTCAAGGACGTGTATGCTTGACAGCAAGGCCTACAACGATCATACCTGCTGCTGCTAGAGCGACATACAGCATACTTTGTTTGTTTGCAGCCAACTGCGCCTTTGTCTATAGAAAACAAAAAGAAGAATCAATCAATAGGATCCCAGCAGTGAGTTCAATCTTACCTTGAGCGCTTCATTTTCTTCCTTGAGCTTATTGTTCGCCTTCAATAAAAACTCATTGTACTTGCGAATACCTTCTTCCTTTCGATGCGTTCCATCACAAAATCCTATGTACACAAAGACAAACTGTTAACAAAGGGTGATGGCCTAGGATGATCATCATCATGCCTTACCATCAGCATTATGCGTGTACTTGCAGCCACACAAAAAGTAATCCTTGGTTTCATCCACAGTGATTTTCTTGGGCTTGAAGGGTCCCCCACGATGCTGTCAATACTTGGGTGTAAGTACCTTATCATGCACGTCAACAACAATGATGCTCACCGTTCCATCACAGAAAGGTTGGTTTTTGGATTGACCACATGTGCACCTTTTCTCGCTTCTTTAGCGAACCCTTCATCTATAGGTTGTAGTATGTAGTCCTTACCAGTAATACTCCTAGTGATATCGATGAGAATTCATCCTACTACTACTTGCTATCAAATGCATCAAGTAAACCCACCTTTCCTGATTCTAATTGCACCTTGTAAGGCTTTGGCTGGACAAACACAGGCTCTGGTTGTTGTTCTTTGGATTCAGACATTAGCGTGTAAACAAGTAAAGAGAGAGAGAAAGGGAGGAAGAAGGAATAAAATACACGCGTTTTGTTGATTTGATGTTACACCACGGATGTGGTGTCTGGGATCTAGGATTCATCTTTGCCACGACTACTGCATGATACACAAGCACACACCCACATGGATTCGTTATCATATCATCATTCGATGAACCCACTTTTACGTGTAACCTTATCAAAAGTAAAGGGGATAATGTAGCAACAAAAGATATATTAATACAATGATGACAAAAAGGAGACGATCACGTCAACTTTAAAACTTGTTGAGAAGCAAGCGGCGTAAAAGAGTACCAGCACGCTTGGATGGCTTGGAAACACCGGTAGGAGCAGGACCGCAGGAAGTAGTCATTTCACCATTCTCATCAGGGAAAGCGTGGCAAACGTAACGAGGTTCTTCCTTATCGTGTTCCTTGTTGGACTTTTCATCCTCCTCCTTCTTGGGCTTGTCATCCTCCTTCTTGGGCTTGTCGTCATCCTTCTTCTTATCATCATCTTTTTTCTTGTCATCATCCTTCTTCTTCTTGTCATCGTCATCGCCCTTGGATGCTGAAGCAGTAGGCTTGGGCTTGACGGATTCTTCAGAATGGCTGGGTTTGGGTTTAGCGGTGGGTTTGGGTGCAATCGAAGAGGGGAGAGTGGCAGTGGGTTTATGCTTGTTTCCAGCAGCACTGCTAGAAGCGGATGCATGGTGACCTGAAGCCGAGGCGGATGCAGAGGGCACAGCGGAAGATTGGGACTTGCTAGGCGTAGTAGCAGAACGAGCGATGCTGATGTAACCTATATGGACTAATGTCAATATACATTTATACACGAAAGCGCTTTTAAATAAACGCACCAGCAAATGCGATATCGGAAGAGTTGGGACCAATCTCAATGACACTATTCACATGAATGAGCGAAATGGGCGCTTTGAATGTAGAAGACATGGGGGTCGTGACATACTATTTGGTCTTTGGTTTGACAGATTGAGGAATGGTCCACTTGTAAGTTCCCTTTTTGGCATCTGCGCTTGCGGCAATGATTTGATCAATGACAAGTGCTTGTGCAGGGCCCGAAGCTAAGGCAATCGAAACATTATCGAGTTGAGCGTTATCTGCAATCGTCCTGCACACGTGATGACAAAATAGTTAAAAAAATGAATGCCGCCACGGGAGAGATAAAAGGGGGTTGGATTGATGCATTTCAACACGAACCACTTGATCTCGACGGTTTCGCCAGCTTTTAACACATCATTCGGTTTCGGACTGGTAATGGTAACAGAGACCGCCTGGGTCAGTTGAAATAAAACAAAGGATAGGAAGGTGACCAAGAATAACTTGAACATGGTCGTAGTCGTCTTTTTTAGATATGTAAAGAAAGGAAGGGGTGGGGGAGAAAAGAAAAGAGAGTGGGTGGTGTATGGGTGTGTCTTGCAAAGACTCGAGTGAAAGGAAGAAAGAAAAAAAAGTAACGGGCTCGTTGAGCGCAATTAATTATTTCAACTCCCTTCATCAACTTTGTGGTACCTTAACCGTGACACGCCATCAAATAACAAACTTAGTGTAGTATACATACACAACAACAATAGTAGCTGCAGCAGCAGCAGCACACTTAACAGCAAACATACATATCGCGATGCATCATCGATATAGCTATGGATCTAAAAGATATAAAAGAAAGGGACCTGACTCAATGGGTTTAGCACCGTCTCACTAAGGAATTCCTACTACTACTATTCATGCAGCTCAACAACAGCCTTTTGTTTCTCGTATCCAGCCTCTTGCTTGCATACCCTACACTGGTTTGGTCCATGTGCGATTGCCCAAGTGACAATGGTGGATGCTTTGACAAGTGTAGTAAGTGATCAAAAATGGATCCATTGCACCCTGCTGCTACTGCTGCTGCTGGGTACCTTCTTTCTACTAAAAGGTTACACCACGTGAACTGATAAATGTGCATAATTAGTTAATGCTGCTAGAGATTGTATGCTGGAATGCAATCTCAAGGCAGCGAGCAAGAACAGCGATACCAATGGATGCTATAAAGATTGTATGAATGACTATTGGCCTCAGCCCTATGCCGCTGCTCCTGCTGCTGTTCATGATGAGGATGACATTCCATCAGCACCAACAGCCGCCATGGAACAACAAGAAGAAGACATTGAAGAGGAAAATGAAGAAGAAGAGGCACAACCCGAAATCCTGGATAATCATGAGGATGATGAAGTAGTTGAAGAATCCGATGACCCTGACAACGCAATCGATCGCATGGCAGAACCAGATCAAGTATTTGATCAGGAGGTGACACAAGAGGATGATGATCAAGCCGCTTCCGACAAGGATAATTTTGTCCTTGTTGCTGCTGCAGCACAACAAGAGAATGATGGTAGTAGCACTGTTGAAGAAGCTTACCACAAGGACGACGACGACCATCATGATTCCCATCAACAACCAACCTCCATGAAAGGAGATCATCCAGTCGCTACAGTCACTGGTAAGCCACTTTGATCAAGAATCCAATGGCAAAAAGATCATTTATTAATAAATGTGCTACATCATCTACCACTACTAGCTTACACAACGAGCCATGTCACGGTCATGCCCGATGGTCAACCCTTGCCAACGAGTGGTCATGGTGTGCCTAATAATACATCTGCTGCTGGTGCTTCACACAAAGTAGTCGCCTTGTTCTCCATCACTCTGCCAGTGCTCATTGGTGGATGCATGCTTTCTTTGTTTATTTGATCTTCTCTTCCCCCCCTTTCTCCTCCAAATAATGGACATGATCAGAATAGTGTAGTAGTTGAATGAAATCAAGCAGTTTGTCTTTGTTGTTTCTCTTCTAATTCCTTTTGTTGTTCAATGGCAGACTTGGCACCCTTGCGTTTTTGTCGTGCCTCGTATCTAGTAAGGAAAAAAATCACCTTGTCAATGGTCAATCCTACCAAGGTTCAAAGGCCCACTACTTACTTTACACGGTTCTCAATGATACGTTCAATGATGCCTTGGGTTGTAAGCGTCGAATTGGGATTCTCAATCTCTGTATAAAGACCCCTGTCCTTGGCCAGCTACATATGACAATGGGAGTTAATAAAACAAACAACCCGAATTTTCTAGGTGCTAACCTGGTATGGGTCCTTTCCATCTAAATCCGGTTCAGTGGGTGTGTTGCCATGTGCGACAATATGGACCTTGTATTCCTTGGTCAACACAGCTTCGGTGATGCTGTAAGGAGCACCGATGATGACTTCATCCACATACTGCATTGGCATCATTTAGAATAAAGCGTGTGATATGACAAGGTGAAACGTACCCGGCATGCAAGGACACTAAGTGCACGTTCATGCAAGTTCATCAAGGGATAATTGGAGCCTTTGATGGCATTGACAGTCTAATAATGAAGATGGTGTGAGGAAGGATGAATAATACAGCACCTCATCGCTACCTACCTGATCATCATGAACACCAACAATCAAAAAGTCGCCCAAAGCCTTGGCTCGCTTGAGGAATTCAATATGGCCAATATGGAAAAGATCAAATGTGCCATCGACGTAAACGACACGATCGGTTTCTTTGGGTTCACGTCCTTCCGAGAATTGAACAATGCGCTTCGATGTAGGCAAACAATGAGAAATGGTGGTGCGTTGTTTATCAGCCGATGCTGTGCCCTGACTGAAAGAACCAAGGTCTTGCGCATTCACATTGGAAATGGATGACTCGCCACGCTTGTGATGATCACGTGTCATGAGCAACATACGGCCCACCAATTCAGTGGTAGAGACACCTTGAGTACGCTTGCATTCACGATAAAGGCCAGCGTCCTTGACAGCTTGATAACAATCGGTGCCATCTGCCATCGTCGTAATGTCATCACCATGGACACAAAAATCAATGTTGTATTCCTTCAAAATCTCCACCGTTGTGTTGTAAGGAGCATCAGGCACTACTTGATCCACCCATTTGCATGCAGCCACAGCATCATATCTAAAATGTAGGTATGTTACTATCAACAACCCATTCCATTCCATGCATACCATTACCCCAACATACCTTTCTTGCTCTTTCATCACTGTAGGGCCCTTGTTCTTCATGATTTCGGCATCAGAGTGCACTCCCACGACTAATACATCACCCATGGCTTTGGCCTAGTATGTTTGTTGAGTGACCTTGACAATAAAAAAAGCCATGTCCTGTCTTACTTGTCTAAGTGCATTGGCATGTCCATAGTGCATCATGTCAAAACAGCCATCGACCCAAACACTAAGCATTAGATAACAGACATTAGCAAGAGATGAGCGTGGTAGATTGGCATTTAAGGAGTTACCGGACAGGCTTTTTGGTGGGTGTATCAGCATGGGTATTCATGGCGCAAAAAGTGAGAGTGTGGAAAGAAGCGGGGCTGTCAAATCCAAGAAGCTTTTTGATTCGAGTACATACAATGCGCGCGCGGATTTATGTTCAAGCGTATTACATACTTTATTATGTATCATTTTCATGGCCACCGAATTAATGAAGGATTAAGCATTTTGGTTAAACGAAGACGATGTTGTTCGATAGCACTTTGGATCATGTCTGTTTTGATACATACACGAACGGCCAAAGAAGAAGCGGGTGGTGGTGGTGGTGGTGCTCTCTGGTGCTCATCGATTTGGGATGGTGATGATGGAGGAGGCAGAGGCTCCCAATACTTTAATAAATCTAGCCATGTCAACGTTGATATCACATCGTCTGGATGGATCCCCGTTTGGTCACTCAAATCTTTGATTGTCATTTGTCCTTGGAAACTGTTCAACGTGGATACAAGTGTTGCTCCCCAAAAAGACCGATAACCACGGGCACCAAGTATGGATAATGGTTTTTCGGGCGATCCAATCACTCCTTCTCGTTTGGACAATTCATAACCTTGCAACAACAACAATACATGATTAGCCATCCTCATTCCCATCACTGTTTCAACATACTTAATTCAATCAACAGCCTTCCATATCCGTTTCGTTGCTGTGGTGGTAAAATCATAATGCATGCCAGGTTGTAATTGTCATACGACAACTTCTCCTACAAGATTGTGTAAGGCATGGATATAGTAGATTGATCTCCCCAAGCAAATACCTTTGAAAAGTAGCCAACAAATAAATCGAGCGTACGATCTTGCTCCGTAAGCACATAAAAAGTAAACCCTTCCACGTCATAGTATAGCGTCTTGGTCTCCAAAAAGAGCTTAGACATGAGACAAAGGTTTTGACAATAGAGCTACATGCAATGTTATGAATAAAGATATAGGAGCAAGCTGTTCATCTTCCTCCCCTACCTTGTGTTCTCGACCATCCACTTCATAAACTCGAATGTGATTCTGCTCATAAATAACGCGTCCTGGCGGTTTCCTTCGTTTGCAATGAAGCTGTCATATTCTCCATAGGTGAATACTGTGATTGAGAATCTCATCCGATCCTTTCTGAAAACCTTACCTTGTGTGCCCGTAATTCATGATCATGGGGAGTATATTTTAAGCAATGCTCACATATGAATAGCTCATCCACCTTGTCACCAAACTCTGCTGGATAAGGCGAATAGTACCAGGTGCCAATTTTGTATCGGCCGTATATGATGGATTGTATGTTGCGTGGTCGTTCTACGGAGGTGTCTTGTGCAGCTGGGCTTGTTGCACGACGTGGTTTCTGGGAAATGGGATTCTTTTCATCCTGTTGTTGCTGCTGCTGCTGTTGCTGTCAACAATAAGCATAATCATGTGTAACAAACTCTATCTCTTTTTCTCTCTCCCTCTTTCTCTCTCATCTCATAACTCACCTTGATATTCTCTATATCCAACTTGCTTCTTTTCATCCCCCGCCGACTTTTACTTGATGATCGTTGTGGTGGTGGTGGTGATGATGATGATGGTGGTGCTATGACAGCCTCTGATCCTTGTTCAACAGGCCGCTCCTTTCCTGCATTTCGCTTACGGCCCCGAGATGGTGCGGTTCTTTTGGATCTTGATACTCGAGAAGTAGGATGCGTACTTTCAACCAGTGGTTGTTGTGAAGCAGGGCTGGTTGATGTAGGAACGGACCTTTGTCGTGGTAATAGTGCTCGAGGCGTTGCCTTCTTCTTTTTCTTGTTGTCAGGATTTATTACGGATACAGGCACTGAATAAACGAGTCGAAAAGAAAAAAGGGTTATCAGCGTTGGAACAAGAAAGAGAGAGAGAGACGTGTGTGTGAGCGTGTAGATAGGTAGGTGGGTGGGTGGGTGTGCTCGCGTTTTTTCTTGTTTACCTTGGTCATCTGTTGCAGAGGAACGGCGAGCTCTCATTGTTGAAGAAGGAGTCGATTGATCATTCCCGCTTGGTTCTTGGGGAGGAACCGATCTCTTTACACCTTGCTTGTTTTTCATTAGGCAGTGTTGTAGTAGTCAAACAAGGAGGTCTGTCGGTGCCCAGAAGAAATCCTTCGAGGGTTGAATCAAACGCGGTGTTGCGTGCTCAAAAATCCCCACCCAACCTCTCTTATCGATGCTTTTGGATATGTCACTTTTTCACACATGTATATAAAATGCCCCTTATTTGGTTCATTATCGAGTACAGGCTTCACTAATAAAAACGTCCCTTCGTTTCCATGCAAATCATTGTGTTTATTAGAATGGTTTGGCACATTTCCGGTATTCAATGGCTTTGGTAATAGGACATTGCATCTCTTGCCAGGAAATTGGGATCATCGTTGCACCTAATCATAATTCATCAATATCGCCATCATACCTTCATCCATACCATGTGCTCCCTTTACCTGCTACGCTTGTTGCAAATATCACGCCCAATTCATTCTTGGCTGTAGACAAGTAATACGAACGTGCATCACCCAAAGAGATCACTTCAGCACGTACAATATCACCAGGTCTGAATGAGTTGTAGATCTTGACCTTATCCTTCTCTACTGCACGAACATCTTGTGTCCTAGTACATGATCAATAACAATCCCCATCTTTTCTTCACAATAATGAATGCCAACCTTATTGCGCCCATAAAATCTTCCTTGCATGGAGAATCACCAACAACCATAATGGCAATAACAGCTTGATGAGGAGCCACTCGAATCACTTTGCCTGTGATCTGTCATATACATCCCATGCGTCAATCCTGTTCCTTACTATACCAATAGCTCACTTTTTCCCTTTGACTACTTACAATACTGCCCACCTCGGGAACAGCGGATTGTTCTTTCTCACGTGATACTGTCATAGTCGGTAACTGCAAAACAACTTGAGAATGAGTGCCATGGAGCCCGATCGGCTTAAAGTTGGGCTTACATTGCCATTGTTGCCTTCGTTGACTGATCGTACACCCACTACGCTTGCATACAATAAACCGTCGCGTTCGTAAATTCCTGGACCGGCAATGTAGTCGCCTGCATAACCTAATCGCTGGCCGGGGGTAACCACTGTGCTATCCATGGTATGATATGATTTGAGAGAGAGAGAAAGAAAATCTATTGACGTTTTTAAGCCGCCCCGCTTCACTCACTCAAAGGCAGTTACATGTCTGAGTAACAAATTTATTCTGTAATGCATTGCTAGACAACCGATCTTGTATCCATGGATACATTGCTTGCGCGTAAGTTATTAGTATTCATCGAAGAAGATTGACCCTTGTCATTATCATATGAAGACGAAGATGAGGGCATAAACATCCACGCAACGATCATGGCACCAGCCATCGCTACACAAAAAGGAACCAAGACCCGTACACCTTTTGCACCAATCATGACACCCGTGATTAAGGGACCTAAAGCAGATCCACAGCTTCCAAACTACCCATATCCGATTATTACTTAGGCTAGACACACATCGTACATGTCACGTTACCGCTGATAAGAATCCCACTGAAACCGCATACAAATGGGAAGGCACAACCTTGTTGGCCAAGCCTACAGTAGATGGATAAAGAGGACCGAGAGCAACGCCAATAATAGCCAATGCTAATAAAAGATGATATAAATAAAAGATGAAATGCGTTCGTCTGGTACATACATCTACCTACCTGCTGCATTTGCTGCTATTGCAGCCACAAACCAAAAGACAAAAAGCATGGCAAAAATCAAGCAAAGATATAAAAAGACCATGCGCTTTTCTCCAAAACGTAGTGTTAAATAGCCCAAGAAAAGACGGCCCGCACATATGCCTGCCCAATAACCGGACATGACATGTGCCATGGCAATTGTATCGCCGCTGCGTATGGAGATCAAGTAGGTGTATCCCCAATTGCCAAGCGTCACTTCAGCACCCACATAGAGGAGCAAAAAGAATGCCCCTACATAGGTGATTCTTTGTCGAATTGCTGCTGCTATCAATGCATTGCTGCTTGTTTTCTGGTCTTGCTGTTTCTCTTGTAACTCAGCACGTGTTGAGAGATTTCTGAACGTAAAGAAAAGGGTCACTGCATTGAGCCCACCCATACCGCACAAGATCATGTAAGTGATGGTCCATGATCTTTCTAATTGTAATACAGCTGCAGCCGTCAAGGGAGCAATCAAGGCACCACATCCATACAATGCTGCAACATGATAGAGAGATGTATAAGAATGCCATCGAAAAGTACCACAGTTCATGTTTACATACCATGAGAAAAGTTCAAGAGCATTGTGTTATGAGGCATCTCTCCAACAACGACGTTGGCACATGATTGTGTCAAAGCCGTACCAAAACCAATAAAGGTAGTCATGCAGCACATGGCAGGAAATGGCACTGATACAGCGATCACCAGGAATCCCATCACCATGGAAACCGCGCCAATCAATGCTGTCGTAGCTTGGGAGGTCTTTTGGATCAAGTATCCATTTGTAAAAGCAGCTATGTAACAATGAAGGAGGAGTTTAATAATAGCAACAAAGGAATTGATGACAAATCAAATGGATGTCGTTACCTAGGAAATAGCCAAAGGTTGTAGTAAGGAAGACAATGGACACGACGTATTGTGTCAACCCATATCGCTCTTTCAGCGTTGGAATGATAATACCCAAATTGGCATCATTCATGCCGGTGACAAACATGATCAAAAAGCATTGCAAAAGATGGGGTAGTAACGAGCAGAAATTGCCACAACGTCGTCCTTTTGATCCATGATCATCATCATTCTCGATAACCACCGTGCCTGAGACCGCCTGGGACATGGCGTATAAGGTCGTAATACCGAGGGAAAAGGGAAAAAAGTGAAAGAGGGAAAAAAAGGTGTTGGCAAGGAGGAATTAACTTTTTTTTTCTTGTGTCATGGCATTACTATTTTCTTTCCCTCAGCAATCGCCAGCCAATAAAGTTTTAGGTGATTCCACTAGTGGAAACAAGGATCGACTCTATCATTTCTTCGAGCCTTTGCGAATCAAAAATCCTAACGTAAGAGCAATGAAGGCGTAAGCAGAGTAAAGGTTGGATCGTGCTGATTTCAAAGAGGGCGGCCTTTCAACTTGGCTTTTGCCACAAGTTCAAACTGTCATTCACTCTACATACTACATGGATGCATTTTCTCCCGGTAAGAGAACCAAGGATGTGACAGAGACAACTTTGGATCATGTGATTTTGGTGCGATGGATTACATTGTTTCCTCGTCGCTTTACTTTATAGCCCAAATAGAGTAGGTGATCGCAGCCCACAGCCACTGCAGCAGCAGACAACCAGGGTAATTGACTATAGCAAAAAGCTGATGATCCAGCGATGCCTATGTAGATAAGCTATGATAGGACTCTTTCCAAAAAACAACAATACTTCTATGTATCCAGTGACCCATTTGGCTGCTGTTGTGAGGCGTTACAGTAATGCATGAATCGGGATGATTCATTGTTGTTATGTACTAGTATTTTCTCGCACATCCCATTCATTGTTGTCCTTAAAGGGATTCGCATGGGCGTTTGGATTGAAAATAGTTTAAGAAAGCTGGTTTTAAAATGTTTGTATTTTGTCTTGGAGACTTCATCGCCCCCAGCAGCAGCCTGTGGCGATCTTGTTTTTATTATGTAACTCCCCCACCCTCTGAAACCTTGCTATGGGGAAAGAGATTTACTATCATAATAAAGATCAAGCGTATCATGGGAAAGGATAAATGTCATTTAAGATGTGTTTGTATAAACAATTCATAGCGAGGGAGGTGGGCACAAAAAAAGTGCTGCTTTCTGCTGTGTGTACAACAAATTTGTATTGGGCGCGTGTTCACGCGACACTTTTTTGCGTGACACAGCGTTCATTCCAGCAAAGCATCAATAAATTCTCTTTCTCTTTTTCTTTACAAGCCCAACTTTGCTCTTGGTACACGCTTGATCCGAATGCCGAAAAGCTTGTCCGAGACCAATGATGGCAACCAATCACCTCCTTTACGCGCTTCGCGTGTCACCAACAACTTGCCACTGAAACGACGTAGCGAAGGCTCACCTGTTCGTCCATCAGCATCCATTAAAGCATTCGCCATGCGTGACGCATCCTCCTTGAAACCACGATCGTCTCCAACCACACGTGCCAGCAAAGCCGGAAGTAGTAGTAGCAGCAACAATAGCAACAGTAATAGCCATGGCAGTAAAAGCAGCAGCAGCAGCACTGGTGGTGGTGGTGGCAAACAAAGTCTCCTTACGTCTTTGCTTGGTCTCAAGAAACAAGGTGATGGTGAGACGAACAGCAACAGCAACAGCAACAGCAACAGCAGCAGCAGTAGTAGTACAAAGAGCAACAACAACAACAGCAAAAAGATTACCGATCCACGTTCATTATTGAAGCGATCTCATTCAGCACAATCACGCCTTGATACAATTGGAAAAGATTGGCTTAATGCACCTATACAACGACCAGCACCTACAAAGAAAAAGAGTGTAAGATACATCATCTCACCTTATCATCATCATCATCAACAATCATCGTGCTAACAACTAAGGGGTGGGGTGGGGATAATAGTATGACCGTTTTATACCTGACCGTGATAGTATGGATCTTGAGTCGGCACGATACAACATTGCTAAGCAAACGGATCAGCGGTTCCTTGATTACGATGCAAGGAGTCGCAATGAGCGTGTAGCTGCAGTGGTGGGCATCACTCCTAATCAACGTATTCTCTCTTTCAAGCCCGAGGCACCAGTGCTTACTCGTACACGCACCACCGACTATACCAAGCTATCATCCACTAATACAACAACAACAACAACAACAACAACAACCGCATCGCCTGTGCCACCCACACGTCGTATCCTCACCTCTCCTGAAAAGATCTTGGATGCACCCTATATGGCTGACGACTATTACTTGAACTTGCTCGATTGGTCGGTTGCCAATGTTGTTGCTATTGGTTTGGATCGATCCATTTATCTTTGGAATGCCAATGATGGTACTATCCAGACCCTTGATTATCAAAGTAACGACCCTGTTGCTTCTCTTTCATGGTCAGCGGATGGTGCGTTCCTTGCCGTGGGTACATGTGATGGTGCTACCGAGATTTGGGATGTCGAGGCCAATCAACGTTTACGTTCCATGGCCGGTCATCAAGGTCGTGTAGGCGTGCTTTCTTGGAACAAGCATTTGGTTTCCTCTGGTTCACGTGATTCAACCATTTGGCATCATGATGTACGTGTAGCTCAACACAAGGTCGCTGAACTTTTGGGTCATCAAGACGAAGTCTGTGGTCTCAAATGGCGCTCGGATGGTGACATGCTTGCCAGTGGAGGCAATGATAATACAGTCAACATTTGGGATGCACGTGCTACTACACCAAAATACAGCAAAAGTAATCATGTGGGTGCCATCAAGGTAATGTATATATATATATATAGTTGTGATGCCTTTATGCCTATAAAACTCATTCACTCTATTTCTAGGCCATTGCATGGTGTCCTTGGAATACGAATCTTGTTGCTACGGGTGGTGGTCGTGAAGATAAGCACATCCACTTTTGGAATGCATCCTCTGGTGCGCGTGTGAGAAGTGTGTATACGGGTTCGCAAGTGACATCTTTGATTTGGTCCAAGCACTACAAGGAAATTGTATCGTCGCATGGTTTCCCTGACAACCAATTGATCGTTTGGGGATATCCAAAGCTGAACAAGATTACAGAGATCCCTGGTCATGATTCACGTATTCTCCATTCTGTACTAAGCCCTGATGGTCAAGTCGTTGCAACGGCAGCTGCGGATGAAAATCTAAAGTTCTGGCGTCTCTTTGAACATGATGGAAAGGAATTGACAAGTGGTGACATACGACACTATACTGCATTGAAACGAAGTAATAGCCTTCGCTGATGAAATTTATATATTATGCATATATCACATCCCCCAATAAACTAGCTCTCTCTCTCTCACACTCTCACACACATACTCTATATGATCCAGCAGCCCAAAAAAAAAGGTCCATATGTATATTATCACCAGGGTATATCGGAAGGGATAATCTCACATGTAGACCGATAAGATGATGTTGAGGGTCCTGGTGGATGATGGAAAGCAGCTACCAAAGGAGGCAAGCGAATGTCTGCTTTGGGTTCATTATATCGTGGAGGCGAAGCCGAGTACATTGAAACAGGAGAAACGGGTGTGGCTGGTTCATGCTGCAAAGCATTGGTGCTAGAGTGGGATGGTGTTGGAGAGGAGCTGTATTGAAAGTAGGTATGAGTCTTTGGACTATTAGGGTCATCGTTTAAACTTACATTGCGAATACGTGATGACTTGATGATGGATTAGATGAGGTGACAGGGTAATTTACAGTGCTAAGGGTAGTGGTATTGGAGGTAGCAGCATGATGACTTCGTTGATGCCGTAATAAAGTTGTTTTGCGAGTAAATGATTTAGAGCAGGAACATACATAGGGTCGATTGCCAGTGTGTGTGCGTCGATGTCGTGCAAGTGAAGATGACTATAAACATGTGAACATGTTAGTTTCATTTATCATCATACGCTATGGTAGGGTGGGGGGGGGCCCAGACTTACATCGCTGAATGATTTACGACAACTTTCATTTTCACAAACATGGGGACGTTCACCGGTGTGTGTGCGATAATGTACTGTCAAAGCAGATCGCTGAATAAATTGTTTACCACATCCAGGCCATTCGCAGTGATAAGGTCGTTCACCCGTATGGATACGTTGATGTCTCGCTAGATCAGATCGCCTTGAGAATATCTTGGTACAAGTTTTCCATTGGCATTCGTGCAAGCCATTCGTGGTCGAAGTGGTTGTTATTATAGTGTTATTTGTTTTGACAGCAGCACCACCACCAGGTCGATGTTGATTAAGCAAGTTATTGATGTCCATGTGGGAAAAAAGAGGGGAGAGGGGAGAGGAAATGTGAGGGGTCTCACATTCACCACATAAAAAGTCTCTTTATATATGTGCGTACTAAGAATCAAATCGCCGCCGCTAATGAACCCACCATCAACTGGTGCAGCAGGCTCGAGCCCCCATTTGTGGATTAGAAAAGAAAGACCTGGTGGGGGAAAAGAAAAAAAAATATACACATGGACCTCTGAAACCCCCACCGTGCGCGGACCTATGCCACGTTTTTCAGCCATTACGTATGCTGTCAACCCAGATTTCTCAAACCTGACCATTGCCAATGCTTGAACGCACAGACACCGCTCATACCGTTTGCCTTTTTTGTTAACGCGCCGGGGTCCATTCATTAACGGTATCGAGATAGCCGGCTAAATACTCAATTCCAATGCGTGCATGTGTCTCTTTATATAAAAAACAATGGCACATTGTAGCATCACACACCATCAATAATCAAAAAGGGGGGGTCTTTATCATCATAAAGTGATTGTTAAAGCAATAGGATAGCCTTTTTCAAAGCCAAGAACTACACTATCTCTATCCATCATATGAAACCATTTTCTAGTGGTTGTCGATCGGGAAGGAGACCCGCTCGCACTGGCCCGGACGCTCCGCCGCCCGCCTTTTTTTCTCTTTTTCTTTGTCCGTGGGATATCATAGGCATTGTTTCGAAAAAGTAGGCAAGCCAGCTTGTTATTGAGCAATAGCCAGCTTTTTTCTTTTCCCACTAGTAGACCGGTCCCATGTTAAAGAGCACAACGTAGTCCTTTGGTAATGATGATATCTCATTCACGCTCTCACACACACGCACATTCCACTTTATTATGACGAAAAGGGTGTCTGTGATTCATATGTCTCATACGGAGAAAGCTGGGGTAAAGAAGTAGTAGTAGTAGTAGTCGTACATACGTATCATGTCTCAGAAGAAAAATGGGATGATTAGGTAAAATTGGGGGGTTGTTGTTGTTGTTGTTTGCCAAGTAGGATGGATGAATTATCGCGTTGGAGAGGTATTGCTGTTGTTGTTAGGTCGTCGTATCATGTCCAAGTAATCAAAATATTCAGTAAAATCAATATGCTCGGCTTGTCGTGTATCACGTCTTGGTGGTTGATGAACTTGATGTACATGATTGTCATGAGGGGGTGGTTGTGGAGGTGGAGGAGAAGTAGTTGAATCATGACGTTGTCGTGATGCGTGTTGTTGTTCATGTCGCTGAGCTTCTTGTTGCGAAACTCTATTATGTGATGGTGATGTTGATGTTGATTGATTTCCACCAAGCAATTCCTCTTCCGCATAGCGTCGTGGATCCCCGTCATCGTCATCGTTCGATGTTTGATTCCTTTTCCAAAATGACGACCAAAGCTGCCATTGAACGTATGGTTTCAAACCTTGGCCGAATCGGATTTGACATCGCACAGCAATATACAGGGTGCACTAAGTGGGTTGTGTCAATGCCTCTTCTTCATTTGTGTCAAGGAAAATTTCCACCTACCACAACAATGACAATCGATGCACTAGCTATATTTGTTTATGTCAGCAATGGGGTCACATTCAATGTGTATCCAACCACCACCCCCCAAACCCAACTACTTGCCATAGATCTCCAATGTGTACCATGGATCCACCACATCTGTAATGGTCACGAGTACAGCCATGTTGATAAATATAATCGCACCTTGCATCAATGAAAACAACGACATCATCCAATGAGCTTCCCAAGCAATCTACTATGGGTTGTTAGTGTGGGGATCTTTTTTATTGTTGTTGCCCTTGGATACGTAACTGCTTGTCGTCCAATCAATAAAGCGAGAAGGCCAACACCGGCCAAGACAGAGGCTGCAATGCATAGTGGACGTGAAGAGACGCTAGCGCACACAGCATAAAATGCCATAAGAAGCACCTCAAAGAAAAAGTTGATCTTGAGAGCAAGCGTAAAGCATTGAACGGTGTAATACATGCCTATGATGATGATAATGATGAGCTTGATTTCATTACTATATACCACCACTTACTTTGTAATCGACGTTCAGGTCCCACTTTATCAATGACATCCCAACCAAAATGCTTTTGGAGCATAAACGCCACGAAGGCTGTTGGCACTGCGAGTACCCAAACAATCACCGTCATTGCGATTTGTAATTGTAGATTGATCAAAGGCGCCTCATCCCATTTGACACTTTCGATGATTTGCTGGTAGGAAAATGTGAGACCATGTACAGATGACTTTGTGACACACACACTTACCATGATGCCCAAAGCACCCGAAAAGAATGTGAAACCAGCAGCAGCAACGACGGTCAATGAATTCCTGTAGATGAGCTTATATAGGATTGAGTTCATGCAATGAGAATGATGGTTCCTGAACACCCACCCTCTATAACAACTTACCCCATCCAACATCAACCCTAGTTTCCATAGCTCGTATACAATAAACCAAATGTTTTCGAAACGAACACGGTCATTCTTGTCTCGTAATCGTAGCCGTAAATAGTCGGTGGATTCATTGGGTTCCTGATCCAACATGGGTGTGTCTTGAATGGGGCTGGTTTCCACGTTGACGAGTGTCGCAATGAGGATCGGGATCGTTATTAAGACTTGTAAAAGAGCGAGTAGAATGAATCGTTTCGACCATTTCGATTCCAAGAGACCACCTCGCTGTATTCATAAAGAGAAGAGGGGGGCACGTTAAGAAAGGAGAAAGAGAAGGTGATTCAATGTAATTTACCGCTTTATCAGACCATGAAAACATGTATGTGTGTGTATGTATGTGAGTGTGAGTGAGTGAGAGAGAAAGAGAAAAGAGTAAAAAGAGAAAAGGTAATTGTTGCAAGATGGATTTTGTGTATCCTTCCATCAACATGGATCTCACTGATTCTTCCTTCTCTACACGAACACACGGTACAACTCACATGAGCCAACCAACCACTGTTATCTTTTTGCCACCAGGAAAGCCAAAGCGATATCCACGCATTAACCAGAAATGGTATCGGCGGCAACAGCGCCATCAAAAAGCTCAGCCTCTCATTTTTTTCTCACATCCTTTGGATCCATTGCCACCACCCATCGTGTAACCTGTCCAATCATGTCATCATGGTAAAAAAGCAAATTGTATATGTGTATAATATCCAAGAGATGATGGGGATGGTAAAGAGAGAATTGTACAAAAAAGTAGAAGCGTAATAAAAGGTAAATGAAATGAAATGGAGAGAGAGAGAGGGAGAGAGAGGAACTACTGCTGCTGCTGGTTATTGTTTCGGACAAAAGGGGCTCGCAAAATCTCAATGATATTGGCCAAGTTAAAAGCGGGTCGCCAAGAGGATGTCGATTTAGCTGGTGCTGCTTGTGATGTTTCTGTAACCTGGTCCTCTTGAGGAGTAGGATGCTCTGATCTCATAGGCTCATCTTGATCCTTTTCAACAGCAGCGGCATGAACGTCAAGCTTGCGGACTTGATTCTCCACATCTTGATCTTGCTCCTTTGCTGATGGTGGTTCTTTGTTACTACCCTCCACCACCTCCTCCTTTTCCCATTCATTGTGTGAGTAATCGAATGTAGTATTGAATAAATGATCACTTACTATGTCCATGGGGGCTTTAACAAGTTCATGAGCTTTGCGTAATTCGCTGCTTGTATCCGACGCTGCATGTTGCTGTTTTTATAATATACGACCTTTGTCAACCATGATCCTGGTATGTAAACCCTTGTCATTCCTTCATCGGTGATACTTACAATATGAATTAAGCCATCGCTTTGATTGATTTTGGAATGAAGCTCCTTGCAAAGATCATTGCTATCGACTTTGTCAGGTACTACCAAGAGAGGCATGATGTTAGTATACTGCTGCTCACCACCACCACCACCACCATCACCACCATTGCTTACTATCGCACAAGGCATCACAATCAGTGTAGATAACTACACGAGTGGATTCGTTTTGGCATCGTTCAATAGCTTGGAGGGCCGCCTGCAGCAGGGTGCTATCGTCAGAAACAAAGAGCACAAAAAATGGGTTGTTTACATACATACCCAATAATACGCATCCTCCACGCTGCTACTATTGTACTTTTCCAATTGTGGTACAGCTGTCCAGTTACGCTTGTCATTCACGGTACCATAATACAAGCCTACAAGGTTTGTTGAAGCACCAATCCAAATGTCCACCGTGTTGTTTTTCTCTTGTTGTTGGTGGTGGGGTGTTGCTGCATTTGCATCTGCGGGGGGTGCTGGTTGGGCTGCAGAAGTCTGTACACATTACAGCACACCCTACATGAGTCATTTTTTCCACCACCACCTCAACGCTTGTACACATCCATACATACCTCTTTTTCCTCTTCCTTTTTCTTAATGTCACGGATAGGTGTCGTTGGACGTGATCGTGTGGAACGTCTTGTTGGTGGTGGTAGATCTGCTGCATCTTGGTACATATGTATTTGTAAATGCCCCATATCCTATCCAACGTTGTCATATACATACCTTTAAACTTTTTTGTGGGTGGAGAGGAAACAAATCCGTTCTCTGATGGGATGGCTGCTGCTGTTGTAGTAGTAGCACCGTTATTGTCATCTAGCTTGCGCTTGTTGGATCGAAGAGTACGTGCCATGGTGGTGGGGGAAGCAAGTGACCAGAAAAAAGAAAAAAGAAAGCAAGAGAAAAGGGAAAAAAGGGGGGTTAAGCGAGGCACATGGAAAATTAAAACAATGGGGAGACAAGTGTTTTTGCAATATGATCATGCTTGTAACGTGATACAGAAATCTCAAGCGGGATCAGCTGTTCTCCTGCCACGTCGGAGCATCTTGTCAGAGTTTCAATGCCTCGTTGCTTTTGCTATCGGCCCTGCATGTCGCACATAGGGGCCCCTTTTGCTGCCTATATCATGTTTCAAGCGGATTCATCCTCCTTTTTTATTCAGTGGGCTATACTACTTTTCTTTTACGCCTTATAGTGAGTATGCTGTTTGCTTGTTTAATCATCACCTATGATGAGCATATGGAGTGCCCTTCGTCATGTTCATTAAAGGATTGATTTGTTGGTTGTCAAAGTGTAGCAAGAAGCATAATGCCATTATTGGGTCTATTCATCGTAAATGGATGGTCACACCATCCTCACAGCATTCAATTGTGATGGACCCTATGACAGCTGTTGTATGTACGTCTTGGGGAGATGCATGCTTCTTTCATGTTCTATCACACTATATGCAATATGAGCTTAATCCTTGGGAAAGCGAATACAATGATAAGGGCACACATTGGCTCAATTTTATGGGCATTATGCTCCTCGAATTGATGTTTCATTAAGCAGTTTCCAGGTTCAAGCTTTGGGTCGCTGGCTTTGAAGAGCATGGTAATCAAACATCGAGCATGCTGCAATCCATGTTCAATGAGAAATAAAGCAAAAGAACGCCAACTTGAGAATGGTGCTATCATTGTAATAGGATGGTCAGCCCAACCTTGCTGTGTATATGAGATGCTGCTTCAATAATAAGAGGGTTGATCTGCAATTCATCAAAAGAAGGTAAAAGAAAAGATGGTGACACCTTGCTCGGATCAAAGGGCATAGCGGCGTTACCATTGATTGCTTCAAATTATTGTTGTCAGCCAATGTCTATGCAAGTTGACTTGATTTGTTAATCAGCCCAATGTTTCAACAAGAGGACGTGCAGTGGTAGTAGTAAAGCGGCGATCTTAGTAAGCCTTGAGGAAAACCATGGTTGGCCCTTGCTTCATTAATTCAATATCAGCAGTCGAATCATTTTCGAGAACCGATTGCTGATTCATGCCTTTGAAACCGAAAAGGCCGCGTGGCGTGTGTATGTGTGCGTGCACATACCGCACACATCCTTTATAAAAGGGAGAAAGTACCACCACACTCTCTCTCTTTTTTTCCCATCACTTACACTCCCCACTCTATTTTTTTCCTTTTCTCACATATACCATGTCATTTACAATTCGTCCTTTGGCAACTGGTTTGCCACGTTTTGGTTCACGCGTTCTCCTTGCCAACGCTGCTCGTCGTGCTCCTTTGACACAATCATCGGTTCGCGGCTATACTACGGGTGGTGGTAGTACCAAGAAATCCAGCAACAACACGCTTTTGTTTTTGGGTTTGGCCGCTCTTGGTGGCGCTGGTGGTTACTACTACCATAATAGCCAACAAGGTGTCAAGGTGTTGGATAGCAGCAGCAAGAAAAAGAACATTGACTACAATCAAGTCTACAAGGATATTGCCGAGATCCTCGAAGATAATGAGCAAGTATCATGTGAATTACTACCGTCCCCCATGGGAATATATTACTAACACGTAATAATAATAGCTATGACGATGGATCCTATGGCCCTGTTCTTTTGCGCTTGGCATGGCACGCCTCCGGTACCTATGATAAGGATACCAAGACCGGTGGAAGCAATGGCGCCACCATGCGTAAGTAGTATACGAATCGTATTCTTGAGGGTGAATGTGTTGCTGATAATGATGATGACTACCTTTACAGGTTTTGAACCCGAGGCCACCCATGGTGCCAACAATGGTCTCAAGGTAGCACGCGATCTTTTGGAAAAGATTCATGCCAAGTATCCCGAGATTAGCTATGGTGACTTGTGGACTTTGGCTGGTGTTTGTGCCATCCAAGAATTGGTAAGGATCCAATTTTTTCCCACCACACCAAACATCATCCATCACTCACAATATCTACATTAGGGTGGTCCTACTATTCCTTGGCGCCCTGGTCGTCAAGATGCCTTGACGGCTGAAAGCTGCACACCTGATGGTCGTCTTCCTGATGCTGCACAAAAGGAAAAGCATGCACGCGATATTTTCTACCGTATGGTAAGTGGATGTTACACAAAGAAGTTGCAAAACTCGGGTTTCTAAAATCTTTGTGTATTATGTAGGGCTTCAATGACCAAGAAATTGTTGCCTTGGTAGGTGGTCATGCCTTGGGTCGTTGCCATCCCGACCGCAGTGGATTTGATGGTCCATGGATTGAGTCCCCTACTGTCTTCTCCAATGAGTACTTTAAGGCCTTGACTGAACGCAAATGGATCAAAAAGGAACTTCCCAATGGTGGTTGGCAATACGTTGACAAGGCCAATCCCGATGTCATGATGTTGCCTATTGAACTTGCCATGTACGAAGACAAGGAATTCAAAAAGTACTTTGATGAATATGCCAAGGATGAAGCCAAGTTCTTTGAAGACTTTAGCAAGGCATTCAAGAAACTCATTGAATTGGGTGTGCCCTTCAAGGGTGATGAAAAGGTTTATGTTTTCCAAAAGACCACTGAATAAATAAATAAATAAAGCTATTCTTAAAAGGGAACAACAGAACCCGTATTGCTATCCTTGGCTCGTTTCACCATCAAGCCAGCAATGGCACTATCCTGAACACTGATACCAACACTTTTGAAAAGGGTACGGGAGATACGGTCTTGATCAGAAGGTGTAGTGTCATCCAAAAGAATGCGTCCAATTTCATTCCAATCCTCTGATTTGGATGAAGCGACAAGTTCACCTGCTTCATGGCCACAAGCTTCGATCGAGTCGACAATGATACGTTGGGTAAGCTTGATTGTATCGGTATCCACTTCATGCATATCCAAACGATAAGAGCCAACGCAATTGAGATGAACGGAGGACTTGAGCCATGCACCATGAAGAACCGGTTGAGAGGCGTTTGTGCAAGTACAGACGATATCAGCTTGACGAGCAGCAGCTTCAAGTTCAGAGTCTGATGCAGCAGCTTGTACGGTGAGATGTGGATAAGAGGATTGGATGGCATTTACAAGTTGTTGACGGCGTTCGGAGCCTCGATTCCAAATCGTGACATGGTCGATGGAAGGGCGGACTGCAAGCATCATGTCAATGTGGGCACGTGCTTGTGCACCGGCTCCGAGGACAAGTAAATGGCTGGCATCCGATACTGCATAAAGACGTGTAGCCACTGCTGAACCTATTTTCTCTCACGTTGATCAATTTTTACACATTACCCTTCTTCAACATCATATACACCATACCTGCAGCTGTACGTACAGCGGTGAGAACACCCGCATTCATAATGGCATCAGTAGCACCCGTGTTTTGATCCAATACCAAAATAGATCCAGGAAGACCCCCTTTACTATCACCGGTAGGCACACTGACCACCTTGATGGATGTCGTCTCTTGCAATCGGGAAGGCATGAATAATACACGGTGCGAATCGGTATCCACGGCAAGTCGCATGGGTGCCTGTGCATAACGCTTTTGGCTGTCATCCTCTTGTGCCACTGTATACGCCTTGAAGGTATCCTCCATCAATGAAACCAACTCCAGAGCTGCATTAGCATCCTCCAATGCAAGCAACTTGCTAATGTCGTCATGAGAAAGCACGCGAATGGCCATGGTGTGTGAGTGTATGTATGTTTGTGTGGAGAAAGAGCCCACTAACAACGGCATTTCAACCTTGTTTTAAATGATCATCCACATACTCCATTGATTGGTCAGGTCCCCCCGCTTCCATTTCGTTCGTCGTCCTGGTGTGTTGGATTCATCCGAAACATAAAAAAGTGGACCCTATTGTAAGAGAGACGAGACGAGTGGAGCCGATCTTTGTTTCAATGGTTACCCATCAGCTTGCCAGCGCCATTGGCTACTTGACCGAATTGCAGTGGGCAGGATTCCCCTTATTGGACTTGCTGCATGCCGTCCTCATTGCCTATATCTACCGATCAGCCCTGGCAGAACACCATAGCCGTATTGGATGGGGTCAAGGCTTGGTTGCCACCATAGTCATGGCAGCAGGTGGTGGTTCGACTATTGCCATCATTCGAGGCGAGCCTGTGGGTATCTTGAAGAGCAACGAGTTCTGGATCATGTATGGGTAAGTGTACCATATAGAGTTTGCATGAAGTTGCAGGGTGCCTTTTTTATTCATCTTGTATGACCCTACTATAGTGCTGCCTATGCCATCATGTTTGCACATACCTTTGTCTATGAAGCATTCAAGTTTTTATTCAGCATTCCTTTGGTGGAAGAGGTCTTTACAGTGGTGGATGCCATTCTACGCAACATTGCCATTGTTCGATTCGGTGTGGATGGTGTGGATGGTGCTTTGGGCCCTGGCAAGTGGGTGGCCAAGTTGATTTGTGGCACCTTGGCTGGTGCTGGTGGCGGTTTCTGGATTGGTAAGCAAAGCAAGCAATGCAAATCCATGTTTGAAAGAAAACAACAGACCATTAAAAACCAAATTATGATTAGATTCGTTTCAATTGACTCATCATCATTGGTCATTCTCAACCCCTCGTTGGCTTCATGAAGCTACGATCGACGTCAAGGCATCTTTTGTTACAGCCCTCTTTTATATGCTTGCCACCAATGAAGCATTCAGCCAATGGAGTGGATTCCCTTTGTTGTCACGTGATGATGCCGAGACATGGAGTGCCGTGGTATTGTCTGCTGGATTGGTATACGGCGTGATCATTGGCCGTCAACGAAAGCAACAAGAGCAAAAGGAAGCCAAGCAAAAGCAACAATAGTAGTAGTAATGATAATCTTTCAGTATCAGCTGCTGTTACCCTTTGGACAATATTCCGACTCATTCCTCACACAATAAAGTACATGCATTGTTTCCTCTCTTTTCTTTCTCTCTTTGTTTAATTAGTTATTATGGGAAGCAGCGTTTCGAAGATTGGATGTAAACGAGAAGGCGGCTATGCTGGTGGTGGTGGCAGTGGTCGACACCATAAACGTAAAACGAATACAGTGGATAAAACAAGTATCGGCATCCCTACAGGCTTTAGGGTACATCATCCAACTATCTTTTTAAAATCGACATACACAGCTCACTGACTGGAAGATGTGCGCTGGGCGCACAGCATTTATACCATATAGGTAAATAAAAACGAAGACATTGGATACTGTATCCCCCTTGTTGGCTGACGACGAATCCCTTCTTTCAGGATTGGATAGTTCACCACCAACCGAGGTATGAAGCTTTCCCTCACCATACCCCCATCAATGGATCTATTGGAAAAGAGAACACTGATCATGTTATGATTACATGTAGCAGCATCAAAAGAGCTCTGGTATTCCACCCACAGAACAGTTAAAGACACAATTAGCTGAAATCACACAACGTTTGCAAGAAGTCAATGTTCATATTCCACCGCAACCACAACCACAACCACAACCTCGCTCTGCAGGGGCTGCTGATCCTTGTGACGTATCAGCAAAGAGTCGCAGTGACTTGGAGCAATTGTGTATGGATAAACCCAATTACAACATGTCATTGATGAAATGCTATGTGGAACGCAAGATTGATGCCCAAGTGCAAAAGGTGTGTTTGAGCCAAATTGGGGATTGAGCTGGTTACACTGCGAACTGACCTTGATGAATAGCATGCCCATGCACGTAGGCGATCAAAAAGTTGTAGTCAAGCATAAGGCTGAGCCATGTTTTTTATCTTTCATCCAATACATACAATCAACAAGAAGCATTCTTCGTTCATAATGTGATGTGCAAGTGTGAGAATTCATTATTATAAATGGGATGTACGATGATGAAGTCTGCTATATATAAACAAAGGCATGCAAAGGGGGGGAAAGTTTTTTGTTACATTATGCGGGTAGTGGTGGAGTGTACATGTAAAAAGTGGTGGTGGTGATATTAATACGGTAACGTGTCGACGATGGATGTTTCATCGGGAAAGGCAGTATCCAGCTTATTGGCAATGCGTGTCGTAGTGGCGTGTGTGACAAGACAATCATGCATGACCAACCTTCGCAAGGAGGTGCAACCATCAAATACCAAAGCACTCACACCACGATCGGAGACTCGATAACAACGACTAATATCAAGCGTATGAAGACTTTGGATACCACCTAGTGCACATAGGACATCATCATCCACACAATCTAAATCGGCAAGGCCAAGGGATCGTAATTGTTGAGAACGTGCAAGTTCTTGAATGGCTCGTTGTAATCCTGCACTCGTTAATTGTTCACATCCGCTCACATCAAGACTCGTAAGCTCGGTATTTAATTCACGCACCATTGTTTCCAAGAAATCATCTGTTACAAATCGTGATCGGATCAAATGGAGGGTACGTAATCCTATGGCGGGGGCTCTTGCAAAGCACATGGCACGATCGAGAGCTGTTTCTGCTCCATCATAAATGGTCAAGGATCGTAAAGAGACGAGACGTGTGAGTGCATCCATGGTACGTCCTGATTGGCATTGCATAAGCGTAACATGTTCAAGCGCAGGGCATTGTGATAATAAGCGACACAAATCATCCTCTGGTCCTGTATGTCGAAGCACAAGATGCGATAGTCGTGGTGCACCATAATGTGCAAGGGCGGCCCAATAATGGTCAAGAGGTGTATCATGAATCACTGAAACTAATTCAAGCGTCCGATGATTGCGTTCAAGCAGTGGTAGTAAATCCCGATCACATAATCCATCCACATGTGTCAAGGCTAATGATTGCAATCCTGGTCCACTGGCATGAGGCGCTCGTACATCGTGTAATTCAAGGTGTGTAATGGCATCCGTATCGAGTAAATGAACATGGCGTAAGCTGGGACATAATAAATCGATGCGTTGTAATACATTCATAGGTCCACATTCAGCTGCATCCATGACGAGTAAATGTAAACGCGTGCATAACGGCAATAAGCGTTCCAATGGCAACACGACCTCTGCCGACCACACCAACTCTGTCAACCATGGCATCGGTAATTCTGGTGCCCATGTAGGTGATACATTTTGTTCCTCCTCATCTTCATTCTCCTCCTCTTGATTCTCCTCTATATTCTCCATCTTGCATACCAAGGTCTGTAATCGTTGACAGGTGGATAATACACGTGGTATCACTCGTTGTGCTGGAAAAAAGGCATGTCGAAATTCGAGTGTTTTGAGATTGTGGCCGGTCAATTCGAGCATCCCTGTCAATGTACTCAATTGTTCTTCGGTTGAAAGATCCACTGTATCCCATGCATAGATCGATCCAATCACTAATAATAGCATGATTCTTATCAATCAGCCATATTGATTTTCCCTATGATGACCACCTACCCAAGGTATGAATACGTGAATGCCCCTTTTGCCGTATCATATCAAATGTCTTTTTCATTTGCACCGTGTTGCCAAAAAAGCTGAATCGTTGAATAGGCCGTTCTGCATCAGGAATCCATTTTAACCAGCTATCACGGTCACTTTCTCGTAGTGCGATATGTACATCTCGATACATGCCAGGCCACTCGCATAAACTCGTCCGCCAGTTCTTGCTCACGCGTGTACATTTGACTCGCTCTGGAAAGTTCAACCGCGTAAAGATAGCCCACGTAACGTCCCAAGGAAGTCGACCCACAAAGTCCACGGCTGCTTTATCATCGTCCATCGGTGTTGGCATGGGAGCATCATGGCTGGCATGGGCGGTTCGTTTGCGTTGTTGAGTGATGCTCATGGAGGCGTCTGTTATCTGCTCTTGGTGTCGCTTGCACATAACGCTCTCTCTCTATCCCTGAGATGGACTCCGTGGGAAAAAGGAAAAGAGCAAAAGAAAACAACACCCCGCCGATCAATAAAACCATCCTTTTGTTGACTTTATACTTTATTCTCCCTTTGGGTATGATGATCGCTACACTTGAGTTACCACCGCTAAACCGTAACTAAGCAATGCCTGCTTTTTCGCTGACGCCACAAGTAAATTGACATGACACTTTTCTTCCGGTCGTAAAGCAAGCCCAATATTGTTCCAGTCACTCAATCGCGTGGAGGATGGGCATAGACATAGTTTGCGGATATACTGCTTGTTGCGTTCATCGAGATACGTGGTGATGTCTTCATAATTGTAATCATCCTTGGTCATCCCAAGCACACGCTGCGCCTCATACCAAATGGCTCGACGAAGTGGAGAGGTATCAATGTTGGAATCGGATGTATGATGAAAGATACTATAATACGTGTGGTCAGTGATATGAATGGCTCGTATTGAAACAAGAATGGATATTCACCTCCAATCAGTGATGCTGAGAGCTTCATTAAATTCATCGTCAAGCTCATCTCCTAAGCCTGGCAGGAATTGGTTCACAAGGTCACATCCAAAGTCTTCCCAGCCATAATCTCCCGACATGACTTCGTTGACATAGTATTCTTCTTCTGATGACTTGTCCACCTCTTCTTCTTCCACCTCCTTGCAATGTATCCTCTCTTTTGGATCAATAAATCTTGTCAAATCTTCATGCACTGCATTCATGGTTTGCTTGTGACCAGCAGTATTATTATTATCCACATCATGGGGTGTTGTTGTGTCTATAAATATACTTACAATGATGAGTTCTTTCTCCCCCACCACCTTCCCTCCTTCCTATAAAACTTACCATGTTTAGCAGCCAGCTGCTCTTGTTCATCATGACCCAGTCGTAATTTTTCCAAGCTCTCCAACAACTCGCTTTTTAACGATGATCCATTGGCCGATTTGAGTTTGGAGACCAATTCTTCGGTTTGTGTATTGTACATGTGTTGATCATCTTCCTCTTCTTCCTCTTCTTCCTCATCCTCATCATCTTCTTGATTGTCCACGGATACGCCCAAGCCATAGCCATTGTCGGAAGAAGAAAATGGATCGTCATTGGGATCACTGAGTAAAATGTTGCTGTCGTACCAACCGGTTGCCATGGAAGCAGCCGCACGGGCCATATCAGCTTGAATCTTCCCACCTGGTGACCATGGAGATCGTTCATCCAATTCATACTCGACACCCGAATGATTTGCTGCTGAGCTTGGATCCTCTTGATGATAATAGTATCCTCCTCGCATATCCAATTCAGGTGCAATGCCACAACCCAAGACAAAACTGCTCAATCCAAGAAAGGTGGAAATGACAACCATGCCCTGTACAAGTTCGCCCTTGCTCCATACATCGGATACTTGTGCCCCAGGTCGACTCATGAGACATGTCATGTCTTCACACGTCAGCTGCCATGATTGTCGTGACATTTTTAGTATCAACCTCGCAATGTGTTGTAGCTTGGGTGGTGCGTATTCAATCCCTTGAAGCCATGCTGGATCGCCCCCATTTTGCAAATACTCGAGTCGCATCATTGATACAAGATACTGACATTCATGATGTGCTGATGCCTACATACATATTACAAATGAATAAAAGGATCCATTTACTACTACCACTAGTACTTACAAGGATAGCCAAGTAACATTTCCATGATCGACTCAGAGGGCCAAGGGATGATTTGACAATTTTGGAATAGGCATTGCTGTAGATTTCATAAAAGGTGGGAAAGAATGCCATGACTCGAAATACATTGGCAAGTCGTCCTTCTTCCATAAAGGTCTTGGTCATCATTTGACGTACGTATTCATCTGATCGTTTTCCACCCGTCTCCAAATCTTTGGGTTGTTGTTGTTGTGGGATCGTTGCACTCGTCACACCACTTGTTGAAGCATCATCTCCACTGCTGCTGGTATCAATTTCTTGGGACCATGGCGATATGGAGTAATGTTCTGGTCTTGGGTAAAAAGTAGACGTGGGTGGTAAAGCCGAGGATGACTCGAGAGAGAAAATATCATTCAAAGAGATGAAAATGGAAGGGGACAACTGACTCGGCTGTGGGGCTGATAAACGCGAATCCTATTATTATCGGCATGATTTTGAGTTCAAAAAATCCTGTCTCCATTCAAAAGAGGATGCACTTACATTGGTCATTTGTAGAAACTCCTTAAAGGCTTGCCGAACATCAGAAAAGGGACACGTATAAGCGAGCCGTAGCATGGTGAGTAGATAGTAGCGAAGATTGGATTCCTCATTGTCACTACTGGGGTCATATGACAAATCATGCGTTATGCTTGCATGATCTGTTTCAGAATCGGAGGTGTCGTTAAAGTTGTTGCAATGATGATGATGATGATGCGGTGATGATGGTGGCGATGATGATGATACATGATGATGATGATGGTGTTGTTGCTGTTGCTGTTGTTGTGTGGTAGGTGTTGTGGGTACTTCAGAAGATGTAGTTGAAAAAGGTGACCGAACGACTACTCGTACATACGATTTGACCACCTGGATAATCTTCTCCAACGCTGCTTGACGCTCCTCGCTCGACTCGACCTGGAGATTCTTGAAGAGTGCAATTCGGAGACGAGATGACTGAAGTTGCTGTGCTCGTGCATCGCGTGCTATGATTGCCCATTGAGTCTACTACATCGGTGTGGGGTAGTGGTTGAGTAGTAGAGAGATAGGACTCACCTGTTTCTTCCAAACTACTACTTGTGACATTGCTTTCATGAAGCTGCTGATCGGTATTCATAATTCTTCAGATGCTGTCGTCTTTTAAGGGTTTCTGGTGTAAGAGTCAAAAAGAACGACGACGGTGGGAGTCTTCAACGTGTGAAGGGAAAAAGAAAAGAAAAAGACTGTTGCAGAAAGTAGAAAACGGACTTTTGCTAAAAGTCTGCCAAACAATGTATGCGCAGCAGGTACCCCAGTTATAATAAATGGGGTCGTGGGTCTTGTTGAGAACGGTTGAATGCTTTATATATAGCTCGACGCGCCTTAAATACCATACGCGTGTATCATGGATTCCATAAAGACGTTGAATCATTCACCTGATCAAGGCTCAAAGTAACGTGCACGTGATACATCGAGCTTTATTGACCATGTTTGCTCATTGTACTACCTTTCCCGTGGGTTTTATCATCACTTGATATTACCTTAATGTGACGACATTATCCGTGAATATTGCTATATGCCCAAATACAAGTCATTTAGCGCATGCTGATCTTGTTTGCTGACTCAATAAACACGTACGATTGATGATAACATACCTCCCAATGATGATTACATGGCTTCTCAAACAAGGACATCACACTAACCCTTTTGCCCAATCCACCACTCCTCCACCGCCATAAATTGTTTTTACGTAGGACAAAAAAGTGTCTTGTTTAGATTTGTAAATATGCAGCAGCATTGACATATAGGGTAATACGAGCAAGGGGGCACTAGCTGCTGCTGTTGCAATCAATTCAAGACGGCGTATACGTTGAGCGTTATTGTTTTCTTATCTCGGCCTCTGGGATGACGCTCTATCTTCATCAATGCGAAGATTTTAGCTGTTGTATAAAACACAGACTCTAACATTGACGTTGTGATACGTCTTACGGATCTCTTTGTTTGTAACATGTTGATCGTGTGGCTGTTAAAGAAGGCTCAGATGGCTTATTTGTAAATTACAAACAACCATCCATGTCATCAACATTGAGCAAGTCGATCCAACCAAGCTTGAAAGCTTTCATCAAAGCTAAACAGGGCATTCGCTTTGACCTCGCCGAGCAACTTTGTTCTTCAAAGACACCCCTGGTGGAATGTAAAGTTCAGAGATATGACCATCTTTATGTTTTACTTTGATGTAGGCGTGATGCTATATCAAAAATGGTCTTCGTTCATTGTCAAGTAGCTAGACCCTGATAGAGCAAAAGATGTAGAAGGACTTCTTTGTGTATAACAGAGACAAAAACTCAGGGCTTGAGTCAATGCATGGTACATACATATGCAAACTTAATTCCCATTCATAAACTGCCAGCTAATAGCCCTTCCTCCCATTCGCCATTGTGACCCAAAACAATGCATATGAACGATTCTCCTGCTCCATTTTATCACCTCCATCCTTCAACTTTCTTGATCCGAGGGGACTTGACTGAAAAACGCTCAAACACAGAAGTATCATCCAAAAGTAGAAAAGTCGGTTTGATTAATTGTTCGTAAACTACCATTCCTCCCAATCATCATTGTTGCGCAATCCACTGCATGTGGACGATTACCTTACTCCAGCATAGCATGCCCATCATTCAACTTTCTTGATCCGAGCTAACCTGGTAGTAAAGCAATGGCTGCTGTTGGATCATCATTATTGTGCAAAGTGTAAAATGGCGCACACCCTTTTGCTATACGTGAGGATCATTTCTTTTATTTATGTGTACCTATTGTCTATCGTGATGAGGGTGATGATGACGATGGGTGGATGGTGTGTGTATGGGGTAATTGAGTGGCCCCAGTGTAATAGCAGTAGGGGAGTTAAACTTGGGGATGGTAGCTGCACGACTAGAGACAACGCTTCTCTTCTCTTTCTCACTCCTCCGCTTTTATTCCATTCACGACATCTCGATCAAGGTAATGTACTATAAAAGAGTGCTCTTGTTGGTTGTGAGGTATTAATGTAGTTCTGAACATGCATTGTCAAGGAAGGAGTGGTTGGTGGTTGCCATGGCGATATCGTTGCTTCCTTTTGTTCGTTGCTATTCCCACTCTACACTTGGTCTCAACAGGTACATTCAAAGCCCAATGTTGCAGCAGGACTTGTTCCATTGACGTGTTAGCTTGTATAGAGGGCAAGCTTGGTTTCAAGACGTTAGCTGGTTTGGCGTTTTGTTTCGGCTCAACTACACTACTACACCATGGCTTTCAGTTTCCAGTAACCAACAACAAACGGTTTTTTTGGTATATGGAAAAGGCAAGTACAATGAAACAAACAATGAAAAGGGTATCTATTGGATGTGTGTGCTAATAATGAATCGAATAGGTTCTTTGGTCAGGCAATGCAACTTTGGGGCATCATCATCATCTCTTTGAGTTCAAGTCCCAGCCTGTATCAAGTGGCTATTTGCTGGAGAAGCTTCTTGGAACACGTCCAGGGCTCTATAGGCCTGCGTTGAGTTGCTGGGTCGATGACGATGGATTTTTGGAAGAGCATGGTCACCGTGTCGAGGTAAAAGGGGATTTGCAACAGCTTGTGAATGTGTTGACCAACACGCTATTCTCGTGATAGGCTCGTTCTTTCCCTTGGGGATTTCTTTTCATGAGGTGGGAAATGATTGGAAGGATTGGGGACCATTCTCTTTGGAGAGGATGAATGAGAACAACTATGAGCCTGGACTCTACGTAAGTGATGTCCTTCCTTGCCATGGATCGAACTGGCCTTGCGTGATTCGTGCAGTGCTTTCTCAAGAACAAGGGATCACCCGACATTGCTCGTATGGTGTTGATTTGTTTGTGAATTCCTTCTGATTTGCGTTCTTCCTTAGACAGGATCGCGTAACGGTTACCAAATCGTCATCATTCCCGGTATCAGATTGTTTAACTTGGCTGCTTTTACTTATAGACACGACCATTACGATGATTACCACATTCACAACAATGGCGATTACGATGATCACCCCATCCACAACAATGACAATGATGACGACAACGAGATTCAAAAGGAAGCCTGCAAGATCCCATTCTTTTCAACTTGTGTGTTTTTGGATGTGGTGTGACGGATGAGATTGACGACTGGTGACGAGTACGAGTACGAATACGAATGATGACGGAGGACGACTATGACGATGGTGGTGGCAATGTACAGTACATAGCAAGATAGCTAGATGAAATAAAGCATTGTTTATTTTTTACACGCTTGTTGGAGGTTGCTAGCTTGTGGATTACATACTATTGCTTCGAAGATGGAATAATAAAGGTGGTCCGGTTATCGGTCATGCAAGAAGTACATGGCTTTTGTGATACAATAAGGAGGAGTGGGAAGTGGGATGAGCTTGAGAAGAGAAAAAGTGAAGAGATCCCTCCATTGAGTTTCAGGATGAGTGACTCATTCAAAACGTATAGGTATCTTTTTACATATACAAATTGGTTTATGCAGCTCGACTTTCTTCTACATGCAAATGTGATGGGTACCTTGACACACCTTCATTATTGGATGCTGTTTACTTACGTACCTTCACAAAAGGCAATCATCATCATCATCCATTTGTGTAGCAACCTGTCAAGGACGTGCCTGTGTAACCACTACGTGCGGTTTCACTCAGCTCTTCATCTTTCCGTTAATGCAGCCGACACCATCCACTAGGAAAAAGCAACTCCATCACGCTTACAGCATAGGTAAACCATAAAGACGCCTGTATCTCCAAACTTTACAATGAAACGTGTGGTTTTTATTAGAGCAATGTGCTCGGCTCGGCCAACAGCACCTTGTGTGCAAGTGTCGCGTTCAATGTCGCAAACAGCCCAAAAAATATTTTTTGGTCGTCGAAGAAAGTTTTAAGAGGTCGACCCCCAGATCCAGATTGGCTGGTAGCGACATTGCGAAATCTGGGATTGGCAAGCTTGATCGTGAAACTTTCACACAAGATGCAGTTGGCCAAGCCGAGTACATTGCTCTAATAAAAACCCCACGTTTCATTGTAAAGTTTGGAGATACAGGCACCTTTATGTTCGTAAGCGTGATGCTATATGAGAAGTGGTCTTTGTTCATTGTCAAGTAGGTGGACCCTAGCAGAGCAAAAGATGCAGAAGGACCACTTTGGGTAACTCAGCTAAAAAGTCAGGACTTCAGGGACAATGCATGAAAGGTACGCAACCCTCACTTTTATGTCATATATTGGCAGCTAATAGCCACTTTTGTGCATTCCCAACTTTTGTGCATTCTATTGTAGGTGGACGATGCTCCTGCTCTAGACATTCATTTCCATGATTAAAGTAGGTTGATCCGAGCTGATTTGGTTGAGTTACGCTCACACAAGATTACATCGGTTGAGCTACATCGAGCGTGCTTTATGTCCAGAGTGATGTAATCTCTCTTTGACCGCAGCTCAGTCAAATCAGCTCGGATCAACCTACTTTAATCATGGAAATGAATGTCTAGAGCAGGGGCATCGTTCCCATGCAGTGGATCTCGCAACAATGATGATTGGATAAAAGTGGCCGTTAGCTAGCAATACATGCCTGTTCCTAGATGATCCATAAAGTAATTATACATTGACCCTTTCATTCATGCAAACGTAGCTGTGTTACACAACACGACCCTCTGCATCTTTTGCTCTGCCAGGGTCCACCTACTTGACAATGAACAAAGACCACTTCTCATATAGCATCACGCTTACAAACATAAAGGTGCCTGTATCTCCAAACTTTACAATGAAACGTGGGGTTTTGAATAGAGCAATGGGCTCGGCTTGGCCAACAGCATCTTGTGTGAAAGTTTCGCGTTCAATGTCGCAAACAGCCCAAAAAAATATTTTTTGGTCGTCGTCGTCGAAGAGGTCGACCCCCAGATCCAGTTTGGCTGGTAGCGACATTGCGAAATCTGGGATCGCCCACGATGAACTTCATACTTTGACACAAGATTCCTTTGACCCCGACAAGCACGTTGATCTATTAAAGAGCCCACGTTTGATTGTAAAGTTTGGAGATACAGGCACCTTTACGTTTGTAAGCGTGATGCTATATGAGAAGTGGTCTTTGTTTAATGCAAAGTAGTATGACTATAATAGAGCAAAAGATGCAGAGAGCGTGTTTGTGTACTTGAGTCATTCAGCACAGGCGATGCATGATTCTTGTACACTATTTAGGAATAGTTCAAAATGCCAGCTAATAACCTTAGTCCATCCATTCTCCATTGTTGCCCAATCCAATGCATACGAACGATTGTCCTGCTCCAGCCCAGTATACCCATCATTCAACTTTCTTGATCCGATGAGATTTGACTGAAAAACGCTCAAACACAGAAACATCATCCAATATCAGAGGAATCAAATTGGTAAGTTATTTGTAAACTGCCACTTGATAGCCCATTCCTCCCAATCACCTTTGTTTCCCAATCCAATGCATGTGATCGATTGTCCTGCTCCAGTCTATCATGCCCATCATTCAACTTACTTGATCCGAAGGGATTTGGTTGAGTTACGCTCAAACACAAAACATCATCCAATCTCACAGGAATCATTTTGCAAAGTTATTTGTAAACTGCCAGCTAATAACCCAGTCCTCCCAGTTACCTTTGTTGCTCAATCCAATGCATACGAACGATTGCCCTGCTCCAGCCCAGCATGCCCATCATTCAACTTTCTTGATTGGAGGGGATGTGATTGAACAACGCTTAAACAAAGAAGTATCATCTAAGCAACAGAAAGATTTACTTAAATTTCCAACTTCTTCTTCCCTCTTCCTCCCATTCTCAACTGTTGCCTCATTCAAATACAACCACCACCTGCGAACGATTGTCCTGCTTCAATCCACCATGTCAATCCTACACTTGTCTTGATCCGATGACTGAATGGCAGGTCCATGGCGCGTACACAGCCTCCTTGTCACTCTTCTACAACACACGACTCTCTTTACACAACACACGCTCTTGAACACTCCTCTACCGAATCAAACGTAACAGCATTCATTCCAGCTGCCATTAGCAAGGTCTTTACTCTATTGTCTCAAAGGACAGCGTTGCTCACTTGCACCAATGTGGTCTTACGGCCTTACGTGAACAACAGATAGCAATTATACAGAAGTAGCTTTATTTACATGTAGCAACTTGATTCAATACACACGAGTTCTTATGGATATGGATATTTGTTTGGTACATGGGATGGAAGGAATTGGATATATAACAAAACGGAGGGTCGCAAGCAAACATCTGGTTGTGGTGCTCTACGTTTGGTGTAGCCATCATTACATCTCCTTAGGTTAACATGTACATCGTGCTGAATAATGTGGTTAGAGAGAGTGCATCATTACGGGATCAATATGAGTATAGTATGCATATTCTTTTACTGCAAATGACAAGATAATAGTTTTATTCTATATATATGGTATATCGCACCAGTGCCAAAGTAGTAATCCTTCTTGAAGAAAAGTGCTTGAGGGCCCATATGACTGCTTGATGATCTGACAGACATTTGAGGAAGGAGAGCATCCACACGATGATAACTTGTAGTAGCTATCACAAGCAGTGTAGGATCTCACTTGGCAGATACTCATCCAATCCCCCAAAAGCTGCAAGCATACATAGCCATTAGCCATCCTGGGTCGCCTATAGAAAACACATTGCATTAGCCATTCGTATCCTCGTGAACAGAATCATAATACTACTTACGGCTGCTTGAAGGATGTAACAGACATTCAAGGAAGGAGAGCGTCCACCGGGTGATAGCTTGCCGTAGCTTATCACAAGCAGTGTAGGATCTAACTTGGCAGACACACGTCCAATCACCCAAAAGCTGCAGCATCCATAGCCATCATGGTCCAACTTGAAGCAGGTTCTTGACTGATTCCGGTAGACGCGTTGATCTTCGGCTTGCAAACGACTTGTCAAGATCCACTACATTTGATAATCTACAGCCGCCCATTAGAACCTGCACCAACAGTACACACGCATTTATCTAAACAATACCTACCAAAGAGCATCAGTACTCATTGCTTGCTTTGCTCGTGTGCACGATGTACGCTTGTTGCCTAGCACCATGGCGAGAACCACCCTTGCTCCGGTCTCCATGAAGCACTTGGACACTGATCGCCTTATATCAACACCAACTGCTTTTTGCAACAACTATACAAGAGAAACTTGTAAATACATACCCTGATGGGATGGGTGTCGTGAACGGGTCAAAACGAGAAAGAGATAGAGAGCTGCTCCTCAAAGTAATTTCCGTGGCAACGCACACACAAACGCGCCGATCCAGTCAAGCTACTTCCTACACACACGTACCCATACCACACTATCATAGTAGACACTACATGCGGATAAATAAATCATTCGAATGATCATCATCATGACGTAGAAAAAGGTGTATTATTTCTATTGCGTGCTAGTACTACTACCACTATTATTACTTACCATACGAGAACGAACCGTGATATCATTGTATAGAAGACATTGTCACTCATCCTTTCACACAAAGTCTTTTCGAATGGGCTGTTCATTTTTGGTCTATGAACCATGTCATGGTTGACTTGAAAAAGAGTTACATGCGGGCTACCTACCACAGGCGGACCTTACTATGTGGATGGAACTTTTATGCATTTCTTCACCAATAGCATTGACTTTTCAAGTCCTGCCCCTCTTGGTCTTGTGACACAATCAACTCCTGCACCTTTGTTTCTATTAAAGTATAGCTACTTGACAATGAAAAAGAAGACCACTTTTCATATAGCATCACGCTTACATATTAAGAGAAAACATAAAGCCTGCATCTACATATTAAAATTTCAAGTTAAGCAAGGCGTCTTTATTATACGATGATGTGTGAATATGTATATGTCTAAAACGAGGAATCAGGACGATAATAGATGTGGACATAGTCACTGTCCATACATAGTATCCTTCATACGAGAAAACAAAGCTTCGCAAAGGAGGTTGCTCAAAGGCACTTGCAGGACACATAGCCCACTCGTTGCTCGTATTGTATTGTCAGCCTGGTTGGCCATCTCGCAGCAGAAATCGATATCATGAAGATTGATTGCCAAACAGTCATAGAGATTCAGGTAGTTGACTGTAGGAGGTGTATGAGGGAGATGTCCGGATGGGGGAAAGAAGCCCACGTTGGGAAGTCGGGCCATGTAATAATTGTATTACTGGCTGATAAGACATGCAAGTAAGGTCTCATGCCTTGTGGCTCCACTTCTTGTCTTCGTCTTGTTGCCAGCACCAACCACTCCAAATGTGACACACCACCAAGCTCTTCGAAAAGTTCGATGTTAGTGGGGTTGTCACCCATCCAATCGAATGATCTCAGCGCAACACTTTGATGCAGCAGTGTAATTGCTGAAGTAATCCAATAGCGTCGTGAGGAATATTGCTTGAATGCAGGAAGAGATGTTGGAGATGTGGCAAATTATCGTCAATGTTGTTCATAACAGCGAGTGAGACAAGAGGAGGGGTGCCATGGTGAAATTCCCTCTGTCTCACGCTGTTCCTATGGGCAACGCGAATACAACATGCTGTGAGCCCATTGGAAGCTGTAATGAGGGGGTTGAGGTGGTTCGTCAAAAACGCCAAAGTTACAGCCCTTGCTCGTTCGCGGATATCGTAAACGAGCTCTCGAAGAAGTGGCATCGCATGTGCTTATGCCACCTACAAAGGAGTCCCAAATCTCCCATTAGACTGAGGTTGTCTTTTCCATACAAATGATAGGTATACTTACCACAAAGGGTCCCTCAAGGAATACAGCCAAATGTCATTAGGCAACAATGAGCACACCAAATGGTAAAGCAATAATGAAATGAACTACATAATCGATGAATGCATCATGAGTACCCTCATTTTGGGGATCACATAAAGACTATCCTCCTTGAGACTTACCAGACGCCATTGATGATGATATGCATACAAGCAAAAGAAAGGGCGTATGATTGCGTTGATGCAAACAGCTTTATTTATATACGTGGGTGGGCGTGTGAATTGTTGTCGTGATGGATCGAGCTGATAAAGTGGTCAAGTAGCAATTCATGTATGTCATAGACCAATTGCCGAAGGGGCGGCATTCCATCTTGGTTCAGGATGTCGTCATATGAATCAAAGCCGGGCAGTGTTACATGAGTAAGGCTTGGGCTCAGTTCATCCATTGTAAAGGCCACGTGCACGGCTCCTCTTGCCATGTCCATGAAAAATCCACAAATCAAATGTTGAAGCACCAGCCTTGTAGTTGTCCCATAGAAAGCAATGACCACCGTTGGATGTCCAGTTCATCGGCTTGATACAATAGCCAAAAGCTAAACCTCATCAATCGCATGGCAAGTGCAGTGCCTAGACCTCGACTTGGGGTCAGTTGCATTAAAAGCAAGTTTTCATCTCGAAGATGAACATCGTGTACAATGATCCACAGTCATCTCGTGTATGGTTATATCCTAGGTTACTATCCAATCTTAGGAGATGCATGGTCGTCGAATAAAGTTGGAAGAAGAGGTTCATTATGACTTTGAGGGGGGACACGTCGAACCCAAAATCGGTTGATTTGATGGGAGGTTTATATAGAAATCAGCACAACGAGACTCAAAACAGGTATTTTATTGTTAGCTCGTATTCTAGGACGACATCTGTATCTTTGAGAAATCTTGCTTTGTTTTGACAACTTCTTTTGGCAAATCTTTGATCACTTTCCTTAGTAGAGGTTCCTCAGTATTCATCCTGCTTTTATTTATTATACTCATCATATGCCTTATTTCTTAGCTTTTACAACCATTACGTATGAGCTTTAATAATCAATGAAAAATGAGGGGTGATGACTGTAATACATAGTACTGCAAGGTGATCAACACCGAGCCAACATGCCAGCAGCAGAGAACAACCAAACAACAATGGTACCAGAAAGCATTCATTCATCACTTTCCGGAAACGCCTTGTTGTCGTTGTCCTTTGTTCATCCCATTTCTTTTTTTGTCAATCATGTTGCAGCATACCACAAGTGGTTGTTGATTTCTTTCATCGCCGATGTCCTTTATTAGAGGGATCTTATCATATAAATGACCCCTGATTCCACCTGTATACCTCATTGGCGCTCATATGGTGGTTGATTGTATGCAATGCGCACATTATTAAGTCTTAGTATGAATAAACATGGTCAAGTCATATGACTTTTCTGATTACGGCTAATGAGGATGCATGGTGTTATGCTCACAATACCATCTCTCTTCAATTACAATGTAATGGGTCATTGTTTTTATTAATCAATATGAGCAAGTATGAATTCTCATGGTGCCTGGAAAGATGCTACTAAGGGCGGTGATAGTGGGGGAGATTGGCTGGTGGTGATGGTTGGCTGCTGACGTCAAACTTGGAGCACCGGGACAAGTGAACAGCGAGCAAACTTTTTCCCCTCCCTTCTGTTTTCACATTACACCATGGCCTTGAATCGTCTCACGACTGCCGTTCCCAAGGTATGCTTGTGTGCATTGGCTGCATATACATGGACGAAACGATTGACCTTTTTGACCACTTTATATAGTTGGCTCGTGGCTATGCCGCTGCCGCTGCTCCCAAGGTAAACAACACTACCCCCAACATGCTACCACCCTGGCAATGACGCTTGCATTCGACTCTTTGTGTATTCTAATCCTTTTTTTCTATCTCTATATAGCCTCCAGTTACTTTGTTCGGTATTGATGGTCGTTACGCCACTGCTTTGTATACCGCTGCTGCTCGTCAGAACGCGCTCGAAGCCGTTGAACGCGACTTGTCCCAGCTTCAAACTCTTATCAGCAAGGATAAGGCTGTCCAAGGCTTTTTGGAGAACCCCACTGTTGCTGGCAAGGCCAAGGTCGAAGGTATCTCTGCTTTGTTGAACAAGGCTGGCAAGGTCAACCCCCTTACCAAGAACCTCTTTGAGGCCCTCAACGAAAACAGCCGTCTTGATCAAACCGCCAAGGTCCTCAGTGCCTATGCTGAATTGATGAGCGCTCACCGTAACGAGCTTTCCTTGACTGTCACCTCTGCCAAGGTAAAAAGAAAAGAGAGAGAAAAGGATATTAGATACATGGAGATATTAATAGGCGATATAGGAACTCGACAAGGCTACTTTGAACAAGATTGCCGATTCTCTCCAAAAGAGCAAGCTCGCTGAAGGCAAGAAGCTTTTGGTTTCCAACAAGGTCAAGCCTGATATCCTTGGTGGTATCCTCGTTGAGATTGGTGACAAGAGCATCGATTTGACTGTTTCCGGCAAGGTTGCCAAGCTCAACAAGCTTGTCACTGGTGAGTAGGATCAAGCAATGTGTAATGTGATGAATACTAACGGAGACTGATATCTTTCACCCCTGTCAGATTCCATCTAAATAACGTCTATCCCGTTTCTTGCTATCGAGATCTTACTATAGAGATTTGTCTATGCAATAACAACTATACATCGACATACAAATTGCCTGTTTTCTTTTTCGTGTTCATATAGAGTGCATGATTTCAAGGTTGAGTGGGGGGTGGTTATGATGTCATTTTATTATCATGATGATCATTGTCAATAACCGTTATCATTATGCTGACAACATTTGCATTCATGAATGTGTTGGAGATGGGGGGGCAATGATAATGACAAGGAGACTTGAGAAGGATTAGCCGCTAGTACTTTGTTTATTGATAGAGTGAAATGACGATGATAAGTGATCTATGTTGTGATAGATAGGATAGGATAGGAGAAGACAAAAGTGCTAAAAGCTACTGCTACTATTACTACTACTCACTAATTGCTGTTTTTGTAATTCAGCGCGCGCCCATTTTATGTAATCGACCCATTCCTTCCTTATTCCCGTTTTATTCAGGACATGTCTGCATCGGCTGGCCCGAATGCGTCACCCGTTGCCGAACCAACACGCGAAGAATGCTTTTCTACAGTAGCAGCACCGCCGCCTTTAGCACAACGATGGCCTGAATATCCTGGAGCACAACCCATGCGAACAGATGCGCCACCCACATCGCCGACACATAGCTACCCATCCAGCAATAGCAATAGCGCCATCACGCTCGAACTCGCTGTTCAGTATGATCATCCTACAGTGACAAGTGATTCAAACCATGCACAAGACCGAGGAAAAGGCCTATGTACGATATGCCGGTCCACCACTCAGGACGACCTTGTGTTTTATCGACCGCAAATGCAAGTACACAAAGTGCTTTCGATGAATCAAATAGCAGCAGCAGCAGGAGAACAAGGTGGTGGTGGTGGTGGTGGTGCTTCAAATGACTCGATCCCGAGAGCATACCTTCCTTATGTGACATTATATGGTCCTCAGAAGCAAGCGTTATGGTCATTGACAGGCAAACAGTGGAATGCACTCGAGTTCACATCACCAAAAGATCAGCATGTTGTCAAGTTACTCAAGGAGAAACTTGCATTTGTATGGATCAACAATGTCAGCTATCAATGGCGGTTTATGCCAGCAACCGATCCCAACACCAACACGACGACCTACGATTTACGTTGCTATGAAGGTCGCCAGGTGATTGCCGAATTTATATCCAACCGTTACATACAATGGTCTCATGCAGCACAACAACCCCAACAACAAGCCGCCAATCCATTTCGCCAAAATGAGAGTCTATTTTCATCATTCCTCTTACTATCAGGCCTTTTGATTCTTGATTTGGCAGGATGTCCTCCTCGTTCTACACCCGACCCAGAAGCACTTTTACTATGGATGGCACCCGATTCTATAGAGCAAGACGATGAGGATGATACTGCAAGTATGGCGTCGTCATTATACTATGCCGAGCAAGGATTGGTGGATAATGATCATGCGCCCACTGGACGATGGTATGGTGGTGGTGTTGAATCTGTCAAGAGTATCGAGCTTGATCCTGGATTATTACATTGCTGGTGGGGATATGGATTTTGGTGGACGTGGTGTCCTTGCTGCATGCCCGGTGGATGGTTTGATCGTTTTCGATGGAGTTTACGACGACGTAAAGAGATCAACAATCATAGCAACAGCAATACTTCTCGTTCACGGCAACGAAGGCAACGTGGATGGCAACAGCATCACCCAGATCAATATTAACTATTCCCCTTTTACCCACTCCTCCTCCTCCCTGCATCGTGTAAACTTGATCCCCCTCCTACTACCCCCTTACATCTATATTCTTTGTCTTCGTTTTGGTGTATATATCTTATCACATATAAAGAAATCCACAAGCTGTACGATAATCTCGTTTTTAATGTTTCGATAAAGAACACACACACGCAAAACACATTCTAGTGCTGACGACGGGACTCGGCAATAACACCCTGAAGCTCATCAATCTTCTTCTTTGCACGAACAAAGGTACCAAGCTAAAAGATATCATGTGAGTGAGTACTTGGTCTCTTTATATATCATGCATAGGCTCAAAGAGGCTACTTACTCTTCTCTTGGTAAGCTTCTTGGCACGCTTATCACGGGAGTTCTTGATCAATTCCATAACGCGACGTTCATAGGGAGCGAAACCAGCAACTTCACGCACAATGCTACGGACAAATGCGGTGCGCTTGCCGATAGCCTATAGACATCATGTTGAGATTAGTATGTGATATCTACACCCATCCATCCATCCATCCATCGATTAAATCATTCACATCCATCCATTACATACACGACGTTGGGAAGGCTTCTGCTTAAGCTCACGACGAGTGGTGATGTGGCCTTTGTTGATGCCAACAGCAATGCCAGACTTCTGCTGAGGTGCCATTTCGAAAGAGAGGAGGTGCTTCAACTGGCATGGATCGGTATTTTGTGTTCCCGTTGTACCGATTTGGAAATCTCCACCAACACCCCCACATCGACTAAATCCACATGGACTATCATCATTATTACCATTGAGTACTCATCACTTTATATGAGAACAAGCCATTATGTACTATTTTGATCTTTTGTATGCTACTATGATGTTTATCACCTCATGAGTGCACGCCCATTCTCAGCCTCAGCCTATGTGTGTTGTAATAATAGCCACTCCTCTTCAGCAATCTATTTTAGCTATCTATCTTCATATCAAGGTCCCACACAATACCTCCATTGATCCTCGTACAGTGCATTCAATGAAAAATGTGTCTTAGGGATATATTGAAAGGGTTGAAAAATGAACATCACCAGGTGGTGGAAACCCCTCATATACAATGATAGCTCCAACATGAGTCTCTGAGATGCATGTATTGTATGACGAAAAAGACTTCTATAAACTACAAGAATACACAAAAAAGGAACAATGGGTCTTTGAGAAGATGATAAGATGAATCGTCCTTCAGGAACGTCCTCAAATGGATAATGCAATCGACTCTTATTTAATGATGAAATCACCGACATCCCCCAATCACTGACATGACACATCGATCCCTCATATTGCAAACGATGATTGATAAGAGTTAAATGAACAAGTGGAGTCAAGTTACACTGCTGATGAGCCAAATTCAAATGCAAATGATTGGACATCTAAAGATCCGATAGACACAGCCTGTTGTCAATTAGATCTCCTCTGCGCATATCCCAATCTTGAAACAACGTTTCTCTTTTCGACCTTTATTCTTTTTATCTCTCAATGAGCGAATTGGCATCGTCGTTTACGATCCTTTGGGCGTCCCAGACAGGAAATGCAGAGTGGATTGCCAAGAACATTTTCTCAGAAGCCAAGCAACGAGGCTACAGTGGCGAATGCTTTGCCATGGAGGAATGGGAAAAGGTAGATCTCTCTCTCTCTCTCGTTATCACTATCCAATGCCTTGCTAACTAATGTATGATAGGCACAACTAGACAAGGTCCGTGTTCTCATATCAGTGGTATCCAACACTGGCGACGGTGATCCACCAGACCATTCTCTCAAGTTTTGGCGGTACCTGCGTCGACTCAAGCAGCCCGACTACTTTAAGGATTGCAAGATTGCCATTCTCGGTTTGGGTGATACCAACTATACCAACTTTAATAATACGGCAAGAAAGCTCGAGAAGCGACTCAAGGATATGGGAGCAACCGTATTTCATGAAAAGGGGCTTGCCGATGATGCTGAAGGGTAAGCAAATGAGAGGGATCATCACGATGAAGGGATCATAATGACTCATATTTGAGTAGACTTGAGAGTGTGGTGGATCCATGGATTGAGAAGCTTTGGGAAGTTTTACCCACTGTATTGGAAAAGAAGGGGGATGTCAAGGAGGAGACCAAGGACAATGTGGAAACGGTGACAGAAAAGATGAGCAAAGTGGACATCAATCCTTATTCAGGCGACGCACGTTCTTCAGAGATTGCTCCATCTGTTGACAAGTATCTTGATCTTCCCAATTCCTTGGTGAAGAAGCCAACTTTGCATTTGGGTCATGTTCTTCAGCTTGATTGGTCCGGCTTGCAACCTGGTGTTCAATTATCAGGCTTCCCTCGTCTTCCAGCCTCAGGTGCAAAGCTCACTCGTTTGGAAGGAAAGCAAAGATCAAAGGACACCTTGCCATCCATCGATTGTGTCGTGACGCCAACTCCTGTTACCCATGCCTCAGTCACTCGCGTTCGTTGCTTGACGACACATGATGCACTCAAGCGTACATTGCACCTTGTTCTTGACGTGGGTGATCAACTTGAATTTGAACCTGGTGATGCTTTTGGTGTGATTGCTCCCAATGATGAATCCCTTGTTGAAGAATTGCTCAATGTCCTTGCACCATCTACGGCTGAAGCTTATGAAGCACTTTACTCTGTGGAGGGTGATAGTAAGTTGTCGCACACACATGTCAAAATTATCCATGCACAAGCTGATTTTCTTTTTTGGTTACACGATAATTGATAGGTCTTCCCACACATTTATCCAAGGCAACATCGGTCACATTATCCGATCTCTTCCGTTACGCTGTTGATATCACCACACCTCCTCGTAAAGCATTGTTGCGTCTCCTCGCTGATTACACATCCGACCCACAAGAAAAGAGCAAATTGATGTACCTTTGCAGTAAACAAGGTAAACCATCACATTTATATATGCAATTGGATGATGTCTAATTCATTATTGTATGTATTAGGTGCTTCCCAATTCAGCTCCCTTAGAGAACAAGTGCCCACCTTGTTGGACATCTTAAAGACATTCCCAAGCTGCAAGCCTTCCATAGAACGACTCTTGGATGCTCTTCCTGCCCACATGCCACGTTATTATTCAGTTGCCAATTCGCCTCTCAAGTACCCTGGTCAAGTTCATTTTGCATTCAATGTCATCGACTATACCACGACCTACAATGTACCACGCAAAGGTGTCGCCACACCATGGCTCGATCGTTTGACGGGCTATGTTGCAGCACGTACGCATGACAAGCCTGATCCTGTATCCATTGATATCCCACCTGGTACGCTTACGGTGCCGATCTTTAAAAAGCACAACTCGAATGGATTCGTGTTGCCAGTGGATACCAAACGACCCCTTGTGCTGATTGGACCTGGTACCGGCATTGCACCCTTTGTTGGTTTCCTTGAACATCGACAAAAGCAACGTGACATTCGCAAATCCATGGGTGGTGTGGGTGTACATCCATCACGTGATATCCAAAATGAATTTGGTGCCATTTGGGTTTATTACGGCTTCCGAGAACAAGCCAAGGATTATCTTTTCGAGCAAGAATTGAAGACTTTGCAAAAGGATGGTACCGTTACTGAATTACGCTTGGCAGCTAGTCGTGAGCAATCATCAGGCAAGGTGTATGTTCAAGATTTGTTACGCCAAGATGCCGCTCGTCTTTATGATCTGATCGTCAACCAAGATGCTGCCATTTATGTGTGTGGTGATGCCAAGGGTATGGCCAAGGGTGTCAATGATGCATTGGCAGAGATGCTTGTTCAACATCATCAATTGGATATCGTTGAAGCCAACAAGTTGCTCGTTGAATGGATGCAAAGTCGCAAATACCTTCGTGATTTGGTAAGTTGAATCTCTCTCTTTTTCTCATTTCTTTGGCATTTTGTGTACTCATGTTGTATTATAGTGGGCATAGAAAAGAGATCTAGTTGTTGTTGTGTATCTGCATATTTGTACAATAATCATAAAGCATGGAAATGATTTTATCAAAAAGACACGGATATCCAAGGGATAGAGCCGATGGCATTTATTAAGATGGTTAAGCATCCACGTAGAAGGGATGGGAGAAAAAGTGGCATTCGTCGTTGTCCTCGGTGGTACCAGTGACCCTAAAAGTATACAATAAGTACGCGTATCGTGATCATGGGTGATGATGAATACATACTTGTAAAAGTAGGCAGAGTTGCTTTCGGGGTTAACGACCTTCTCCTTGAAGTTGAACGAGTGGCGAAGGGAAGACTTGTCAGACCAAGAATCCTTGACCTTGACAGGCTCACGGCTATCCAAGTCGACTCTGAAGAGTTCCAAGCCGGTGATAGTTTCCACTTGGGAAGCACCATCACGATCTATCATAATCATCGAGTCAGTCGATTGACCCTTGTTACATCTTCCCCCACGAAATACTTGCCAACTTGGACAGCAAACTTCTTGGAAGCAGAAACGTGTTCACCGAGAGCAGGCTTGGAAATATCAATACCAAAGCAACCGTTGTCAATGTTGGAATCCATGTTGGCGATAGCTTCATCTTCAGCGGCATTCGAGTGAGAAGAAGACTTGACCTTGAACACCTTGGACATCAAAGTGCAGTCAGGACCTGAATATCAAATAAATAGAATGAGTACATGGGCGATCCTTCCTTTCCATGATGGAATACTTACCGGCCTTGTTGTGAACCCAAACGCTGTGTAGTCGCACAATAGGTGAGTACATCTATATATCATGCAGCGTTATACCCGCTTACCGGAATTCGAATTGCGAGGGGAATTTAACCTTGGGAGCCTTGGTCAAGTCAACACTAATTGTGTGTGTAGCCATCAAGTCAGTACAATGAAAAGAGGGGCAAAATGGGATATTCATACTCACGTCAAAGTAGCCACCTTGTTGAGCGAGTAAGAACCCTTCCAGGGAGTACCGAGGTAAGTAGCCTTGCCCTTGGAATCAATGCTATAGATCTATAATCCAGGTACAACAACGCCATGATTAGTGTACATATCCATTACGAGAGTATCATCATTAATAAAACATACATCAATGCCGTTGATCACTTTGGCTTGTGCATCGGGTTGACGGGCTAAACAAAATGGATGTGTGAGAGGAGCTGCTGCTGCTGTAAGGTTGAAGGTTGAGCACTTACTGACAGTGACTTTGACTTTCTTTGGGTTGCTGAAGACTTGGTTCTTGCTTGGTTTGGTGACCTTGATACCTGTCAAAGAGGGGAACGATGAATACACTTGTTGTCGATGAACGCACGCAATGGGGGTGATAGATTACCGCCACAGAACTTCTTCATAGCTTGGTCAATCTCGTCTTGCAAATCGGCCTGGGCCAACATGGCGAACAATGCGACCAACAAAAAAGCGAGTACAGACAACTTCATGCTGGTGATAGAAAAGGAGAGGGAAGGGAAGAGGGATGTGTATGGGATATAATTCGAGCGAGAAAAAGAAAAAGAAAGAGAGAAAGCTGTGGATAGGAAGGCCTCTTTTCTTTCTCTTACGAGAGAGCACGAGTTGGCGCGCCCGGCTTGTCACTAAAAATACAAATCGTGTCACCATTGCCAATTTGCAATCAAATTAGATATCCGAGCAGTTATAGATGACATGCATCGTAGTTCTCTATACAAAATGATAAACAAGCATTGGCCAATATCATGCAAATGGCGTGTGTACCATGAATCCATAGGTGGTCTCTTGTTTAAATGCTGTCAATTGCATTTTAGTGCTTAAAGCCTTCAACAACGTTTGTTCAATAACGGTAAAGTCCCGTGTAACATTATCTATCATCCGCTTTCAAGTCAGCATTGTTGCCTCCCAATCATTCCATTTTCCTTGTTTCGGTATCTATTGTAATAGCACTGTCATTTCAGCTTTGCATAAAGTAGTTACTTGATCCTATGATACACCTGTGCTAATTATAATGTCTACGATGCAACAGAGGTTCATTGGGACAAATGCTTTTGGACGCTACTTGGATCACGTGACGTGGACTACCTTGTGGGCTATCCTGTCAACGTAACGCATGTTCACAACTTCAAGAATGAGTATGTATTGAAGCTGTTTTATCAATCCCTGTGAGAGGTGGTGATGAAGAATACTTACGCTTATGCACCATGTTTATCAATGAATGGTCCCACCACCATCACACGCATCTTTTTTTCTACAACAAGCATTCACACAAACGACCTCGAGCAACGTCTTATTGCGCTTGATTGGCCATTCAGGCCTCCTCCCTGTATTGATAAATCGTGTCTTGTATCCATGTTTTATTTCAAACTTGATCGCATCATGCTGTCATCAATGCTAAAGAGGTGTTCATTGCATCATCACTGTTGCTTCAGGTCACGCAAACATACGCGCATACCTTCCATTCACGAGGCTCCTTTGCGATAGAAATGTGTTCCTGATCACAAGTGATAGATGGCTGGAAAGAAAAACAGGATACCAAATTGATGTCATTGGTGAGTGATAAATACTGCCACCCGCATGAACAATCAACCCCCCATCACTTGGATTGTATGATAAGTAGGCAGCCTTCATGGTAGGAAACATTTACGCTTGCGTACTACTACGTTTATCGATGAACCTGCAACTTTTTTTTGCCTGAAATGAATGCTCACACAAGCAACCTCGACCAAGCAACGTCGCGTACATAGCACAACAAGAGATTTGTGGTAGTACATCATGGATGAAGAATGAGCCCTGATTCATGCAGAGACAATCAATCACACCAAGACCCTTTCTTTTGGACAATGCACCCCAACAATCTATCAGGTCATCATCACCATTCCCAACGTACATTTTATCACTCATTCCCTCCTTTTTTTGTGGTCACAGAAACACCCACGCCCACTATGCATATATAAACACACGGATGTTGTCGCCTACTTTGCCTTCCACACATCTCTTTTTTCTATCATACCATTCTTTTATTGCTGACTCCTTCAAAGCCCAAGTGGTTGTGAGTACCATGGTGGATAGTCCTTGTTGTGAGCGATCTATGTGCTAACATTTGTGATCATCTTTAGCGTTTTATTATTGTCCTACTACTCTCGTTGTCCTTGTTGTCATTGTGATATTGGCTCTTTGATGGGTATCAATGGCGTTTAAAGAAGACATGCGTTGGCGTCTTTGCAGAACTTCAAGAATGATGCATATGATCATGATGGTCCTTCAGCTGTTACAAGCTTGCTTCAGGTGCTGTCGTTCGCCAGCAATGTCACCACTGAATGGGGCGCCACTCCCACATATCAAAAGCCTCCCGCCGCGCAGCCCTCATGAAGTGTGCGACGGTTCGCCGCCTCGCGTGGCTCAACAAGAAATAGTCCAAACGTAACAAGCGCTGGGGTGGTGGCGGTCCCAACCAAACCTCGACCATTTCATGTGGCCCGGTCGCCGCCCAGCATTAATAGATGAATGACGCTAATAAACCAAGTGCGACAAGCCCTGTGGTGGTGGTCTCAACTACATCATCGACATCTTCATCGCCTGTTATTATAGATGTTGTATCTTTTAATAAAACTCTTAAAGAACTCGTACTCATTCTCGTTGTCAATCGTATACATACAAACACCTAAACAACCAGCGCATAACCTCAGATCTCAAATATGATTTAGAGAACGTATAGCTTTAGGAATAATACTCCTCTTGTTGTTGCTCAAGTATACGAGCGACTGGTTGCATGACCCAGCTAAAAACAATGATGGCATCATTAACACCATGTCTCAAGATGTACAATAGCAAGCGAGCTAATTACGTTGGCTGACGGGTGCAATGATGATCGATGCTATTATAAACGCACAAGCGTATACGTGGTGTCACATTAATCACACAATCGCGCATAGCTGAATGGCCTCGTATTTGGTTCGCATGTATAGCAACATTGAGAATACTATGATCGTATCATCGAATTCCTGCTGGGGTATCTACAACTATGTTTGTATGGCTGGCATCCTCTAGTAGCTTTTCGCTTTTCATTGCTTGTGCAATCATCCTTGTTGGCAAAATCAGGCATGGTTTGTGATTTAAAAAAGGCACCACCTGTTTCCAGATCTTTACTACAATAGCTTATGGGAATGGATGACGATGATTCTTGTTGCTCAATGACGCTGTACTTTCAAGTGAATAGGCTCCTTTGCAAGTATGCATCACGATGCTCGCTTATAGCGAAGAAGGAAAAGACATTGCATCATGTGATCTAGGAGGTTGTCAGGGTACATACATTTAACGACGAATGTTGAAGGTGCCTTCCACTTTACTTTCTGAAACGTGCACTCAGCGTCTTCTTTCGTGGAATTTGAGGGCAGCAAGTGAATCGTGATAGCCGAGTGCTTGATGATGATGGGTATTGCCGCCTTGTTTATTTTCATGCAAGGTAATGCATCACACCAAAAAGGATCTCTGTAAAAGGCTTCCTAACTTTTTTGGGGACCACAAAAATACCCATGCTCATTATGCATATACATATAAACAAAGACGTTGTAGCCCATTGTTATTCCCACACACACCTCTTTCTTCCATTATCCTATTACCATTTGATTGCTGACAGCTTCAATGCCCAAATTGCGTGAGTACATGCCATGTTGGATAATCTTTGTGAGTGATCCATGTATGTATTAACATTGCTGATGATTCTATTAGCGTTCCATTGATGACCCAACAAGTGCCGATGCTGCTGCTGGAGAGTAGCTGTTACAAGAAAGCATGCTTGAGGATGTCATTTTGAGGCCTCATCAACACCAGAGCGACAACCCATTGTGCAAAGTGGCCTTGGTCTTCAGCCGTGTAACGATCGGGCTAACCTATGCTGTATGCTCGCACTCGTGTGAGCTCCACATACCTGTTCGATGCGAACACTGGTATTCACCCTGGATAATGGCAACTTGAATAGTCATGAGGTACGGGTCTTTTGTGCGGCGGCCATGAATGCAGCTCCATCCTCCGTTGAATTTCCACAAGTGGCCGAGATACACGTCAACGGAACCAGTGGCAATCTTTACAGTAAGTTTAATGAGCGGAGGAGTATACCACATATTAACATAGCATGTGAATAGCAATTAAGAAGCATAAAGAATACACCGGACACCGTCCATGCGGCCAATGTTACGTGATGGTTGAACCAAGGATCAAAACAGATCAATTGTTACAGCCAATGTAAGTCTTATGAGCGGATGAGTATGCCACATATTAACATAACATGTGGATGATAGATATTAAGAGGAATCAACAATACGCTGGTGTGGACACACATAAAAATCACGAAACGATAATAAAAACAAGAATTCTACCCTTGAAGCTGCTGAAGTTTACTCACCTAAACCGTTATCTCTACTTTACTACTTTTCATCGTCCCCATGTTAGTGCTAGCTATTCATTCGTTTCATTCATCAAGTGATTATCATTGATGAGTTTCTTAATAAGAGGTGTGGGGTAAGATAAGCGGCCGATGCAAATTATTGAATCCAAGTCGCAGGATCAACCCCCTGGTTACTCTAGCGTTTACTATAGCCGAGGTGCATACGAATTTTGTGGCAATGGCATGAAGAAGTGGCCGTAATTATGTATGCAAGCAAACACTCTTTGTCAAGTAAAACTAGGACGGAGCGGTAGGAAATTGGATGATTACACCTATACGACGCATGCTGATGTTTAAGACCATCACCATTTGAAGAGAGCGCATTGCTACTCAGGATGACGGATCAACATGAAAGAAGCTGTTAACTCTTCCCAATCCATAACGAATGCTATCATCTAACGTATAACATCTTGGGCATTGATATGAGAATTCTATGCATGCGTTTTATATGTACAAGGAGTAAAGTGATTGGGAGCAATATACAAAGCATTAAATGAGTGGTTGTTTGAAAGGGGATCGAGTAGCTTAATCATAATCGCTGATGATACATTCGACTGGATAGTTCTTTGCGAGCGATTCAATATGAGCTTTGCTGTTGTTCAGAAAGTAGCAATTGACAAAGTAGAGCTTTTTCAAATTGGTGCCCATGGTGCTAATCAATGACTCAGCTTCTACCTCGGTGAGGATGCTACCCATACGTAGGAAAGCAAGCGATTTGATCCGATCCAAAGATGCAAGAGCGTGAATCATATTGGCAGAAAGTGTAGAAAAGCGAGCCAAGCCGAGGTGCGTAAGGCGAGGAAGACTGGTTCGAAGGTTTTCGATGAATGCAAGTGTCTCTCGCTCATCAAGACAGTTGCAACAATCCACAGTGAGCCTTTCCAGAGTGTGAATGGTCAATGCGGTAGAAATGATATCAACTGCACTAGCCTGGTTGTAGCCTCTACGAAAGAAAAGCTGTAGCTCTTTGAGCGTCTCGGTGTGATTGCAACGGTGATGAAGTGCCTCTAAGAGTTCCAAATGGCCTGCTGCTCCTGCATTCTCAGTAAACTCGATATCGATGCGTCGAAGTGATGGTAGCTTATACTGCAAAGTATGCATCATAGATACTCCAAAAGCATGTTGTACTGAAAGTAGCTGCAGATGCTCCAATGCCTGATATGTATTGAGCCAAGAGCTATATCCATCTTCGTATTGTAGAGAAACAACGCCTTGACGATACAACGGTATAGAAAGGTATTTGAGTGTGGTATTGTTGGATAGAAGGCGCGTGTTGAACGTTCCCCAATCCGGAGCAAAGCTGGCAGCTGGGAATTCATAGTCGAGATAAACGGACTCCAAGGTCGATTGTTGCTCCAGCATAATGTCGTAGTCAGCTTGGGATACACGTGATGTGCGATTCCAATAGTAACGTAAACCGGATTCACCTTGGTGATCATAAGATGCTGCTAATTGAAGGTAATCTCTGGGATGAACCACCTCGTCATCTGTTGTAAGAAAGTCTGAGGATAGATCAACATGGATGATCTTCGGGCACAATGTAAGGATGGTTGACATGAACGTATCATCAATAAAATATGTAGCCAGTTCCAGATATTCGATATTGGGTGTAAAAGACAACAACGCTGTGATGGCGGATCGATAGATGTCTGCTGGAAGGTCTGCTAGATTATCGATCACAAGCGAAACGAGGGTGCTGAGGTTGCTGCGTTCCAATAGTTGTCTTTGTACATGAAAATAACTTCCTTCATCACCACAGGTAAATGCAAAATGGCTGACGTTGTGTTCTGTTGCAAGTAGGATATAATCGACAAGATTCATAGTGGGAGCATGGACATTGACGAGAGCGAGGGTATCAAGACGCCACTTTTTAAAGCAAGACTTCAACTTTGTATGCATGACTTCCGGGTACTCAATGTGGACATTGCGTAACTCTGTGGATATTACATCATTAACTCTTCCATATGCTCTCTTGTAACATACCCATCAACCTACCAAGCTTTCGCAATAAAGAACATGGCATGAGTCGATCCATGACCTTCATCATAGTGTCCATGTGCTCAAACTTGAGTCTAGCTGTTCTCACAAAGTGGCCAACGAGGTCGATAGAAGCGAGCGCGTGTAAAGAATCGTCGTCAACGGTGATATCTTGAAAAAGCTGTGATGCAGCCTGTGGTATGACATGTCGCCAATGACGAGAGACTTGAAGGCATTCATTGCAGTCCATCGGTCTCAATTCAGAAACAACGCTGGTAACAATCTCCTGTGGAAGGTGAATCATACTGATCCCTGAAGGAAAGAGTTGACAGAAAAAAGAGAGGAACAATGAATAGATTGCTCTTCTAAGCCCAGCATTCCCATCATCCAACTTTCTTGATTCGAGGTAACCTGGTAGTAAAGGCAATGGCTGTTGTTGGATCATCATTATCATGTAAAGTGTAAAATGGCACACCCTTTTGCTATACGTGAGGATAATCATTTCTTTTATTTACGGGTACCTATTGTCTATCGTGAGGGTGATGATCATGATGGGTGGATGGTGTATGTGGGGTCATTGAGTGGCCTCAGTGTAATAGCAGTAGGGGATTTAAACTTGGGGGACAATAGCCCCACGACTTGAGACAACGCTTCTCTTCTTTTTCTTCCTTCCCTGCTTTTATCCCATTCACGACATCCCGATCAAGGTAATGTACTATAAAAGAGTGCTCTTGTTGGTTGTGAGGTATTAATACAGTTCTGAACATGCATTGCCAGGGAGTGAGTGTGTCCAAGTGCCGAGGAATGGGTGTGGTTGCCATGGCGATATCGTTGCTTCCTCTTGTTCGTTGCTATTCCCGCTCTATGCTTCGTGTCAACAGGTACATCCGAAGCCCAATGTTGCAGCATGACTTGTTCCATCGACGTGTTAGCTTGTATAGAGAGCAAGTTTGGTCTCAAGACGTTGGCTCCTTTGGCGTTTTGTTTCGGCTCAAGAACACTACACCATGGTTTTCGGTTTCCACTAACCAACAACAGAGGAGTTTTTTATGTATATGGAAAAGGCAAGTGCAATGAAACAAACAATGAAATGGGTCTTTATTGTGTGTGCGTGCTAAGAATGAATTGAATAGGTTTCTTTAGTCAGGCAATGCAACTTGGGACATCATCATCATCATCTCTTTGGGTTCAAGCCCCAGCCTGTATCAAGTGGTCGCTGCGTCGCTCTGCACTAGCCAAGTGTGCTGCAAAAGCTTCTTGGAACGCGTCCAGGGCTCTATAGGCCTGCGTTGAGTTGAGGATGGGTCGATGACGATGGAATTTTGGAAGAGCATGGTCACCGTGTTGAGGTAAAAGGGGATTTGCAACAGCTTGTGAATGTGTTTAACCAACACGCTCTTCTCGTGATAGGCTCGTTCTTCCCCTTGAGGATTTCTTTTCATGAGGTGGGAAATGATTGGAAGGATTGGATTGGGGATCATTCTTTCTTTGGAGAGGATGAATGAGAACAACTATGAGCCTGGACTTTACGTAAGTGAGTCCTTCCTTGCCATGGATCGAACTGGCCTTGCGTGATTCGTGCAGTGCTTTCTCAAGAACAAGGGATCGCCCGACGTTGCTCGTATGATGGTGATTTTGTTTGTGAATTCCTTCTGATTTGCTTTCTTCCTTAGAGAGGATCGCCTAACGGTATGCCAAATCGTCATCATTCCCGGTATCAGATGGTCTAACTTGCCTGCTTTCTTATTTGTAGAGACGGCGATTACGATGATTACCGGATTCACGACAATGACGATTACGATGATCACCCCATCTACAACAATGACAATGATGACGATAACGAGATTCAAAAGGAAGCCTGCAAGATCCCATTCTTTTCAACTTGTGTGTTTTTGGATGTGGTGTGACGGATGAGATTGACGACTGGTGACGAGTACGAGTACGAATACGAATGATGACGGAGGACGACTATGACGATGGTGGTGGCAATGTACAGTACATAGCAAGATAGCTAGATGAAATAAAGCATTGTTTATTTATTACACGCTTGTTGGACTTTGCTAGCAGCTAGCTTGTGGATCACATACTATTGCTTCGAAGATGGAATAATAAAAGTGGTCCGGTTATTGGTCATGCAAGAAGTATATGGCTTTTGTGATGCAATAAGGAGGAGTGGGATGACTTTGAGAAGAGAAAAAGTGAAGTGATCCCTCCATTGAGTGTCAGGATGAGTGACCGATCAATATGTATACGTATCTTTTTACATACACAAATTGGTTTATGAAGCTCGACTTTCTTCTACATGCAAATGTGATGCATACCTTGACACACCTTCATTATTGGATGCTGTTTACTTACGTACCTTCACAAAAGGCAATCATCATCATCATCATCCATTTGTGTAGCAACCTGTCAAGGATGTGTCTGTGTAACCACCACGTGCGGTTTCACTCAGCTCTTCATCTTTCCGTTAATGCAGCCGACACCATCCACTAGGAAAAAGCAACTCCATCACGCTTACAGCATAGGTAAACATAAACGTGCCTGTATCTCCAAACTTTACAATGAAACGTGGGGTTTTTATTAGAGCAATGGGCTCGGCTTGGCCAACGGCACCTTGTGTGAAAGTTTCGCGTTCAATGTCGCAAACAGCCCAAAAAATATTTTTTAGTCGTCGTCGTCGAGGAGGTCGACCCCCAGATCCAGTTTGGCTGGTAGCGACATTGCGAAATCTGGGATTGGCAAGCTTGATCGTGAAACTTGCACCCAAGGTGCAGTTGGCCAAGCCGAGCACATTGTTCTATCAAAGACCCCACGTTTGATTGTAAAGTTCGGAGATACAGGCACCTTTATGTTTGTAAGGGTGATGCTACATGAGAAGTGGTCTTTGTTTAAGGTAAAGTAGTATGGCTATAATAGAGCAAAAGATGCAGAAGGACCTCTTTGGGTAACTCAGCTAAAAAGTCAGGACTTCAGGGACAATGCATGAAAGGTACGCAACCCTCATTTCATGTCATACATTGGCAGCTAATAACCACTTTTGTGCATTCCCAACTTTTGCGCATTCTATTGTTGGTGGACGATGCTCCTGCTCTAGACATTCATTTCCATGATTAAAGTAGGTTGATCCGAGCTGATTTGGTTGAGTTACGCTCACACAATATTACATCGGTTGAGCTACATCGAGCGTGCTTTATGTCCAGAGTGATGTAATCTCTCTTTGACCGCAGCTCAGTCAAATCAGCTCGGATCAACCTACTTTAATCATGGAAATGAATGTCTAGAGCAGGGGCATCGTTCCCATGCAGTGGATCTCGCAACAAAGATGACTGGATAAAGTGGCCGTTAACTAGCAATACATGCCTGTTCCTAGATGATCCATAAAGTAATTATACATGACCCTTTCATTCATGCAAACGTAGCTGTGTTACACAACACGACCCTCTGCATCTTTTGCTCTGTCAGGGTCCACCTACTTTACATTAAACAAAGACCACTTCTCATATAGCATCACGCTTACAACATAAAGGTGCCTGTATCTCCAAACTTTACAATGAAACGTGGGGTTTTGAATAGAGCAATGGGCTCGGCTTGGCCAACAGTACCTTGTGTGAAAGTTTCGCGTTCAATGTCGCAAACAGCCCAAAAAATATTTTTTAGTCGTCGTCGTCGAAGAGGTCGACCCCCAGATCCAGTTTGGCTGGTAGCGACATTGCGAAATCTGGGATTGGCAAGCTTGATTGTGAAACTTTCACACAAGGTGCTGTTGGCCAAGCCGAGCCCATTGCTCTATTCAAAACCGCAAGTTTCATTGTAAAGTCTGGAGATACAGGCACCTTTATGTTTGTAAGCGTGATACTATATGAAGAGTGGTCTTTGTTCATTGTGAAGTATCTAGACCCTGACAGAGCAAAAGATGCAGAGGGTCGTGTTGTGTAACACAGGTACGTTTGCATGACTGGGAGGATTGATGGATTATACTTTATGGTCTATCCACAATAGTCCATATATTGTGCGCTATCAGCCATTTCCTCACAATCAGCGTTGTTGCGAAATCCACTGCATGTGAACGATTCTCCTGCTCCAGCCGAGCATTTCCATCATTCAGGTTTCTTGATCCGAGCCGATTTGACTGAGCTATGCTGGAACAGCAAACATGAAAATACTTGAAAGACAGACCCTGCGAATGTCTTCGTCTTTCAAACTTTTGGACGCTCCCATTCCAAATTTTCAAATGAAGCATGAAGTTTTTATGAGAAAAATGTTGATCAGCATGCTCGGAGCACCCTTCTGATCAATTTTCAAGTTGGAGGTGGGCAACTTCGGGGCGATGAGCCGTCCGCTCTTTTGTTCCCATCATCCACCATTTGGACAGCTCCGCATTGTAAATCTTCATAATGAAGTCTGCGACTATTAAATGAATGAAGTTGATCAGCATGTTGCAGCGAACCTTCTGACAAAGTTTCAGGTTCGAAATGGGGAATCCCAAGGTAATGCATACTATTTCCATAAATCATGAATCTGGCGCTGACCTCCATTTCCGCCTTACATAGTAAACCCACATTGTACCCTCCCATTCCAAATTTTCAATTGCAACATGAGGTCTTTTTTAGATCAACACGATCAGTATATCCAAGAGCAACTGTGTGGAAGTTTCAGGTTCGAGAGGGGAAATCTCACTATCAAGGTTTGATGTACAGTGTGCATGCATTTATACAAGAGGTGTCCGACCTATTCAAGTTCCACTCCTTCCACTCCCACAACTCCTTGTCTTTTCCTCCCATTCTCAACTGTTGGTGCATTCAAGTATACAACTACCAACTGCGAACGATTGTCCTGCTTCAATCCACCATGTCAATCCTACGATTGCCTTGATCCGATTGCCTTTTGACTGAATGGCAAGTCCATGGCCTGAACACAGCCTTCTTGTCACTCCACTACAACACGTGCTTTCTTGATACTGCACATCGTTTTGCACGCTCATTTGCCACGATCAAACGCAACAGCATTCAATCCAGCAGCTGCTATTAGCGATCTCTTTACTCCATTGTCTCAAACAACGTTCACAACCTTGTCACTCTGCTACAACACACGCTCTTGCCACGATCACGCGCTGCAGCTGTTGCTATTACCAAGGTCTTTACTTTATTGTCTTCAACAGCGTCCTTTACTTGCAGCAACTTGCCTTACAACCTTTGTTAGTGCCACAGCAGATAGCCATTGTATAGAAGCAGCCTTTTTTTACATGTACCAACTTGCATTAATACAACGACTTCTTTGGATATGAATTATGAATATGAATATGGATATTGGTTTGGTACATTGGGTGGAAGGGATCTGGATATGCACAACACGTGGGAAAAGGACCTAGTTCTTATGTCTCCTTTGTCAACGTGGCCGTAATGCTCGCAACCTGAACGATTGGGTGCATCCAGTTATCGTGTGGAACCTGTCAACCATGTGCAACGATCATGGTCATCATCCAATTGCGCCATTTTGACACCTCATGCTTATAAATCACCGCCATGTTTCAAGTGCTATGCCACATCCATCCTCCTTCACCATGCGCTCGTTCATTGCAAGAAGATATAGTTGAACAATAACCAGGGAAAGTAGTATGGTCACCAATCATCCGTCAGCGGCGTGTGAAAGGATCATTGACTACATGCATCCACCATCGACCTCACTCGCGTCGATCCCCACCATCTCAAATATTGTTCTTATTGCCTCTTCCACGAAGCCGTAGAACTCCTCCAGGTCAGGTGCATACTCAAATGCCGGGAACAATATGGTACGTAAGATGTCATTGTCCAGCGATAGCTTCGTCCTTGTAATCATAAGCACACGTATCCTTTTAGCATCATCCCTAATTTCCCTTTAACAATAAATGCTCACGTTTGCACCTGTATGCATCGTTCCTTCACTTCTAGTGATCATCTCATCCTTTTTTAAGGCATCGGTCTCTTTCATGCATGCTACTTTTATCATGACCATTCCCATCACTGCATTTGCTTGCATGAAACCTTGCTTCATGAAGTTGTTCCATCACACACAGACCATTGCCTTCGAACACGAGTGCTTCTCATCCTCTCTCTCTTTGCTGATGACCTGATAATAAAACACCTTGTGTTGGTGTGGACATGTCGAGGGATGAAATTGGGGGGTGGTGCATACCATCACACGCATTAACACAAACGGCCTCAATCCTCCCTGTATTGATAAATCGTGTCTTGTATCCATGTTTTATTTCAAACTTGATCGCATCATGCTGTCATCAATGCTAAAGAGGTGTTCATTGCATCATCACTGTTGCTTAAGGTCACGCAAACATACGCGCATACCTTCCATTCACGAGGCTCCTTTGCGATAGAAATGTGTTCCTGATCACAAGTGATAGATGGCTGGAAAGAAAAACAGGATCCTAAATTGATGTCATTGTTTGGTGATTGATAAATATTGCCACCCACATGAACAATCAACCCCCCATCACTTGGATTGTATGATAAGTAGGCAGCCTTCTTGGCAGGGAACATTTACGCTTGCGTACTACTACTACGTTTATCGATGAACCTGCAACCTTTTTTTTTGCATGAAATGAACGCTCACACAAGCAACCTCTATCAAGCAACGTCGCGTACATAGCACAGCAAGGGACTTGTGGTAGTACATGGATGATGAATGACCCCTGATTCATGCATGGACAATCAATCACACCAAGACCCTTTCTTTTGGACAATGCACCCCAACAATCTATCAGGTCATCATCACCATTCCCAACGTACATTTTATCACTCATTCCCTCCTTTTTTTGTGGTCACAGAAATACCCACGCCCACTATGCATATATAAACACGGATGTTGTCGCCCACTTTGCCTTCCACACATCTCTTTTTTCTATCAAACCATTCTTTTATTGCTGACTCCTTCAAAGCCCAAGTTGTTGTGAGTACCATGGTGGATAGTCCTTGTTGTGAGCGATCTATGTGCTAACATTTGTGATCATCTTTAGCGTTCCTTTAATGACCCAACAAGTGCCGATGCTGTTGCTTGAGAGTAGCTGTTACAAGAAAGCATGCTTGAGGGAGCCATTTTGATATCACATCAACGCCAAAACGACTACATACCCATTGTGCAAAAAGTGGCCTTGGTCTTCAGTGGTGCAACGATCGGTCTACCCTATGCTGCGTGCTCGTACCCTTTGTGGGGCTTCACACGCCTGCTCGGTGCGGTGGCCTGTTGAGGCAAACGATCATGAAAAAGCGATGGGTTCTATGCGGCTGCAATGGGCACAGCCCCCGCGGCCGATGATATCGCCTGAGTATCAGAGCCGCGTGTGGACGGCAATGCAGGACAAGTCCCTGCCAATGTAAGTCTAATGAGCGGATGAGTATGCCACATATTAACATAGCAATTGAATAGCAATTGAGAGCCATCATCAAGAATGCGCCGGTGTGTGGACACACATAGAAATCACAATAATACAATAAAACAAAAGTTACCTTGAAGATAAAGTTTATTAACCTAACCAGTAACTCTACTACTTTTCATCATGCCCATGTTAGTAGCAGCTATGTATTCATTCGTTTCATTCATGCAAGTGATTATCATCGATGGGTATCTTAGTAAGAGTGAAGGCATGTGGAGTAAGATAAGCGACCGATGTACATAAGCAATATGGATGTTCTCTTTTTTCAGGACCATGATCACCCCATCAATCAATGGATGAGCCAAGTCAAAGATATGATCATGTCTCAAATGAGGAGACACATTACATGTATGTATTTCGGGGGTAACAATAGTACAAGCTATCTGGATATAATATGTTTAGGCGAGCATGCATGGATCCCATCCATAATGACAGCCTCTGCCACATTCACAATGAGCTACATAGACTTCGGTACAGCGGCAGACTCTGGCACACTCGCATCCAATACCAGATCCAGAACCTTTGAATGAGCATTTGAATCGATTAGCAAGGTATCCAAGCCTATCCATTACTCTTTTTCTACTTACAGTCGCAATAAACGGAATGTTTGGGATACGAAAATGTGTTTGTGTTGGCTGTTGCTGGTGCAAATTTGCCACCCAGTATTGATTCTGCAGTAGTAGAAGATGTACTGGATGTCATTTCTGGACGTTGTGGAAATTCGTTATTTGGTAACATGAAGGTATTGGGACCATGTGAATAAAGGCAAAGAAGCAGAAACAATGGCAATGCTTTATTTATATACCTCAAAGTGAATGAAACTTGAGTGTGCATGAATTTGGGATATGAATGGTTCACCGCATGACCAATCAAATGGGCATTTTGCAACGACGACAACAGCAACGGCTGGGTTCACCTTTGGAAGGGCGCGGGCCCCAAAACGCAGCAACCGTATCTTTACTACTACCACTACTACTACGCACCATGTCATCCAAACGATCCAGCATTGGCGTGCATCTCATGAGCACACGTCATCGACTCGAGCTGCAGGAACTGTTTGAGGCACTTGACAAGGACAAAGACGGCAAGGTATCACCCACCGACTTGGAAGCTATGCTAAACACGGCGGGTGTGGCTGCAGGCACCAGTACAGTGCCATCCATGGTAACCGTGCACACACCAAGGTAACGTTTTTAAAGGACTAACGAAACAAGGGATAGCTTAAAAACATCCATACCGATTCAAATGGCAACTTGGATTTTGACGAGTTTGCACGGCTGATGCGACCCACGCTACACAACCCTTTGCGGCTGACAAAGAAGCAGCAAGAGCTCAAGGAGGCGTTTGATGCGTTTGACCAAGATGGGGATGGTACTATCAATGCCACGGAGTTGATGGCTATGATGCAGCAGTTGGGTGACAGGGTAACACTACAAGAAGCCGAGCAAATGATAAAGGAAGCTGATCACGACCAGGATGGTGTTATTGATTTGGATGAGTTTACAAGAATGATGGGTGTACGTCCACCTTCTGAACCTGCCACTGTTTCATCCCCCACATCACCTGTTGCTTCCTCCGATACGACAACATGTCCTGTCCATCATCGACAACATCACCGTTATTCTGTCAGAAAGTTCTTTTGCAAATGCCACAATAACAGCTCGTAGCTTTGTGTCACCCAATGATTGAGCCCGCCCATAACTTTTTGCTGTCGGGATTGGTCGATATTTTTTCTCGCTCTTCTAATGAAAAAGTGAGTCGCAGATCTTCAGAAACAAAGGAATCAGGACGCGCGTTATCAAAAGATGGACGTGCGTGTGAGAGAGAAAGTGTGTGTTAAGAGTGAGATGAAAGAGAAAGGATGAAAGAGAAAGAATGGAATTATTAGGGTCCGTGGGCTGATGATGGAATGTTGTTTTGTTCTCTCTTCTCTTTATTTAGAGCATGATCTTGTTACTTTGGTGATTACATTTGGTAAATGGACATTGGGGTTCCGACCCTAGCGTTTCTCAAGAGAAGCATCCAAAAGAAAAGCCCATCCATTCTCCCCAGTAGAAAACGTGGTACATGTGTTGCTCGCTATATAAAGGCCCATTCATTGTTGATCTCTTGTTACTCCAAATATTTTAATCCAACATGTTGCATTCCACACCCATTCCAAACCTTGTTCTTGATAAACCACCCCACCACCAAGACCATGCTACTACTACTGCTACTACAACCGATCTTCCTGTCAGCCCCGAGGAGCTTGAATCGTTAAGGCAAGGTAAAGTTATCATCCAGGGAAAAAGAAGAAAACAAGACCACGTAATCTCTCCCACCACCTCCTAGTTCTGACAACCTCCTCCTCCTCCTTCTCTTTTACAGCTTTCCGTATCTTTGATTCGACTGGCACAGGCAGCATTACCATTGGCCAATTCAGCAAAATCGTCAAGAATCTCAACATTGCGACCGATCCCAACGAGATTGACTGTATCGCACGCTCTGTCGACTTGAACAATGACCACGTGATTGATTTTGAGGAATTTGCTACCGCCATGATTCGCCACTTGGCACCCTTACATCCTGCTCATGAGCCCCTGCAGCCAACTGCTACAACAACAGCATCATCTCGACGAGTGCGGAGCAAACGTATTAGTTTTCATGACGAGATGGAACTTCTCCAATGCTTCCAAGCCTTTGACAAGAATGGCGATAACCGTATTAGTCAACAAGAACTTGCTGAAGTCATGATCAGTCTTGGCGAACGACTTTCCTCACATGATCTCCAGGCTATGATGAAGGAAGCCGATATCAACCGAGATGGATACATTGACTTTGAAGAATTCAAACAGCTTTTACCATCATGATTTTCTTTTTATACCCTCCACTACTCCACCAATTTGACATTTTCATCCTCCATGATCATCATCATTTGTATATACTTGTTTTCCTTTTCTAGAAACCTTACTATCTCAATAGAGAGCTTCTGATTTTGTGTGTGTGTTTTTGTGTGCGTATGATGGGGAATGAAGGACAAGGAGGCGGGAATCACTTTGAAAGCAAATCCCATACCGGGATGTGGTGACACGATCTAAATTCATCCCCCCCTCTCTCTCTCTCAGAAATTGGAGCTAGTATTTGTCCAGACCGCCAATACCAATTACAAGTTGTTGTTGTTGTTGTTGGATGACAAGTTGTCTTTGGGGCAAAATAGCTGTATTTCCAATGTAAATGACAATGTTTATACGTATTGCTGCAGGATGACTACAAAGCACCAAAAAGGATCGACGCACATGTTGTTGATGTATTATAGCGTGCCTGGGCGGAGTTGAAGCCATCATTTGTAGAGAGAGAGACACACACACACACGCACGCACACGCACGCACACGCCCATCAGAAAGCAATACCAGGCCTAGGCTGTCTTTTTTTAAACTTTTCTTTCTTGTTTCCCTTACTACTACTATTACTTGTTGCATGGTGGGTCGACGACGAAAACAACAAAAACGACCTTCACCGTTTATCAACCATGTCCTACTACCAGGCCTACGAAGTACTATCCTCGCCCTTGCTGTACTGGCTATTGGATTCGGTAGTTGGCTTGAAACCACACCTAGCATAGACGATTGCAGCTTTAAACGGCAAATGGCCATGCGACAAGTTTCGCTATACCGCAACTTGACCGACAATGACAATTTACCAGACACTGTATCCTTTGGTCTTTGGCGTCATTGTTTTATCTACGCCCTCAATTGTACATGCACATCACCCAGTCTCTCTTATGGCCTTGGTATATATTAAACGCTATACCCAAAAGATTTAACGCTCATCATCATCATCATCCTCTCTTTTATAGATGCCACAACCATCCTTCAGGGCGCGTTCAGCAACACGACGACCCTCCCCACTACCAATACCACCACATCCTATTGGAATTCAGTACCATTAATCATGGCAACAGCTTTATCAGCAACCGCGTTTCTATTTGGCGTCGCAATCAACATTCTCAATCGTCGTCGTTTACAGCTTGTCAATGCCGGCATTGTGCTTGCGAGTCTCATCCTCACTGCCATTGCGTTTGGTCACACGTATTCACAGTATAGCCATGATATTCAGCAAGCGTGTGAACAGTATGGACGACGTTGTGTAAAAATGGATCATGGTGCAGAGTTTATTGCCCTTGTGCTTGGTATTGCCTTGTTGGGTGTAGCATGTCTCACGTGGGTTTACGCGCCAAAAAAGGACAATGATCTTAATACAACAACAGCAGCAGCAGCAGTAGCAGTGGATACAAAGACGCCTTCTTCTTTTATGCAACATTCAGCATCGCCAAGGACACCCTCGGATGTACTTGAACCATGGCGTGAAGCCGTCATGTTGGATGATGAACGTCAACGTTGGACGAGACATACGAGCTATCAACCTATCCATGACAACGAAGCAGCAGGAGCAGCAGCATTTACCACTGAACCCTTACCACCACCACCACCTGGAAGACGACGTGCCTCACGTAAGATGATGGATTATTATGACCTTGTTCCTCCCTCACGTCCTTTTGCACCGAATCATTCATCATCATCAGGACCACGCCGATCCAGCCATGGCTCAGGCAATACATTTGGTGCTGATAACATCATGAACAACAGCAATCGTGGTTCGCGTACATCCTCCACCATGTTAGAGAGTCCCATCGGTTCAGGTGCAGCCGAAGACATGTATTATCATTACAATTCTTCAGGGAGTCATTCTCCAACATCACGATCCCATCGACGACAATCCAGTGGTGCCTTAACCTCTTCCTTTGGTCAACAACAACGTCGTCGTTCACATTCTCCTTTCCGCTCATCCCCTGGTGGTGGTCACTCTTCACATAACAACAATAACCGTACAATCACTGATCAACGTATCAGCGCCTATTTACAACGACAAGACCAAGCCCATCTTCCTTAAGCTATCCCTTTCAACCATGCCATTTTCATTTTATCATCTACTACTATTTACATACAGCCTTATATACATTGTTTAACACCTTTCGCATTATAAAGACACTCACTCATATACAAATTGAATTATGGGGGCGGAAGTGGTTGCTATATTATTGGGGATGCTCATGCAATGCAACATTATTAAGACACACACACACACACACACACAAGCTGAATCTTGGGGAAGAGTGGTTGCCATGTTACCACGGATGTTCATGTAATGTAGCATGATGACGATATTCAAACACAAGTTGAATCTTGAGGAAAAGTGGTTGCTATGCAACCGGAGTGAGAGGAATATTGTTCATGTAATGCACACTCACATACAAGTTGAATCTCGGGGGAAAGTGGTTGCTATGATACCGGGGATGTTCATGCAATGCAACATTGTTTGGCATGCATAATGAATAAGCTTGAGTCTCTTTTTTTTCGGGGAGGACAAAAAAGTAAGGTTACTGTTGGAGTTTGTTTGTTCATCCCGCCGGCCGAAAGTGGTGGTGCTGCACTTTCTCGGTTTACAAGAAGCAACACAAAAAAAAGGGCGTCGTTTGCTGCTTTGAGTGATAGAGATGGGGTCTGCTGAACATCATAAGCATCGGCCCATCTCAGCTCCAGTCATTCAACCACCTCCTTGCTATACCGACTCGCAATGCGACCTTCAAGCCCACCCCCATGCATCTCCTCCTCCACCAGCTTACCACCAATCCGTGCATCCTTCACCACAAGCATCTCACCATCGACTCCCTGAATACTACTATTCGCCAGCTTCCTCTTCCTATCAACAGCAACCCTTCTCCACAGGAGGCAAGTATTGGTAGTAGTGTATAGGCGGCCTTCTTTTTTATTTCGTTACTAAATGTCAATCATAGTCTACTACTATCAGCCCACCCCGCCACCTCAAACTGTCATTATACAAGAGACACCAAGCCGAACCAATGATGCTTGTTGTTGGGGATGGTAAGAAAGAAAGAGAATATCACATGGCCTCCTTTTTTTAATGACAATGAACTGATTTTTTCTTTGTCCTCTCTCTCTAGCCTGGCTGCATTGTGCCTTTGTTTTGCCATAGAAGAATGTTGCTGACAACAACATGATACCACCACCATGTGTAGATTAATCATACTACTATCACTATTACTTTTTATTTGCCATTGCGATTCGATTTCTCTTGTGATGATGATGATGATGATGCTGTCTTCCATTGAAAGAAATTACATTGATATTCATTACCCGTCGAGCTTTCAGGGCCATGAGGTCTAGAGGAAGAATAGAAAGAGAGAGAGGAAAAAGTCACATGCAAACGAACAAGCAAAAGATCGGTCGAGACTTACCTGGAACACAAATAAAATTGACGGCCCTGATTAGGTCCTTTTTTGTTGACGACCATCAATTTGCAAGGTTCTTGATGTACACGGCATTTGGGGGGTGGTTTGGCAGTAAATAGAGATGACCATGATGCCTTGGTATCTTGTCGTTCTTTGGCTTCAGCCATCAATGCTTCCATATCAATGTCATCGTCGTTGTTGGCCTCTACTACGACATCGTCAATAGCGTCATCCGATGTTGTTGTTGTTGTTGTTGGCGTTGATTGAGAGGATGGATTAGGCGTGGATTCTTTGTCTGAATTGGAGGATGTAAAGTATGATTTGAGCAATTTTTGAGATCCTGATGTTGAGCTCACGCTTGACTTTCGTTTCTTGGGTGACGATGATGATGATGTCGTGGGTTTGCTGCGGATAGTAGTAGGTCGAGTTGTTGTACTTGCTCCAATTGAACTCTTGGTGGGTTGTGATGGTGGTGACGCAAGGATATTGTTAGTGCTGCTGGTATCTGTGGTTGTGGTTGTTGTGGTTGATTTGGCTCCAAAATACATGGATAGCTTCTTTTGTCTATTAGAGAACTCGTCGAAATTGGCAGCAAGAATAGCCGATGGTTCCGAATCTGAGGCGTTTGAGATGACACACGAATCATCCCGTAAATCGGCATAAACAGGACAATGGTCTGAGCCCATTATATCATTCCGGATATCGGCAAAAGTAAACTCTTGTTCCAATCCACAAGATGCAAGCACATAATCAATCCTGACACCTACATAAATATACATCCTTATTAGCATCATGCACAATCCCTCTTTTTTGCCTCTTTTCTTTACCAAAGTTGGCGGGTCTATATAGGATGATAAATCAATAAATGAAAATGACCCCATATTATAGTGGATAGCTTACCTTGAATTGAGTCTTGTGTTCCAACCTTATGAACCTGGGTTATTAATCTTGTATGGTTTCACGTAGACAATGGTGTAACAACTTACAAGTGAACATGCCTTTCCGATCGGGATGGTATTTCCGACAGAGGTCAAGCATAGGTCCTTTGGGTGCAATCAATTGATCAATCCATCCACGAAAGGGCAGGTCGTTGAAATGCTTAAGCTCGCGCTTTTTGATAGCATTGGCAGGATCACAATGGTCGATTTCCTCATGCACGGTGTTGATATCACCGACCAAGACGACGTGTTTGCCTTGTTGTATAAAGTCATCGATCCGCCATCGTACACAGGCATCGTAGTCAGTTTTGAATTGTCCCCGTGATTCGTTCGGAAGATACACATTGATCAATACGAGTTGGCCTAGACACATAATGATGCATCGACCCTCGGCATCCAAATCACGCGCTTCGGTGCTCAGCGTCGAAAGAAAATCATCCATGCTTATGTTGCTATGTATTGTTGTATTCAAGATGCCCGTAATCCCTTCTTCAGTCCAATAAGGTCGCAACGGTTGCTTGACATAGATGGCCACACCAGAGTATCCGAGCTTGATCTTGGAAAACGTAAAGTAGCCATCATAACCTGGTACAAGCGCCATATCGCGTGTCAACTTGTTTCGCTGGCATTTGATCTCTTGCAAGCTTCATGATAGTGAGTGATCCATCCCTGTGCTGTTGTATTACTACTTACCATATGATATCGGCTTCAAGTGCATTCAACATGCTCTACCATGAATAAGTTAGCCATTGCATTGACCATGTTCAGTCCTTTTTCAAAAGCTACCTCGTACGACTTTTTCTCATTCCAAGGGTGGTAATGCAGTACAGTGGCGAGTCCATTGATATTCCATGACAAGATCCTCATGACACGATAAACCAAAATATGGGAAATGCCGTTTGCCGCAGCTTAAACGAGACAGCCGCTTCTACCAATCAAAATCATTGGTGGCCTCTTCAGAGCTGTCAAACATCCAGTACTCCTATACATCACGTGAGACGTAGCTTTTGAGCTTTAGTGGATAGAATAAAAGATGCTTTGGAAAATACATCTCTCGGTACAATACAATGCATTTACTCCTCGTGATCATGCATGTACATCAACGTGTAGTGGAAATAACGTGTTGTTGTTGATGATAATGAAAATGGGGAGCAAATTGGGGAAACAATGAACATGTGAGCTTCTCTTCTTGGCGCGTTTATTTTCACGACGATTTCATTATGTAGCGTTTTCATTGTTGGTTGCTTTTCTTTTTGCAGCTGAGGCTGAAGAATGACCTTTTGATTGTCATGGGTCCTTTGAAGGATCACCATGTGCGTACACGTGATGGCTCAATGACCACAAGGTGATGGTGATGCTGACGCAATAGCCATTATCAACTCATTATATTACGTTCTTTTATGCGCATTACGTGTAATTCGCATTTAGGCAATAACGTATGCTATTGGCTCCTTTTGCTAAAATCCAGCCTTAAACGCATTAATATTTCAATGTTTGTATCGACATCACCCCCCCTTTTTATTGTACATACGGCCCGAGCGTCATCCGCAATTTCTCTTTAAAAGTCGTCGACAGCCTTTTTGAAACATGTTGTTCACCATTTACTACTTTTCATGTCACCCACCTATCCCACTCAACGTAATTGTATGACACACGACGATATACCCACTGTAAGTGTATTCTTTTTCTTTGTTATGGCAAAATCATTCATTCATTTAAAAAGATGCTGCGTCGCCTTCAAGTACGGCTTCGCTTGGCAGAGTTCAAACGAAAGAACGGCTATGAAAAATACGATCTCTACACGTTGGAAAAGAATCTCTTACGAGTGACCAAGTGTTATCGTGCCTTGTTACGACCACCATCACAAGCAACAACAACGAAATCAAAACAGCATCGATACTACCCAACGTTCCCTGTTAGCACAAAATGCAATGATGCGACAACACGATCCATGCTGTTACTAGCCACGCATGTACAGGGACCACTTTCCGCTAAACGAGATACACCACCGCGTAGAATCAAATCCGATATCTCATCATCAAAGTCATCATCCCCTTCTACGAGTTGTAGTAGCTCTGACGAGGAGGATGCTGCAAAGTTACTTGTCATGCTTCACCATCACCACCACAACCACAACACCCTGTCGCATTAAATACCATTCCATATCCATCACTAGAAGTCCATTCATCGATTCATATATATACACATGTTTCATTTTCATATACAATGTTACTACTAATACAAAGTATCCTCCTTTCCTTGCATAATAAACACCACCATCACCATGTTCATCCTAGCTTCATGACCAATTCTTGTACGCGTTTACCAATGATTGAATTGTCGCAAAAGACACTAGTGACAACGTAAGGTGGTTCCACACGTGCACGTCCCAAGACATGAATCACCGGGTCGTTTTCATCTTGCCTAAAAGGGACACGATGCTTTATGCATTTGCAATGGGTTAATGTGGGGATCTACACCATCATCTTCCTTGCTTGACAACCCACCTTTTCCAAATACTTTATCAATGCATCACGACGTGTCTTTAACCAGGCTGGATCATCGCATACAAAGGACGTTCGTTGCAAGATAGCATCCATCGTCTTCACACCAAGGCACCTTTCAGTATCCACTAAGTTGATATCAGCACACACGCTCACACACACACATGTATGTACACGCGTTGCTTACCGTGAACACTCGCAATGGCGTGGTGCATGATGACACGGGCGTTGGGTGGTGTGTTATCGCAATCGAGCAAAACGACGTTTCCTGACATTGGATCCACCGTGTATAGAAACCCACATTGATCTTGACCTTTTCCTTTTAACGTGACTCGTACATGGTATCCTAATCGATTGCTGGCATCGCCTATATCCATAGTCGTCGTCGTTGTTGTCGTCAAGGGGTATCGTGTCCAAGAGACAGAGAGGAGGGAAGGGGCGGAAAAGGAAAATGGATTTTACATGCAGCCAACAACATCCATCATCCTCGTCTTGTTCGTATCCAAGCACACACACAACATAGGTGGGGGTTATTCAAAGTGGTCAGTGAGTTTCATTGGTTGTCCTGATTAGGAGGGAGGAGGGATGAGCGTGCATGGATCATCACACAAATAGCATTGATGCTTACGTGTGTGTATTATACTATTTGGCTTTGTTTGGATTGCATTACTACTATATTTTTGTGCCAAGGAGACACAGCAAGCATTTTGACATTGTATACATTACTTAATGAAGGAGTCTCAAATATACGCATGACATTTGTAAATGAAGAGTACATCTATCTCCCAAGTATCTCAGCCGTACAACCCATGGTGCGTATTTTCCCCACGGTCCATGCTGACAACAAGTCTTTTTTTGTCGTTCCGAACCCTGAGCAATTGTAGCACAAGAGGTGAAAAGACCACATACTCTAATATCTACTACTTTTGAGAATACTTGGTCCCCCTTGTCAAAATGTCATCTGATTTAATATTATAAAAAAATCTCATGTCATATAGTGTGTATATATACAAAATAGAGATGGCTCTTGATTACTGTATTGATAAGCACACTCACCCCCTTCTTATCATGATGATATCTCTTGATAGGAAGATTTTGGGTGTGTGTGGGGGCGGAAAAGGAAATTACAAAGACAACAGCTGCATGTGAGATTGATAGAGCTCAAAGTATTGCCATGACTACAGCAAAATACCTGATGAGTGGTGTATGAATAAAAGAACGTGATCCTATCGTTGGATGATGTGAGGGGAATTGCATGTGTGTAACTCCCCCAAGGCACATGTTTACATGTCAAGAGTGGAGGAGAGGATTATTATTATACTACATGCTTGGGATGGATGGATCATCGATGTGGAATGTTGTTGTAGATTTTGGGTATCTCACATGCTGTACACACACGCGTGAATCTCAAAGGGTCAACATGCATGGTATTATTTTCATCTGCTATTCCCATCCATTCATTCACCCACCCACACCCCCCACATCCCTGATTGGGGTTGGTTGGTTGGTTGGTTGGTGGAGAGGGCGACCTAAGCGTGAGAATGTTTAATACCCCGCACGAGCAATAACAATTTTTTGTATGTATGACACATATCCCGCCTGCTGCCTGCCACCAGCCATGCAATCACATGGGGCCAAGAAAGGGAGCGCTGTTGATCTGTCTTTCCGAAAAAGGTTCTGCAACAACTGATGCTGACGGATAATTATATGCCGTGTCACCAGAAATCAGGAGTCGTCCACCTTTAAAAGTATTCGAAACATCGGGGGGAGAGGACATGTTTACATAATCCCTTTCTGAAATCAAAAGAAAAAAGAGAAACAAAACGTTTTAGAGAGAGAGCCATGTGCATATATGTAATGTATATTTTCACTTGAAAGTATTTACAGCAAGCAATCGAGAGAAGGGTTTTGATGATGATGATGATGAGGGGGGAATGATACAAAGATAACAATGAATGTGTGCGAGAGAGAGAGAAAGAGAGAAAGAAAGAGATAGCAGTGGAATGAATAAGGTCTAGCTAGCTAATGGCATGATGCAAAATGATGAGGGGGGGATAGAGTAAAAGTAATGAGAGGAAGAAAAAACAAAGAAGTATACATGTAAAAATGATTTAGAGAGAAGGAAAGACGGAATGGATCGAGGGTAAAGCCTTATCAGAAGCCACAGCAATAGGAGGAAGCACTCGAGCTTGAGGAGGACGATCCATTAGATCAAGCAAACTTGAGTTGGTTGTAGTAGTAGTAGGTACGACATGTTGTTGTTGAGGACGAGCAAACACAGGGCACCAATTTGCACATTCAAGAGGTGCCAATTTTGGAGAAGTAGAGTGGACGGCCTTGGGTGATCCCATGGGTGACAATACACGAGGTGAAAGGGTTGGCGAGTTACCAGGTGTGAAGAGGAACTCTGCATCCGAATCAGAGTGTAAATGTTCACTAGCTGAAAGAGCAGGTGATGTAGGTGCCGATGGGGGTGGTGTGATGATCACAGACTGTTGTTGTTGATCGAGCGATTGGGTAGCAGGAGAAGTTTTAGCTCTCTTGTTGGAAGAGGATGTCTTTTGTTGACGACGTTCACGACGCTTGTTGGGAGAAGTGTGGATACGAACATGACGAGTAAGCTCATCTGATCGTGAAAAACGTTTTTCACATCCAGGAAAAGTGCATTGGTGTGGCTTCTCACCCGTGTGAGTGCGAATGTGACGAGTTTGATGTTCAAGACGATAAAACGACTTGGGGCACATGGGACATTTGTAGGGACGTGGAACGTTAGCCTTATCAACCGCAGCAATAGGGCGCTTGGCTGCTGGTGTAGTAGTATTGGTGTTGACGTTGTTGACGGCGGTGGTGGTGGAAGGTGGTGCCATGGAAAGGCTCAAAAGACTGGAAGCTGCTTGCAGCGACATTGGGGATAAAATGGGTGGATTTGATAAAAGAGTAAGTTTGAAAAAAAGAAATGTGGAGTGAACTTTGAATTGCTCACGGGTCCTTTTTATACAGGTGTCGGATTGCGATGTGTAGCGATAGGAAAAAGGGCCACCGGAGTGTCAATGCGTTGTTATTTGGGGGGTTCATGGGTGGGGTCGTATCGGGTGAAGACCGGAACATGAGTGGAACAGGCGACTTTTATGATCACGCAATCCAAAATCATCCGTTCCCCGACAACGAACATTTGGTGGCTTATCAATTTTACCATTCACTCAGTCCCACACTCCACAAACCAACCAAATCACTCCAACTGAGAGAATGCCTCAATATCACCTTTATACTCGTTGTCACGGCTGCTCCTCTTTATTCAACTATGGCCAGCTACGAAGTCTTTAGTCGTATACAACCACACGAATATCTACGTCGTTTCCTTGACCAGTCCATTCGTCCCGATGGTCGCCCTCTTGATCGCTTTCGAAAAACTCTTATTACAACCGATTCTATTGCAGCTGCCGATGCCAGCGCCATGGTCCGCTTAGGTGGCACCGCGATCGTGTGTGGTATCAAGGCTGAAGTATGCGAACCCCATGTAGAACGACCTGATCAAGGCTATTTGGGTGTGTATGCATAAAAGCAAACGCGATGGACACACGCCATGACTCACGCATTCCTTTGCCTTGCATAGTTCCTAACATCGAGTTATCACCCATGTGCTCATCAAAGTTCCGCCCTGGTCCACCTCCTGAAAGTGCTCAAGCCATATCACAATTAATCCATGAGTTGTTTTCAAGGTATTTTGATGGGGGGGATCATAGGTACATTCATGCAATGCTAATATCGTGTCTCTCTACTAGTTGCAATATCCTTCCACTTGAATCGCTTTGTATCGAATCCGGCAAAGCTGTATGGGTGCTTTATGCAGACATTGTGTGTCTCAATTACGATGGCAATATCACGGATGCAAGTTTACTGGCTTTGACAGCAGCCCTGAACAAATGTAATTCTATTTGGGATGCAACATTACCTTTCGTGATCCGCTGACATGTGCTTTTGCATTTCCATAGTAACATTACCAAAAGCATCTGTATCCGAATCCATGGTGGTTGAAGCAGATGCATCTGATCGAGTGCCTATAAAGTTAGCACGAGTACCAGTGGCATCCACATTTTGTGTCTTTCAACAACCCCATGCTGTCCTCTCCGACCCGAATGAAGCCGAAGAGTCACTTTCACGCGAAACAGTGACAGTCGTATTGGATACAACAGGTCAACTTTGTATGGTTCATAAAAATGGTGGCAACAGCGTAGCCATGGATACCTTCAAGGCATGCTTTGATCGCGCTAGTGAGCGGACAAGTCAAATTGCGGTTCTCTTACTCGAATAAAGTTGGCTGTGTGTACACCGTATGATGATTTTTTGGCATTGTTTGTTGTTTATTTTCTCCGTATGTATAGGTTGGGTGATAAGGGGGAGGGAGCGACGAGGATCAGATCATGTTGTTATAAAATCCGATATGTGCAACTTGGGGGAGGGGGAGAAAAAAGGACATTACAAAATTGGTGCATAAACTGTGGGGGGAAAAAAAGCGTATAACGGTTTTTTCCTAAGGAATCTTACTAAAGGTTATCCCGAGTAGCAGCATGTGCTTTAAAATGAAGCATGTGCGCTGCGCTGAGTTGCACATGTGTGTGGTGCATTGAATGGGGGAGACACAGAAAACATGGACCCCCCAACGTGGAGAGAAAAAGAGATTCAAATGATTGATAAGGCTCGATACGCGGGGCAATCGGGGAAAGTGGAGAATGTAATTGCCATAAACTGGAAACAAAAATCAACATGTAAAACTGCTTACAATAGCACACGACCGGGGGTTAGTGCCGTATTCCAGGGTCTCCAGCCGTTTTCACCCCGCACTCTGAGTGGAAAAATTTATCTTTGCGCTTGCTTTCTGAATCTACCCAAGATCTCCCGCGCATTCTTGGCCTGTCGAACCCTTAATTCGGATGCTGCCGAAACAGTCTTTCTCTAAAACCACTCCACTCACATCTAACACTGATATGATACCAAGATTATGTTATCCTCCACATTTTATTCGGAGACCACGTTTTGGCTAATGTAATGTTTGACCAGACCAAGTTGATCGACCCTGAGCAAAGGTGTAAGATAGCCCACAAAGAATTCATCTCCAAGTGTCTTGTGAATACCAACAATGGCTTGCATCCATGCCACTCGTACACTGGTCTCTGAATGATAACCACTCTATAATATAAAAAACATCCCATCAATCAATCATCATCTTTGATCCACGCTTCTTAATCCCCCCAACTTACCTTTATCAAAATAGCAGTAGTGACAGCTTGTTTATCCAGCAATTCTTTCAGTGCATGTTTCGGGATGTTGGGTGCTAGCTGACCAATCCTGATAAGCAATACGGCCAAGGCCTTGTTGTCTTGTTCTCGCTCGTTCAAAAGGGACCATAGTAATCGAATTCGTTCATTCTCCTCTGGGATCTTGATTAATAATGAATCGAGAACTTCTTCACAAGCCATCTATAAATTTCTTTTACAAATCAACCCATTGTCTACTACTACTACTGCTACTACTACTCAGCAGCAGCCACGTTTTCCCTTCCGCCATTTTGACTCGCCTTCTTTTCCGCCTACCTCTTGATTCCGATCATTTTCTATCCCGGTCAATAGCGCCTTTGCCAATGGATAAGCTATACACGCCGTTGGATCACCATGTTTTTTCCCATTCTCTTGATAATAGCTGAACACGGCCGATTGGTTGTTCAATAGCCGTTTGACAAGCCCGATTGCTTGAATCTTGATTTGGACATTGTGCGACGTGGATTGCAAAAGCGTGATGATACATTCCATAAGCGAAAGGTACATTTTCCCGGTATCGTTCCTTGGTTCGATCGGACCAATCCATAAATCACCTTCACCCGAATAAATATGATGACGTTGGATAACAGGTGTAGCATCTGATAAAGCCTCCAGTTGTCGAAAGATAGCTTCGGAAGGTTCTTCTTCTTTTTGCTGTAAATGACGAATACATTCGGCTAGCTTTTGCATTCGTATTTGGATCAACCCCGCAGTTGGCTTTTCTTCATCGGCAGATAAAGTATCCGCTAGGGTATTATCCTTTTCAGGCTAAATCGCATGCTCCCCATTAGAAAAAATATGTCATCCTCCCCATGCAAGTTAAATTACCTGCCGCTGCTGTTGTTGCTCCTCCTCTAATGCTGTGATACCCACCGAGCTGCTGGTGTTGTTGTTGTTGTCATGTTGACCTTGCCTTATACTCATTTTCTCCACTGCTTTTTCAAAGTCCCCAGACACCAAATCGAAGACATGTTCATTACTCAATTTCAATCGACCTGCGAGCAAAACGAGACGTGTGTAATAGTCGGATGAAGGATCTTGTGTGGCATCTTGCAGCATCGAAAGAATCAATACAAGGCATTGACGAATATTGCTCCCCTCCTCCAACCATGGTTGCTGTTGGTCGCTCATGCCAGATAGCCATGATTTCCCTTCTTGGCAAATCGCCGTATCTTGGTCAATCTCCAATCCGACAAAGGTGCATACAAGCTCATCAAGCCATTCCAAAAAGTACTGCCTGCAAGGTGATGGATCATGTCGTAGAGAGGATAAAAGATGAACGAGTCGTCCTGGTATCTGTGGATCTTGATGGTTGAGAAAGAATTTGAGACGTGCGAGACCTTTGGTGTAAAGAGACCTTGTAGCGCTCGGTACAAGCTCGTCATTTTGACTTGCTGAAATCATGATAGGAAGATACTGCTCCAAGGAAAGCACACGTGTAAAAATTCCAGCAAGGCAATCCCAAGATGTGAGTGTCTCATGAAGAATGAGGTCGTCGTAACGTGTAGTGAGATAGTTGAGGAGAATAGGGACAAGCGTACCGATATCAGGAATGTCACGTGGTAAAGGCGAGGATGGATAATGTTTCAATTTCCCTGCAAGCATTCGAATCGCACGGCAATTGCTTGTAGCATCGTTGCTATTCAACATTCCCAGTAATGCTGCTGAACTGAGTGATGCGAGTGACATCCTCCTATCCACTTCATCATTCGGTGTCTCTATTGCTGCTGCTGCTGCATCCTTATCCTTCTTCTCTTCCTCTTCCTCTTCCTCCTCTTCCTTTTCCAATGATCGTTTGCGAGGAATTGTTGATGTCGATCGAGTAAGTCTACGTCGTCGTGGTATTGTTGATTGAGAAGAATGTGTTGGTTGTGGTGATGGCGGTGGATGACTGATGCTGCGTATTCTCGATTTTGATGAAAGAGCCGTAGCAGGTTGTTGTTGTGATGATGGTGTCCTTTTGGGCTCCAATTTTGAAAGCTGCTTCTGTGTAACAGGATCAAATCCTTGGATCAATCTAGAAACTCATACATGTAAGAAATGTGTTATAAAGTTGGGGCCTCCCATTAAAGTTGTGTACCTTGATGCACGTTCAGGCCAATGGGTTTGAAATAGGGAATAAAGACTTCGACTTGCTTCTCGTACTGAAGGTGCAGCATCCACCAATCCTTTTGTCAGGCACGTTTCAATGTTGTCAATGTTGTCAATATGGGATGCATGGGTCTCCAAGATCGTTTGTAAATGCAACATGGCGTGGTGACGTGCCTGTACGTTTTTATCGTTCATCAGGGCGCTGACATGTTGAAGTGTTCGATGTCGATAAGGCGTATTCGATAAAAAGGATCGAGTCGCTTCCATGGCATTCGTTGCAATCATTCGTTTCGTGGAGGAGGCGCATCGCAACAAGCACAACAACAACGTATCATGCGTATAAATATCAATGTCGTATCCAAGATGCTTCCCAAGGTCGGCGATCACGTTGATGCCTGCAAGAGATAGCGACGTTCGTAGACTACCCACCTTTACAGCATGTTAATAGACCATCCATCATATAAAAAGATACGCTACTCACACATTGTACTACGCCACTGGATAGCGCGCGCATCTCGCGTACGATCGAGTCTTTCCATGCCTTGTCTCCATTCAACATGCTGTGTAAAGTCTGCAATGCCTTTTCTTGATCTTGCCAGTTGTCGTCGGCATTGTTGCTATGCCCAAGGGCAGTTGTAATGGCGGACAGTTGACGTTCAAGCTCCCTTGTGTTTGTAATCTTGACGAGACAATGAGTACGATTCCATTGGGTGCATGTGCAGTAGACCTACGTTGCTCAAAGCGGCCATGCATAGAAACGGTGGTAGTGGGAAAAGGAACAACCCAACTCCGTCAGCTGCAACAAGAGACTATGTGGTAGACATGGCGCCTACAAAAAGTCATTGGTGTCCTGTCACATAGGAAACCCTCTGCAACTATTCTTCTTTTTTCGTACGCACTACAACTCCCATTTTCCATCCGACTCACGACAATGAAAGGTAGTAAGCTCCTTTATGATGAGCATGTGCAGGTGATAGTAGATAGCTAAAAGATAGATGCCATGGTAGGAAATTGCTGTCATTCATGAGAAATGTTGCCACCCGGCATTGTTCGGCCACATCTTGATAAAGCATAGAACCCAACCATCGTCTCCCAAAGGCGTTGGATACGCCTTATTCCAATCCTTTATCTCCATCATTATACACGTGTACTCATGATCTAAATTACTGCGCTCATTGTTCTCCTTCAAAATAAACAACCCTTACTTAATCCAAAACATGCACACTATGCCCCATGAACACACCTTTCATCATTGTTGAAATCGCGTCTTTGTATGCGCTTGTACACCAACAGATATCGCTTGATACAACGAAGCAAAGAGGAAGAAGAAGAGGGAGATCCATTCGTACATCAAAGTCATCATCAGATGGAGGTACATAGAGGGAAGCTCAGGATATGGATCGCTTTTAAAGCAGAGTCAACAATGCCAGCAGTCGTATTGTTTACCATCACACTTTCATTTGTATCGCTTCTTAACGCGACGCTTTGATCCACAAATGATAAAATGCTGATCGTTAATTGACCTTTTATACACCCCGTTGTAATCACCGTAGTAGTTATCTCTCATTTGCCATTGTGTTTTTGAAATATTGACATCATAAGTGCAAGTGCTATTATCGTTATCATGCCCCTACGATGGCAGAGCCGTAAATAGCGAAGAACATTGGTATAATTATGCAAAGGAATGAATCAATAGGGGCTGTGTGACAAAGAGTGGCTCGTTGTGGAACATGGAGATCAGACAGGACATGCATTATCGATGACCTGAATGTCGCTCACGTGAGCACAATGATCCCACCATGGCTTTAGAATGGTTTACGTAAAGGTAGTAGCATATAGAAGGGCATGGGATCAAAACATCACACGTTGTAGATAGGGGATAGGAGCAAAGGTGATGATGATCCCTTTCAGTGAACACACCCTTGCCACTGCAAATGCAATGGTTGCACAATGCCCATAACCTTGCTTTCACAATAAAGGATACGTCCAAAAGACGACCATGAGGTTAATCAAAAGACTACAACTTGCTCTTGTCACAAATGCAGAGGCTGCTGTTCGATGCTGGTACATAGAATCGATATTTGACATGTGTCCTGGATGAAAGCCGATGATGCGTTTTATTTTATATAATGGCTAAAGCTAATATTATTATCGCTATGAAGACCAGCTACATGTCCTTTGATATCAAAATCATGTGACGATTCGTTGTCTATGTCAAAAGGTGTGGGTAGGCGAGAAATTTGATGGCCCTGATAGTTGAAAGTCGCGGTTGATGATGCTTCAGGTACAGTGGGAGCATGCTATTGTTCATCCAATAGCTCACCGCGTAATTTTCGCGTCAAGGTTGATCGTCGGCCCTGAAGACAATGACAAATCCAGACATGATGATCCCAGGCATGTATAGATTCTCAGCATGATGCAATGGCAGATATTGATATGTACATTGATAAATACCATCATTAAGGAAATGAAACGCGTGTTGGGTCGAGCAATGCCGGTCTGTGATATAAACCATATTGATTACCTCTTGTAACGGAGCTACCTCCTCTTTGCGCCGATACTCTTTTCCTGCAGATCCAGCTAACAACAATGACCATCGACAACATTGAGCCTATAGTGAATACATTCCCCGAAATTGAGCAATGTGAGTGTCCTTGTGTGTGCGTGTACGTGTGTGTGTACAAACGCTTGTGTCTCTTGCTGACAAAAGATACAGGTGACAGAGTCGAGGTATTGGCAGACTGCGAGAATGACATGAATCGCGGGACCGATCGCTTGAATGACGTTCGCGATCCTATGGACTTGAAAAGAGGACGAGAAGGTTGGTATAAACGTGTTGTCAAGGGGATAAAACGAAGCATAACTGTTATCTTTGATTAGAGCCACCACCACATGTTGTTCCGCTCAACAAGAAGCCAAAGCAAAATTACAAGGTTGCCAATGATACATGCATCACCTCGCACATCTCCTTCATCGCCAAGGACATGTTTATCCGCAAAATGATCAACATCACCGAGGCCGCTGAAGAGGCGCATTTTCAACAAACTGTGAACGACAGCAGCATCAGCAAGGAGAATACAATGGCTGTGTCATGGCAAGGTGGACCCATCAAGCATGAAAACGGCCGCACCTATTACAGCGCAGCTATCGTGGATGGTGAACTGCTTGAGATTGGCGATACCGTCTATATGCGCACTGGTGATGAGGAGCCTTGGTTCGCCCTGATAATGTCGTTTTTCGATGGTCCCGACGCCGATTATCAATTTCATGCTCGCTTCTTTTCGCATGGCAGAGAGACAGTGCTCGATGAATTGGCTGGAGAGCGAGAATTGTTCTTGTTGGATAATTGCGAAGATAACGATTTGTATTCCGTAATGGGGAAGGCCAATGTCATTCGGATGGATGGTGATATTGAGGAACCCACAGCATTTACAAAGAAAGATTGGTGGTTTTATCGGTAAGAATTCAATGATGGTACATGAAATGGGATTAGTGTTACTAAACAGAGCCATCGTATAATAATAGGCTGTGGTATGATCCTGAGGATGCAGTCTTTGAGGATGTTGATTTGCATGAAGATCCCGATGTGTGTTTGTCGTGCAGAGCAAAAGAGGAAGAAAAATCACGTGAGCATCCAAAATGGGAGGATGGATCAGTGAAGTATCAAGGCGTTGAGTACCATGTGCACGATTTCATCTATACCTTGATCGGACCGGAAAGCAAGCCCTATGTTATTGCACAAATAGTCGACATTGATGCTTCCAGGCACACCATCCATATTCAGATCATGACACGCGATGAGGATCGCTGCAAGCTTGATCATTACGATTTGATCGACAATGGATCAGAGGCACCCTATAAGGATTCACGCATGTTGACAATGACAACTCAGCAACAACAGATCTCATTCGAGGAGTTGGAGGGCAAGTGTTGGGTTGAAGAAATCAGCAATGTGCAGGACGTCAAGGAGTACAAACAAGCCCCCGACAACTTTTACACCCATGATACCATCACCCACTGCCAACAATGCCTGGAAGAGCGACTGGAGGATGAAGAAGTATGGCAACGTTTTTATTACAGCACCGACAAATTGAGCGCTCTTGATATTTTTGCTGGTTGTGGCGGCTTAACGGTTGGCATGGATAACACAGGAGTCATCGAGACCACCCACAGCATAGAGTTCAACCCCGATGCTGCCAAAACATTTCAACGCAATTTCCCTACTTCAACAGTGCACAACCAATGCGCCAACGTGCTTCTCACAAGAGCCATTGCCAGCCATCATCAAAAGATCGAGTTGGACCCCATGGACGACTTTCGTGGAAAACCACTGCGCCCAATGCCAGGACCCAATGACATTGATTTCATTTATTGTGGACCCCCTTGCCAGGGCTTTAGTGACCTGAATCAGCACAAAAAGCCGGGAGAGATCAAAAATACGTTGGTGTGTTCAGCCATGTCCTATGTTGACTTTTACCGCCCTTCCTACTTTTTGCTCGAGAATGTGCGTGGGCTGGTGCATTATAAGCTCGGCAAAGATCGCATTAACAATGGTGTCTTGAAATTCATCATCCGATGTCTTACTTCAATGGGATACCAGGTAAATCACCTATATACATTAAACGTAAAGAGGCAACGAATGATAACAAGATAATGATAGGTGCGTTTTGCGGTGCTGCAAGCAGCGCAATATGGAGTTCCACAAACAAGAAGACGGCTCTTCGTGTGGGGTGCCAAGATTGGCAAGCATCTTCCCAAATTTCCTCAGCCCATGACATGTAGCGATTATGCTACGAATACGATAATCAAGTTTGCGGATGGCACAGAAGTATCCCACGTGACCAGGACTGGTAAACGTGCACCATTGCCGATGCTCACTGTTGGCGATACCATCTCAGATCTCCCAGCATTTGACTATGAATGTCCAAACGCAAGACCCAATCTACGAACGTACAATGCTATCCAGCAACCACCTGGAAAAACAAGCCAGCACTACACCATCCCACCAAAAACCGATTTCCAAACATGGCTACGTGGAGACAAGGAAAAGTTACGCAATCATGTCACACGAGCATTCAATGAAATCAATGTGCAACGCATTTGCGCCATCAAAATGGAGCCAAAAGCTGATCACAATTGTAAGTTATCTACATGATAAACCTACATCGCTTATGTACACTCATCTGTGATTTTAATGAAGGTCTACCTCAAGAACTGATACCATGGGCCCTCGATCGAAGAAATCCAGCTGCTGAACGCCATAAGTTTTGGCCTGGTCTTTTTGGACGGCTCGATTACAATGAGCAGTTTCAAACGGCTGTCACCGAAGTCAATCCTCTGAGCAAGCAAGGTGTAAGTAAAGATTTTTAGTTCTATGATATCAACGTTCTCATATTACTACTATTATTATAGACCGTGATCCATCCTAATCAGCATCGAGTGCTCACTGTACGCGAAACAGCAAGGTCCCAGGGCTTCCCTGATTGGTTTGTCTTTAAAGCTATCAGCAGCAAAAAGCCCAATCAAAAAGTCAATGCCATGTACATGCAAGTGGGTAATGCGGTGCCTGTTCCTCTCGCTGCAGCATTGGGCAACGGTCTCAAACACGCCATGTTTGAAGACTGGCTTCGAGACCAATGATCACGTGCTTTTTCCACCAACACACATCCTCACACAATCACACATCATATACAACCACGCATACACACACGCCTACACATTTATTTGTAATTCCCATGTATAGATTCCCACTCTTAGCAATTGTCAAGTCCTCCATACAACATGATTGTATCAATAAAGCATTACCACTAGAGTACCCACAATATGTTTCTATGACTGGTGGCATCATCCAGCTGATTTGCTTTAATTGTTACCTGGCAGCCTTTGCATGACTTGTCGTTAGACACCGCACCTGTTTCCAAATACCCTTCATACACAGCCGACTAGTTTCAACCCGATCACGACAACAATGGTATCCAAGCATGATAATATAAATTACAATGGGTTTATATGGGATGATGAGAGAACAATAAAGATACCGCTAGAGTTACTTGCTAGAACTCCATGCTGTTTTGTGCTATGTCTAATCGAATGATCAGCATCGTTGCATTCATCCTCGGATATCGTTTTGCATACCTCGCTTTATCTTTTGGCTTTCAATCATCAGGCTATTGACAAACTTTTCAAATGTCTCAATGTACGGTCGTAGAGAAGTTTTCTTGTAGTCTACGCAATAACCTATGTTAGAATTACCATCAACCTCCATTTGAATCCATATACATACCGGGAATCTTGCGTTCAGTGTTGTCTTTATGCTTTTGATCGTATTCATTCAGCTCTTTGGCCAATTGACTCAACGTCGGTACACCCAGTGGATCAAAGCTGTCGCAATCTTCCACCTTGATAGGCACACATACACGTTCTATTTTCCGATAAGTAGGTTGCTTAAAGCCTTGCTCTTGCAAACTTACGTGTCTTTGGATGTACACAGAATGGGCTCTTGAGTAAATGGTTGATCTGCACCGAGACCTTGTCATCTAGCCGAGGATAGCTGTATTGGAATACAATGTCTCTGGCAACTTGACTTCCTTCCTAAAAGCAGTATTCTTAAGTATTGATCGACATAGCTGACACGAAGGAGACTCACCGATCTCTTCTTTTTCTTATCCATGGCTGTAAGCAACCCGAGCAAATCTTGCCATTTATCTTCTCCTGACCTAGAAGGATCCTCACTCCATGCTGTATTCAATTCTTCCCGGATGCCTATTTTCCTTTTTAGCAACCAAACAATGACAACCCAACCCAATCTTCTTACCTGCATCAGGAAGGATATTTAACACTTTTTCCCAGCTCTCAGGTTTATCCAGGATGCCTTGTTCCTCGAGCAGTAATGATCCAAAGTAGGGTTTGAGAATGTCCAATGAACGTCTAAAGACCCAAGACACTTTCAGCCAACTTGCATACCCGCCATTGTTGTTGTTGGCGTACTTACCCAAGTGAAGGATGTAATGTAGCCGGTAACTTGACCTTGCGAGCACTTTCAGCACCACCCTAGGCACATCCATATATAAGCACACAGCCTTCTCCATCAAGTGATCCTGTTCTTACCTTGATCACTTCAAGAAATCCAACAATGGCCTTTCGGCTTTCATTGTTCAACCGGCGAGCTCGTTCATCGGATACCCAGCAATGCACACCACGACGACCCGAGTAGACCCACATGATATGCTTAAATCCAAAGTCCTCTAGATGATTCAAAAGGATGAGCACACACTTATTCTCGATTTCCATGTGATCTCTACTTACGTCGAAGAGAAGCATCAATGACCTTGATTGCAATTGTCATGAATTCCCAGCACTTGTGACAAATATCGCCTCCACTATGATTCCACTTTTATGTCAATCCTTTCGTTTCCTTGATATCCCATCATCATCATCCTGTACCTGCAACATGTTCGAATCTCGTCGTAATCTGTCATATCAATATCGAATACCAATTCCTTCTCCTTTGGAATGAATGCCTTCTCGTTTACGGTCTTTTTGTCTTTTGGCTATGAGTAGATAGGATGTTAGCATTGACGACATAGTAGATGCATTCTCGCCTCCCACACACTTGCCTTGACCGAGTATACAGCTCCAATATCGATTTTCACTGGTTGAAGTCGTTCAATCTCTTTCTTCATAACGTCGATATCCTGGAACGAGTTGTATCGGATGTAAATATCAGATGGCAATGTAAAACTGAATTCTCGGTGCGTAAAGTTTTGCGAAGTGTCTATACAAAGGCATATTAATCTCCCAATAAAAAGCCTTCCAGGATCCTGCTTTACCTGTGCCATAATTCAACCAATGGAAATACTGCTTGTAAGGAAAGAAGCGCTGATAAAAGAGTCGCAACAGGAACACTGGATCGTCATCGAGTGATTGCGTTCTAAAAGCGATCGTGTAAGTACCGTGTCGAATACACTCTTGTAAGCCTATTCTTATTACTTGTTCGCTAGAGGAGTGTTGTTGGGCTGTTGATCGGTGTCCATGCCGTCTTCAAAGTCATCGTCAAACAGATCCATTGGGACATCTTCGAGCTCTTTGTGTGCTGTATCGATTGCGTATCAGTCTTTACGTTCCATGTAATAGCTTCAATTCCAATATGAATGCCTACTTTCTGTCATAGTATGAAGAGCGGCAAGTCAAGCACGTCAAAAGTTGGAACAAGAGATATTCGATACGCGAGAGAGGCGCGTGCCGCCACATTTCCTTCCCGTCTCGTGACGCCAAACCATCAGAAATCATCACCAGGCACACCATAAAATCATCACTGCAACACTGGCTGTTGCCTTTCGTTCTTACCCTTCTCTTTTTTCTTTTCCCTTGAAATACATCCTACCTCCATTGTACGTATTCTGCTTGATGCCTCATATTGACCCTTTAGCTAATGTGCTGATGATAGGCTAGTCAAAATGGATTCAGATGCATCATTTTCCAGTACCGATTTGGACCCCCTTTATATGCGCCCTCGAGAGGATTATCAACCTCCATCTGATACAGGCAGCGGTACGATCCATATATGGACGGATGAAGAAGAATACTTGACTGAGAGGCGAGAGAGGCTTGATGAGCTATCCACTGAAGCAAGCGCATCCATAGGTGGTAGCGAGATGGCGTCATCGGATGACCTCTTTGCAACCGATCTCTCATCCCTTGTTGATGATGCTGATGCTGATGATGAACATAGGTATGCTGGTATTGATGAAAATAACAAGATGCTCAATGACGGCTATTCTCCAATAGTAGTAATAGTAGTAATAGCAGCAGTAGTAGTAGCACGGATATGTCTTCTTTATCGCATGTTGTGTATGTGCATTCCTAAATCCAAACAGCATTCATTTGAATAGCCTGTTAGTGATATGTGCATGCAACCATCACACGTCATTTCACCATGCTATGGTGCTTATTTCGACACCATCAATTAGCAGCAGATAGCTCTATCACGCCTACAGCATAGGTAAAACATAAAGATCCCCGGTTTCAAAATCTACATAATGAAGCATCGAGTATCAGCTCATTTGAAACATGTACTTTGAACGGCATCACAACTAATCTCTCCATGGCAACCTGATTTATCCATCACTGCCTTCCAAAAAGTGTTTGAATGGATGATGGGGTGTTTATTGATAAAAGATACAACATATATAAGCAAGGTTCTTATACAGAGGATGGAACAAGTTGTATGATATATAGCAGGATAATTGAGATTTTGTTTAAGAGCTTTATTAATAAAGTATGCAAAACAACTAGCTGTGCCCATCAACCAGGATGGCTTCCAGGTGCGACCACGAGGAGGTGATTGGCAATCCACACCAGTAGTTTAACGTCATTTCGGAGAGCAGTTTAGCGCCATGTCTGGGCCAACACGTTTAACGCCGTGTCAAGGCGGATAACGTATGGCGCCTGAATGTCACGAGCAGAACCACCTTCCAGATCACACATCCACTTCCCAGAGGTTGAAGTATTGCTGCGACTTCTGAGTCGAGCGAGGTGGTCATCCTGTTACCGCTATCTTTGAATTGAAAGGGGGCCTATCCAATCACGGCTGCTTGTGGTGAGAGGACCGAGGATATTGGCAAGGACCTGGGACTTCTTCTTGTAGACGATGGTGGCGTGCATTGTTGTCTCCATAATCAGGCCATCTTCTTGCTTCAATGCATCTTGAATCGTTGCTATCACATATAATGATGAGCTGTATGAGTTTGGATTATTGTAAAAACGATCAATGCATACCCATTAACTCGTGGATGGGGCTTGTTGTATCTGCTGGACATACACCAAGTACTAAACCAACATTTGCTTAGTTGAAGTGAGACAAAGAGACACACGTGAGCATAATGTATACCTTGAATTCGGCCACTTGGGTTGAAAAAAAAGCGACCTTGTCGCAGATGAAGGAGTCGTGGATGGCTTGTGGTGGATGTGCCAAAATTGCAGCAACATCTTTAGCAAGCTGTGCTACTTCCATAGCAGACCACTCCACATCCGTTTTGCAAACGGAGAAATGGAGTTTCTCCACCCGCACCACTTTTCCATTTGCACCAATCGTTTGCCTCAACGCAGCGAGGTCGTTTGCCACCTGAGGGCCACCAACAGCGATCGTAACGTAGTTTTTGGTTGAGGGACCAAAAACCATCAGCTACCAAAAAGAAAGAATGTGTTTAGAAGCTGATAGTCAATACATACCCACTTTTTGCTTGGGCCATACTTACCAAACGTTCAATGACCTTGACCACATGGTCAACTTTGTCTTTCGGCCCATCGATCTCTAAGATCTTGCTGTCAATGAGCTCGATGCTAACGCCTGTAGCAAGGGTCTTGAGTTTCGCGATAACGTCGCTACGAGGACCTACCAAATTGCAAGAGGAAAAAGTGAGTCATGAGATCAGTGTTGGTATTCTTCATGTAACGTACCGAAAACTTCAACAAGGTCATCCTTATCGTGCTTCCACTTGAGGACTTTGCTATTTGCACCATGTCAACTTCAGCACCCGACGTACGTAGACCATGGCACCGTAACCAAAAGATGCATCATGGGAGATAGCTATATCTATAGAAAGTAACAGGGTAGCATGTATGAGTAGTGACTCTTCAAATAACATGATCGGGATTTACCTCATTACAAGAATACAATATCGCAATACAACGGCAATGAGAGTAGGATAATAGTAAAGCACTATGAATAACCACAAAGATCAGCGCTTATTCACAAAGCTTGCGAGGAATGGGCATACGTACAAAATCTTGGAAATTACGGCCTTGTAAGCAATCAAAGAAGGAGGAGAGAGGACAGAGACGTGTGGGAGTAGGGTGGGTGGCGACAACATCCTTTTATTGTGCATTGTTGGCGTGGGTACTTTTTTGTCTGTTGGGGATGATGGGTCGATAAATTGACGCATATGAGCTGATAAAGTGAAGAGGGCGCATATACCAGGATTAAGTCTGAAGAGCCTAGGTCTAATGTTGTCTATGCATACATCGTCCAAATTAGGGCGGGTGATAAAAATCTATCAATGAAATCAATCACTTGTACGCCTAATGCAGTTGATGTAATCTATCAAGAAAATCAACTACTTGCACGCCTAATGCACATCCCCGTTATTAAAAAGGTGTCTTACCATGATGTTGTCAACCTACTTTTAATATTGGTATGCGTGTTCGGTAAGCAGCGAGAATGATCGGATCGCCTTTGATATCAGCAGCCAATCCCATGGCATTGCGCAATTGTGCTTCGAATAAAGGATGGTGCAAGAGACATGGTGCAAATAGCAAAGCCCTTCTTGTCACTCTTCTACAACACCTGCCTTTCTTGATACTGCACGCCCTCTTGCACATTCCTCTGCCACAATCAATGGTAGCAGCATTCATTTCAGCAGTTGCTATTAGCAAGACCTTTACTCCATTGGTTCAAACAGCATTTACAAGCTTGTCTATCTACTACAACACACTCCGTTGCCACGACCAAAACAACGGCAGTTGCTACCAGGAGGTCTTTACTCCATTGTCTCAAGTTACTTGCAGCTACTTGCTTCGGTACATACGGATTCCAATGGATGGGGTGCCACATCAGCTATTAAGTGTACCACAATACAAGCAAGCTTCACCTTGTTGAGATGCGCTACAGACAATCAGGCGTGATGGAAAGGAAGCATATCAGCAGCAGCCACAGAAGCTCTTTCTTATTGGACTAACAATGGTTATGATGGATGGATGGATGGAATCAAGTGCATGATGGGAAATACTGGCATGATGCTTTGGTTACTTGGCGCGTCGTCGGTAGGAATGATGGATCATGTCGCGTGGATACGGCTGAGGATGGACATTGACAAAAGGGGTTGTATCTTTGACCAGAGCTGTTTTACGGCCATGGACGATATTGGAGCACTCGATTCAATGCGACCAGCAGCTACTTCGCAATCATGGATGAAGGATGATTATGACACCAGCAACCAAGAAGAGTACAATGACACCATTTCCCCCCGTTGCCTCTATATGATTCACTCGTTCCTCATCGTTCAATCCTATTCCTTCATCATGTTTGTTTGGTAAACATCCACACTACACCATATGCTATTCCTCGACCTTTTCATTGGATGATTCTCATGATAACGGCGGCGTCAACGGATGGAAGCTACCATGGCAAACAAGTTATGTACAAGCATCCTTTATTATCCACTTGGATTTAGCTAGCATGTTCCTTCCTTCTTGTTGCTTGTGGAGTAAGCCTCATTGGATGAAATAAAGGTGGTATCGGTCTTGTAAGTCATTCAATACGATGTACTCCTAAGATGTTGCGCTTGAGAAAATGGTGTAGGAACATGCATGGGCGAAGGGATTTCGGGTCTTGTAGGATGCAAGTAGCTGCAGCATCAAGATGAGAGAAACAACAACAGTATCTTAATCCAAGACATTTATTGAAGCTTTGGCTGATGAAAGCATACGTCAACCTAACGTAGTCTGCTAATGGATCAAGGCACAGGAGGTATGCTCTGCCATATGGAATCAGTGTCCCAACCAGAGGGAGGTGCCTGATCTCGGCTCCATTAGATCGTGGAATGTCCAGCAATCAAGATCGCAACATAAACATAAACCGGGATCAACAAGGTACGCGATCGCAGTTATGCTCCTGTTGGTGGCTGGTATCAAACAAGAGCGCTTGTCGTAGTAGTCGTACTTGGTGTATATAGTCAACTCTTGTGCACATGTTTTAGTAGTTGATCGTGGGGATTTTTTAACCTCTCCTTCCTTTTCCACCACCACCACACACACTATTGTCGATACACTTGAAAGATCCTTAAAAATCGATAATAAAAGATCATGAAATCGGGACCAGCTGAGTCCGTAGTAGTACACAAATGAGTATGCGGCATGCGTGTCGTGAACCCCCTGGTCTGTGCGCCGAATTTATACTATATCAAGTAAAGAATAGCTATGTCTCCGCTTCCCTGCTATGTTTCACCATGCACATTACACCTTTTCTTTCAAAAAGTACCCTTTATACAACTTAAAAGCATGCCTTTGCTACTGATCTCTACACGCTGAAAGCATGCCTTTGCTACTGATCTCTACACGCTGAGTCAACAGCCAATGAGATAAGAGTACCCAAAAGGTCACAATAGCCAAACGGACGTCAGAGCTGGGAGCGAAATTGGGATCGAAAGGTATAAAGGAAGGGCGTTCCCCCACACTTTCTTTTCTTTTTTTTCTTTTCCTTAGAGCACCGTTACCAATTCCGTAAACATGAGGACTGTAATACCTTCCAAGTCTTAAAGGCCTGTTCAAGGGGGGTTCCTTAATTGTGACCGTAACTACCTTGCAGTTCTTTAAGCTCTGGTTAAGGGCTGCTTCCTCACTGTGCCTTGGTCAAGGTTGGTGTCCTTGGCTAAAGGCGGGAATGGTGAGGCAAACCTTCTCGTGGTCATTCCTGTGAGTACACGGGTCGTCTTAGACTTGTGGAAACCAATTGCCTCTCTTAGCTTAATCTTGTAAATACAAATCATACATAATAAACTCTTTTCCCTTTAAAACATAAACTTGATTTCATAAACAAGTAGTACCTCAAATGAAAGAGAAAAGTGCTGCGGTCAACACGAGACCAAAGTTGGGTGGGGTTACATGGATGGAACACGCTTAAAAACGCGTTTGAAGTTCCCGGTCCCGAGTCTTTTGGTGACATTTTTTCATCGATTCTCGACGAAAAAGATATCAAACGATAGATAAAAGCCGTGCGATCAATATGATGTATATATTGTAGGGATTATGTTTGAGAGATGCGTCGTGGAGCGCGTTTTTATTTGGTCGACACGGCCTTTTCCCCTTTCTTTGTCCGTAGCTACCTCCACCAAATTCCATCATTTTTACACGAGTAATACTGCAAACGATAGAGAAAAGTCTTGGGATTATGATGATAGCAATAAAATATATACAAGTTTATAGGGATCACGAGATAGAGTGGTGGAGAGTATGTGGGGTATGACATAGTAAGAGCAAGTGGTTCTCGGCCAGATCGTTAACACTTTCCCCCATTTCTTCTACATTGCTTGCATTGAGACCTTTTATTGCTCATTGACACCAAGATCTTGCCAAGTACTTGCGGCATGGGTGACTAAAAGCTTTGGAATTTCTGTAAACTCAAGATCGCCATGGCAAGCCCAATCGGCGCACACGTGAAGGTACACTCGTCGACAACGTATCCATGGATACCGCAGGATGTACATGGTTGACCTGGAGACGCAAGTAGTATTGTGAACGTATGGGACGTATCCTTGACACGCCATTGCAGTAATCAATCCACCTTGATCCCTTCTGTACCTTGGTTCCCTTACATGGCAATGGCCCCTCTTTCCTCGATCAACGAAAAAGGTATATGTATTCCGAAACCTCGTTGTGTGGAGCTGCAGGAGAACCAAGAAAAGAGTACTTTTAACAATGCATCATGAAACAAGACAATTACAGTATCATCCCTTTGACTATGACACTTTATAAATAACGCATTGTGCCCCCCAAACAGCTATTGACTGTAGACAACTATGTAGTAATACATTTATATAAAGAACACGATCCCAGGATCTAAGAGGATGTCACCACGCTACTTGAATGTATACTTAAAGGGATAAGCATTATGTTGATGGAGCATACCTTCGATAGTCGTGAGCGTTTTTCTGATAAGGAAAAGGCCAATGCATTCTACAATCATCATACCAATGAATCTATACATCTTTTATTTGTGATTCAATTGAGTGGGAGATTGAGATGATAAGATAAGTCTACTCCTAAAGTATCTATATTCCAGAAGCGGGAGCAACCTTTGAAGCCAAGTCAATGGATATAGTTAATCCCAAGCAAGTATTTATGCAGAAACGCATATCTCATTTCAAAGTAGGGGAAGGGATTTTGATTGGTTGGTAGAGCGAAACACAATGAGACGCCAATTGTAAATGATGAGAGCGGACAATGGGGAGACGCGACGAGTGTCTTTCTTGTGAACGTGTGTCTTTTCAACATGGATCTCGGCCTCGAACGCATTCAGACTTTATTGCGAGCACTCAACACACCACAAGATACATTCAAGGTCATTCACGTTGCAGGAACCAATGGCAAAGGATCAGTGTGTGCTTACATGACAAGTGTGCTACGACAAGCTGGCCTCAGCGTCGGTCGATTCAACTCTCCTCATTTCCTCGAACCCCATGACAGCATTTACGTGAACGATAGCCCCGTATCCAAGCATGAATATGAAGCTGCTTGTGCTTATGTGAGCAAGATCAACAATGAGCAGGATATTTCGGCGACTTCTTTTGAACAACTTGTTGCTACAGCTCTTTGCCTATTTCGAGATCATCAAGTCGAGTGGATCGTGATTGAAGTTGGATTGGGTGGAGCCTTGGATGCTACCAACATCTTCGAGACACCAAAGATGACCATTATTACATCCATTGGGATGGATCATGCAGCAGTTCTTGGAGGAACGATTCAATCCATTGCAGCAGCCAAGGCAGGCATCATGAAATTAACTTGTCCAGTGGTCATTGCTCCTCAAAACGAACCCCATGCTTTGGATACCCTGATTGACCATGCCAAAAAAGTGAATGCACCCTTTAGACTTGCACGAGCAGCAACATGGATCAAAGATGCATCATCATCAACATGCCGTTTGGATGACACAACAACTGCCAAGGGCGCCATTGAGTATTCAATATCATTACGCGGTGATTATCAGCGAGAAAATTCAGCAACTGCCGTGATGGCTCTTTTATGGCTTCAAGAAAACGGTGACATCTCGTTTACGATGGACATGCTACAAGCTGGAATGGCAAGGACACGATGGCCCGGAAGATTGGATTATATTGCTACACCCATGTTCGAAGGACAACAGCTCCCACCTATGCTCGTCGATGGTGCACACAATATACCAGCTGCAAAAGCGTTACGACAACACATTGATGATCTTGATCCAACGCGAGTGCTTTGGCTTTTAGGAGTGACAGCGGGGAAAGACATTTCGGAAATGTTGTCAGGACTGCTCCGCCCCAATGACACCGTATTGGCTGTACCTTTTTCACAACCTGACGGGATGCCCTGGATACATTCAACACCGCCACATGAAGTCTGTGAGCACGCCATGAAGATTGTATCGGATGCACGACCTTTGGAAAGTGTTCAAGCGGCCTTAAAGATGATACCCTCGCTAGAATCCTATTCTTTAGTAGTCTTGTGCGGTTCGCTTTATCTTGTAGCTGATTTCTACCGGCTCTTAGACAATAAAGATGTATAATAAAAGACCATTATCCACCATTCTAAACAGTCCAAATTGCATTAATTAAGGAATAGTACAGAAAGTGTTTTATTATGTACGTTGTTGCTGTTGTTGTTCTTCTAATTGACTAGGATGGCCTTCCCAGCTTACTCGCACACCGCTATTGGAGAAAAAGTTGAGTTAGCTTTACCAATAAGGAAGCAAGACAAACCCTTACCCATCATTCCAGTACACCGAATCGAGCTGCCATCCTTTTTCTTCAAGGGCATCCATGAACCGGGGAATGTTCTCTTTGGTCCAAGTAAGACTTTCATCCAACGCATCCATGTATGCATGCCAATCGGTTTCTTTGCTGATGTTTTTGCTGGCAAGGGTATCGTGGAACTTTAGAGCATGAAGAATTGACTGAATAACGTCTTCTGATTCAATATCCTCGTGGAATAAAACACCCATGACGCCTTTGCGATAGCCCAAGAGATAATTTTCATTCTAAAAAGAAGAGCTCAATGCACACATGTATGAACAAAAAATGACATCACTTACTTTCATGACGTGTGTTGCTGATTGGACTTCGGCTACGGAATCATATGTTTGTTCGGCACTTGCACCCAATTTGAGTCGAATGGATACATGAGAACCAGGTTTGATCCACTCTCCAAATCCAATTTCCCGAGATCGTAGCTCCTTGTATCCTTCAGCTTTTCCACTGTCAATAAATGTCCGGCTAAGAAGAGTTAACTTGGCTTGATTCAACACCTCAAACTCTGCAGCATTAAGCATCTTGATCGTGGCCCATATGTTGATTGGCGTCAAAATGCTAAAGGCACCAAAGAGATACAATGGCTCGTGTGATAAAGAAATGACACCAACACCCGTCAGCATACCCAAAAGATGCGCTGTGGACATTTGTGCATCATCCTTGGCAACGATATCACCGATATTTCCCGTGGTCTATACATAAAATAGCCCATACTCCCATCAGTTGCTTGAACATCCCTTCCCTTTCCATATATTACTTACAGCAAAATGCTTGGTAAACGTCATGTGACTTGCTAGCCATATGCTCTCGTGCACCAGATTGAACATATTTCCAACTTGGGTTTGGCGTGAGCCTCGTTGTATTGCAGTGGATGAATTTTACCTGCAGCAAGCGGCAAGAATAACTTGGGCGACACCACCGAAGTACATAATTGGAGGAAGCATCCCACGGCTGAAAATCCTTCACAGACCTATCACCTTGAATTAATCCCAATGATGCATGGTTCGAATGTTTTAGGCCGCTTACCATTTTCCAAGTCTTTGGATGTGAATCGAATGAACTTGCAAATCGCTTGATGAAAAAGAGCTTGCCAAACTCTCCAATGCCATCCTTCAATACCCTATCATCCCATCTCAACATGAAGCCTATACGCCTTCATCCTCTTCCTTGCCAACCTACCATTGGATCGCAACAGCACCTCCTGCTGCTTCAGCTTCACCAAGGCCTAACGATGCCAACATGGCTTGTGAACATAGCACACCAATCTATGTATACATTTCATCCATCAATAAAAGATTGCTTTCGGCAACCGGTTAATCTTTACCGCTGATCCGACATAGGTTTCCAAACCAAGCCAAAGGTGAAAAGGCTTATAGCAGCTGTGTACAGATTCCGGATACCTTTGAAGCATACCATGTAAGCAATCCAAGACAACAACAACCTTCTCATCCATCGCTTACCCGACTGGAAGAAACATTTCTCGTAATGATTGCCTGATACCACCAAGCAAATGAACATTCCCCTTTTGGTCATCTTTGTTATCGGTGCCGATATGTGTGCTTGATGATGCCACATTGCTCCCTGACGACTGCAACCATCGCCAAGACAACGGTGGTGATGTTACTGAAGATCCAACACGTGATTTACTACTCGTTGCAGGTTTGGCTTTGGCTATTGTTTGCAGGCTGGTGTATATCCGTGTGCGTCCATAAACATGTTCTGTCAAAACAGTTGTGTTACTGGTTTCTTTGGATCGTGTGGTGCTGCTCCAACGATGGCATCGTAATGTCGACCTGATCCTGGTTCCATGACAAGAAGCTGGAAATCGTTGCTGTATCCGTGAGACATGTTGCCGGAGCATTGTGAGATCTACCAAGAAAAACATATGCACCCTTGATGCTCTGTCAACTATTTATACCCAGCGAAGGGTCTCCTCCTCCTCCGCTGCAGCCCGCTTTGTGCAACACATGATAATTTGTACCTTGAGTAGGCATCCCTACACCATTGACACCTTCAACACACTATAGACATTAGCCATTTACATAAAACTGATAGCTTTCAGGCTATTAAAAGAGCACCATGCAAATCGAACTTAATACGTCAAAGTGGAAATTGGGATTCCTTGAGAAGCACGTTAGCGTTTATTTACGCCTAGCTCTGTTACATACACTTTTTGGGATTCAAAGCCATTGCATCGTTATCTACAAAATATTCTTGCACACGTTGCTCTCTTTTTCTCTTTTGCATGCGCACATGGGTCAATTTCAATGAAAATGGGTATAAGGTCGAACATGGTACTGTTCCTGCTATACACATTGTCCTTGGATGTGCGATCATGACGTGTGTTCCATGACCAAAATGTCTTTTCGGTTATACAGGTTACACAGGAGGTGATTGCTGCTATGATATATGCATGATTTGAGCAATGCTGACAAAGCCAGCTTCAGGTGTCCTCTTTGCTCAGCTTACTACTAATGTTTATATTATGGATGAAAGGTATCAAGTAGCACGTATTGTGATTGCTCATTAACTCCACAATCACACAAGGACAGGTCATGGACCATCATTTCATATGCCCAAGCTTGGCTGCATGATTGCTAAAGGTGGTATGAGCAATAAGCGATCTTGGTTCGTTACAACCGAGGCGCTGATGTATTCGATCTAATAACCTGGAAACTAACTTGATAAGTTTATTGTTCATTTTAACACCAAATGACTTTAACGGAAGGTGAAGAGCGCAGCGCTCTAAGGACACGTTTACAAACAACACATGAACGTTCACCCGTGCTGATGTACAATGCTAATGATAATTGCTGATACACGTCTGCCATGTTGCATGCTCTCGATAGTGGACATGATTCAACGTCCCCAGAAGCGCCTATATACATAAATTCCTGGCAATGCTTGACGGCAGTTTCTGGACATTGTACATCCTCAAGGCCATACAGGGTGGTCTCAAAGTTGTTCTTAACCTCTGTCCAAAAGGCCTTCTTTGCAAACTCACAGATGCTAAAGACGAAGTGATCCCATAAACCTCTCAGATCATTCAGTCGTGGGATATCCCAACCGAAGATGCCTAGTACGCCATACACATAATCTTCGGCAAAGTAACATGATCGTTCAGATTCGGCGAACATAGCTAATAGTCTATTGAGACTTCCGAATGTTGTATCGAGGAATTCTTCATCATCATGGAACCATTGAAAGACGCATCGCATGTTTAAAAGATGATTCTTGAGATCTTTGGTGTTCTTGTCCTCCTTGGAATGAAAATGATACTCCAGCTGGTGATGAAGCGAGTCAACAGAGAGGTAACAAGGCATATCACATGTCTCTGAGAGTAATAAAACTGAAGACGGAAGGGCCAATTCTTGCATGGTCCATACACGTGAAAACCAACGGCATTTCCAAATATCCCCAACATGCGGCCATCCTTCCCTGGTTGATGACATCGAATCGAGCGAGCTAAGGACTTCCGCTGAGAAAAATTCAATTGCTATGGGTGGACAATCAATCATAGCAAAACACGTATGGCAGCAACCATACACACCTCGCATGATGATAGGTGGCGTGTCGGTCCTGCAACACAAGACATCAATCCACCAGTAGCCAGGGTTCTCTTGTAGTAGATTCAAGAAGGCCTCGCGTTTCTCTTGTCTCATTGGTATTGGTTCCACTGTAGTACCATCCTCGTCACTGATAAAGTCGCTCACTTCCCATAGGTTATCCTTTGGATCGGTTCCCCATAAATGTGATAGAGCATAAAATTTGCGATCAGGGACGTAAGATGGCTCGTGTTTGGAAGGTGTAATAATCGTCATCATGTCATGTTCATCTTTGGGAGGAACATACAACAAACGGAATTGTGGATGGGTGAATGTGTCTTCAAGTGTCCATAGTTTGTCAAATTCGGTATCAGATAGAGGTTCCTTTGATGTGCTAGTGATGGGCATCACCGTTGTCTACCAAGGCAAAAGGATTAGTTTTTGGCAGATGTTTTCAAATCACACTTGTATACCTTGCAAAGGTGAGAAAGCAAGTTGATGTTTACGTACCTAGTTTTGGAAAGCGTTTATATGCTGGCACTCGAGGCTATGTTGTGTAACTTTAGCTTATGTACATATACAAAGACAACAGCGAATGTGGCACTATGTACATAGCACACCTTCCACACCATAGAGAACTTGTTGATCGCTAACCCCGCAAGCGATAACACTTTTCAATGCATTTATTGCCATGATCAACGAGTGAATGCTTTGATTGTGCATATTTGCTTTCGGGTTGGCGTAAGTAAAAGGACATGTTTGGCGCGAGTGTCGTCCCCACAAATGTATGAATCGTAACACAGCATAGAGTTTGCGAGGTCAATACGGAGCCAAATGCCCCTTTCCGGCCAGCCTCAAGAAGATGATACAAGCTCATACCATATACGACAAACATTCACAAGAGCCGATGATGTTATTAGATGATGCAAATATGTGTGTAAAAGTAATCCTACATTCTTGTTTGTGATGTATGGCTTTGTACTATAACATTATATAGGAGAGATCAACATGGTTAAGATGATGGATAATATGATGACAAGTATGTCGTTCTATTATTGACACGGCACATTCCCATCGCTTGAGCTACGTCAAAGGATACCGGCAGTTGGATCACATGAATCAAATCTCCAGCTATAATAATGCGTTGGTCAATGTCCGCTAGCTTCCCTTTTCCTCTTCTTGTACCAAATGGATATCACACAAGAGACCAAAATCGACATCGACGACGTGCTTGCATCTTCAGCTGTGGGACCAGCTAAGGTTCAGAATCTCAAAGAGTACATCCAATGTGTCCTTAATGAGCAAGTTGGCTTGGTCGTGGCGCGTCAACTGTTATCCGAGTTTATCACTTTATTCAACGAACGAGTTGACGACAATGAAGTGAAGAAGCAAGTGCTTACTTTTGCGATTGAACTTGCCCAGCCTCGTTCAGTGAGCTTTGAAGAACAGGTAGGCGTATCTATCGATCACTCATAAAAAGGTGCTGATCCAGCTTTCAGTTATCGCAACTACGAGAGAATCTTGCCAAAGTATATGAAGATGAAGAGGATTATCTTGAAGCAGCCAAAGCATTGCAAAGCATTCAACTTGATTCGGGTCATCGGTAACGTATCATTCATCACCCCTTACGATCAAGGCATTAAACGCATGGTATGTTGTTTTGTAGGAGCATTTCAGATGAATACAAGCTTGGGATTTATGTACGAATCATGCGACTATTATTGGAAGTGGATGAGGCTGTTACTGCTGATACCTACCTCAATCGAGCGGCATTGTTGATTCACAACTCGAATGATCTCGTTCTCAATTCGACATTCAAACTCTGCCAAGCACGCATCCTTGACGCCAAACGTCGTTTCCTCGAAGCAGCCATCAAATTCCATGAATTGATCTATGAGACCCAAATTGATGAATTCGATCGTCTTCAATGCTTGTAAGTGCTGTCAAATCAACAAGATCCATCCATCCATCAACTCACTAGCTTCCTTGTTTTAGAATGTCTGCAGTGCAATGTGCTGTGTTGGCAGGAGCTGGTCCTCAACGATCACACAGTTTGGCTACGCTTTACAAGGATGAAAGGACACACCACCACCTTGCATCATCCCCAATTTTTGAAACGACGTGCACGGGTCGTGTGATAGGACATAACGAAGTCGCCGATTTTTTCGCCACCTTACAACAGCATCATCGTGCCATACGTAAACACAACCTGCTCTCTGCTTCCAAGATTTACAACAACATCACACTTGATGAGCATACAGCTTATTGAATGTTTCGAGTTACAAGGCGGAGGAACTTGCAGGTCACATGATCAGTGAAAATCGCATGAAATGGAGCAACTGATTTCTTTGAAAAAGCGGGCGGTGATCCAACACTCGTGGCAACAGCAAATGACTTATCGTCTCAATCCACTCGCCACATTGAATGTTCCCCTTTTGGTCACCCTTGTTATCAATGTCGATCTGCGTATGCTTGATGATCTACATTGTTCCACCGAAGACTCCAACTATTACCAAGGCAACGATGGTGATGCTGCTGAGGATTCGACACGTGATTTACTGCTCGTTGTAGGTTTGGCTTTGGCTATTGTTTGAAGGTTGCGTTATGTCCGTGGACGTTCATTAACTGTCCTGTCAGAATAGCTGTGTTACTGATTCCTTTGGATTGTGCGGTGCTGCTCCACGATGGTATTGTGATATCGATCGGATTCTGGTTCCATGGCAACAGCTGGGGAACATTGCTGGTTATAAAGAAAACATTTACACCCCTGGTGCTCTGCCAGGCATTACCATCGATATACCCCTTCATCACACTATAGACGTTATACTTTACATATTACGGATAGCTTGAGTTGGATATCACGCCATTAAAAGAATCCCATGAAAATCAAAGACATCACGTCAAAAATGGGAAGCGGGGCTCGAGAATAATGTTGTTGTTTATTTATACGTACCTAGCTTCCTTTTACATACTTTTTGGGATTCACAACTATTGCATCGTTATCTACATAGTAGTATCCTTGCTTGTGTTACTCTCTTTCTCTCTTTTTCATGCGCACATGGATTGATGTCAATGGAAATGCATATAAGGATTTGTTATTATATATATGGTCCATGGATGTGCAGTGACGACGTGCATTCCATGATTCAAAATGTGTTTTTCGGTTATAGGTTACAAAGGTGGTGATGGTTGCTATGTTACGTGCATGATTTGAGTAATGCAGCTTTAGATGTTAGCTTACTGTCATTGTTATTATGGATGAAAGGATATCAAGCAGCAAGTGACTTGATTATTCATCACATTCATCTTTATTAAAACCATTGTGAATGACTCTGCAATACACGACTGTGGCTTTCACGCATTCAAGGGCAAAATAACAATTAACACAGGGGCAATCAGCCTTGATATACAATAATCCCGGGTACACGTCTGTCATACTGCATGCTGTATATAGTGAGCATGATCGAGCTTCCCGCGAAATGTTGATATGCATAGTTTCTCGGCAATGCTTGAGTGAAATTTCTGGATCTGGTTCAAAGTTCGGGTGGTCCTGGATATACAAGGGGGCGCGATCGGCGTATTGAAAATACTCTTCAATGGCTGGCCATAACACCTTCTCTGCAAATCCTTTCAAACTGAAGAGGAAGCGGCTCCATACATCTTCCATATCATTGAGCCGTGGGATGTCCCAGCCTAAAATGCCGAGTATGCCATACACATAATCTTCGGCAAAATAGCAAGATCGTTCAGATTTGGCGAGTAGGTCTAATAGGTAGTCAAGCGATTTGAGTTGCTGAAGTTGTATGTTTTTGTTGAATTCATAGATCTCTTTGACAGAAAGTCTCATGACGAAAAGATGATCATAAAGATAGCCGGCGCTCTTGTCATATTCATCCGTGTCCATGTCAAGCATGTGGTGCTCACTTATCAGGAACATCTGAAACTTTAGCGCTTCAATTTCGATGGTGTTGCTGTCACAAGGCATATCACATGTCTCTGAGAGTAATAAAACTGAAGACGGAAGGGCCAATTCTTGCAAGGTCCATACACGTGAAAACCATCGACATGTCCAAATGATCGTAGCATACTCCCATGCTTCCTTTAGTTTTTGTATCGGATAGGGCATGAGTTGTGATATCGGACGCGGAGAGCTCATTTCTTCGGTATAATTTAGAAAGCTTTGTTCATTCTCGATCTTAAACGGAGGGAGTACAACTGAGAAAAATTCAATTGCATCGGAAGGACAATCAAGCATAGCAAAGCAAGTATGACAGCAACCATACACACCTCGCATGATGATAGGTGGCGTATCGGTTCTACAACACAAGATATCAATCCACCAGTAGCCAGGATTCTCTTGCAGTAGATTCAAGAAGGTCTCGCGTTTCTCTTCTCTCATTGGTATTGGTTCCACTGTGGTACCATCCTCGTCACTGATAAAGTTGCTCACGTCCCATAGGTTATCCTTTGGATCGGTGCCCCATAAATGCGATAGAGCATAAAATTTGCGATCGGGCACGTAAGATGGTTCATGTTTGGAAGGAGTAATGATCGTCATTATGCCATCTTCATCTTTGGGAGGAACATACAGCAAACGGAATTCTGGATGGATGAATGTGTCTTCTAGTGTCCATAGCTTGCCACATTCTGTATCAGGTGGAGGCTCCTTTGATGTGCTAGTGATGGTCATCTACGTCGTCGACAAGGAGAAAGATTAGCTATTGGCAAACGTTTTTAGATTAAACTTGTGTACCTGGTAAAGGGTGAGAAAAGCATGCAGACGTCTACGTACACTATTTGGAAAGCCTTTTATACGTTGGACACGGGGCTAGGTTGTGTAACTTTAGCTTACACGACCATCGTAGAGAATCATGGTTGGTCGTTAACCGAGGGAACAAATGACATTTTCCATTGTATCCATTATGGCCAATGAGGGAATACTTTGTGCATATTTGCTTTCGGTTTGGTGTAATCACAAGGTCATGCTTTTGACTTTGATGGCGTTTCCATGGATTATGTGGATCAAAAAACATAGCGAGATCAATGTACTGAATCAGGCGCCGCCTTCCAACCAGCCTCAATATGAAAGCTCACAAGAGCCAGTGACATTACTAAGTGATGAAAATGTTTACGTAGAAGTAACCCGATAATCTTGGTTGTGATGTATGACTTTATTATGTCCTTAGAAGAAAACATATGGATACAATAATGGATAGTATGATAACACGTATCGATTGTTCTATCGTTGAGTGGGGTCACATGGATCAAATCTTCAGCCATGATAATGCATGGTCGAACGCGTTGGCAATGTCCGCTGGCTTTCCCTTTCCTCTTGTCTCAAATGGATATCACGCAACGCCTGCAGCAATGTGTCATTGAACCTCAACAAAAGACCAAAATCGACGCATTCACCAAAGTTCTCGACGACGTGCTTGCATCTTCAGCTGTGGGACCAGCTCAGGTTCAGAATCTTAAAGAGTACGTCCAATGTGTCCTTGATGAGCAAGTTGGCTTGGTCGTGGCGCGTCAGCTGTTATCCGAGTTTATCACGTTATTCAACGAACGGGTCCAAGACAATGAAGTCAAGAAGCAAGTGCTTACTTTTGCGATTGAACTTGCTCAGCCTCGTTCGGTGAGCTTTGAAGAACAGGTAGGTGTATTATCTATTTGCCAGTGACCAAGAGGTGCTAATCCTGTCTTTAGCTATCGCAACTACGAGAGAATCTTGCCAAAGTATACGAAGATGAAGAGGATTATCTTGAAGCAGCCAAAGTATTACAAAGCATTCAACTTGATTCGGGTCATCGGTAACGTATCATGCATCACCCCTTACGATCAAGGCATTAAACGCATGGTATGTTGTTTTGTAGGAGCATTTCAGATGAATACAAGCTTGGGATCTATGTACGAATCATGCGACTACTATTGGAAGTGGATGAGGCTGTTACTGCTGATACCTATCTCAATCGAGCGGCATTGTTGATTCACAGCTCGAATGACCTCGTCCTCAATTTGACATTCAAGCTTTGCCAAGCACGCATCCTTGACGCCAAACGACGTTTCCTCGAAGCAGCCACCAAATACCATGAATTAAGCTATGAGACCCAAATTGATGAATCCGATCGTCTTCGATGCTTGTAAGTGCTTTCAAATCAACAAGATCCATCCATCCATCAACTCACACAAGCGACTTGTTTTTAGAATGTCTGCAGTGCAATGTGCTGTGTTGGCGGGTGCAGGTCCTCAACGATCACGCAGCTTGGCTACGCTTTACAAAGATGAAAGGACACACCATCTCGCATCATTCCCAATCCTTGAAAAGACATACATGGATCGTGTGATACGACAAAACGAAGTCGCCGAGTTTTTCGCCACCTTGCAACCTCATCATCGTGCGCAATTAGCGGATGGTACCACTGTTTTCGATCGAGCCATACGTGAACACAACTTGCTCTCTGCCTCCAAGATTTACAACAATATCACATTTGATGAGCTTGCGGCTTTATTGAATGTTTCGAGTGACAAGGCGGAAGAGATTGCAGGTCACATGATTAGTGAGAATCGGATGGTTGGCAGCATTGATCAAATGGAGCAAATGATTTCTTTTGAATCTGGAGGAGCGGCACACAATGAAAGAGCTGGCGGTGATCAAACACTCGTGGCAGCAGCTGCTTCTCAAAACACACGTCGTATTGAGCAATCCATGATGGAGATATCAAAATGGGATTCGGCTATTCAGACCTTATGTCATGATTTGGACAGCATTATCACCACCATCCACGAAAAATATCCCGACTATGCCCCTGAGAGTTTCTCCATGATTGGCTAATAAAGAGCATACTATATTCCAACAACAATAACAACAACAACAACACTATGTCTATGTACTGTATTTAAGAAAGATCAAAGGCTTGAAGCTTGAGGATGTTGAGGATCTCCCGTCGTCCTTTAAGCCATTCATTGAATGTCGTCATTTTGCGTGCATCTTCATCCACAATGCTATCTTGACTTTCTTGGGTTTCCAGGTCTGGCGTAGTAGACGATACCGCACTGGCTGTTTCCATAGAAGAGGCCATAGAGAGATTACCCATTTCCTCCAACAAGTAATTGGCAAATACAATGAGATAAAAGTAGCGCACGAGGTAATTGAGAGCCACTTGTCGTGTCGACTTGTACTTTTTAGAATTGCGATCTTCAATGGCATCCAAACGAAGCTTGTAGTCAAAGACGGCTTTGCGCAAGTTTTGCATATGGTCGCACATGTTGATGGCTTGATCGGTTAAGCGCTTGGCAAGCTTTCCATAAGTGAGCACACTGACAAGTTGAAGCACAATCTTGTATTCGCCGTTTTCATAGCGTTCTCGCTCTTCATGCGATTCATCACCCTCTTCACGATCATCACCGTTACCCAAAGATAAGGCTTTCAAGGATGTCTCCATAGAAGATGATTCAGCAATAAAGGAACTTGTCATATCACCAAGTGCATCATTCTTGAGAATCATGGACATGAGACAAGCGGTCACCATGCCAGTTGTTGTACGGCCACGGCCCATTTGGCAATTGAATAAAACGTCGACGCCAGCATTGGCATTTTGAATACGTCGAATAAGTTGATCAAAGACATCGGGAATAGGAGCTTGTTCATCGGTACTATGTATCCGCATGTGAGTAAAAGAAAGCCTAATGTCATGTATCTTCCTTACATTGGTATACGTAAGTAATCCACTTGATATCCTTCTTCAGCGATGGACTTGAAAACATCGCTTGGTGTTTCGATACATCCAACTGGTACCGTTTCCCAAACAGGCTATGATGGTATGGATGTGTTGGTTGATAAAGTATAACTTCAAATATGCATTCTCTTACCACAAGCACAAAGCCACCCTTATCCAGGACCTCTTCATCATGCAATAAAAGACGACCATCGTATTCTTGCAATTCTTCCAATGCATCTTGTTGCATGCGGCGTTCCATGCCTTCTACACGTTCACGAGCAATACCAGTGGTTTCAAGATTCTTGATAGGATCATGGAACAAACGTAATACGTAGGGTCTCTTGTTCACGTAAAGCACAGGTTCTTCGCGAAGACAAGTCCAAAGCACACGTCGTTTACCACCAGGGCCAGCATTCATCCTCTTTAATACGGCCTTGATAGCATCCTTGGTAGGCATAGCACAGCCACAAATAAAAGGTGCCACGGCCTTATCATCGTCATTGCGTTCCATATCAGCCAAGAGACCACTTTGATTGGCAGCCAAACCACCATACTTGACAGCATTCTTGACCTTTTTCACCTCGACTCGACGGAAGTTGTAAGCACCTTCCACCTTTTCTTTGAGACTAGCCTTTTGACAACCGGGGAAGGCATCATGCTTGAGGATGGTTTGTTGAGCAAGCACTTGACCATGACGACCACTCACAACACGCATCACTTCGCTGGAAAGGGCAACACCATCACCCAAAGACTTTTCCACAGGTACGATCAAGTTGGCATCTTCAGAACGTAATTCGAGTCGAATGGTGGCAATTTCTTGATGGCGATTCATCCATGCTTCAAAGGATTCGGTTTGACCCAGCATGTCAGGGGATGTATCATCGAGGTAGGCTTGGAAGCAAATAAGCAAAAAGTAGCGTTCGAGCATGACGATGCCACGCTTGAGGATGCGACGTCGCTTTTCTTCATCTTCTTCACTCTCCATTTGCACATGGGCTGATTCAATCACATCACGCAAGTTCAAGAATGCACCACACTTGTCGACAGCATCATCCACAATCCACTTGTTCTCCAATCCATTTCTGATCACACGCAAGAGACTGTTGATGATTTGGTAGTTGAGTCGTTGGGGTCGCATGAGATCATTCGCGTCAGGGGATTCAACAGCCTGGGGTCTATCAGCTTGACGTAACCATCTTGTCAAAAGCGTGGCAATCACCGTACCTAGAAAAGAGTGTAAGTATATCTACATGTATCCTTTCAAGAAGAAAAAGACGTACCCAAAGTGGATCGACCCAACCCGATTTGGCAGTTTCTATTGGATAGCATGGGTGAATAAATGCATTAGCAATGACCACGTTACACACACATACATGAGCAATGCTGTCTTTGAAAGGTCGACTCGTGTAATAAGATGACGCAATTCATCAAAGTCGTTCCATTCAGGGGACTTTTCGGCTGTGACAGGAACACGGTAATAGCTCAAAAAGGAACCCAAATCATGCTCATCGTCGTCGCCACCTTCCATCTCACGATACATTTCCGATGCCACTGAATCCATGACTTCGCGTACAGTGCACACATCATTGATATCCACTTCTTCCCAAGCAGGTTGAACATTGCCATTGGTATCTTCGCCATGCAATAAAATGCGGCCATCATGATTGAGTATTTCTCGAATGACATCTTCCTTGAGTCGCTCTTCCAATTGCTCCAAGCGTTCGCCTGTAATGCCCTTGTAAACACGGATATTGCGAAGCGTAAAGTAGCGATCACGCAAGACATAGGGCACACCGTTGATGTAAATAATGGGTTCTTCACGAAGATTGATCCAAAGAATCTTGTCGTTACGTGGACGATCCTTGAGTAATCGACGCACCACCTTACGAAGACCTTCCACCGTGGGTTGGGCTACACCATACACATGCGTGCTCTCTACACGTCTAAAGTGGCTAGCGCCATCGACTCGGAACACGTGATGCATTTCTTGTGCATCATCATTGAAATCAGGCTCGCGACGTTCTTGAATACCAGGTGTACGCATAGGGCTATGTTCAGGTTCCTGGATGTGATGATTGATGCGCCAAAAGTCGACCTTGAGGATGGTTTGCGAGGTTAACACAACACCTGTGCGTGCCTATAATATACCATTGAGTTAATCAAGATCACCTTCCAATATTGACCTTTAGACCCGTACCTTGAGAATAAACTCTTCCATTTCACCAGCAACAATACCGGATTGAGCACCTGCACCCACCATTTCAAACATGCTTGGGCCTACATGGCGGATACCATGACGTACAGTGAGGGCAGTCTCATGTGATCCATTGGTATTCAATCCACGTAAATCATCCACGGGGCGGAAGAGATAAAGACGTGGTCCCTTGTATCGCATGTGTTGCAGCATGGTCCAAATCTCAGCACGTGCCTTGACCCAAGATGAGAATCGTGTTTCAAAGCGTGTGTCGGGTGACTCGTTGATGTAGGAGGTGAAGCATAAAAGGAAAAAGTAGCGTTGCAAGCCGCTGAGTGCCTTTTTCAGATAGGGTGAGTTATCCGATGCGCCTTGGACACTGGTCTGCTTCAATCGATTGAATAAAATATCCTCACGCAAGTTGACCACGGCATCCGCTAATCATTTTAACCCCAAGTTAATAAGGCCATCATGAACATCCAACCATCCACTTGAGACTTACATTCATCAATGAGCTCATCCAATAACTTTTTGTTGAATGCGCCATTCTCGAGGACCGAAGTAAGCGAGATCATAGCACGATAATTGCCCATGATAGCCTCCTTGAGATTTTCCATCAACTTTCTACTTTCCAAGGCCCAATCCACAGCTGTACCCGATGGCATACGATATCCCAATGCTAGTATAGAGATCATGAGTACGTGTGATGAAACCCTATTTGAAACACTTACCTTTTTGCATAATGGAAACAACACGTAAAAGTGCACGATTTTGAGCATTCAAAGAATCCGCTTCTTCAAGACCACGCACAAGCTCAGGTGAAAACACACGCTGGAGACTCTCAGGATCATCACTGTTGCCCACCGAATAATTCCAACCAGCGATTGGGAATGGATCAGCTTGACCTTGCTCAATCAATTGGGTGCGTCGAATGATTTGGGCAATAATAATGCCAACCGTAGCTATCAACAAGCACCACACATCAATCCCATGTTTTGACGTTCCTATCATTAACAACTTACTTCTTACAGCTCCCATGCCACAATTAAAGATGAGGGGATCCGTTGGTTTCAACGCCTTGATCACACGTACGTATTCATCAAAGTAATTGTCTTCGGGACCTTGCTCAGGCGAGATTGGGATTCTAAAGTACTTGACGCGATAACCTTGCTCTCGGAAGGAATTGAAGACTACCAATACAACCATCGTTATTGATCCTGCACATCAACCTCATAATTCACGTACCTTCCAAAGGAGTCTGCACCGAATCAGCAGCGATATAACATGGCACAATCGTACCATCAGCTATGTTGTAACATGGATCCGTTAGCCTACCGTAGTCACCTTTATCCCCCATAACAACAACTTACACAATTCCTGATGAACCAACAACAATCCTCCCATGCTCTTTGCTTCCTTGACAACATCGGCTTTCAATCTCTCCTCCAATTTCTCGAGTCGACCTGCGCTGATACCCTGGAAGGTGACCATGTTTTGCATAGGATCCGCATAATCACGCAAGACATAAGGGAACCCATTCAAGTAGACTATAAGGTGTGTGAGAGAAACAGAAATCAGTTACCAATGGAAACCTGTATTTTTCCAAGCATTGCAACATTTACCCAGCGGCTCTTCACGAGTGGAAAACCTAAAATGCAAGACATGAGCTACGTTACACAAGGATTTTCAGCTTCTATTTCTGTTATACCATGTACAAGAGGTCTGTGTTAAACTTTTTGGATGGCAATTGAGAAGGGCAAGGATGGTTGATAAGCCAACTACCTATATGACACAAACACGTAAATGAATTCATCCAAATCTATGGATCAGATCATCTAACTTACTGTGGGTTGAGCAACACCATAAACATCTAAATCGGCTACACGGAAGTTGGGAGCGCCTTGTAAATGGAAATCAAGCCTAGTGTTGGTGCCTAGATATTAAAAAAAGATGAGATCTCTCACACACACATTCACACACAATGTTTCAGGGGAATGAGTTGTAGTACCGCTTGCAAAATGATCCATCTTTAAGATTGTATTTCGAGTCAACACACTCCCCGTTCGGGTCTTGACAAGGGAAGTCACCATATCAAGTAATGATCTCAGGTTCTCTGTTGGATTGGCTTCGAGCACAGAGGGTCCTCGTAATGAAGGTCGTTCCTTATTGGTGGTGGTGGTGTTGGCAGCATCGCCCATCACAGGATTCCTTGGTAAAAGAGGGGAACTTGATGCTGACCCACTGACCCGTGTCATTGGATCTTTGGATAAGGATGATCGACGAGGTGGTGTATCAGCTTGATCCCTATCGTCGTTGTTGTTGTTAAGAACAAGGTATATGAAACAAGACGACGTCTTCTTACACGAGGCGTGGAGGAACAAAGTTGGTAGCTCTACCAGTGCGAGGTGATCCTACACCTTTTTTGTCATTGGTGAATGTCGGTGATGAGCCCAGTGAAGAAGATGACGATGAGGACGATGGATGCTCTGTTGGATTGGTTGACATGTTGAATAAAGAGGGGTTGCTTAACGTGAGAAAAAGAAGAGCATAAAAAGAAAAGAGCCGCAAGTAGGAATTTCCTGCATTGATAACGCGCACCACTTTCCATCTTCCCCTGTTACAGATCCAGCTGTCGTGTGTGCAACCTGACTGAGGAGTCACTCCAGATAAGGTTGTTGTCACGCTATGCATTATGACACACATCACGCATAATTTGTGGTGTGTACAACGAACACCCCCTCCCCTCTCCCACTTTTTCCCATCTACAAAGCATTCAATGTAGTAGTGATAGTGGCATGTATATAGAGAGTGTGTGTGTGCAATCATAATACATACGCTGATCGATTGACATGATGGCGCATTTCATTAACTGCCAATAACATGGGCGTAAATCATCACGCTGATTAATCATGCTTTGCATTTGATCCAAATTTGGGTGGGCGAGTTGCATTACATTGAGACCTTGTGAAATGTCAGACGAGTAACAGGTGCTAAGTATGAGCTATAATATGGGTGCTTCATACGCCGCCGCTTGATTGCATTGATAAGGACACAAGCACCTTATCTGTGGGTAAAACCATCTACATACCATTCCCCACTTGTATCATGACTCAACGTTGAACATGAACAAGCCCATAATACGTACTTGTGCAAGCGTCAATGATGATACTACATGTTATATTAGGGTTCTTTGATCCGATCAAAAAGAGTGCTATCATTACGATAAAGTCGTAGATAGCATATCAGTGGTTACTTGATACCATTAAACGTTGATTGATCGTCATGTTCACAAAGTCAAAAAATAATTCCTTGTTGATCCATGCCTACTGTCAGCCTCTGGCTAAACAATAAAAGAAGGAAAGCAACCCCATAAGACACACCAGCCACTTGTACAAGTCTTCTTTTCTTAAAAGTATACATTGTTCATGCACATAATGAATCAACCCTTTCATAGGTGAAATGGCGCCTTTCATGAAACATTCTTAGTATTGCAAGAGCCAGTATTATGTATATCTTTGATCCACATCTTGCATCACCTTATGGCTGTTTTTGCCAGCATCAAACATGGCATTGATCAAGGACGATCATGACGAGTATATAACGATTACAAATGGTGTCATGTGTGGGATAAGAAAGGGGTTTTATTGATGGATACATATAAGCTACAATGTAACTGGGGGGATTGGGATGCTACCAGCAGAGAGTGGTTGGTTGGTTGAGTGGTGGTGGCGGCTTGAATCTCGAGCGGGATTGAATACTTTTTTCTTTGCTTTCGCATCCGAATCCAAGCTTTGCTCCTCTCCTACAATGACCCAAACCTTCGACTACAACAAGAAACAGGTGAGTGTCCATGGACAACCACGAGCCAATGGGCAAGATCTGTCATTAACACCGGGTATAGGCTAAGGCTGCAGTGCATGCTCTTTACGATCACCATAAATCGAGAGAATCGGGCGATCTCCTTGCCGACGAAGAGCCTCCTCTCTATGTACAGATCGTGACCAAGGAAATGTTTGTTCCCAAACGTCAATCGGCTGGTGGAAAGAAAATGTGAGCACATACATACACGTGTACGAGAGAAAAAAGGACGACACCATTGATGATCTCTCTTTATAGCAAAGCAAAGCATGCCCTTTATCCCTCGGATACCAGCATTTGTGTATTTGTCAAATCGGATGCAGAAGATATTCAAAAGGAACTTGCAAATGGTGGATTCAAGAACCTTCAAGTCATTGATAAGTCTACATTGGAAGGATCCTACAGCACGTTTGAAGCACGACGGAGATTGGCCAATGCTCATGATTGTTTCTTTGTCGATGATCGCATTGTATCATTCATGCCAAAACTTTTGGGTAAACCCTTCTTGGAAAAAGTGAACAAGTAAGGAAATGGATTGGACTTTCTTTATTGGATTGGAAGGAGATCTCTGATACAATATGGGTTTATCTCTCTTTAGGACGCCTATGCCCGTCAACGTTGCTTCCTCTGCAAAGATCAACCAGATGAATACTGCTCTTCGTGTACAATCTTACAGACCCAAAGGAGGTGTCATCAAGTAAGTAGTTGGCATGTCATTCTTTTGTTCTAGTCACTCATACTTTTTCGTTATCAGCCTCTTGCGAGTCGGTCATCTTGGCTTATCTGAAAAAGAAATGCTCGAAAACTTGGATGCCATTGTAAAGGAATACCTCCGTGTTTCTAACACCAAGTCAGAGGCCATCCAGGAATTGTCATTAAAGTTGGCAAAGAGCCCCGCACTCCCATTCTACAATTCGCTTCCCTAAGTTGATTAGACGCATAAAACCATTGCATTCACCACCGATTACGCATTGAAAATACAACATGTTTTTTAATTACCATTCCTGAATATGAATTTGCTCTATTAGCATCCTATACGATCCCTAGTATCCTAGTCTTAGAATCTTACCAATGGTATTAAAGAGCCCTGATTGCTTATCTAAAAGACATTTGGGTTAGCTGATGCCATCCATGGTGCTTGTTCCTTTTTTCTTCTTACCTTTGTGCTCCGTGCCTTGACCACTTTGCAAACGGTCCCTGCGGATTCCACGCCATGAGCTAATAACAACCGGATATCGATAGCAGAATTCCATTGTTCCATTAATCCTTGTGCTTTCATTGATCTTGGTTTCTCAAAGTTGGGATCACCCGTGATTGTATGTAAAACCTGGTAGGTTGAGGTGTCAAAGTGCCGTTGCAAAAAGGAAGGAAAAAATACACTTACAAGCGTCGACAGGCCAAGATTGTTGACTGATTTCAGGCTCTGAGCCAGGTTGGGTTGTTCTATAAAAAAGGTATCAACGCATGCATGCAACGACAAAAGAAGGGCTTACGTTGTTCGGTGGTATTATTGCTCCATTCGGATTCAAGCAAGTGAACAATATCGCTCATCACGATCAGTGAAGGGGTCGAGGGTGATGATAAATGTAACGCCCCTATCTGGACAAGGAGTTGACATGCATCTGTAGGTGTCACCACGCTATAACATTGGATCCGTTGCATGATTTGATCGCTCTTCTATACTCGGCGTGTCAAATGTCTGTGCATCAAGGAGAGAACAAGAGAAAACGTACATGTCGTTTGTGCTTTGCTTGTGCTCGAGATATCACTGCTTCCATTTGTCGTGAATCGGCCATGCCTGTGGTATAGATATAGTGGACCGTAGCATCGTCAAATGAAGAAAGAAAGGATTCCACAGCATATAGAGAGAACTATATACACGCTTAGCATCCTCTATCCTCGATTAAATAAAAAAGGGGTCCTTATTACCTCGGCATTGATCACCCGATGAAGTCCTGTAACTTCAATTGTATGTCCTAGACAAAATCCGCCATGAAGAGAATGATCGAGCCTATGAATCATTTCCAATTAAGCTTTGTTTGTCAAAGGGGTAGTTGATGGGGGGTGGAGTACATACGTCTGGAATCCAGTTGAAAATCGAGTTTGATCAAAGTCTTTGTTCGTTTCAGGCACAACCGAAAGAGTAGCCACCTTGTGACGTAAAACATGTAAACGCTTATATACGTCTTCTTAGTAACCTTGCTTTTTATCAAGATGCCATTGTCTTACTTGAGTTGGAATGCTCGTCCTCTTGCTGAGATCGTCCAAGTCGGCTTTCAACAATGCTAAATCTGAACACGATCGGGTGTCATGAGCAACCATTAGTTTCGTCGAATCGCACGTGTTAGTTTGTAGTCAACCTGTTGTTATCCCGTTATTGGCGAGTGTGGTGATGGTATCGCTATAGATAGGATGGTTCCCCAGTAACACCTTAAGCTTTCTCATATTGACAGCAGCGGAAAAAGATATATATTAAAAGAGTCGGGTGGCCAATCATTCAACAAGACGGTGTGTGTGGTTGCATGATATTTCCGAATGTGCGTTATGTGTGTGCGTGTGTGTGATGTGCATTGTGAAGGGAAAAAGAGAGAAAAAACTAAACTAGAAAAACTCGGTACATGGGGGCGTGTGTAATATCAATTTGAATTTTCTTTGGCGGCTTCAATCAGTGGTGATAAGGAACAAAGTGGATCTGCAGTCTTCAAAAAGTCGTGTTCGAGCATGACGGCGGCAGAAGGTCGTTTCTCAGGATCCACTGCAAGACATCTTGATAAAAAGTCGCGGAAGATATCTGATAAAGACTCTGGGCTTTGTAATTGAGGTGTGCCATTGGTAGCAATAAGATACAACGCTCGCAGAGGATTCTCGTTAAGATAAGGTGGCTCTCCTTCGATCATTTCAATGGCCATAATGCCTAGTGACCAAATGTCCACTTGAGGTCCATATTCTTTCCTGGTGACCACTTCTGGAGCCATCTATAGAATGTCTCTGTTAGCGAGATATACCCAAGTATAAGAACAATGACTTACCCAGTAAGGCGTTCCAACCATGGTTGTCCGTTTGGATTGTCCTTCATTCAATTGAGCGCAAAATCCGAAATCGGCTATATAGGATGGATTGTTAGATAAGGGATGTGTATGTGTGTGTGTATGCAACTTACTCAATTTAATGTCGCCTTCGGAGCTGAGGAGCACATTGTCACTCTTGATATCACGATGGATGACACCACTCAAATGAAGATGTTGTAATCCCTTGAGTACTTCACGACATACAGCGGCGATTTGGCCTTCGGTCATCATGTTGCATGTGACAACATCCGTTAAGCTTCCTCCTTCCATATACTCCATCACCACCCATAGGTCGCCTTTCCAGAGATAAGAATCGATGAAATTGACAATGTTGGGATGTCGAGATTGCTTCATCACCATGATTTCATTCATGATCAGCTCTTTTTTGGGTTGTTGATCCAAATTCATTTGCTTGATCGCCACCGGGTACTCCTGGTTATCCAATTGGCGAGCAGTGTAAACACCTCCTGACGCTCTAAGGAGAAGAAGAAAAAAAGTACAATCATGAGTTCTCTGGTTGTTGCAGCAATAATATCATGCATACATACCCTTGTCCAATCTTGACCATATCCAAATATATCTTGGTAGGATCTGCATTCTTACAGAGCTCTTTAAGATTCCGCATCAGCTCATCATCGCCTTGATTCTTCTCCTTGCCAACACGTCGCTTGACCACTCCCACGGATGGTGAGGATGTCGATGATGTTGCTGCTGTCGTCTCCTTTGACGTTGTGGTTGTGGTTGTGGTGGATGGTGATGACTCACTCGTCGTATTATTATTGTTGGTCTCCTTGTCATTCATTGGAGAGGTCTCCACAGGCTGTACATTCGATTGTGATAAGGGTCGTTGCGTTGATGGTGCCTCTTCCTCTTCCCCCTCTTTGATCACCATGCTCTTTGTAGCATCCTATATGTATACAATTATCAGTGAATCCATCCCACAGGCATCCATATTTTCTTTTACGTACCTTGTTTTTGGAATCCCCAGTTGCAATCTTGGATAAACGTCTCCAAGACTTACCAATGCTAGCAAAGCCATCGGTTTTTCGAGTGGAGGGTTGTTGTTGTTGTTGCTGTTGTTGATTTGACTCTTCTTTGAGGGATGCTGTTACGTCGTTGGATACGCTCGTAGAAGTGACGGTGCCATTGGGGATCTTGTGCCATACAGCATCATCATCTCTTGCATGTGTCTCTTGATAAAACTCAATAGCATCAATCACAGCCTAAAAGAGCATGATGCATTGATATCAAACAAGTAAATCTCCACGTTGTTGATATGTACCTGAGGATTTTGTTCTTGCTCCTTCTTGGTAATTCCGCTGTGTTTGAGCAGGACATGCCATTCACCAGGAAGGCCCGTAAATTCGCCTGTATGTGCATCGAATCCAACATGGGTAACATGCCTTGTGTTGTAAGGGGAAGAGATGTCCATGGTCTTGGATCCCGCTTGTGCAGTGCCATTCACCGGAGTCCCTTGATTTGACAACAGATCTATTATTCATGCCCATGTCAAGACATAACTTATACACATTGGATGGTTTGTATATATATAAATAGGTACCATTGAAACCACCAACAACCTTATCAAACACGCCTTTGAAGGTATTGCGATCACGTGTGCGTTGTGTTGATTCGAGATACATATCAGAGTCACCGCTTGTCGAGGATCGTTTGGCTGACAAGGTCTCTACGCTTCCATAGCTTTTCAGTTGCTGGGCGCTGAAGCGTTGTTGATTGCTGGTAACGTGGACAGCAATCTGCTGTGAGCCGAGATAGTATGGCGATGGTGTAATGGCGCCGGTATTGTAGAGCTTGGTGACATGGGCCTTGGAACCTATTGAAAGCGTTCGAGAGAGCGATGGCGTTGATTTGTGTGTCTTGATTGCTTTAAATGATGCATTACGGGAAGAGTTGCCTGAAAATACACTGACAAGTGAACGTCGCGACGTAGAGTTGCGGACCACATGCGGTCGTCCCTCTGTTACAGAATACCAGCAACCCACCCAATGATTAGGATCTTGTATGTATACACTTCTTTCCCAATAAACATACCTTTCTTATCTGTACCCCACGATTCCGATGCTGTTTGCATGTCTTTTAACAAGAAAAACAAGAGGAGAAAGATAAAAAAAGTCAGGAGTACGTCGTATTGAAACAATCTCTCTCGCTCTCTCTTTCTTCAGGGGTAAGCTATCATCGAACCCCCTTTTTGCGCAAGTTACCTAGGAGACTTGAGAGCTGCGCTTCTTTATCTATCCATTCAATGAGATGAACAATAAACCCAACACCGCCGCATACAATGGCACAATGATCCATGTGCAACATCATGGATGTAATGTGTACCGGATTGGATCATTGTATCGTTCGCCATCATTGTACCGCACGCAGTAAAATATGCAAGAGCTCTCAAGAGACATTAGCATACAAGCTTATTGCAGATGCATGCGTGCATAGAACAACCTTGGGGTTCTCACGATCCACGGAACCATCAGAGTGCACGTGACAACTGCCAATGGATCCATCGCTACTCCTGTACCAGCTGCCATGGAAACCTTCCGTTGATCCTATACCATCAACATCTTGTTCTCCCATCCAGATTTCCTCGTATGCGTTGCCATGTACATAATCGCGTAATATTGCTATAGACCCTTTTCCTCCATCACTTGCCTTTTGCTTTGTTATTCAATGTTTATTATAATCTTTGCATCATGCTCTTTTTCGATCATCATATGAAAGCATCTTCACATAAAACATAAAAGAAAGTTTTTTGGACACTGTATGTATATGAGGGACCCATAAATATCCACAACGTTTCATTATTGGCTACTGTGTAATATACTTTGAATCGTGTTCAAGCGTTGACCTGTCAGAAGAGATGGATCAGGCTTATGGGAGCCCATGAAAGGTATGAATCGGATGCGCTGCTTACTATAAACCACGATCCGGTAAGGGTATCTTCAATGGAGTAAAGGCTGCCAAGACCAAAAGGATAATGCAGTAATCTAATTATATAGTACATGGTTAACAACACCCTTTGCTCGGCTTCATCGATAACTCATACACACCCAGGATTGAAAAGGACACTGCCATATGCGGACGACAAAGTACAGAAGGGATAAGATGGGTCGATTACTGCAACGGCGTGTCAAGGATACATCCCATAGGCTCACAATGCTACTTGCGTCTCCAGGTCAACCATGTACATCCTGCGGTATCCATGGATACGTTGTTGACGAGTGTACCTTCACGTGTGCGCCGATTGGGCTTGCCATGCCGATCTTGTGTTCAAGGAATTCCAAAGCTTTTAGTCATCCATGCCGCAAGTACATAGCAAGATCTTGGTGTCAATGTGCAATAAAAGACCTCAGTGCAAGCAATGTAGAAGAAAAGGGAGAAGTGTTAACGATCTGGCTGGGAACCACTTGCTCTTGTTGTGTCATACCCCACATACTCTCCACCACTCTACCTCGTGATCCAAATAAACTTGTATATGTTTTATTGATATCATCATAATCACAAGACCTTTCTCTATCGTTTGCGGTATTACTCGTGTAAAAACAATACAATTTGGTGGAGGCAGCTATGGACAAAGAAAGGGGAAAAGGCCGTGTCGACCAACTAAAAGCGCGCTCCACGACGCATCTCTCAAACATACTCCCTACGATATATACATCATGTTGATCGCACGGCTTTTCTCTATCGTTTGATATCTTTTTCGTCGAGAAACCATGAAAAACTGTCACCAAAAGACTCGGGTCCGGGAACTTCGAACGCGTTTTTAAGCGTGTTCCACCCATGTAACCCCACCCAACTTTGGTCTCATGTTGACCGCAGCACTTTTATCTTTCATTTGAGGTACCATTTGTGTATAAAAGCTCGAGTTTATGTTTTAAAGAGATGAGAGTTTATTATGTATGATTTGCATTCAAGGTTAAAACTAGAACTAAAAGAGGCAATTGGTTTCCACAAGTCTAAGACGACCTGTGTACTCACAGGAATGACCACGAGAAGGTTTGCCTCACCATTCCCGCCTTTAGCCAAGGACACCAATCTTGACCAAGGCACAGTGAGGAAGCAGCCCTTAACCAGAGCTTAAAGAACTGCAAGGTAGTTACGGTCGCAATTAACGAAGCCCCCCTTTAACAGGCCTTTAAGACTTGGAAGGTTTTACAGTCCTCATGCTTACGGAATTGGTAACGGTGCTCTAAGGAAAAGAAAAAAGAGGAAAAAGGTGTGGGGAAACGCCCTTCTTTTATACCTTTCGATCCCAATTTGACTCCCAGCTCTGACGTCCGTTGGGCTATTGTGACCTTTTTGGGACTCTTATCTCATTGGCTGTTGACTCAGCGTGTAGGAATCAGTAGTAAAGGCATGCTTTTAACTTGTATAAAGGGTACTTTTTGAAAGAAAAGGTGTAATGTGCATGGTGAAACATAGCAGGGAAGCGGAGACATAGCTACTCTTTACTTGATATAGTATAAATTCGGCGCACAGACCAGGGGGTTCACGACACGCATGCCGCATACTCATTTGTGTACTACTACGGACTCAGCTGGACCCGATTTCATGATCTTTTATTATCGATTTTTAAAGATCTTTCAAGTGTATCGACAAAGGAACAAGAGTGTGTGTGGTGGTGGTGGAAAAGGGAGGCGAGCTAAAAAAAATACCCACGATCAACTACTAAAACGTGTGCACAAGAGTTGACTATATACACCAAGTACGACTACTACGACAAGCGCTCTTGTATAATACCAGCCATCAACAGGAGCATAACAGCGATCGCGTACCTTGTTGATCCCGGTTTATGTTTATGTTGCGATCTTGATTGCTGGACCTTCCACGATCTAATGGAGCCGAGATCAGGCACCTCCATCCTGGTTGGGACACTGAGTCTATATGGCAGAGCATACCTCCTGTGCCTTGATCCATTAGCAGACTACGTTAGGTTGCCGTATGCTCTCATCATGCAAAGCTTCAATAAATGTCTTGGATTAAGATACTGTTGTTGTTTCTCTCATCTTGATGCTGCAGCTACCTGTATCCTAGGAAACCAGTTTCCTATGCAACATCAAGGTTGACATTTTCTTAAACCAAACAGCCTCGAGAACAAGAGTACAGCCTAAATGAGCTTTGTAATAAATCAGGATCTTGCCTATGTGGATCCTAGTAAGGTTCTTGTATGGCCCATCTTGTCTTGAACTTGGTCGTATGTAGTTTGCTGGCAACGTGGATGGCGATAGCGTGAAGCACAACAGTATTCAAGTACATAGGTTGCCGAAGAGCGGATGAGAAAAAAGTCATCCATCCATCCTTGATGTTTTACTAATCAATCAGCCTGTGCACTATAACACAACGAATGCACGCAACCCATCCTTTTGACTCCAAACCCATTCATCCTTTTAACCACGAATCAACGCCTCCAACCCATTATCACCCAATACCCAAAGCAGCAAATGACAAAGATATGAAGATTTTTTTCATTGAATAAGATGTACACGATTCCTTATTATAGTTTTTCCTTCAATTGTTGTATATACAGGAGCTTTTCAGGTATAGCATTCATCAAATGACGTATCTCGGCTTCTTCTTCCTCCTTCTCATTGGTACCGCCTTGTTGAATGATGTCCTCGAATTCTTGAAGCATTTCTCGGTTATCTGCCATATCCGCTTTGAGATCCTCCAATCGCTTCTTGATCCTTTCCTCCTCATCATCATCCTTCATAGCTGGTAATTTCTTGAGTTCGGCTTTGGCACGTTGTATTGATGCTTCCATCTCCTTCAATTGTTTACGCATCGCTGATGTCCGTGCTCGTGCACTCTGTAATTCTTTTTCTTTGGCTTGTTTCTCCTTGACTAACGCATCCACATCCCGTTGTAATGGTGACGGCTCTGGTGATGCTGGCTTTGTTGTTGTTGTTGTTGCTGTTGCTGTAGTCTTGTGTAAAGGTGAAGGTGTGGGTTGCTTCTTTTTCACGATCGTTTCTGCTTGCTTAGGCGATTTGCGTCCACTCTCTGTTTCTGGAAACACATTTTGCAACGTTCGGTCTCGAAATGGGCTACGCACTGTGGAGGATGCTTTGGACTGCGTGCTGGATGTCTACTCAAAGTTCAAGATCAGTCTCCTTGTATACACAAGCTATGAACTAAAATGGTGCTCTCGAATACCTTGGTAATGTGCTTTGTTGATTCTCGGCTATGTGTTGAAAGAGTGGTGGGTGTTTTGTTCTCGTCGGTAATGCCAGACATGTTGAATAGGAACAAGGAGAGAGGTAAGCTGTTGCTGAGAACGCGTGCGTGGTGTGTGTGTGTGATGAATCGGAAAAGTCACAAGCGCGCGCGTTTTGCAGGAGATCGAATGTATTTGTCTCACCATGCAATTTATAGTTGAGTACCACCCAAGCACAAAATAGAAGCTTTTTATCCATTCCACTACAATGAAATCTCTTTATGTGATTGATGATGCATTTTAATGAAATGTGTGTGTGTGTATATAAATAACGGGGGTTGGTTTGAGATGATTGGAGTCTTAAAAATGATTATCAGGGGTACGTGCACGATCAGGAGTTTGTGAGCGTGAAGGTGGAAGTGATCCTGAATCACGGCCTGCTGCTGGTAAAGATACATTCGAATCGAGGAAACGGGATGTGGATGAGTTACGGAAGCTCTTGCGGCCTGCATGAGTGGATAAGGCAGCTGAATGATTATAATCCGGAGTAGCCAAGTAGACAACGCTCGTACGACTATCCATGCCAGCAGGTTGACCGCCACCTACCAATGGCATATCATCATTTTCGAGCATGGCATATTTGGCAAACTCTTCATTGTCGCCGAAAAACTTTGTAATCTTGGCATGCTCTTTGCGGGATTGATATCGGTGCAAGAACCACAGCAAGACCAAAATGATGAGCACAAAGACAACAATAGCCACACCAACAACCGCCCACAGCCAGTTGGGAATCGTATGGAAAACATCGGGGCCATTGACACAAAGTCCATCCGTATTGCAATAAGCGGAAAGGCATTCACGATCTTGCTCACATGTGGCTCCATTTTCTTTGGATTCGATACATTTTTCATTCATGCAATAGGTGCCATCGGTACAGTTGTCACGGATAATGATTTGTCGGATGGCGTAGTCGTCTCGGTCATAGGTTACATACATGGTCCTAGATTACATAGATACATGAGTTGGTGCTGTTGTTGTTACTATGTGAATGATTAAAAAAGACATACGTATCAGCGCCACAGGCACCACCAAGTGGTGCAGCCTTGATATAGCATGTGGCATTCAAACAAATGGGATTGGTGCCTGCACACTCGTCATCTCGTTGCTATAAATTACTTGCTGGGTTAGCCATGTCGACAATGTAAACAAGTCCGAAAGTTCATTTACCAATTGGCATTTTTCACCAGGTTGGAGCTTTGGTTTGCATGCTGAATTATCATCAGGGCAGTAGGTGTCGCCCCTACACCGCTGTGGGAAGGGATGAACAGCTGTATCCCATCTAGGGATGTTGTCCTCCTCGATTAATCATACACATCCACACACACACACGCAAAAGGAGTGTCTATTGCTTGCTTACCCTTGGAGATAATCACTGTTTGTACATCCTCGATAATTGCAAGTGTTTGTTGCTGGATCGCAAAATAGATAAATGTTTTCACAAGAGTCGTCGTATTGCCATGTTGCTCTGTTGGAACGTGTGTATGTGTGAATGTCAATGTTGCTGTTATTGGGTTAGGCTGATATTTACGTGTAAAGCGGAGTAGCGTCACATTGTTCTCCAAGTCGTAAGGCTGATGTTGAGGAAATAATACATGCAATGGCCAATGCAAGGATGGCCATGAATGATGGTAGATTCATCATGGAAGGAGAGGGAAGGAAAAAAAAAAGTGAACAAGAAAAAGAAAAGGTGGAAAATGATTGTGTCAGTAGGTGGTGGAAGGGAGGGTCGCAATTCCACGTTACACTGAAAAGTTTATATTTTTGATTCTCTGGGCGAGCGGGGCTTTCAAGTTCAAAAATAGATCCCATTGGGCCCTTTAATGGGATGCAACCAGCATTTTGCACCTCCAAGCAGTAACAGGCTCATTGGATGTTGTTGTTCTAGGTCTTTGCGCAATTACATACACTTTTCCACATTGCCTTTTTCGCCATGGCTGTATAATGACCACACTGGATTTGAATCACCTGTTGGCATTTGATGTAACAAACAACTCACCCTGCATGACAAGAAACCCATTTGATTCGATGGGTAGGGTACAACACACTCAAGCCATTATGATCTCTTTCGTACTCAACCTTGCAATCATTGGCAGCATCCTTGTTGCAATTATGGCTGTGAGGTGTGCAATTGCTATTTTGCCATACGACAATGGTAAATGATACAAAGGGTTACACAATGTGACACAACGAAAGCGTGTAACTTTTGAACGACGGCGTGGTCTATTCATACTTTGCCAAATGTATATTCATGTAAACCATAAGCGTATAAAGATAATAGATCAATGGTAGCAATAATATGAAACGGGACGTCTTGCTCGTCTTTGTTGGGTTGTCGATTCACTTGGTCTTGGTCTAGGATAATGTCGTCGTTGCCCTCCTCCTGGTGAAAAGTTGTACCTTTGATCTTCCTCTTCTTCATCCTCATAATCACTCTCAGGAGAACTCCAATGATGACGACTATGGATGGATGTTGCACTATTCCTTCGTGGACGTGGAGATGCCATAGGGCGTTGATGTCGACACCCACCTCGTCTATGATGACCTGCAGCAGCGTACAATGGTGGTGGTGGGATCTCATAATCCACATCCTCTTGTTCATCCATGAGCAGCAAAGTTGAACGTGGTCTTGAAGGAGGACGGCTATTGCTGTTACGACTATTACCAGCAAGTGCCATGCGTAATTGATCCTGGGTTTGGCATATTTTCTCCATCATTTCTCTTTCACGCAATCGATGCTCTTGTTCTCGTTGCTTCCATTGTGCACGTTCCAATTCACGTTGTTGCTGAATCATATATACTTGTCGTTGGAGTGCTTCAACACGATCATCCAGATCCAATGATGATGACGCTCTTCGTCTTTGTATATCTACATCACGTGTGTAAGTGATATAGACATAACAACCATCATCCAACCCATTACTGTACCTTGAATGACGCGTTCTTCTGCTGGTTGTTGTTGTTGTTCCTCGAGCTCAGTCTTATCCTTATCCCCAGGATCCAGTACACCTTGTGTGGGAGGAATGGCATGTTTGGGCTTTGGCATCATTAGAATTGGACTGCTGCTGTTAACAGGAACCTGTTTTTTGGGAACATGAATGATTGGCGATTCATCACCATGGATGGATGTTGTCGCAGTGTAAATGGAAGAGGCTGTGGTGGTGGTTGTGGGGTTGCTCAATGACTTTTGAGAGATATCAAGGATAGAGGCACGTCGCTTCTTGTGAGCAAAAATCTTGAGCATGACGATGATGATGATGATGATGATGATGATAATGATGATAATGAAAGAGCAAGAAAAAAAAACACGAGTGGGAAAAGCGACAAAAGAGTTATGTGATCCGCATGTAAACATGCTACGAATTAGGCAACAGCTGCTTTCATCCAGTCTCGTGATGCAAACCTTACTTGTTCCTGGGTTATGGGTACACAAGTCGATCGTGATTTAAATGAAAAGAATAGCCATCTTAAATTCGATATCAAAGATGGTTGATGTTGTCCTGCAGGTGGAGACATAGTGTTGCATGATGGTCATGTGCTGAGTGAATGAGGAGGACCACACTTGGATCACGTGGTAAGGTGGTCTCATCCTGAGATTGACATTGCACGGCTTGTTGAACGTTATGGGGTCATTGTACTGAGTAAAATGGTATCCATGGAAACTGATTTTTGGAAAAGAACGATACAACAATGGTGACTTTCACCCACCTGTTGATTGCATAGAAAAGTGTCATATCAAATTGGCGTCTTTGTGAGGGCCGAAAATGATCAACGCCCCTCAAGGCATTTATTTGCGACATCTCATTTAATATGGTCATCGCAACATGCTACCATATAGGCTGGTACATGTGATCCTTTGATGTTCGATTACGGCTTGTCTTCCATGGCTAAAAGTATGACTAGCAGTTATACAGGCTAGCAGGCGATACAAAAAAGATTATGAATGCTGTCAAAGTCAGCTTCAGATGTTCTCCTTTGCTGGATTTACTGTACTATGTACTAATGCCTATTGTGGATGGAAGGTATCAAGCATGAAGCAACCTTCTGCATCCAGAGCATCCATTACCTCCACAATCACATAAGGGCAAACCATGGACCATCGGCACCTATGCGCAAAACTGAATGTCATGATTATCGAAGCTATGAGCAGCATTAATAAACGACCTTGGTTAGCTATACAAATAAGCCCCTGAGATAATCTAGCTAATATCGTCCCAAAGTATATGGCGCACTACCACTTTTATTATCAATCTCGAATGACGACTGTAAAATACCTAAAGTGGTTCAACCATTCGGTGGTGATAAAACGACAACGACTACAAGAACAGTTCACCGTGATCTCCAATAACCCCCGATACACGTCTGCCATTTTGCTCGCTCCTGATAATGCACATGATCTTGCTCCCTCGCAAATGTTAAAATGCATAGTCTCCTGGCAATGCTTAGTCGCCGTTTCCGGGTATGGTTCGTTGTACGTCTTGTTGGGACTATAAAAGAAGGGGCCGCAGCAAAAAAGGTCTTTGACCGATTCCCAAAAACGCTTCTCTACAAATCGTTGGAAACTAAAGAGAAAGCGATCCCATATGTCTTCTATATCATTCAATCGTGGGATATCCAAACCCAAAATGCCGAGTACACCGTATACGTAATCTTCGGCAAAATAACATGATCGTTCAGATTTGGCGAGGTGAAGTAATACTGAATCGAGAAGATAGAAATCATTTGCTGTATGCTCCTCAGATCCATGGATTATACCGACAGCTCTTCTGAGCGTGCCAATATTCGCTTGGAAATCGCTGTTGTCCTTGTCTCTTAAATTAAATTCGTTGCTATATTGGAATACCCACACCGAATCGGCAGAGACGTAATAACAAGGCATATGACATGTCTCAGCGAGTAGTATAACAGAAGATGGAAGGGCCAATTCTTGCATGGTCCATACACGTGAAAACCAACGGCACTCCCCAATATCCCTAGCATGCTTCCACAACGCTGCTCCCTTGACCATGTTACGTTCAAAGGATGTCCCCTCGATTGGTTCGCCATAAGTCTTAGAAGGATCAAGGATTACAGTTGAGAAAAATTCAATTGCTTCGGATGGACAATCAAGCATAGCAAAGCACGTATGGCAACAACCATACACACCTCGCATGATGATAGGTGGCGTATCGCTTCTACAACACAAGACATCAATCCACCAGTATCCAGGGTTCTCTTGTAGTAGATTCAAGAATGTCTCACGTTTCTCTTCTCTCATTGGTATTGGGTCCACTGTAGTACCATCCTCGTCACTGATAAAGTCGCTCACGTCCCATAGGTTATCCTTTGGATCGGTACCCCATAAATGCGATAGAGCATAAAATTTGCGATCAGGCACGTAAGATGGCTCGTGTTTGGAAGGAGTAATAATCGTCATCATCTTGTCATTTTCATCTTTGGGAGGAACATACAACAAACGGAATTCTGGATGGATGAATGTGTCTTCTAGTGTCCATAGTTTGCCACATTCTTCTGTATCAGGTGGAGGCACCGTTGATGTGCTAGTGATGGTCATCTACGTCGTCGACAAGGAAAAAAGTTAGCTATTGACAAATGGTTTTAGATTAAACTTGTGTACCTGGTAAAGGATGAGAAAAGCATGTAAACGTTTACGTACACTATTTGGAAAGCCTTTTGTACGTTGGACACGGGGCTAGGTTGTGTAACTTTGGCTTACACGATAATCGTAGAGAATCATGGTTGGTCGTTAACCGAGGGAACAAATGACATTTTCCATTGTATCCATTATATGGCCAGTGAGGGAATACTTTGTGCATGTTTCTTCGGTTTGGTGTAATCACAAGGTCATGTTTTTGACATTGATGGCGTTTCCATGGATTATATGGATCAAAAACCATAGCTAGATCAATGTACGAAATCAGGTGCCGCCTTCCAACCAGCCTTAATATGATACATCCGATTCAAAGTTCACAAGAGCCAATGACCTTACTAAATGACGAAGATGTTTGCGATATTGTTGGTTGTGATGTATGACTTTATTATACCCTTAGAAGAAAACATATGGATACAATGATGGATAGTATGATAACACGTATCGATTGTTGTTCTATCGTTGAGTGGGGTCACATGAATCAAATCTTCAGCTATGATAATGCATGGTCGAACGCGTTGGCCAATGTCCGCTGGCTTCCCTTTTCCTCTTGTCTCAAATGGATATCACACAACGCCTTCAGCAATGTGTCATTGAACCGCAACAAAAGACCAAAATCGACGCATTCACCAAAGTCCTCGACGACGTGCTTGCATCTTCAGCTGTCGGCCCAGCTCAGGTTCAGAATCTCAAGGAGTACGTTCAATGTGTCCTTGATGAGCAAGTTGGCTTGGTCGTGGCGCGTCAACTGTTATCCGAGTTTATCGCCTTGTTCAACGACCGGGTCCAAGACAATGAGGTCAAGAAGCAAGTGCTTACTTTTGCGATTGAACTTGCTCAACCTCGTTCAGTGAGCTTTGAAGAACAGGTAGGCGTATCTATCGATCACTCATGAAAAGGTGCTAATCCAGCTTTTAGTTATCGCAACTATGAGAGAATCTTGCCAAAGTATACGAAGATGAAGAGGATTATCTTGAAGCAGCCAAAGTATTACAAAGCATTCAACTTGATTCGGGTCATCGGTAACGTATCATTCATCACCCCTTACGATCAAGGCATTAAACGCATGGTATGTTGTTTTGTAGGAGCATTTCAGATGAATACAAGCTTGGGATTTATGTACGAATCATGCGACTTTTATTGGAAGTGGATGAGGCTGTTACTGCTGATACCTATCTCAATCGAGCAGCATTGTTGATTCACAGCTCGAATGACCTCGTCCTCAATTTGACATTCAAGCTTTGCCAAGCACGCATCCTTGACGCCAAACGACGTTTCCTCGAAGCAGCCACCAAATACCATGAATTGAGCTATGAGACCCGAATTGATGAATCCGATCGTCTTCGATGCTTGTAAGTGCTTTCAAGTCAACAAGATCCATCCACCCATCAACTCACACAAGCGACTTGTTTTTAGAATGTATGCAGTGCAATGTGCTGTGTTGGCAGGAGTTGGTCTTCAACGATTGTGCAGGTTGGCTACGCTTTACAAGGATGAAAGGACACACCGCCATCTTGCAACATTCCCAATACCTGGAAAGCCGTACATGGATCGTATGATACGACAAAACGAAGGTGCCGATTTTGTCGCCACTTTACAACACCATCATTGCACCATACGTGAATACAACCTGCTCTCTGCATCCAAATTTACAACAATATCACATTCGATGAACATGCAGCTTATTGAATGTTTCGAGTTACAAGGCGGAGGAATTTGCAGGTCACATGATCAGTGAAAATCGCATCAAATAGAGCAACTGATTTCTTTCGAATCTGGAGGTGCAGCTCATCATGAAAAAGCGGACGGCGATCAAACACTCGTGGCAGCTGCAAATGGTTCATCATCTCAATCCACACGCCGCATTGAACATTCCCCTTTTGGTCACCTTCGTTATCAATGTCGATCTGTGTATGCTTGATGATGCCACAGTGTTCCCCTGAAGACTCCAACTATTGCCAAGGCAACGATGGTGATGCTGCTGAGGATTCAACAGGTGATTTACTACTCATTGTAGGTTTGACTTTGGCTATTGTTTGAAGGATGGGTTATGTCCGTGGACGTTCATTTACATACCCTGTCAAAATAGCTGTATTGCTGGTCCCTTTGGATTGTGGGGTGCTACTGCAACGATGGTATTGGAATGTCGATCGGATCCTGGTCTCATGGCAACAAGCTGGTGATCGCTGCTGTATCATACGGGACATTGCTAGATTATACACCCCGGGAGCTCTGCCAGGCATTACATTGATATATTCTTTCATCACACTATAGTGATTGCCCTTTCCATAACACAGATAGCTTAAGGCAAATACCACACTATAAAAGAACTCCATGAAAATCAGAATCATCACGTCAAAAATGAGAAGCGGGGATTCCTCGAGAAGCACATTAGCGTTTATTCACATTTGGGGTTCACAGCCATTACACTCTTATCCACCAAGTTATCCTTGCTCGTGTTATTCTCTTTTTTTCTCTGTTACTTGCGCACATGGATGGATGTAAATGATATGGATATAAGGTCGGCAATAATCTAACTCCTACTATATGAGTAATCTTGGGTTTGTGACCAAAACTCTCTTGACTCATTACTCTAGTCAAAAGCGTGTTTGGCAGTTATGCAAGTTACACAAGAGATGTTGATTACTATGGCGTACCTTATGCATGACTAGGATAATGCGGACAAAGCCAGCTCTAGGTATTCTCTTTCATTTACTACTGCACATTATGCATGAAAGATATTGAGCTTTAAGCAACCTTCTGCATCCAGAGTATTCATTGCCTTCACAACCACACAAGATCAAGCCATGGACCATCGTCATCTATACGCAGAATTGGATGACATGATCTCTAAAGATATGAGCTTCAATAAATGACTTTGGTTATCTACAAACAGGCCGCTGACGTGTTAATACCTTCAAAAACACTTGAGTCCAATACAGTATATGCCACACTACCAATTTTTTATTTTCAATGGTGAATGAGGGCTCAAAAACATTTAAAACTCTGTATAGAAGAATCTAAACCCTCACATTCATCACATGTGCAATCAACGGTGATTTTTAATAACCCCCGATACACGTCTGCCATCTTGCTCGCTCCTGATAGTGCACATGATCTTCCTTCCTCGCGATAGTTAAAACGCACAGTCTCCTGGAGATGCTTGACCAACAATTCCGGACGTTCACTGTAGTACGACGTCTCCACATCACTAGTCCACGACCTGGAATAAACCAATTCTTCGATTTCTTCCCAAAAATTCTTCTCCACAAATCGTCGGAAACTGAAGAGAAAGCGATCCCATGTATCTTCTATATTATTCAGTCTTGGGATATCCAAACCCAAAATGCCGAGTGCACCATACACATAATCTTCGACAAAATAACATGATCGTGTAGATTTGATGAATTGACGGAGTATCGAGAGGAACATTCCGAATCGACGACTTTTTGAACCGCCCTCAGATCCATGGAAATTTTGGACTCCATGTCTCAACATGAAAGGATGCTCTTGTTTGAACATAGAGCGGGAAAGCTTCAGGTCTGCAGAGGCGTTGAAAAAAAAGCAACGGAACATCGGGACTTCCAGCGAATCAGCAGAGATGTAACATGGTATATCGCATGTCTCTGAGAGTAACATAACTGAAGGTGGAAGGGCCAATTCTTGCATTGTCCATACACGCGAAAACCAACGGCATTTCCAAATATCCCTAGCATGCTTCCACATCGCTGCTCCCTTGACCATGTTACGTTCAAAGGATGTCCCCTCAATTGGTTCGCCATAAGTCTTAGAAGGATCAAGGATTGCAGCTGAGAAAAATTCAATTGCTTCGGATGGACAATCAAGCATAGCAAAGCACGTATGGCAGCAACCATATATACCTCGCATGATAACAGGTGGCGTATCGCTTCTACAACACAAGACATCAATCCACCAGTATCCAGGGTTCTCTTGTAGTAGATTCAAGAAGGTCTCACGTTTCTCTTCTCTCATTGGTATTGGTTCCACAGTGGCGCCATTCTCGTCATTGATAAAGTCGCTCACATCCCACAGGTTCTCTTTCGGATCGGTGCCCCATAAATGCGATAGAGCATAAAATTTGCGATCAGGCACGTAAGATGGCTCGTGTTTGGAAGGAGTAATAATCGTCATCATCTTGTCATCTTCATCTTTGGAAGGAACATACAACAAACGGAATTCTGGATGGATGAATGTGTCTTCTAGTGTCCATAGTTTGCCACATTCTGTATCAGGTGGAGGCTCCTTTGATGTGCTAGTGATGGTCATGTATATAGGCTACCAAGGCAAAAGGGTTAGTTTTGGCTGATGTTTTTAAACTACACTGGCATACCTGGTCAAAAATGAGAAAGCAAGCTGATGTTTACGTACCTAGTATTTGGGGAAGCCTTTTATTATGTTGGCGCTCGAGGTTACGTTGTGTAACTTTAGCTTATGTACATATACAAAGACAACAGCGAGTGCGCCACAAGCACATCCTCCACCGCCGGCAATCTTGTTGATTGCGAAAACAGCAAGAGGTGGGGCTTTTCGTTGCATCCACTATCGTGATCAGCGAGTGAATAATTTTTGCACGTTTTCTTTCAGTTTAGGATAAGTAAAAGGTCATGTTTGGCAAGAATGTCGTCCCCATAATGTGGTGGATCATAATATTAAAGTTGTGGGGCCAATACGGAGTCAGATGTCGGCTTCCGACTAGCTTCAAGATGATACATAAAAAGATGTTACCACCATCATGTTCGATTCAACATTCACAAGAGCCGATGATGTTACAAGATGATGCAAATGTGTGTGTCGAACTAAGGGATTTGCGATGTATGGCTTTTTTATTATATCATTGTATAGGAGAGAATATATACATGGTGATGGGTAATATGATGACAAGTGTCAATTGCTTGAACGAGGATGGGTGTCGGCGGTGTGGATATTGCATTTCGATGGAAACGTGACTCCAAGTCAGACTCTCTCACTCTCTCTTCACCTTTCTTTTTTGAACCTTTACGCTTTTAAAATGGAACCACAACCCAAACGACAACGCATCGACGAATCCAACCATGATCCCAGTGAGACCAAGGTGGAGACATCCCGCGATCTCTACTTGGATACCATCAATCGCCACATGCTCGACTTTGATTTCGAAAAGCTGTGCTCCGTTTCTCTCTCGCCCATGAATGTCTACGCGTGTCTCGTTTGTGGCAAATACTATCAAGGTGCGTATAGATACATTTATATAAGAAAACATGGGTCCACTCACAAGACACAGGTCGTGGCAAATCATCGCATGCTTATTTCCATAGTATCCACAAGGATCATCACGTATTTATCAATTTGCATACGCTCAAGGTAACACACACACACACAAACACGAAGCAGCAGCCATGATGAAAGACTAGACTAATGATGTGGATGGGGAATAGGTGTACATTTTACCCGATGGATATGAAGTCGACGATCCTTCCCTTAATGACATCAAGGTAGGTATACCTCGTTCAATGAATGATTTGACAAAATGCCCACTCATGTCCCGCATAGTACGTTTTGAACCCCACATTGACCAAGCAACAAGTCAGCAACTTGGATGCCAACCTCAAAGCGTCTTACGATCTCAACAACAAAAAGTATCTTCCTGGTAAGTAGGTGGTAGGATTGGATAAGGAAAGCATTACTTAGCACTCCCCCTTCTTAGGTTTTGTGGGTCTCAACAATGTTAAAGCCAACGATTATGTCAATGTGGTGATACAAGCACTTGTCCATATTCCACCTCTTCGCGATTATTTTATTCTCCAAGATTTTGAAAAGCAAGAGAAATCACAACTTGGTAAGTCGCCAACCAATACGCATTCGTTTTCGGGATTGGTATTCATTGGATCCAAAAAGTTACACGATTCGGTGCTCTTGTAAGGAAAATGTGGAATCCTCGAGCCTTCAAAGGTCAAGTCAGTCCTCATGAACTACTCCAAGCAAGTATTGAAATCATGGATGGAATGGGATGGCTATTAACATGCCACAATAGGAAATTTCCAATGCAAGTGACAAGCGATTCCGCTTAACAGAGCAAAGCAATGCCATTGATTTCCTCTCCTGGTTCCTCAACACACTGCACAGAGACCTTGGTGGTACCAAAAAGAGAAATAGCAGTAAGTCGTTTGGCTTTTACTGGGAAAGCGTATTGACCCTAGCATTGGTAGGTATCATTACAAAGATCTTTCAAGGCGAAGTGAAAGTAGAATCTCAAACGGTGGGCCCCAGTGGACCTGTGGCGGGTCAAAAGGAAATTGCTGTTTTTGATGAGGATCGAGGTAAAAGGAGGAGTGAAAGGGTCATTGTCTTCATTGTGTATGTGCATGGAATGCTCATTGTAGTGGGGTAGAAATCAAAACAAGCCAAATACCCTTTCTTTTCCTGGCACTGGATTTACCACCTGCTCCCTTGTACCAAGATGAAGCTGAGAAGAATATCATTCCTCAAGTCCCTTTGACAACGATTCTTCAAAAATACGATGGCAAACAAGTTCAGGTAGGAATCTTGATGGATATGAGATGGGAGGCATGCATGAAACTGATCGACTACTATTGCAATAACAGGAAACTGCCAACCAAAAGAGGCGATATCAGATCACTCGTCTTCCCCAGTACCTCATCTTCCATATCAAGCGATTCAACAAGAACAATTGGACCCTTGAAAAGAATCCTACCATTGTCAACTTTCCTATCAAGGATGTGGACATGAAGAGCTGTAAGTGGATAGGGTGTATCTCTCTCTGTACGATCCTTTTTTGGTAACCCTTTTTTCTAGTTACCAACATGCCGGATGCTGACAAGGTGGGCACGCATTATGATTTACTGGCGAATATTTGCCATGAGGGCAAGCCTGAAGCAGGCCAAGGCACATACAAGGTGCATGTACGACATCGGGGTACAGAGCAATGGTATCAGATTCAGGATCTTATTGTTGAGGAGATTATGCCACAAATGATCTTTTTATCCGAGAGTTATATCCAGGTAACGTATAAAAGGAGAGAGGGAGTGGGAACGACTATCTACAGTCAAACTGACACATGGCTGTTTTTAATAGATTTGGGAACGAAAACAAGAACAACAATAAAAGCAAAAAAGTTATCGGATTCGAAGGAAACGGCCTTCCAGGGTACCATTATTGGGGGCGGGATCAATGTTGAGGAGATGGCAAAGGAATGAATAGACTTCAGTGTTGAAAAAGGGGGCAAGGATGGATTGACGGCCATATTCGAGATCGATGGTTGGACCATGAGCGAGAAAGATCGATTGCATGTCATCCTCCAGATTATCATAACCATGAATTCCACGTGGCGTAAATGGCTCTTTATCATCTTTGGGATTCCATTCCTCGTGACTGACCATGGCATAACCGACATCGGGAATAGCAACGATAGGTGGGATGCGATTGTTATCATTGTAATGGAAACGGTTGGGCACGTGTTCCCGAAGATAGACTTGGAAATGGGCATCGTTGGGATGGTGCTGAGTGTAATTGTGCAGCTCCTGGTATATCTGCTCAACCGCGTGTTTGGGTGCATTTTCTTTGGGTCGTAAGCCGAGAAGAGGTCCTGCCTCACGTTCACGTAACCAGCTCATGGATGTCTTTGATAAAATGTCGTCGTAATAAATCACTCGGGATCGATGGGTTTCTGCCATACCATGATCGCTCACCTAAATAGTATTTGGTTATATAAAAGAGAGTGGGATCCCCACAATAAAAACACTTACAATGACAATATGAATACGATCCAAGATCCGACGCGCATTTAATTCTTCCAAGAGATAGCCAATCGCTTCATCTGTGGTCTTGAGAACTTCATTCAACTTTTATAGGGAGGGGAGGGTGAGTTATCAGCCAAGTGGATTGTAAAAAGAGTGTCCAACCCAATCAACTTACTCTGGGACTATCCGGACCAGAGCGATGACCTTCTTCATCGGTTTGTTGAATATAGACTGAAACAAGATGAGGACGCTCTTCCACAGGTAAATCGATCCATTGTAAAACCGTATCCATCTTTGCATGGGCAGATATTGAATCATTGAATGGGACGACGTAATCCGCTGCAAGTTCTTTGACATTGGAACCAGGCCACATGATGACACCAGAGCGTTTTTCCTGCCGTTGAGCCGTATGCCAGATCTACAATAATAGAATTCAATGCTTGATTCCTAGCACACACACACATACACACACTTACAGGCTCACCATGCCACCAACGATGATCATGAGTGATGGTATCATTTGAAAGAAAAAAGACCTTGTTCATGTCTGGATCATAAAATTCATTGGCGACAATGCCATGGGACTCGGGATATAAGCCAGTTGCCAACGTCCAATGATTTGGTGCTGTGATGGACTACCATGGTAGTAGCATTAGTACACACACATTGACGACCACCCCCTTTTTTCAATAACACTTACAGGGAACGATGGATGCATATACTCAGCTCGCATACCGGTAGCAGCTACCATAAAGCATCATGAGTGAAATGTTGTCATTTGGCAACGCTGATGTATTTACCAAAGTTGACCATGTTGGGCGTCATGTTGCGATCCAAGTAATCGGGACGAAAGCCATCCAAGGAGATCATGATCAATGTTGGACCAAAGTACTCTGTGCCGTTGTAAAAGATACGATCCGGTCGACGATGTTGGGTATGGCGCTGTACGGCAATGAGCATGATCATTTTGAATAACAAGAAAAACATGACGAAAAAAGCAGCCACCACAGGATATCGCCACATTGGGTTTTCCTATCATCCAAGGTGAGTTACAATTACATTTACATGTATGTGTATGCAAAACGTTTACCCATTTACTGAGATAGACTGGCTGATTGGGTTCCTGCACCTCCATTTCCCAAGACGACCTGTGGTCATGGTCACGTTCAGGGTCATTGTCGTTATCCAAGAGTCGTTGTTGTTCCTCATTCCCCGTGGTGGGTTGGGTTGTAGTTGTAGTAGTTGTAGTAGTGGTAGCTGTAGCAGTATTCGTAGGGTCGTCGCTTTTATCATAGTCGACGGTGGTTGCTGCTGTCACTGGTATCGTTGCACGCTCTGACGAAGACGACGACGAGGCACCATCGTCTTGCGCGTCTAGGAGCGCTCGATGATGTTCGTCATGCTGCATGGGCTGAATCGATGGGTTGGTAGTAGTGCAATAAAAAAGGAAAAGGAGGAACGAAAGGCGAGTTCTTGTAATTCTAGTAGAGGGCGGATTTTCTATACCAGGCCGAATCACATGAAGGAGAAAGACAACAAGGCGTAAAAACTAAAGTATATGTATTTGATATGCGATATTGATGGAAATAGAAAAGAAAGAGTGTGACAAAGGATAGACTAGACTTGGAACAGCAGTAAAAAGTGAATGTTTTTGTGTGTGTGTGCATCTTGTTGCCGTGTGTGAGTGTGTATTTTGTATACATGTATGTAATAATGTATGCTTGCTTGAAAGTATTGACTGTGTGTTGTTGTTGAGTGTGTGTGTGTGTGCATGTGTATATAATTGCAAGGTGAAGGAGGAGGAGAAGGATGGTAGTGGTGGTGGTGGTGATAGTGAAATGAATGCATGTATATCAAGAGAATGATGATTGATCGAGATGATGATGATGATGTTCCAGACGACCTGCAAAGCTGTCAAGAGGAGGTGGTGCCTGACGTATACCCTAAATACGTATATCAGTACTCCAAAAGTCTATTATACAAAAGGTGTACTTACCATCATGCCATTAGGCTTTGTATTGATCGAGAGACGAATGCCACTGTTGACCGAATTGCTTAGCATGGTACCATATAACTCTTGTACTGCTCGATTAGCACACGCCGAATCATTGAATTCCACGAGACACACAGGGCTTCCTGGTCTTGGCACCGGGCGGAATAAAAGGCGTTGATAACCGATACATTGAGAGAATAGAGCTATCACCTCTTCTTCATTGGCATTGTGGGGAAGGTTGTGAACATTGACAATGGTTGTTGCTAGGCTACCGTTGTTGCTGCTGCTACTGTTGCTACCTGCTGCGGCAAAGCTGAGATATCCAGTAGGCGAGCTGATACCTGGTGATGGTAATCCTCCATTGTTGGTGGTTGTAGTGGTGGTGGTGGTGGCATTGGTGACAGAGGATGATGGGTTGGTGTTGATCGTCAATCCAGCCAATCGTGAATTCAAAGCACTTGCCAATCCTCCTCCTCCTCCTTGTTGTTGCTTATACTCTTCATGATCTGCTAACTCTGCTTGTGATAGTAATTGTGATGGTAATTGCAATGGATACATTTCTTCATGTACGCTGTTGAGTACACTGGTGGGTGGTGATGAAAAAGGAGAAGAAAATGCAGTTGTTTGTAAAGTTGCTGTAGGTGAAAGAAGGCTTGTGCTTGAATGATACAAGTTGTTAGCATTGTTGCGATCATTGTCGGTGTTGTTGTTATTGGAGAATCGGTTCATTGATAAGCGTGATGTTGAATGAGATGATGACATGCTACGATGATTGAAAATATCACCCATTGAGGCTGAACGGGCATCGAAACCATCCCTTGTTGTTCCTCCTCCTCGTTCTCCTCGTTCTCCTCCTCCTCCTGCAGCCATAGCTGCTGCTGCTGCCGCTGCCGCTGCCGCTGCTGCACGAGAAGCAAACACTGAATCGTTGAATGTCGTTGTAATGGGTGTGCCTCCAGGCGAAAACAGATCAGGGTACAACTCGGGATAAGATAATTCACTGGGTGGATGAAGCTCACTAGGTAATGCTGCTGGTACAGAATGGAAAGCTTCGTAGGCTGATTGACCTGGGCTAAGCGAGAAACGTTTTGGCATGCCTCCATGTTGCTGTTGTTGTTGTGTACTCGTGAGTGGATGAGATGTAGTGGACATTGGATGTTGTGCAGGAAGCTGCTGCTGTTGTTGTTGTTGCTGATCGCCCGTAGAAAGACCTCGTTTTGTATGCAAGTTCTTTTTCGCCATCTCGGCTTTCAAGACTGATCCTTTTTCGGCATCCACTCTTCTACCACTAAGAATATCCTTGGCTTCCAATGCTTCATAGCGAGTACGGAACTTTGCAAATCCAATCTATGGTATAGATGCAAGCTTAATAAATGTGACATGATCATGATCATCATCCCCTTGTTACTTACAATTTGCTTTCTGTTGTTGTTGTTGTTACTACCATTGCCATTACTGTGAATGTCTTCTTCTTGTTCCTTGGATGGGATTTTGAGTGTTGCAGCCTCAAATCCAGGCGAAAAGATAAACATGTTTTGAAACTCGCGTTCTTGCATATCATCTGGAAAGCCCACAACAAAGATAGTCGATATCTCTTCACCCGAAGCAGCAGTAGCAGCAGTAGTACCAGTTCCATTCAGGTTGGCAGAAGACGATGCTGTCGGAATACCACCCGTTGCCATGGTGCTTCCAGTCATCAGAACATTGTAAATGCCATTGGGTGCAGTAGGTTGTGGTGGAGCGCTACCACCAACAGAAGGCATATTGAGCAGTGGTAACGAGTCGTCGTGGACGAGACTGGAATAGGTGAAAAGGTTGCAATGGGCGAGATGCGCGTGGGATGAGTGTTCCTGGGTGGTGTGCGTAAGTGTGAAAAAAACGCGGGGGTGAACAAGAGAGAGAGAGAAGAAGCAAAGGAAGGAAGAATACCACTCCACCAAAATTTGACTGCCATCGCACACACACACAAAACCCGGCTCCTGCTACTGCTGCCATCACCACCACCAAAAACATCCCCCACCTTGAAACTAGGAACCTTTGGATGAACATTGTTGAATGTATTCATATTAACGTATGTTGTGGTCGATTTTGTCTCCCCGCTCATACAATGATTAATGCAGCAGCAACCACCATCACCATACACCTCCCAACATCAGCCCATGACATTACATTCCTCATATTGAATTATACTAGCTGATCTTGCCTTTCATGGCTACCACCTTTTTCAACAAAGGCACGTCCCCACTGTATGTGTAACGAGATTCATCATCCTATAAACTTTGGTCATTCTTTATGATCCATCACAATAAAAGATGATCCAATCACCACACACGTCATCTTTTGTTTAATTCGTAACCATAACTCTTTCTCTTTCTCTCTCGTAAATGAATATATTGAGATTGTGCATAAACTGGGGTTACGCACATCATCATCACTGTGACCATGTCCGCTGTCGGGAAACACAATGGTACGTGTAACCTAGTTGCATTGCAGAGCCTCCCCTTGTACTACCGTCACCATGACGACGACCACCATCAACAATCACCAACACAATTGAAATCGGTGGATGAATGGATGATCCTTGTTACAGGACAAATTAATTGGAGGAATGCATGATCCAGGGTGCGTGTATCTCCCAATCGATGGGATGGCGCTCATAACTTCCATATATAGTAAAATGGCAATGGAACGGGAAGCGCGCAAAAAAGTAATACACCTGGATTTGAGAGAATGTAGCAAACAAAAATCATCAACGACGGCGCGAAAAATGATCGAGACAAACACACACACACATACACATCTTAAACTATATAACAACAAACTTGGAATGAATTTTCCTTTCCTTTCATTTTTATATCCTCTTTCTCTTGTGCAATCCCTTCTTACTACTTCCAATGCATACCATAGCCTATCCAAAAGCCATTGTACCGCGATACACCCACGGTGATGAGGTAAATGAAAACAACAACAACAACAACCTCTATGATGACTGATTTTCTTGGTGGCCAAGGAAGCTGCATTTGTGGATGTTGAATTGAATGACAAGTCGCAACAACAACAAGGATTAAACATTGCAACGGATGACTTGAGAAAGTTCATTGGATATGGTAAGTCTCTTAGGAAGTTTTTTTCTTATACTCTAGTTAATCATAACAACAAACAAGGTGGGGATTATGGTGGTCGACCTATGCGATTATCAAGACTTGACACAAGTACCAGTAGTAGCAGCTATCACAAACAACAAGGTGTCTACGAGGACGATGATGACGATGATGATGATGATGGCTATGACGATGCCGTGATTCTCAATGTACCTGAAGGACCTACGATTTGGGAAGCAACCAAGGAAGGTGATGTGTCCTTGGTGGTACGTGCACTTGAAATGGCGGGCGATAATGCAAACACACTTGTCAATACGCGTGATCCTGATACACAATCGACCTTGCTGTATCTAGCCGTGACGCATAATAAGGATCCCGTGCCTTTACTCAAAGTGCTCTTAGCCTATGGCGCTGACGCCACTTTACCCAATGTCTATAGTGTGCAAGCCATCCATGCCTTAGCCGTCCATTGTAGCCATCGTTCGATATTGGAAGCCTTGCAGCTATTGCTTGATAATGAAGCCGATGTCAATGCACGCGACGGAGATGACTGGACACCCTTACACTATGTGGCACGCTTTGTGCGCGATGAGTCTACGCTTTTACCAGCACTGCGACTCCTTGTCCAACGTGGTGCTCACGTCAATGCAACGGATGCCAGCCAAAAATCACCCTTGTTTGCCCTTGTAGCCAATGGCGACCATGCAGCGTCTCTTGATTGGCTTATTCATAGAGCAGGTGCCAACATTGGATTACAAGCCCAGTTTTTAGATCCTCGAGCACGAAGCACGTTTTTGGGTACGGCCGTTCTTCAAGCAGCTAAATACGCACGTGTGGGATGCTTGCAAGTTCTTGCGCGTGCACACATGACCCATCTCAAAGAAAGCGTATCACGTACTGAATGTGAACAAGCCGTACAATGGATCTTGGATAACAAACGTTGCAATGAAGCTACGAGGGATGAGATGATTCAAGCTGTATTTTCCATTCGACGTCGACTTGAAGAGGATCCTAATTCGGCTGTTGCCATTGAACGTCGTCGTACCAGTGTTTACGTTCCATCCAAAAGACAATCTTTGCTCAGCAGCCTTCGTCGTAGTAGTACGATGACTGGCAGTAGCAGTAATAATAATAGTAGTAGAGGCATTAGTAATATTAGTTATAGTAGTAGTAATCATGATCAGCAGCAGCAGCAGCAGCAATACGTACAACGTACACCCAGTCTTTTAAGGCGGATGAGCCACATTTTGTCAAGGCAACGGACAACCACACTTGATAGTATTGCGTAACTCACACGTCAATTAAACAAAGACATTGCATGAATTTTCTACGGGGTTTTCTTGTGTCACTCTCGACTCTCTTTTTGATTACTGGATTTGACAAGGCATGTACCATAGTCCACCCAAAAGCCCAAGCCCATCAACCAAAGAAGCTTTATCACCCCTCGAGCGCAAGACACGGGCCATTACACCCCCATTGGATGAGATGACGATTCCTTCATGTGCCAATGACGGGAACGCCATGATGTTTGACGACATTAGCGAGCAGCCCATTCCCTATGTTTATCTCCTCAACCTTTTCATGGCTCCCGACATGCGATCCTATCTTGCCCATACACAATTTACGGAGGATGTTTATGCATTACCCATCCATTTGCAACGTCTCATAAGTGAAGCCAAGGAAGAAGTCGTCATTGCCCGTACCAACAACACCACCCAACAACATGATGATGATCGAGCTACACGTCGTTTACAACGTCTCAAGGATTACATATGGTCGAGATCAGGACATGATGTATCGTACATGCTAGACTCTCTTACTGAATTGATCAAAGATGAAGATGAATTGGAAACTATTATTCAGGAATAACAATAAAAAGTTACAAGTATCGCATATCATAAGCTCTTCGATTCTGTTTTTGGGATCCTTCTTCTACATCTTCCTCCTCCTTCTCCTCCCCTTCATCCCCTTGTTGTTGTTGCTGCTGCCCAGCGAATAATTGATCCAATCCTCCTGCTCCATCTCCTGATGATGATACAAGCTCGCCGTTCTCATCAATGTGGTATACCAAGAATTCAACCTCTCCATCATCACCAGCAACCTCTCCTCCTGCTGCTCCTGCTGCTGCTCCACGTAATAAATGTTCTAGCTGGGAAAGCGTCGTTCCAGATCGATCATGGCGTTGTTGTTGTTGTACTTGTTGTCTTAATTCCTCAAGTTGTGCTTTGAGATCCGATACTGCATCCAAAAGGGATTCTTTGCTCATATCCAATGGCTTGGGTTGTGGTGATGCTTGATTTGATGTGGATGGATCCTGCCATGTCATCGTAGTCGTAGCAGTATCAGCTGTGGTGGTGGTAGTGGTCGTCGTAGCTTGTTCTTCGGATACAGGTGATGAATCTTCGGTTGTTGGCTCATCATTGGATGCTTTTGCTGTTGTAGTACTATCCTCTACAAGGTGATCAGGTACGATAGGATTGCATTCGATCTTGTTGACATCCGAATGACTTGTAGATGCCAACATCATCTCTTCACATAGACGTGGTGTGGTGATCGTCATTTGATATTGACACGTAGCTACTTCTTGAAACATGGATATCCGATCATTCGCTTGCATGTCACAATGAAACTATCCTCCTATTTGTGAGTCCTTCCTTCCTTGTATACATAGCCTCTCTCTTTTCTTACCTGGATTTCAATTGAACGTGGCTTCCCTGTCAAATCGCATTGTGTTCCACCGGTCCATTGTTGAACCAAGTAACGTTGATCCCCCACATGTCGTAAACTAGTGATAGGTTGTTGATAGTGTTGATGTTGATGGGGTGATGCCAAATCGGTCTTTTGTTGTTGCTGTTGTTGTATTGAAGAAGGGGAATAAAAGCCAAGATAAAAAGATGGACTGTTGGATGCAGCTGTGATTTGACGCTGATCACCTTGAAGAGCGTTCCGATCGAGATGAAATTGACGAACATGCTTATCATGACAATACTCATACGTCCAATAGCCCGGTGTCTAATGAAAACGAATACGTCAAAACGACACCTCCCTCCAAAAGAACCATACCATGCAACAACAACTTGCCTGATAATAAAGACAATTTTGTTTGCTCAAGGGTTCCAATAGCTTTAATCCTCGTTCTATGCTGTCTTGTTCACTTGGTGTTGTACTCGACGTATCCTGGCTCTGGTCACTGTTATCGTTGTCGTCGTCGGGAATCGTGCACTCGAATGGCTGCCCATGGGCACTCATCATGACCACGCTGCGTTCGTTCTTTTTGCTCATGCCAGGGTTGACATTTAAAAACTGCTGCCGTATCGATAAGGCACTACTAGTACTGCTGCTTCCATGCTGTTCTCCCCCACCCCATTGAGTATACGCGTTCTCCCCAATGAATCGATGCTTCTTTTACCTTGTCAAAGTTGTCGAGAATGTCAGATTCGGCAATTCGGTTCTCTGTGAGGACGACACGGTATCGGGGATAAGAGGCGAGGTCTTCATAAGCAAAGGACGATGCATAGAGTGGGAAGGGGAATAAGCCAGCTGCTATCAAAAGTGCCAACTGTCGCATGGATTCAATAAAGAGAGAGGAAAAGAAATGTAATGCGTTGGCACACGGACATCCAATTGCCCCGCCCCCCCCCTCCCCTTTCTCAAAATGGAAGAATGATGTTCCTTCCCCCCTCAACCTGCTTCTTGCATGACAACGGCGGGTCTTTTTTTATTCTTTACAAGTATCTAGGTGCAGTCAAACCAGCGGCTGCAGCTGATGATGATGATGAGGATATTACCAACAATATCAGGGGATGGTATCTTGCCATCACTATAGCAATACGTAACTGAACGAAGTACAA